TGTTGGCCCAAAGCCTCGGCCTGTGCGTGCAATGCAAATTGCCAAAGAAAATTTATTCCAACTACTGAATGCGAATGCGAATTTTCCAGGACGCCAAAAGTTAACCAAATATGTCAATTGAAATGCTTTGTGTGGAAGCAGTGATAGCGAACTGGGTGGGGCATGATTTGGCTGTGGCGTGTGGCAAACAAACAAAGCCCAGGACCAACTAGCCCAGGACCTACAACTTGCTGGAGCTGGTAGGTTAAAAAGCAATTTATCTTTAACTTTTCCCAAGTAAATTCTCGCCTTTGTCTAAAGTGCTTCAATGGCCAGTCTCCTTGGCTCATTCAGCCATTCATGTATAAACTTTGCTTTTTTTATACATACATATATGTGTGTGTTTGGGTTGGGAATTGTGGGTGGGTTAGTTATGTGCACTGTGTGTGCAGTGTTCACATTTAAATAGTTTCCATTTCTCTAGTATTTCTCGACCACTCAATTACTCGGAACCACAGACATTCAATTGAGCAACCATATGCAGCTTTAGTTGATTTCTGGCAAAAAGGCAAACAATGCTAACCAAAAAGGAGAAATTATAGCAGTTGTTGCATTGGCTCTTGCTGTTGCCGATGCTGTTGCAGTTGCGGCATGCCTGCGGGTCCTTTCAATAAATTTTCTCTTTTGGCATTTTCGGAAAGTTTGATCAAAACAGCACGTATAACTATTTGAACTGCTAACCCAAATAAGCCCGGGCATTCAGGCGTTGCATTCCCCTTTCTACTCCCACTGCCCGGGGAGGTACCTCCCCCCCACCCTGCGATTCAATCCTTCTTCGAACTCGCGCCAATGAACTGTGTGCAATCAATGGATGCGATTCAAGTTGCATGGCGATGCTGTTGCTGCTGCTGCTGCTGCTACTTCAGCTACAAGATACTTTCTGTGCAACCATAGAACTTCCCAGATGCCAGGGCGCAAGGAATGGAGGAATGTCACGGAATGTGCACACGCATCTTCTTCTTCGACTGCCATCCGATCTCCCTCGTGTGTCTCTTTCTTTCCGCAAACTTGTGGTGGGTGCTCCCCCCCATCCAACCATCCCATCCAGCCCCTCGACAAGACCCTGCCCTTCTGGTGCATGGCAGGAGCTTACATTTATGCGCGAAATTGTCGTATGCATTTGCACATTCATAAATTCTCGTTGAGCGCCCCCAAAGCGACAGCCGAGAATGCTCTCTATGCTATTATAGTTAGAAGGGGGGTGGCTGCCGGAGTAGGAGGAGCAGGTGAAGGAGCCTCCCATCCTGCTGGTGCCCAGATAGTTGGCAACCAGTTCTCCCACTCCACCTTCCTGCTCATCGTCTGCTGTCTGCTCGCTCGTGCAGCATTTAAATTTCATTTTTAATTTTCTTTCTTTTTTTTTTCTACTACCATTTTTTTAGATTTTTTATTTTTTACTTGCCATCTTCCTGCTGCAGGCACATTTTATTATTGCATTTTACAACAACGCAACCTTAGAACAGCACGTCATTAGGCGATAAATTATCTCATGCGCGTTGCATTTTGCATAAAATGTTGCAGCCACCGCGGCAGCGGCAGTCTTTGGATTTGGAGCGGTAAAAGTGTGCCAGTGTTGCAGCTGTGGCAGTGGCAGTAGCAACAGCGGGAGCAGTCGCAGCACCAGTGGCATTAAAGGATGCCAGGCAATTTGAATTTGCGAAATTCCATGGGGGCCCAGCGGTTGCCGTTAGTTGGAGGCCGTAGCCGTAGCCGTAGCCGAGGCCGGGGCAGGCTTATCTATGCACAAGATGTTGCCGTTTGATAAGCTCAGTGCAGCAGCCGGCAATTTATGGCTCCTCTTGCTGCTGCTGCTGCTTCTGCCTCTGCTGCAATTGCATTCATCATCGACTGCAGCAACAGTTGCTGCCTGGAATGCACTGTGATGACGTGCCATGGGTTTAGTATTCAAACTAAATAATTCTACAAGAATTTTTGTTGAATATGGGATTCTCTTACTCTATTTTTTAAGTTCATAAATAAAGGAATAAATATTTAATTCACGAACTAAAGTCTCTTTTTAAATCAATGACGATTTAATCCACTGTGCCTTAGCAACATGCGTTTAACTATGCAAATTCAAGCTGCAGCGCCCAGTTGCCTTGCTTCTAGACTGCAATCTGGCTCCGCCCCGCCCCCACTCTATTGACTTGCAACTTGCTACAACTTAGTAAGTGCTAAGGATGTAATGGTGTATCTGAGAGCGTGTTGGTGGGTTAGTGCCGCTCGTCAAACAGCATTCAAGCACGATTCTGGGAAACATTCCTCTCCTCTGAGTTGACTAAGAAGACTTACTAAATGCATTGCTTTGGCTTGCTATGCAAGACAGATTTTAATACAAATGAGCGGAAATTATATAAATATATATATATATATAGGGATAGGGGATAAGATAACGTGTTGCCTCAACGAAAGCTGAATGTCATGACAGTTCAATCACCGAGATTGGGGATCTTGTTGCAGCTGCGCTGAGTTATGGTCAGTGATGGCAGCTCCAAATGGCTTTCGATGATAGCAAATCTGGGGGATACCATCCTATCCTATACATATTTGTAGCTGGGGCGCCAATTCAAGTGAACGATCCCACATAATTGATAGCCATAGTCTGCCAAGGGGCTTAGGATGCTGCGGAATAGTTTCAATTGAAAATATGCTGCCGAACACAGTGAATGTCAGGAACATTAAATAGATGGTTCCATATGGGCATCGACTCCAGGAGTGGAGCAATTAATTTGAAAGTTTAATGACTCTAAGCAGTTTTTGTCTGCTAATGACTTGGTTGGCCATACATTAAGAAAAAATTCGAATCTATTTGTCTTAAAAACACAACATAGCTAAAATATAATATACAGCTATATAAGGTCTTCTCTAGCTTTATAATTTTTAAAAATGTAATCCCATTTATTATAAAATTTCAATGAATTATCAAAAATCCCTCTTTAAAAGGGCTTTTTCCGTAGTGCTTAAAGGTAATGCTGCTGCTGACATTTGGCTGTTCCCTCCTAAAAACAGGCGATGACAAATGGCCCCGGGAAAGGTGTGCCTCAGATGACAAAAAAAAAAAAGGCGGGGGCGGAAAAAAGCAGAAATCGCTGAACTTTGACTCTGTAACCCCGTCGCGCCTTGCCCCAAAAGTCGTTAGTTGCCAAAGTGCAATTAAACGCCCCGCTATTGAAACAATTTCGTATACGCTATAACAATTACGCCCCGGTTGCACATGCACATGCTGCTACTGGAACTGAAATTGCAACTGCAACTGCTGCTGCTAGTGCTGCTGCCCCTTTGGTCCGTTAACCCTCCTCACACTGTCCTGGACTGTGTTTGTAAATTTGCCGCACTTAGCGGAGCTTCTGCTGTCGAAGGCATTTCCATGCGTCAAATTGCCGCCAGGGCATTGCGTGTAATTACTGCAATAAAAATTGCAACACATTGCGTACAAACATGCAACATGAACGGATCGCTTCGTCGGCAGCTTTAAGATACTCGTGCGCAGTACATCCATCCCGGCATGTTCAGCAATTATCTAATTTATAGGAGTTCATTTATCAAAACCGAAACAAATATTCGGTTTCCTTGGCGGGCAGAAAAACTACAAATGCTGCTTCAACAAGAGCAACCAACTTGCCACAATTTGTGACTGACTAACGAGCGTTCAGCACTCAGTGCTCGGCATTCAGCATTCAGCATTCCACACTCAGCATTCACCATTTGGTAACAACTGAGTGCACTTGGCCACTTGGGTGGCGAGCTGATTGGAGATGCAACTGCGGGGGTGATGCAAGACACGGAGAGGAGAGGGGCCGGGGGCTGGGGGATTTCAGACTAAGGACGTCCGTCGAGCGGAACGCAAGTTGATTGCATTTTTAGCATAAATTTCAACGCATTTGACTAATGTCCGGACATTTGTTATGGGGCGGGGAACGAGTTCGTTCTTCGGCTGCCGCAATTCGACCATTTATCACCGAGCCAAGTACCCAACCTGGCACCGGGCATTATCATTTCGCATTCCCTGGAACTTACAGCTAGCAGCTAATAGATAATGCTACAATGGGTGATGGTGATGGTTGATGGACGACTTTCGACAAAGTCGTATGCAAATGGGCACTCTGCTGCCCGCTGGCCATGTAATTGTTGCAACTGCTTAATATCACGTATACGCACTGTCGGACAAAGACAAAGTCAACGCGAGTGGACGGAACTCTACTTGGCTGGACTTGGTGGGATGGACAGAACCGAACTGGACAGTATACTGGTGGCTAGTGGCTGGTGGCCATGGCCGGCCGGCGCGTCAACAACAGAACAGCAGCACCAGAAAAATTAATTAACACGCCAAGTCTGCCTGGACACGCCTGCAGCACGTAGTGGAGACCCAGACCGAGAAGAACTGGAGCCAGGGACTAGCCCACACTCAGACTGAGAGCCAGAACTCTGAATTACACATGGAAATCAATTTTATTTAAATTTAAATTAAGGAAATGCTAATTAAGAAAAAATTATATTGATTTTAGATGAAAGTTATATCTTTATTAGATTCGAAGCCTTCCGAATGTCACACCTATGGTCTTGTTTAGGGAAAACTATTTCTTCCAGTGCCACAACCAAACCCTGAGCCCAGCACGACTCCGTTGTTTGGCAGTTTCTATTTCTCAGATTTTTTCTGTGTGCCCTGGGTATTTATGGCCGTTGCAGCAAAAACCCCGATGCAGTTGTGGGAGGACCCATGGGCTGGGGGGCGGTGTTAAGTGAAAAGCGTGAAATTTATAACAGCCAATAGATTAAGCTAGAATATAAATAACATTTTCAGTTTTTTGTGCGCGTTAATTCCTTTTTGTGTGGTGGCCTCTTTGTTGGCCGCCTTTTGTCTATTGTCTGGCCAAATGGGCGGCGGGATTATTGGTACCAATAACTTAGTCGCGTCGCGCCAAGAACAGACTCTTAATCAATTGCCGTTTGGTCTCTTGCAGTTGCTGCCGTCACACAACCGAAGAACTCATCCACCCTCACACCGTTTCTGCAAATCCAGAAGCACGCCGTCACAAGACTGACCATCAGCAAGCCCCACAGCTTCTACTACCTGCCATGCATACCCATCCTCTCGCCCTACAACTACTACCAGGGTGAGTATCCGAATATCTGACAGATGCCGGGGTATCCGCTACATTATGTCCCTTTGCCACCCACAGACAACCAGCCCATCTACTGCACCTGGTATCGGAATGACGCGGTCATCGAGCAATTGTCCATTCGCAAGAATGACTTCTTCATCTTCGAGAATGGGACGCTGCGTCTGCCGCCGAACGAGAAGGCCACCGGCGCCTATCGATGCAAGATTGAGTGGGATGAGTCGGCGGTAATATCCGACCTCATCACGGTGGAATATCCAGGTGAGCACACTTTCAAATAAAGTGATTTTCAATTTAAAATTGAAAAGTTTCTCGAAGGATGAATTGTGAAAAAATATAATTAAAAATAACAAATTCTTTTTGCATTCCAATTCCTAGAGAAGATCTTTAAAGCCAAGAACCGAGTTCGAAATTATAAATAAATCTTTTCGCTTGCAGTCCTCAAACGAGTCTTTTTGGGTCAACAGCAGCAGGCCAATATTAGTGCTGTGGAGGACAAGCCCCTGGTCCTGGGCTGTCCCTTCCTGAGCGTGCCCCCCGCCCGTTTCAGCTGGTATTTTGGCAACGATTCCCTGGCTAATGACAACAGGCGAGTAAAGATCCGTGTTGAAGCATCGAGCCTGGGCCACGACTTGTTTATCCAGTCTATAGATAGTCGGCCAGCTGGATGGGTTGACCAAACGCTTTCCCATTCCTTATATATAACATAGTAGTAACGTTAAAATGAATGTATTTGTTTGTCTGTTTCTTTTATTATTGCGACAGTGCTCTTATCCTGTCCAATGGCACTCTGATATTGCGGAAGTTACGTCAGGAGCAAGCTGGCAAGTACAAGTGAGTATAGAGGCCATTAAATGTTAAGTTCTTTTGTGTATTTCGCGGCGTCTGCAAAGATGCCCGTTCCTCGTTAACTGTATCCCAGATATGCCCAGTTAAACTAAATCAAGACTGACGGCTATGTTCCATTTAGCTGCCAGTGGGCACCCCTTTTAGTTGTTGTGGCAAAATCAACACCTTTAGCGGCACTTCATCAGCAGCCGCATCTATTCCCTGCACCGCACTCTGCGAACATTTTGCACCGCTAGGGTGCCCTTAAACAATGCATTAATTTACACTTAGCGGCGGCTCAGCGGCCGCTGTAATTGTGGCCATTGTCCATGTCAATTATCGCACGAAACTACTCCACCCCGACCACGACCACTGACCATCATTATCCATTATCTGTTGCAGATGCGTGGCCCAGAATACTTTTGCCAACAAGGGCCACCGCCAGTTTATCTGGCAGCTGCGCGTGGAGGCCAAAGGCGAAGAGACGGACGTCCTGGACCAGGAGGAGCGGGAGCATCCGGAGACGGCGGTGTCGGAGGCCCAGCTACTGCCGGCCTTCCAGAATGCTACCGTGTATGTGCCCGCCGGCGGGTCGGTGTTGCTGCAGTGCCACGCCGTGGCCGACTTTGTGCCCATTGCGTGGTATCAACTGCATCCGAATAAGACCGTAGTCCGGCTAAGCAACAATAGCGTGGCTCTGGCCATCAAAAACGCCAGTTACGAGCGCCACGAGGGCCACTACAGCTGCATAACACCGCTGGAAACCCAGACATTCCACGTGATAGTGACCACTCCGCCGAGAATTGTTAGCCGGTTGCCTGTGGAACTGGTCTTTATAAGCCTATCGAAAACCCTAACCTGCCGGGCGGAAGGTCATCCGCAGCCCAGTATCACCTGGTACCACAATGGTGTCCAGCTGAATAGCTCCTACACGCGCTACATAAACGGCAACGAACTTCACATCCACTCCTTTGACCCCATGGAGGAGGGCATCTACCAGTGCATGGCGAGAAATGTGGCTGGCGAGGATTCCGCCACGGGTGAGATGCGTTTCAATCCCCAGCCGGAGCAGGCCAATCCCCTGCAGAACATTCGCTGCTATCCGCACAGCTTTCACACCATTAATATAACCTTCGATAGCCGGACCCTGGAGTCCATGTTTGTGGTGTACATTGTGAGGAGTAATCCGCATAGCTGGATGTCGTTTGCGCCGATGAAACTGAATCAGACCTCGTTTGTGGTCATATCCACTAATCTGCCAGTGTATCGACCCTTTGCTCTTATCACCAGGTTTCTCTATCCCACCTCCGAGGTGAGATCTGGAACAGCGGTTCCGCAGCAAACGATTCTCAGTTCGCTGCGGAGTCCAGCGGTCACCTGCTGCACCCAGGGATGTAAGTTTGAAATTCGTAATATTAAATATTTTATCAATTAATCGAATCTTAATATTTATTCCATCATAGTGATGCTGCGACCCATAGCCGTGGGCAATGACACGTTCGTAAAGTGGTCCCAGGGCGAGTTGGAAACCAAAAAGTACTTCATACTGCAGTTTTCCGTCAATCATACGTACCCGCATCCCTCCCAGCTGCTGAACGGGCCTCTTCATGGCACCCTAACGCCGGTGGAGGAGAAGGTGGATGAAGTGCGTCGCCATCTGACGATAATCCAGCCCCTGAATCAGTCGGCGGCTGCCACAGTGCTGAGAAATGCAGAGCACGAGGTGTTGGACAATGAAGTGGATGACATGACGCTGGAGCTGGAAGAGGACATCTTTAGCTTGGTGGTGGATGCCAGTGTGACGGGAATGCTGCTGCAGCGCTTCACTCGCATCAAGATGAGGGTTCTAATCATCACCAGCGAGAACGAGTTTCTGGGCCAGGACTTTCGCTACGTTCAGTGGAAGATTGTGAGTAGACTGTACTGTAGGGGAACATTTGACATCTTGAAAGGATTTGGACTTAACACTTTAATTAATTTTGAATTTGCTTATTATTTTCTTTATTCTGCAGATCGAGAATGGCACCTCGGAGCAGTCCAACATGCCCTTTCGACTGGTTACCATCGAGTCCCGGGCATTGACCTTCAAGTTCCTGGAGAGCCTAAACGAGACTTGTGTGTCGGAGTGCCACATGTTCATACCGCCGCAGTTTGCAAACCAGGAGCCCAAGTGCACGGATCGGAATATCTCCAACTCCATGCTGTTGGTCACCGATCTGAAGGCGGACCAGCGCTATAATCTGCACTTTTACAATTGCAAAACTCGCATCTTCTACGGCGAGTTGGATGTCAAGACGGAACAGGATCGTAAGATTAGCAGATGGTGGTTCTTAAAATTATGATTTAATTGCTTTATTTCATTGAAGCTCCTGGCACCATCAGCAACTCAAAGCTGATTAAGCAGAATGGCGGCCTGAAACTTATATGGGATCCACCCGTCAACCCCAATGGACGCGTCCACCACTACGACATCAGGTGGAGCCTGGACAATGTCACCCATGAGGCCATTGTTAAGGAGTGCAAGCATTGCTTCTATAAGGTATGTTCCATCAGGGGAAAAAATCAAGAGAGATTCAAAAAAATAACAATCCAATTACAGTTTCCCAATGTCTCGGACACAGCCAAAATCCATGTGGCTGTCCGGGTAATGGGCGACACAGGAGCCGGTGCTCCCATTTACTTTGACATGGTGAGAAACAACCACACCCTGCTGGAGGAGGACCACGAATCCTCTCGGTCAGAAGTCTACAGCGGCATAGCCATCGGATCGCTGCTGTCCATCGTCTGTGTCATGCTCTTCGGAGTGTTTATAATCTTTCAGCAGCGGCGCTTCAAGGCGCGCGCCCAGGGGCCCTCCCATCTGACCACGCCCACGGACATCAACTTCGGTAATCTGAGCAGTGCGTCGGGAATACCGGGAGACAGTGCCGGGGGGCTGAGTGGAGGCACACTGCAGCAGGATTGCCACGAAATGCAGACACTCATTCCGCGGTCGCGCTACCACATCGAATTGCTGCCGGAGCACACACTGGAATACCAGACGAGTTCGGCGGCCGCAGCAGCGGCAGTCGTCCACCTGACCAATGGCAACGGGAGCGTGCAGGTGGCCAGGCGGTCGGATCAGGAGGATCTGAGCATTGCCGGGGTGCACAATCTGTCGCAGCTGCCGCTGTGTCAGTCCACGTCGCCGGAACGGAAGACCGTGCAGGATGCCATGCGGCAGGAGGCGAAGGCCTTCTACATACCCTATCGCCACGCTCCGCCGAACGCCGTGGCTCTGAGCGGCGGGGGCCACAAACAGCGGGCGGCCAGCAACTCCGAGCTGGAGGTGGTGGTGCCGCCGAACTCGCTTCCTTTGGTCTCCACAATGCCGGGCTTGGGCGGAGGAGGCACGGGAAGTGCCGGCATTAATGGAGGTGGAGGTGTCAGTGCTCGACGCAGCGGAAGTCTGAGCAGCAGCAGCGCCAGCAGCAGCAGCAACGGCTCCAGTAAGAAGCAGTTCCACACCAACTTTGTGCGCCACTCGAATTCCAATGACGGCATCTGCCTGCTGGCCGAGGAGGAGGCTGCCGCCACCCTGACACCCACCTCGGAGCGCGAGTATGCGGCTGTCTGCCTCACCAATGGTTTCAAGCTGCCCGCCGATGTGGCCAAAACGGGCAGCACCCATTACAGCACCAACAACAACAACAGCAGCAGCAGCAGTAGCAACAGCAGCAAAACCAGTGGCGCCGGTAACAAAAGTCAGAAAGCCGCAGCTGCCGGCTCCGGCTGCGGCGGGCCGGCAAAGGATCGGCCGCGTCGAGGCAACGGTAATCCGATCTCGTTCGGCCACTATGCCACATCCATAGTTCCTGCCAACGGACCCGCAGCAGCAGCATATCCTGCGGCCGTTAACCACAACAACACAACCAGCAAACAGTCCTGGCCGGCGGCGACGGTGGCCCATCGGAGGGCCCAGGTGGATCCAAACGGGTGAAGCCACCAGCTGCCAGTTGAGGAAAAGTATTTTTACGAAGCTACCACATAGAAGCAAACAAAACTACATAAGTTACAAACAAAACTGAAAAACATTCGCAGCTTGAAACATTCCAAAAGAAAAGAGAAAAAAGGAAATATATATATATGTAGGATCACAGTGCGTATTAGTGATGTTTAGCATTTATAAAGAGTACATTTTATAAATGTAAATATTTAGAAACTGAAACTATGGAACTATGGGAGAAATGATAGTATAAGCTGATATTTATACACACACATGCACACTTGTCTGCAAAAAACACAGTGTCTACATACGCTAAGTTGTATGCTATAGTTTTTTTCTCGCGATTTTACATTTATACTTTTTGTATTTGTATTTGTTTAGTTTTTGTTTGTTTTCGTTAATTGAGGCTAATTTTTATTTGTAATTTCTTTAAAATACATAAGCACAGGCATTATTTATTGTTGCTTTCGATGCAAATACATACATATATAAACAAATAGCTCAGCCCACAAGTATGCATTTCCATATTTGTCGCCAATAATTACTACGTTTAGCAAAAAAAGCAATTACACTCACATAGTAGAAAACGCAAACAGTACAGCCAAAAAACCACACACTCACACACTGCAATAGACCATACCATATAGTACACTCAACCACACACACCCACTCAAATACCACCACTTAACCACAATAGTCACAAGTGTTCACATCGATTTCGATTTAAAACGTAATGTATTCAATAATATTTGTAATTTTATTTAATTTATATATTTGTAGTCTTTTTGTAATGTTAACGAAGAGTTTCATTTCTGCATATTTACTGCTGCATTTTGTTTTGTTTATAAAACCGATATATCAAATGTACCTGATTATATTCATTTTGCATTCTTGTTTTTTGTGCTCTCGTCCACACACACACACATATAAAAGCAAACACAAACACAACCCATACATGTAGACCCGTTAACACACACTTACCAAACTCCAATTTGTGCACATTCATATTACATAACTAATAATAAGCCACAGAATCCATCGTAATACTGCCGAATTGTATATTAAATTCACCAATCGTACCTCGTTTGTGCAAAACCAACAAAACCTGTAGCTGCGCCAAAACAAGAATATCCACAAAAACGCACGCAGAGCCGTTTCCTGAGCTCCTGCTCCTTTTCCACTGATAGTATTTTTGAAATGCATGGGAAAAGCCAATTCAGTCCGACACTGGCCGAACTGGCTTAAGAGCGAAATGTGTGTTTTGTGAATTATTGTTCAGTGTGAAGCGAGAGGATTGTTGCACCAACCAACCAACCCATACCTAAAATGTAAACCTAGATGAAGCATTCCACAAACGTATGCATTTCGCAGATACAACAGACACAACCCAACAGACACACAAACACGTTATCATAAAAAACACACATCAAACAAAGGAAGCTCTAACACCAATTGGAGACAAGTTTCCGGTGTGTCAAAATTAAAAACCCAACAAAGGAAGAATATTATATACGAATATACGCTATATATGATTTAATGTGAACGAAAATGTGTTTGAAAACTGTAACTGTATACGTATTTAGAGTCTAAGTGCAATACCAAGAAATAATTAAATAGCAAAAGGTAATCCGTAAGATCCCTGAGACAGAACAAACCAACAACTATAAACAATAGTACCTTTCCACTCAAGCAGAAGCAACCTTATAAACGAGTCTTAGCCAGCCCAGAGAGTTGCGAATTCCATCCCAGTATAGACCATCAATAATAATAATCTCTAATTAATTGTGTTCAAGATGAAATAAGCCACAGATTTTGCATTTCTACAAATAGCCGAATAAACTGTAAAAATTAAACTTAAATCGTTGCACCAAACAAGAATCATAACTTTAACCTACGAAGTAAAGCATTTAAAACAAATGAAACAGAAAATGTATTCCGAAAAAACAACTCAAAATTCCTAGAAAAACGAAATATAGAAACAAAAAAATAAATTTTTAAATGTTACGAACGAAAATTAACTAAAACTATTATACATTATATGCAGAAAAAGGCAAAAAGATAATTTATGTACTAAAGTTAAAGAATTAGGCATAAGAGAACCATATAAATATGTACGTGTTTGGAAAAAGATACGAAAAGAAATGGATAAGAGTTTGAAAATAAGTAAATAGCTGCGATTGTGATCGCCGAGTAAGTGGATGTGATAAATGTTTAAATTATTTAAGCGCAAAAACAATAAAGAGATAAAAAAAATTAAAAATTAGGAAGACATACATACATACATAAAAGAAAGATAAAGATAAAAATGCGTATTGCGACTTTTGCAACGGTTTTTGCCCAACGGAAACCACTCATTAACTAAGAGTCCACTAAAATTGTAAGCCAGCAATTATTTTGTTCTTGTCTTTGACAAAACTGCTGCTCCTAGCACACACTCTCTACTAAGTACATATATTTTAATTTTTGTAATTTTAGTTTGCTTTAAGTCCGCATACTGTATACCTCATTAGTAGAGTGTGGCAAGTAACTAAATTTAATGAACCTATTTAGGCTTGGTTTCCTCATTTTACAATCGGAAGTGTGAAGGAGTATTTGAACTATCCGTAACTGAACAAACGAAACAAACTAATGTATTTTTTACGCAATTTATATGCATTGTAAGTACAGTGCAGGTGAAATTATTTGTAGCTACCAAGCTGCCAACGGTTCGTGTTAAAGTTTTTCAAAGAAAATTGTGGCAACCAACAACTAAACAGCCAAAAACGAAAATTAAGCAAGATTATAGTATGGATTGGCGTGTCTAAAGAGTCTAAGAGAAAAGTGTAACAAAGCTCGATGTTTGTTTAGAGAATACAGAAGAAATGGCAAAGAAAAAATGAATGCAACCTTAAACTATTGGAAAAATATACTAAAATCTAAGTTATGATGGAAAACATAGAAATTGTCTTTTATTACAATCTTACTGGGGTTATTGTAAAGGGGAGTAATAGTAACACATTAACGTGGTTCTATTTTAGGTGGTGCTGTTCTATGGAGGTTTTTTCTCATATAGGAATATTTAATTTGGTAAAACCATGAATTTTGATGGAATTTAATGGAAAAAATTAAATTACTTAAGTTTTTTGGATAAATTAAGTCAAGCCCAAAAAAGTATAGGATCACGATCACAATCGACTGCGATCTGAATATAAAGTTGCAACAAAAGAGGCGAAAAAAAAAATTTCGCATGCAATCTTCAAGAATAGTAAAATATAGCATGCGATTTTTTTACAAACATACGGAAAATATAGAAAATGAACAGGAAAATTTGTCTTTGAAATACTTTAATTTTGTTTTATATAATTTTCACAAATAGTAGATAATACGTAAAAAAAATGTTACCTGGAATTTTTTCAATATATTCAAATATTATTTCTTTTTGTTTTAGAAAAACAGATTCTTACATTTTATTCCGTTTAAAATCAGTCTAGATAAGGCATTACTTTTTTGGCTTTTTTTTTTTTTTTAATTTTTTGCAATAAATTTCCTTTATCCTTCTTTTCAGTTTCTTTGTTTTAGAGGAAAGGTTGTTGAAACCCTGCATTACGATTTACTCCGTTTATTCCATTTCCAAATCGGTTCAGATATGGCACCCTTGTTTTCAATTTTTTATAATTGATTCAACTAGTATCAAACAACACAACACTTTTGTTCTTTTATGGTTTTATTAATTAATTACTTATCAAATAGGTATAAAACATCAATAGGTTATTCATATGGAAATTATCGTTGGTAACGTTTTACAGCGGTGTAGACTTCATTTACAGATAGAGACAGTTTTAGTACTAACGACCTTTAAATACTCTAACATGTACAAATATAGATAACGTGTCTGGGTGGTATGAGGGAACATCACAACAAAGTGCCATAAAATGATCACAATCGATCACAAAAATTGCAAAATTATCATTGATGCCCAATGGCATGGCTGAGCGTTATTGATTTGCTCAGCTTAGGCTTAATATAGCGACAAAAAAACCAATATAACTAACTTGAGCTAACTGGATAAGCGAATTAAATTTTAAAATTAAAATGCTATGCACTCTAAAAACAACAAGCGACGCTTTAAGATTACACCTGCCCCACAAAACGATATTTGGGGGCACCGCATTTAGGTACGCGTAATTATCATGACACCTTGGAGTTGTCACTTCTATTCACAATTCGGTTTCAAATAAATCAGGTCCTCGAACAGTACACCTCTATTTCATTATTACTCAGGCATGCTCAGCACACCTTCTCAATCATTTTCACCAATTCTTTGTACAAAATACAATCCCGTCCACGGGGCTTGCAGATCTCGCGATGGTCCAGCCGAATGCCGCAGACATCCCCAATACCGGGATCTAAAAAGGAATAATATCTACATCAGTAACTGATTTTACTTTGGAAAAAGTTAGAAACTAACCTGCAGAATCCACACCAACAATTCGCAGATAAAGCACAGACATAAGGGTCAACGCCGTCTCCACGAAACTAAAGACTTCAATCTTCAGGTGGCCCAGGTGATACAGGCCTGCGAAACGGCGATGGAGGTCCAACAGGTATTTGTTGTCTGTAACGAAACAAAAAATATTATTACAGTTCTTAAGGATTAAGGATGATATACTCCTTACTCTTTTCAATCTCCAGCAGCTCCACAGATCGCGATAGCAGTGGCGCCTTGATGCTCGCCAGGTGGGAGCCCCGATGCGGGACCGAGTAGAAGAAACATCCACGGGCGGACCTCCAAAGAGGAGTCATCGCCGGGCGACCGCTCTCCCAGGCATCCACAATCAGCTGTTTGATGAACAGGCCACCCTTGGAGTGACCCACATAGATGATCGGATGACCGTGGCCCACTCTGTGCTGGATGAGCAGCTCGGCCATCTCCCGCGCCCGCTGCATAAGGCTGGAGCGCGGCTCCTTGCGCTTCCACAGTGGTCGCCACAGATACGGATCGGTGGTGTAATTGACGGCTATCACCCGCACCCCGGGACAGTCTAGTGGCAGCCAATCGCCCGGCCAGCACTTGGAGTAGTTGGGGTCGTTGGGCGACGGTTTGCTCTTGCGGGTAGGCTTGCGGGACGGCGTTCCAGGGGTGGGGGGCCGCTGGTGGCTATCCTTGGCTTGGTCGGCATCAGGCTGGACCTCATTATTTCCAGCGTTCGCCTCCAGCATGGACTCCAGCTCGGCCTGCAGCAGGCGACTGTTGTCTTGCATCCTAAGCCGGAAGGTGGGGAAGCTATACTCGATTCCCTCGCAGATCTGAATGTCCTCCGGACCACCACATACGTAGGCGTAGCTACAAAGAGGAAAATTTTAAATAAAGAGGATGAGTCTGTGGGTTAGAAACCTACTCTTCGGCATCATCATCGCTATCAGAAGCATTGTATTGGAAGCCCTCCGGTCGTGCCTCCAAAGAATTCTGCAACCTAGTCCGTAGTCTTAAGGGAGCATCTTCGGAGGAATCTCGTTTGCGGTTGAGGGACGCGAACTTTGCCCTCTTCTCCCTGGGCGCCGGATGAATGGCAGCGCTGCGGGAGTGACGTGGTCGCTTGGGTGGCCTAACCGGTGGTCTCGGCGGCCGCTCGAACTCAACTGGCTGGCGATCGTTCTGCCAGAGTCCCTGTTTCCAGGTATTCAACAGCGAACCGTGCAGTCCATGGATGAGTACGATGTCGGCCCGAATGGGCTGGCCCGGCGGTGGTTCGGCCAATATATTGATGGTACAGCAACTGGGCGCATCCGAGAGGGCACTGTAGATGGGCGGACCCTGCAGCGGAGTCATCGGCGTGCAGGGGGTACTAGGCGTGGAAGGCATGGTCAGAGTATCCGGAAGACTTTCTAGCCCGTCCTGGGACTTGCGCATTTTGAGCAGCTTCATAAGCGGTCCCAAGCGGTTTGAAACTGGTGATATAATAGAGAAAAGTTTAGTATATTCTTTAAAATTAGTTCTTTAATGTGGACTTTAAAATATGTGACTAATTAGATAATTTTGGAGAACATGACCAAAATAAAATAAATCTTTAAGATCTATGTCTAAAATAGTCATCAAATCTTTTACTTTATTAAAATTTTAACAAAATCTAGCTATGTATTAAAAAAATATATAAATAGCCAAGTTTTCATTTTGATTACCTAATAAATGAATATTTTTCAATTTTAAAGTTCGCCTTATAAAAAATCCTTTGTTTCCGAAGCAAAAAAAATTATAAAGAATTTAATTGTTGAACTTGGAAAACAATTGTAGGTCTCACAAGACCTTGCAAGTTATTACATTTATTGGGAAATGGTTATGGGGATTACCTACCCTGAACTGAAGACAGATTCAGTGAGATGGTGTTGGCCGCAAAGGCCACCAAGTTGGTTAGGGCCTGTCGGCTGGAAGCCAGGTTCTGGAGCACCCTCAACACCCGCACGTCGCGAATGCCCTTGATGCCCCGGGCCACTCCATTGGCCAGTGGAAGCACTAAACGCACCAGGATGCCGAAGATGACCCGCATGCTGCCAATGTTTTTGCTGTCCCTGTAAAGGTTAAGGGAGTAAGTCAAGAAACTTACAAATTTTATATCTATCAGATACTCACGCCTCCATGAGGGCACCTGCACCGCTCAGACGCACCAGATCACTGACCGCCTGCTCCTCCTCCTGGCGATCGATCTCCACTTCGTTCTCATTGTTTCCACTGGGTGATTCATTCGCTTGGACATTGTGTTTCATACTGAGGCTTCCGGCAGCCGTCTCTTCTCCGCCTCCGATCCGCATCATGGCAATGTCGCACACGTAGTTTTCATCGATTTCCAGCAGTGGCGACTCGCAGCTGCTTTCATTTCCGTTGGCCTTTTTCACTGATGCAACATCCGTGGCGTCATCCTCCTCCTCGACGGGATTCCCGTTGCAGGCGTGTGTCTCTGGGTATAGTTCGGATCCTCTGGCATACATTTCCCGAGGAAAGCAAAACGACTGCTCCACCAGCTATTGTTGTGTCCTTTGTTTTTGTTGCTGCTACTGCTGCTTTCGAAGAACTGGCTGCGGGCCAATTAATGCGCGGCCAACATGTTGCAAGCAGGTCTAGCTGCAAGTTCAGAGTAAAAGTTTACAATTAAACAGACGCTTGGGACTAGGTAACAGAGGAACTTTTTAGCATTCGCCGGATGCAATATTTCAATGCCAATGTCTAAAAACAATTCGGTCAAGAGCAGTACCTCTTCGGTCTGGCACGTCTTGCTTCTTACTGTTTACCGCCACTGCCACTCGAAGAATAACAAACGCCCTGGCTAAAAATAAAGCCCCTCGCTTGGCGCTTCCACTGCCATAAATTACGTATACGGCACGTGGGCCCACTGCACTCCACTTTGCGGGGTGTCCTTACTGCAGTAGTGGCTGGCAAATTCCCTGGCGAAAAGAATAACTATGAAATTTAAAACAAATAATACTTTGTTCTGATTCATATCGAAGCCTGTCAGCCCGTAATATTAATTCCGATTACTAAGGAGCGCTATTTGACTGCCACTGCAATCCAATTAGATGCGAAAGCAACAAATGTCAGATATATGTGTATATAATAAGTATACATAGAACCGCATAATGACAGCGACGTGCCTCCGTAATGCCCTTAGGTTATGACACACGCCCTCCATCGCAAAAGGTTCAAGTTGAGGGTCGGAAAAACAATGAAAACAACAACAACGGCGGGGGGTCGATGATGGCAAGAACAGAGGAAAAACATTTCCACCGCTTTGTTTTCCCGGCTATTTATAGCTGAAAAATGCCGCAATATGCTGCAAGCGCTTCATACTTTCGATGTACTTGAATTTGCATGCAAATCCCTCATCTACGCGGTTGACTGTCCGCCACATTCGCATTGCGAATTACGAAATTCCATGAGCTGTGATTTCAATTCAAGTTATCGGAGTCGTCCGCCCACTTGTTCACACGCAAATACACAAAACAAAACAAAACACTTTGCTTTCAGTTTGATAATTTGATAGATGTGTTTGTAGCTTTTAAAGATGCAGGTATTTTGCAGTGCATCGGATTAACTTACACTTGGTTCTCGACTAAGTGCAGCGCTCGAGGCGGGCCAACCACTCGCTAAGGAAATCACAGACCGACTGGAACGCCACCTTGGCAGTATGAAGCCCGCTGGCGAGGTCTGCGACTGCGGTTTTCACCCTCTTTCTGCGCCAATAGTTGATTTGGGAGGCAAACACTCTATTCCGCTGGCCGAAGTGACTGAAGTGCGGCAATTGTCTGGATCTGACAAATTGGAGACAACGGAAAGTTCAATTCATTTGGCACATCGCTCTTATCGTTCATTGTTTCATTAAGTGCGACTAGCGACTGGCCGCCAGCTGTGCTTCCCCAGAGCCATTCCCCGAAAGTTGTTGTCTTGTTTTCCATCAAGAAAGTGTGCCCCCTAATCTAAATACCGGGGCCTGATAGAGGAAGCGGTTTGGTTTCTGTGGATTAGTTAGGCAAATTGATTTTATGGAAATTCGGTAATTAATTTTATTGGCCGACAGTGCAAAGGGCAGACCTGCTTATCTTCAGGTATTTATTTAATTCGTCGCTAGGCAATTGAGCGGGTTGCGAACTTTTGGCTCGCAAAATGCTAATGCCCTTATAAACTCAATCAAGTGCTCTTCTATTGTCATGGGAGATAGTGTGCACTATGACAGAGGAAATTCGAGCACCCGCTTGATATTCTGAGTCGCAAAATACAATTCAAATCCACTTGGATTCTTATCTAAAGGCAAACGACAAGACTTACTGTGCATAGTTGATACAAAAGTATATATGGTTTACATAGTCAAGAGGGGAAGGTGTGCCTGACAGTCATGCTTATGTGCCGAGCAAAGATTCTCGATTTTCTTGATCACTGGCTCCGTCAACGGGGCGTATACTGAATCTGGCCACGAATATTACTCATGCGCCCCGTGGACTTTGACCGTTGCTTTTATCTTGGAGACCCGAATGCAGTTTCCCCTCCCATTGTTTATGGGGCCCTATAAAAGAAACAAAACACTCGGCGGCTGGCCAACAGGGTTTTGTAATGCGATACCCAAATCGGCGTATTATCGTTTTGGTGGTCGAGTCCGATGCGATCCGTGATGCATAATTTCTGACCAACAAGCCGCTAAACGTGTGTGCAATTGTCAGCTGGAAATTGGCTGTTATTATGCATAATAATCGGTTTGGCTAGGCCATGCCAGCCATGGAGCCGGAGAGCCAGGGAACATAGGTAGCATAGCACGCAAGGCATTTCGGCATGCTAATTAATTTGTCGCATGTTGCAGCCACGTGAATTCGAGAGTGGCTGTGGGTGCGAGTCCAGTGACGCAGATTGCATGCTCGAGTGGTCCAGTAATTCACCTGTTTGTCCTCCTGTACGGCCTATAGTGTGTAAAGTGTGCAATAAACTGGAACAAGCATCACAATACGACAATAGTAATTAACAAGCTTGTTCCACTTTGGTGACATAATGCCGAACGAGAGATCCAAATGTGGATAACTTTCTTTATGTGGAATCTGTGGAATCAACCGTCACAAATATTCCCCAGCTTTAATCGTAAAAACATTATTCAGGTTCAAGAACTATTCGTACCGATAAGATAGACAATCTGATTTAACATCAAACGAACGTACTTGAGCCGTAAAACGTGAAAAAAACGAAAGCACAATAAACTTACAGGCGAAACAGCTGTAGCACCAAAAAATAAAGGTCAGCAGCGAGGAAACTGTGACATTAAACGATAATAAATTTCCAGCCATTAAACGGTCACTGACAGATACGAGAACTGAGAAACTGAGGAAGGTCGACACTTCTTAATTGGGTCAAAAGACAATGGAATATCATGTCCATTTATCCTTTTGTCTGCCACACAGAATTTCCAACCAACCAATGTAATATTTGGCGATAAAAGAGCTCAGTTGGAAACAGCAGCGGCGGGAATCAAATTGGATTTCATGCAGCTCATGCTGATAAAGAACTACAATTATCCAATGCTTTGTTTGTTTGTAATAACTTAACAGGGTGTCAACTTATTTTCGTAAACAATTAAAGCGGCAATCATTTCCCAGCCGGCAGAACAACAATAAAGGCCCTCCACCCCCTTCAGAGCAGCAGCCCATCAATTTCACTTTTGGAAGCACATTTGTATAATTTCCACACGAATACAAGTTGTTCGACAACCAACTGGAAAACAAGTTATGCAAAGCGAGTGGCAATTAATTTAGATTATGTATGTGCTTTGTGTGTCTGCAGAGCTTGGATCAGGCCATACCTAGGGTTCTTTGTGGCCAACGAGGAACTGTACTGATGATACTTGGCCCTGACTCCGAAAGAGATGCCTGTGGCAAGGTATTCCTATTGTTAATTGACGTGTTTTCCCCCAGAGTCCTGAACTGTGCACAGGAGATTAATTAATATCCGGGTAATGGGCTGATTTTATTATGCCATAGCAACTATTATGGCCAAGACAACCTTTGGACTTTGGTGGAAAAACATGATCTACGCAAATACACAGAGGAAAACTAAACCAACTAGCTGATAGCTAATAAACCAAAAGGCAGGAAGTGAATGGAGAGATAACCTACTAAGATTTAATATTTATTTTGGGACTAAGTTTATTACCCCCAAAGTTTAGATAATTTTAGTAGAAAGTAATTTAATCTCCGTGGACATAAGCTCTCACTATTTTCTCCCAGTCTCTTGATGGGAAACCCGGCAAAATGGGAAGAGCACTCGCTCCAAGTTTTCGTTAAAGAGCGCCCAAGTCGGGTAACAAAAGCTGCTGGGCAATGGAGCTCGCGGAGGCTTTAAACACGAAACCGAAATCAAAACAACACGTGCTGGGGGCCGGGATGGAGGGAAGGCAAGTGGGTGAGGGCGTGGGAGCTGTAAGGCGACGCCTTAACCTTCAGCACGCGTGTGCTTAGCGGCTCAGGTAGCACTGGTGGAGCCACTGAAGAAATGAAAATGAAACGTAATGATTCCAAATGGAACGACTCCACAACTGCAGATGACCGCACCAAGGAGCCCCGCAATTTAAAGGTCGCAAACGTGTTTTGAGTTCGTGATTCTGTCAGATAATCGCACTGTGTGCCATGCCACTAGGACGGGCCAGCCACCCACCCATGTACACATATATATGTGTGTATATAATACCATGATTTGTCGCAATTCATCAAGGAAATTGGCCTTATTGTGCGATACATCTATTCATAAAAAATTTGTCCACCGTGCTACGGGTTTTGAATGTATTATTCAAAAGTTGTCATTGTCGCAAACTCACACCTGTCTCGTTATAGCCTTTTAATTTTTAATCGAATCTAAAGCGCTTGGCAACTGTTTTTTTTTTTGGTTTTTTTCGCGAATCTTGTTAATAATTAATACATGTTCTGAGTTCGTCAATTCTAAGGCGCTTACTTGTTGTTGTTTGGCTTGTTTTGGGGCGTGGGTGGAAGGGGCAAGGAGACATACGAAAGTTCCTCAAGACATTTTCAAGAGTTCTGTTAAAGAACTTTTCTTAATAGGCATATTATATGCATATATATAGGTACATCTATATTCGTATATATATGTTGGATCCCACAAAGCACACTCACGCACACACTGCCATTCTAAAACTTACACACTCGACAACCACAACAACAAAGCTTTGAGCGACGCGACTGTTTTGTAAAGCGAAGAACTGAAACCGAAACCGAAACGAACCGAGGAGAAAAAACGCGTCCGCACCGCTTGGACGCTCAACTACAACAAAAATAGGAGCGCACCAGCAGTCTCCAACAGACAGCATTCGAGGCCCCCTCGGAGCCACCCACTTCCCCCCACCAACAAAGCCTTGTATCTGTGTGTCAACAAAAGTTTAGCGTCGTTGTCTGGCAGCAGCTGTTCGCGTTGCTAAGCTTTTTTGAAAAGCTAAGAGAGGAGAGAGGCTCCCCAGTCACATTACCAGTCTTTGGGCCCCAATGATTGGGGGTAAACGTGAAAGAGCGCCACAAAAGCTAAGAGAATCTGAACCATTTTGTATACAAAACGGAGCTGCCACCTGGTTTTTAGTTCAGCCCGCTTATTTATTATCAATTCAAATAGTGTTTGGTTGTTTCACAAAATATAGCGATATCTAAACACAAAATCCGCCTCATGTTAAGTTTGTGTTTGCACATCGATGCTTTTATGAAATGTTGGCACTCCAATTTGGAGGCTTTCAAAATAGTTGCCCTCCGGAAATGGAGGGCCTCAGCCACTTAAAGACAAGTGACTGCCACAAAAACCAATTTTCCAGCGACTGGCACTGGTCCAAAATATGATCCGACGACAAATTCACGACGAGTCCGAGCTGGAGGAGCTGTCCGAGCTGGTATCCTCGGAGCTGGTGTCGCTGCTGCTGCCGCGATTCTTCCTCCGTCGGGCCTTCTTCTCGTCGATCACCTCGTAGCTGGGCAGGGTGGAGTTGCTGGAGTCGGAGCTACTGCTGCTGCTCGAGCTACTCGACTCCTCAATGACCGCCTCGATTTTACGGGATTTTCTGCAAAAGGATAGGAGGACAGAGTTGGGCAATCAAATGAAAATCGTTAAAGGCACAAAGTATTACCTACTTCTTATCGTTTTTATCGCCGTTCTTGCCACGTTTCTGCTTTTTGGCCAAATCACAATCGCTGGGGGAGCTGCTGCAGTTGCGCTTCGACTTCTTGCCCTTTTTGTCCTTGCGCCTGGACTCCTTGTCGGTGCCACTCGCCTTGGTGGAGTAGAGGTTCTGCGAACTGGCCGTGGAATAGCCAGTGTCCTTTCGCTTGCGTTTTTTTCTAAAAATTTAAGATTTTCTCTATATATTTACCTGATAGATGGTTTCTTACACCACAAACTTACTTGTCCTTTTTATCCTTTTTCTTTTTGCTGTAAGCTGCTTCCTGATCGGCATAGTCTTTGGTTCTGATTCAAAAATGTATCTTATAGATATGTAAATATTTTTTATGACATAAATTCTTACTTTTTTATCTTTTTTTTTTTGGCGTCACCCCCTCTCTCATTGGATATCATATAAATGCTATTCTGATCTGCATCCTGTACCTTCCGTCGTGATTGGAACTGTTTGGCCTTGGCCATGCGACTTTCTCGCCGATTTTTCCAGAACTCGGCATTAACCACATAAAGTCGATATAATTGTAGAATAATCACAAGGGAATTTTTACCTAAAATCAATAATAATATTAATTATATAGGATAATAACTTTTGTATAGAATTACTCACAAGTGAAGAAGACATTCATATAGTTGATTATTTTATATTGAAAAATAATCAGCAATCGGAAGGTAAGAAAGGGTGCATCCTGGAGTATCACATTGAGGACAATTCCCCAGACATCTATTCCACAGCAACAGTTCTGGCAACAGTCAGTGTGTCTTTGAAAAAAAAGTTAGAAAGTAAGTCAAACGAGTCCTTTTTTACTTACTCCTCCTTGCGATGAGAACCACTCCCACGAGGTCTTCTTCCTCTTGTAGCGGAAAGCACTATGGTAAACTGCATGAGGCTCCAAGACCAGATTCCCAAGGTAAGATACACAAGGAATCCAATTCTGGCTATTGAGTCATCCTTGTAGGAGTCGAAAAACTCGATAATATCCGCCGCAGTACCAATATAGACCAGGAGCAACTGGCTTAGCTGGTCCCGTGTGAGATCTCCCTTGGGCAGCATCCAGCGACCCACGATCAGGATGAGCATCAGGAACTGCTCTATCAGGGTGGTCCAGGTGTCAGTGGTCATCACCGGAATTGTGATTCCAGTGCGATCCAGCAGGGTGGCCACTGCCGTGATGCTACTATCATTGCTGTCCAGGGAACCGATGACAGGTCCTACTCCAAAACTGGTAAAGTTTCCAGTATTGGTAGCGTTTGCAATGGCCATCGAGTTCTTCATAATCCTAACCCTTTTGGCCACTTTCTCCAGTTCCAAGAGCCAAATTGCCGGCACAATGCTGCTCAGATAGAGGAACACCGAGGGGCAGAACCTGGATAATATGGAAAGAGAGGGGATGGCTACACAAATGAGGTGGCAGGGCGAAATGGCCAAAACAAACAGCCCGTCTGAGTGATGCGCCAAAAGGTAAACAAGAATCGAAAGACACTCCCCCTGGAAGTCCACCCCCTCCTGAATGAAATTCCATTAAAGTTTTTACTATTACGGCGCGTGGGAGGGTGGACATCTTCGGAGGTGTGGTCGCGACTGGGTGGTTAGCCACACATTAAACACATGATTTCACTTTTAATTGAAAATCAAAGACCGCGACATGACGTCAGCGCCAGCCGAGAGTTGTTTACATTTAAGGACGCGAGATTAGTTATATCAGAATCCTTAAGAGTCCCTATTAGTCCTCACCATCGCCATTCCTGCGTTTTCTTGATCATGATTGTGAAAATCCCCTCGAGGAGGAGCAGCAGAAGTGGTCCACATAGTGTCCAGTACTTGTAATCCTTTTTTATGGCCGTCACCTGCCAAATGGCCAACAAACTGTGGGCACTGAAAATGATCCTCGTCAGTGTGGCCTTGATCGTCGATATTATTTTGGCCATCTTTGCAATGACATAATCCTGGGACGGTCGCTCCCTTGCAGTTCACCGTCAATCAGGACGAAACGATACCGAACCGCACACGGCAGAAAGCCAAAGGCAACTGACTTGTCCGACAACAGAAATCGCTGGGCTTTCATTAGATGTTTAAACGCTTTTTAAGAAATTAAGGACACCGCAGCGACTGGCGCGTAATTGGTGAATGGCCACGACCCCCACAACCAATGTCCTGCGTCGAAAATGAGTGTGTGCTGGCCAAATCATCTTCGTTTTTTCCAGGAGCGAAGTGTCTTTTTTCACAAAGTTCTTCCAGGAATATAAAACTGATATTAATTCATAATTCTTTCTTTCTTAGCTTAACGTCTAATTATATACATATGTATATTTTTTTAAATAAAATTAAATCTAGAATTCGCAAATTCTAAGAAGTTTGATAAGAACTATCTAAAAGGTCCTTCGACTAAAAAATGTTTAATTTCAAAACCCTATATATACTAACTTTAAAATTTGTAAAACAGTTAGTAAATTCGCTCCTGGAAATGACATCCCAACCGCAATCGAACCCATGCGTGTTATACTTATGTGTATCCTGAAATCGCACGACCGTTAAATGCTTCAGCTGACCAAACGATGGCAACGGTCAGCGGACAGGAAAATCCGCGAGCTCTGGGTCTGGCCCCAAATGCAATGCAAACAAATCGCGGGAGTGAAAGACGCCGAGCCTTGGCCATCAAAACTGTGGTAATGTAGCTGCATGGAAAGTTATAGTCATCGTTAAACCACCCCCTATCATAGAGCCGATGTTTACGTTTAGTGTTCGCCAAGTTGGGTCAATGTTTTTGGCGCACGTGAAGTCTGTGAAGATAATGGTCTGTGGCAGAGGGATAATGGTCGTGCCCTGACGGCCAAGAGCCATGCCACCAGACAACCTGTTGATTAACAAGAAAGCAAAGCTAACTTCGGGCGGAGCCGAAGTTGATATACCCTTGCAGTTAAAACCGGATATATATCGCAAACATCGGATATAGTTGGCCGATCCTTATGGGAATAGGAATATATATTCCAATTTATTACAATACAAAATCTAAAAAAAGTCCCAAACTTCTATCTTCAAAAATACGAAAGTTGATATTTCTACCAAATACCATTTCCGATCGTTCAGGTTTATGGCAGCTATAGGATATAGTCGGCCGATCCTAATGAAATTTAGTAGGTCGGATCAACTGACCAAATATATAATCTGTACCAAGTTCCAGCTTTCTATCTTCAAAAACACGAAAGTTGGGTCATTTCCGATCAATCAGTTATATGGCAGCTATAGGATATAGTCGGCCGATCCTTATGAAATTTGGCATGTCGTAATGTTTTTCCAAAAAATGCTCTCATGTCAAATTTGAACTCTCTAACTTTAAAAACGTCAAAGTTATACTATTTCCGATCAATCAGTTATATGGCAGCTATAGGATATAGTCGGCCGATCCGGGCCGTTCCGACTTATATACTGCGTGCAAAAGAAGGAAGGGTGTGTGCAAAGTTTCAAGACGATAGCTTTAAAACTGAGAGACTAGTTCGCGTAGAAACAGACAGACGGACAGACGGACAGACGGACAGACGGACAGACGGACAGACGGACATGCTCATATCAACTCAGGAGGTGATCCTGATCAAGAATATATATACTTTATAGGGTCTGAGATGTCTCCTTCACTGCGTTGCACACTTTTGACCAAAATTATAATACCCTCTGCAAGGGTATAAAAATTAGAAGCAACTAGAAAAATTAAGACCCTGAATACTGACGGTATAATGGTTAAACAAGAAAGGAAAGCTAACTTCGGGCGGAGCCGAAGTTTATATACCCTTGCAGTTAAAACCGGATATATATCGCAAACATCGGATATAGTTGGCCGATCCTTATGAAAATATGAAAATATAACCCAATTTAATATAATACAAAAACCAAACCTAACAAGAAAGCAAAGCTAACTTCGGGCGTAGCCGAAGTTTATATACCCTTGCAGCTAAAACCGGATATATATCGCAAACATCGGATATAGTTGGCCGATCCTTAATTCCTCCTGAAATTTGGTAGGTTGGATCAACTGACCAAAAATATAATCTGTACCAAGTTCCAGCTTTCTATCTTCAAAAACACAAAAGTTGGGTCATTTCCGATCGTTCAGTTATATGGCAGCTATAGGATATAGTCGGCCGATCCTAATGAAATTTGGTAGGTTGGATCAACTGACCAAAAATAGAATCTCTACTAAATTCCAGCTTTCTATCTTCAAAAACACGAAAGTTAAGTTATTTCCGATCGTTCAGTTATATGGCAGCTATAGGATATAGTCGGCCGATCCTTATGAAATTTGGCATGTCGTATTATTTTGCCAAAAATAGCGCTCGTGTAAAATTTGAACTCTCTAACTCTAAAAACACCGAAGTTATACCATTTCCGATCAATCAGTTATATGGCAGCTATAGGATATAGTCGGCCGATCTGGGCCGTTCCGACTTATATACTGCGTGCAAAGGAAAGAAGGGTGTGTGCAAAGTTTCAAGTCGATAGCTTTAAAACTGAGAGACTAGTTCGCGTAGAAACAGACAGACAGACGGACAGACGGACAGACGGACATGGTCATATCAACTCAGGAGGTGATCCTGATCAAGAATATATATACTTTATAGGGTCGGAGATGTCTCCTTCACTGCGTTGCACACTTTTGACCAAAATTAGAATACCCTCTGCAAGGGTATAAAAATACGAAAGTTGATATTTCTACCAAATACCATTTCCGATCGTTCAGTTATATGGCAGCTATAGGATATAGTCGGCCGATCCTAATGAAATTTGGTAGGTTGGATCAACTGACCAAAAATAGAATCTCTACTAAATTCCAGCTTTCTATCTTCAAAAACACGAAAGTTAAGTTATTTCCGATCGTTCAGTTATATGGCAGCTATAGGATATAGTCGGCCGATCCTTATGAAATTTGGCATGTCGTATTATTTTGCCAAAAATAGCGCTCGTGTAAAATTTGAACTCTCTAACTCTAAAAACACCGAAGTTATACCATTTCCGATCAATCAGTTATATGGCAGCTATAGGATATAGTCGGCCGATCTGGGCCGTTCCGACTTATATACTGCGTGCAAAGGAAAGAAGGGTGTGTGCAAAGTTTCAAGTCGATAGCTTTAAAACTGAGAGACTAGTTCGCGTAGAAACAGACAGACAGACGGACAGACGGACAGACGGACATGGTCATATCAACTCAGGAGGTGATCCTGATCAAGAATATATATACTTTATAGGGTCGGAGATGTCTCCTTCACTGCGTTGCACACTTTTGACCCAAATTAGAATACCCTCTGCAAGGGTATAAAAATACGAAAGTTGATATTTCTACCAAATACCATTTCCGATCGTTCAGTTATATGGCAGCTATAGGATATAGTCGGCCGATCCTAATGAAATTTGGTAGGTCGGATCAACTGACCAAATATATAATCTGTACCAAGTTCCAGCTTTCTATCTTCAAAAACACGAAAGTTGGGTCATTTCCGATCAATCAGTTATATGGCAGCTATAGAATATAGTCGGCCGATCCTTATGAAATTTGGCATGTCGTAATGTTTTGCCAAAAATAGCTCTCATGTCAAATTTGAACTCTCTAACTCTAAAAACACCAAAGTTATACCATTTCCGATCAATCAGTTATATGGCAGCTATAGGATATAGTCGGCCGATCCGGACCGTTCCGACTTATATACTGCGTGCAAAGGATAGAAGGGTGTGTGCAAAGTTTCAAGACGATAGCTTTAAAACTGAGAGACTAGTTTGCGTAGAAACAGACAGACGGACAGACAGACGGACAGACAGACGGACAGACAGACGGACAGACGGACAGACGGACATGCTCATATCAACTCAGGAGGTGATCCTGATCAAGAATATATATACTTTATAGGGTCTGAGATGTCTCCTTCACTGCGTTGCACACTTTTGACCAAAATTAGAATACCCTCTGCAAGGGTATAAAAATACGAAAGTTGATATTTCTACCAAATACCATTTCCGATCGTTCAGTTATATGGCAGCTATAGGATATAGTCAGCCGATCCTTATAAAATTTAGTAGGTTGGATCAACTGACCAAAAATAGAATCTGTACTAAATTCCACCTTTCTATCTTCAAAAACACGAAAGTTGGGTCATTTCCGATCGTTCAGTTATATGGCAGCTATAGGATATAGTCGGCCGATCCTTATGAAATTTGGCATGTCGTAATGTTTTGCCAAAAAATGCTCTCATGTCAAATTTGAACTCTCTAACTTTAAAAACGTCAAAGTTATACTATTTCCGATCAATCAGTTATATGGCAGCTATAGGATATAGTCGGCCGATCCGGGCCGTTCCGACTTATATACTGCGTGCAAAAGAAAGAAGGGTGTGTGCAAAGTTTCAAGACGATAGCTTTAAAACTGAGAGACTAGTTCGCGTAGAACGGACAGACGGACAGACGGACATGCTCATATCAACTCAGGAAGTGATCCTGATCAAGAATATATATACTTTATGGGGTCGGAGATGTCTCCTTCACTGCGTTGCACACTTTTGGACAAAATTATAATACCCTCTGCAAGGGTATAAATATGGGGATTGAGAACTGATACATGTACACATCATTGAGGTATTCCAATCAAGAATCTAATGCATATTGCCAAAGATATAGCCTTTAGTTACAACCATATCAAAATGCAGTAGAGCAGATTCTAATCTACAAATAAGGCTTAAGGTATTTCGATCAAGAATTCACTGAACTTAAGGAGATACATATCTTAAGAATTATGCATATTTCCCATGCAGTTATTAATACATTTACTTAACCGACCAGCAGATTTTTATTAAAATTCCGAGGAATTTAATGGCTAATGAAAAATTCCAATGGCTTTGAAAAATTTGTAGTTTTGAGTGCTATGTTTATTGCTTTACAAAACAGATTATAATTCCATGCTTATCCCCGACGTCTCAAATTGCGATAATTGCGATTGCGAACCAGGACCACTCGCCTGCCCGACCGATTCCTCGCCCTGGACCTCGACCTGGTGGACGAGGTGGAACTAGAGCTTCCATTTTTGTTTACCTTAATCCTTCTCTTTATCGTGTAATGGAGATTTGAAATGGTAAAATGTTTTCTGTGCTTTTTCGTGGATTTGGTGGTTGTGGTGGTGGTGGCATCTGTAGTAGTTGTTGTTGTAGTACTTGAAGTGGTAGTCGATGTTGTTGATGTGGAGGATGTGGAAGAGGACGTGGTAGCTGCATTGGTTAGCCAAATGCAGAGGCAAATCGCCAGGAGTCCCAGTGTGAGTTGTCCTGCCCTCATGTTGTTCTCGTCGACGCCGCTGTGATGCTGGGCCTCTTGGGGAGTTGGGGAGTTTTATATCTGGCCAAGACAATCGGGGGATTTGCTAGACAAACATTGCTTTATGGTTTCAGCATCTACGTATGTGCAAAAATTTGGCCATATTTGCAGAGTCTGGTAGGGAAAATAATAATATTCAGCTGGAATTTCGCTTTAGATCATAATACTTATTTATATACTAAGCTTTCTCTTTCGATCTTAGTTCTAAAATTAATACATAGAAACCCACACACGTTTTAAAAATACATTGCGTTCATGAGAATATTATGAATGTTCGCTTAAATATTATTTTGCATATTTGCAGAGTCTGTTAAGAAAATAAAGGAATCAAATGGAATACCTAACATCAGACACATGCCATTAAATGTATATATAAGTATTTAATACTGGGTTTTATTTTTACGGCCCTCGTTGGTAAATTAATCAAAAGATACACTCAAAAAACTTGGTAATAATATGATGAATAGGAAGTAGTTTATGATTTATTAATGATGCAAGCTTAGTCGTATCAAAATATAGTTTAGCAGTTAGTTGAGCGAATGAACATTTTCTCTATGTGCATTAGAACTTTGGGAACAGCTCCCAGCCGGCACCTCCTGGACAAATATCCCTAGAACCGTATAAGGATTCGGTTCCTGCCTGGCTGCATGTTGGCACATAAAACACTGCATAATCAAATATTTGCTTGGCTCCAACTCGACTCCAACACGATTCCGCTGCTTATTTGCCTGGGCGGAAGGACCATTTGAGGACTGCCGGTGACATATATTGGTCCTGCGGCCGACATCGAGACTGACGCTATTGGGTTGCGTGGTTGAGCGGTCTCCCGCTGCGGCTTACCTAAGTGGACCGACCCCGAGGTCCTATATAAGTGGCAGATTATCCCGAATATCGTTCATTCGCAAGTCCCCTACTGCAGGTGTCCTGTGCTCCGTTGCGATTCCTTCGAAAGACTTCTGCTCGTCTTTGCTCTGCAAGCAAATGGCTCGCTGCACCTTCACCCTGGTCCTTCTCCTGTTGGCCATTTGCACCCGTTGCGGTCTGGCCCTGGCTTTGCCGGATGAGGAGCGTTATGTGCGCAAGGAATACAACCGGGATCTACTGGACTGGTTCAACAATGTGGGTCAGTTCACCCCCGGACAGGTGGCAACTCTCTGTCGGTATCCTTTAATCCTGGAGAACTCCCTAAACGGACCCATGCCCATCAGGAAACGCAATTCCGAACTCATCAATTCGCTGTTGAGTTTGCCCAAGAATATGAACGATGCCGGAAAGTAGGGATAATGGCACTGGAGTACGACTGCATTGGTGTGACCCACTTTGGAACCTTGGAACCTGGATATGGAATTTATTATTTTACGTTATAATTATTTCGTGAGAAAGAAAATTGAAAATCCGCAGGAATGAGTTGGAATAGTCTTGTAAATGAGAGTAAAGACCGCATATACATTTGTTGCTTTGAAAGTTCTATAGAAAAATATACGAATCGCTAGTTTAATTAAATCAGATTAATGGGAGAATCTTTTTTTTTACAAAAGAATATCGTAAAGTAGGTATCCCAAAGCACAAAAGTTCGGCCACTTTTATATATCTGTTGAACAGCCCCCGGAATAAACCAATTTAATACATTTTATTTTTGTATATCCCTTTTATTTGACTCTGTTTTTAACCACTCTTTTTGACTTTAATCCTTCGAACAACTTTGTAGTGCACATTCTTGAGGGTTATGCGCTTCCTGTGCACAGTGCTTGGTGCGGCAGTCGTGGTCGTGGTTGTGGTGGTGGTAGTCGTGGTGTTTGAGGTGTCAGTTGAGTTTTGAGCCGATGCCGACGGAAGAGCCAGGAATCCAGCGAAAAGGACCACGGCCAATAAATAGATCGTTAGCTTCATTGTGGGTCTGTGAAACAAAAGCGACTGTATTTTTCCAGACTGTCAGATGCCTTTTTATAGTCCAAAGCACCCTGAACTTGATAGCAAAACAAAACCATACATCAAAAGTAAATAAAAGATGAACAATGGAAATCCGCAATTCTAATTTTGCAAAGCAGATTTGCGGTTCTTTTTTAAACGCACATATTTACTCTATCGTATAGTGTTTACCATCCAAAAAAAAACAGTTGTAGGCACGTTAATATGACGGCAATATATATTTTCCTTATAAGATATACAACTATGTTAATCAACGTTGCTGATTTATCGTAAAATCGAACAATTCTTCACTTGTTTATGTGTAAGTTCATTTGGCGCTGTTTGATATAATCGGTAAGAGTCTGGTGTAGAAAACGTTATGCGTATGTTTTGTCTGATTAAGCTATATTATCGTATGTACTCATACATATGCGATGCCATTGAAAATGAAACGTTTTACATGCGAATTATTAGTAATTACTACAATCAAGGTGTATACAATATTTAATCAATTATAAAACAATCAATTCTCGCTGGCCTTTTCGGGGCTGATAAGTAGAACAATGGTAACATATGCGAATGTGGGTATATGTTGATGCATGCTTCGGCTCAAAATGCAGTTTCGGTAGCTTTTCACTTACAAGACTAAGCATAAATACTAACTAACGCTGGCCATTACCCTGCCTTGGCTAATCATTAACGGTTAATCTATCATATCTATATCGTATGTGGCTGCAGCAGAGGCGGACTCCCAGCACGCCCGTGACTAAGTCGCATGCCCAAAGCCAAGCTGCAAGAAAGAACAAAGAATTTGAGTTATTTTTGCGAAGAAAACGGTTATTTGGATCTACTCACATATATTATTAAAGGTTATAAAGCTTTAGCTGATTCCACAGCTGGGTATTTAGTTAATCTTCTTTTTTTTTAACTTTTTTTTGGAAACACACACAATGGCGCTGACTTTTGCTTGATTGCTGAATTGCTAAAACGGACCCCTCCTTCATTCTACTAACTTCCTTCCTCCTCTTGATGCGACTGTGGCTGGTTGATCATCTCACATGAAGAACTCGTTGGCGGAATGAGAAAGCGGGAGTCACGTTCGCCCCGGACGATCGAATATTGTAATCTCTATAACGCGCAGGCCTCGGAAAGTGGGATCAATCAATTGCAGGCCCTTGGGATTGTAAATGCGTTCGTTTTGGGAAGCCACGAATTTCGATATCTTACGAAGGGTCTAAGGAAAAAACTCCGTTAATTTAATTAGCTTCTATGATATTAATTGGGGATGACGCACCTTTTCATAGTGCGTTTCGGAGCACATGTAGATCAAGTATGCCGTAATGCAGCCAATACAGCCCTCGCAGTAGGTGCCGCAGGATCCCTCCTCGGCTTCAGCATAAAATTCATTCAGCCTGTTGATAGTGCTTTCGAAGACATGTCGCTCAATCTGTGATACAAATCAAACAATGGGTAAAGCTGATTACGCTGAAAGGCAAAGTTCAGATACATACCATACCCTCCAGTTCTGTGGGAAGCCGCGTGTGAAACTTAACCGAAGTGCCCTCGCTATAGTCGCGCTGGATGAAGACCTTGCTGAAGACCACGCCCCCGCCAGCGCCCTGGAGCGCTGTGGGATTACCGCCCGCTGGTGTACCTCCACCGCCGCCCTGGGACATGGTTTCTCTGAAAAATCGAATTGCCGCATAAATGGCCTCGCTCTGCAGAGCACGATGCAATTGGTTGAGGGCAATCATCTTGACACAGGAGTTGAGTGTTCTCCCAACCTCCCAAATGGGCAGCTGGCCTTGCCTTTTCCAGCAGCTCAGGGTTTCACCTGAGATTTCAGGGTTGCGACCCTTTGGCTTTGCCTACTTTGTTACTTACGTGATTAGCTTGAGTTCGGTGATCCTTGAAAGGCACAAAATTGGCTGCAGTTGCTCCCAGATGGCTTTAAATTAATATAAAAGACAAAATGTTTGCAATCTTAATCTTCAGGTTTTCACCAGTGTGACCGCGCCAGAATCTAAAGAAATACAGCAAAAAAAATGCAGTAGTACTAAGGAACAATACAAAAGAAACCGTTATAAAAATATTATATTTATATTTAATAATGCATTTTTATTTAATAGGATTAAATAAAAAATTATAAAAAGGATAAACTAATTTAAATAGAGGCAGGACAATATTGGGATGGAGTGTAGAAATACTGGTATTTATTATTCTACATACTAATCTTACAGAGTTGCCATACAGTTAAAAAAAAGTTGCTAAATACGTTACTTTTTATTGAATTAAGATCATTTCAAAAATAATAGACTATTTTAGAAGTTAGCAACATTGCATGAATTATTTACGTATATTTTACGAAATAGTTCACGTATGTGTGTATGTCTTACTGACGCCGGCGCGTTGAGATTTGAAAACAATTTACCAACGCAGTGGAGTTGGAAATATTTGCACAGCTTGGCCTGAGAATGCTTCTTTATACGTGTATTTGTTTAGTAACTTTTTCTCTATTAACTCCCTGCTGACGGTCTTATCGCAGTGTTAATCCAAAGCTCAACCATGAAGGCTGCTTTAGATCTCAGCCCTCGGTGGTGGCTTCTATTCCTCCTAAACTTCCTTGTCTGGGCAGGATTCGATTCGGGTCAAGCGGTTCCTATTGTCGGTGGCAGGATTGTATCAACCGTGGGCAGTATCTGATTGATTTTGATCTCCTCGACTTTTAATTGAAATCAACTTAACTCTACTTACAGGTAGCATAAGCAAATACCCGTTTATGGTCTCTCTGCAGGATATCCTTTGGAGAAATGCGACTGAAGGACTGTCTTACCGGCACTTTTGTGGTGGCAGCTTGATTAGCGATCGCTGGATACTGTCCGCCGCTCATTGCATCTGGAAGAAGTAAGTCTGGAGCTTTTAGAGGATTATCTAATATCTGTCTAATACTGCTTTCTTTCTATTTTTAGAAATATTCACAATATCGCTGCGTTTATTGGCTATGAGAACATTGAAAACATTTCTCAGCTCGAACCATATGGTCTGGAAAGCGCGGAGTATATTTACTTCCAGCCGTGAGTAATCAGTTGAGTCAAGTTTAATAATCCCTCCTCCAATCAGAGAGTAAATTAGGGGCAGAAAAGTTGGCTCCAATAGAGTTCAATGACAAAAAAATAATTCTTATTTTATGAAAACCTTTAAACTTAACTTTTCAGTTCAAACTTCCGGAATGATATAGTCTTGCTTTACATGAGACAACGGTATAGGAGTGCCTTAAGCCCTGATCTTCAATTTGCTCAGCTGCCACCCCAAGGCATGAAACCAGATCGAAATGGTATTTCCATAAAGTAAAAGACCTTAAACACTATATTACAAATAAAACTTTTTAGAATCCTGTCGAATCATTGGCTATGGAGCCACCCAACACGCTGGTCCTTCGCAGAAGAATCTTTTTGAAGCTGAAGTTCAGGTTATTACCAATCAAAAATGTAGACAGATCATTGGCCATGTTTGGGCCCCGCAGAATGGAGCGAATACAGTGTGTGCTTTAGGCAACAACCAGGATTCTTGCCAAGGCGATTCAGGGTGAGTCAGTGACTATAAAAACATAATCACCCTTTAAAAAATTTGAATTTCAGAGGACCCTTGATTTGTCCTTATGGCGGCCAAGACTATATCTACGGCCTTGTTTCTCATGGACTTACTTGTGGTATTCAGGGTATGCCCAGCATTTACACGGTTACCCGGCCATACTACGATTGGGTACAACTGCTTTTGCAATCCTAGATCTCTGGGGATCACGTATACGTAGTTGAATTTATTATACGTTATCAAACAAAAAACAGTTACGAATATATATATACTTAAACAATGCAGGAATAGCAAGGACTAAAACAATGCTTAGGCTAGAGTACTGAAGGTTATCCTATGTCTAGAGAAGATTTATTTTAGGCTAGACTTACTATATAAAACATTTTCCCAGTCGGAAATCCAATTGAGAAAACATCACTTAACCTACAATGCGAGACAGTCTGCTGTGATCACTGCTTCTCCGGCTGCTCAGTGGTTTTGGGGGCCGCCCCAGTGTCCTCGACATTGTCGGACAACTTGCCCGTCCCGGTCTCCGGCAGCGTGAGGGTCAGCAGGCCAGCTACTAGAACGCAGCAGCCGCAGATCGTTGTTGGAATGTACCATCCGAGGGCGCCCAGAACATCGACCACATACGGCGCCGATATGGAGCCCACGTGGGCGAATGTGGAGCAGGTGCCCAGCGCAGAGTTACGTATCTGGGTGGGATAGAGCTCTGCGGTGTAGAGGGTGACCACCGAGTAGGTGGCACTAATGCCGAAGCGACCCAGCATGGCGAAGGCCACGATCCATGTGGTGCTGCCAGCGGGAACGGAGAGCACCAAAAGCAGGGACACACCAGTCCACAGAAACAGGAACATGGTGGTAATGCGACGTCCTGTATAACGAAGCATAATCACAGGCACCAGGTAAGAGGGTATGTCCACCAGACCCGTAGCTATGATGTACAGATATCTAGAGACGTTTAGATTGGCGGCATTCAGAGCTGTAAGATAAAATCATTTATAAATCAAATGATTCATAAAAACTAAAAAGGTTTTCATACCCGTCACATAATAACTCAACGAAGTCACACAGAACATGAAGTACGACGTGAAGATCAGTTTTCTGACATTAGGATTCGCATACAACTCAATTATAGACTTCAGAGGACCATTCTTGAGTTTGTCGACCAGCGAGAAGCTTACTTCTGGCTCCAACTGCAATGGTAAAATATATTATACAAATTCAGCGCGGCAACTAGACATCAAAGAATATATATGTATGCATTCGAAGAACTTTGCACTCACCGACTTCTTATCGGTGACGACGGGAGCGGAGGCTGCAATGGCGGGTTTAATTTCGTAGTGGCTTGGCTGTCTGAAGAGGATCTTGTAGACGCGATCGTATCTTTGGTTGGTGATCAGCCATCGGGGTGATTCATTCATCAAGCTGCAGAGAAATTTTTTATTTTAACTTTGAAATTGTAATGATATTATTTCACAACTCACTAGCAATTCAGAATGAGAAGCAGGGAAGGAATGGTCAAGGCTAGTTGCAGATGTCGCCATGGTTGGATAAGATAGCCCATAATTGCCAGGATAATCATGCCAACGGGGTAGGAGGCAGAAAAAGCTATAGACATCCATGACCGATGCTTCAGACATATGTTTTCCACGACTATGATTGAGAAATTATTATAGTTTTTTGAATGAAAAGCAAACTAGTTTGGGAACTTACTCATGGTAAATGCAGGATAGAAAAGTCCAGAAGAGGCTGCTCCCAAAGCAAAACGTCCAGCCAGGAAAAGACTATACCAAGGCGAGAATGTGCAGAAGAAACTGCCTACAACGAAGAAAACTGCACCAAAGGTAAATGAAGTTTTACGGCCAAATCTGCGAAGAAAAATTAAATCTATAACGTAACTCTTCTCAGAGTTATTCTTCAATAAACTCACTTATCCGCTAGGATGCCAAACGAGAAGGAGCCGGAGAACTTGCCCAAAGATATCGAAACCTGGGCAGAAGTTCGCTGAATGCTCCTCTCACAGGTGAGGTCCCAGTCGGAAACGAACGTGGTCTCTGGATTGGCGTATTCATATTGGCCCTTGACCTTGCAGGAAACCTCGGCTGGCTTGCCGAATTCCGACAGATGGAGGGTATAGTTCATAGCAGCCTCGTAGGACATCTGGGCCAGCTGCTGATAATTCCAGTCCCATACTGTACATCCTCCCGAATCCAGGCCCTTGGATGAGATTTCTCGTTTCTGAGCCAAGGTCCAAGTGGTGGACTGAAGATCGGGAATATCGCACCACTGATCGTCGGGCAGGTGACCCAGCAGTGTGTACGAGGACACGTGGAATCCGTTGAGAATGTTGGGGGTCACACACAGGAAGAAAATGGCCCTAGAAACAGATAACAGATACGTTTTAGATTATTGAAAGGCCCTTTAAGGTAATATAACTTGCTGCTAATTGGGTTTTTGTTTTCGCAGATACTTTGCTACAGTATCTGTCATATCGCGGATCTCGTATCCGGCGGATTGTTTACAGCACGTAACTCCAATCGTTCGCACATTGACACCGCTTGACTAACTGCTTTGTGGAATGCAAATAATAACACCGATCAAAACATTGGCGTAAAAACAAAACACCGAATGTGCGAAGGTTGCGGGGCGACACTTTCGGGGAGAGTTATGTATGCTGCTCGCATAATCACTAAATGGCAGTTAAAGATTCGCCAGAGCATATGGCGTCGTTAATCATTAAACAAATCGGGCAACCGGAACGCAATGCGCAATATTTACATATCCGATTTATTTTCACGTGACTCCCCCACCCACCAAACACGTACAACAGTTCCGCGAAGATAATCGAAATTCAAAAGGTAATGAGGGAAGGTATACAGCACATGTGTGCTAAAATTTCGAGGACTCCCAACAGTGACTCAATAACCCAGTTGAATGACTTTTAGTGCAATTGTCCTCTATTCTAAAAAGTAGGTTCTTATCGTTAATAGTGCTTTCCGTAACATCTATTGCTCGATTCCATCTGAATCGGGGTTTCGAAACCGGACTATAGATTCACGATCCGCTAACACTCGATCGCCAGATTCCGATTCACAAGTGCCTTATCAAAAGCGATTGGGTATGGAAATTTATACGGACTTCTGTGGGCACTGATATGCCCAGATTTCCATTCTATATTTAAATCGGATTCCGAGTGATCGCTCACGCTCTGACCATTGCCCTCCGATCGGAGACGCCAGTTGGGTGATTCTACTACCCAGTGGGTCTAAAATTTATTACAGGAAGCAGCACGTACCCTAAACCCTTCCACAAGTCAGAGTGACTACATTAACTAAAATGAATACTAAACTGATAATTAGTTGAACTTTAATGTTAGCTTCGTGGCTTGGAGGAGACTCGGAAAAATCACGAGCCCCACTTTACAGCACCCAGGCTATCGATCAGGCGCGAAAGCAATTAGAACGGTTCTAACTGAATCACGGCTAGAAAAGTGCACCACCCTGACTAATGTCAGCTGATTCTAAAAACTCAACCTTTAAAAGCGCAATATGCATTCAAAATGAAGTGGGTCAAGTGGAACACGATTCTCGTTGACCGAGCTAAAAAGTTGCTTCCTCTACTTGTAGCCAAATTGTGGTAGAAATGTGATACCGTCAATTCCCAATGACCAAATTGGCTAGACAGCTCATCAGAACCTCAATGAAATCTTCTCGGGCCAGTTAAGTGGCTTTAATAATATTTGGGGTACAATTTGTGGAGCAAACCTAATAGAAATACCTTTTTATTACTTTTATGATACGATACCCATCATACATATTAATAAAATTAAAACAAAAAAAGTTCCAAGTAAAGCTAACCCCTTCTTCTTAAAAAATGTGACAGATGTTTCAAGATGTTTCAGATAAATTATTCTATACAAAAATTATCAACATTAAAAGTAAACTACTTCAGATAACTGCCCATATTTGTTATAAAAAATCATTACAGATAACATTTTCACAATTTCATGTTAAATTATATTAAATTAAGATGCTTTTTTAATACTTATATAAAAACAATCTATATAGGTACGTAAATTATATAGTCCTTTTTTTGTTATTTAATATTCATCCTCATCCAGCTTACCAAACAAATGCACCACCACTGCCCACAACTTCCAGCTGCTTGGTGAGCAGATCCTTCATGTTCTCCTCGCTGATGAGCTCGCGGCTCTTCTCCGGATTGTCCTTCGACTTGGTCATTTTGAAAAATGCAATATCACAGATACTTTCGGGTATTTGGCCAAAAGATCGTTCTTTTTCTCTGAGACAGACGAGCGACCCCACGCAAACGCAAACGCACTCGTATCTTGTAGATTGTTTTTCGGCACTGAACTTGGATTCCTTTGCTTTTGATTTTGTAGTCTATTTATATTGCTCGCCAAAAAAAACAACTTTTTTGGATTTGTATTTAGATCAGGCTTAGGTTATTAAATGAATTCTATGAGTGCATTCACTCCGCAAAGGTTCCGACACTACAGGGGGAAAGATAAGGCCAGGCGCCTAGGTTTTTACTTTCACTTAGCCCAGTGCCGATCGACTGTAGCCTGTAATATTTTCAATTTATTTATTTATAATTTCTTTTTTCGGCCTCTTTGCCTCTTTGCCTGTTGGCTGTTTTCTGTTGGGTTTGGGGTATTTATCTATTGTTCTATTTTACGGACTGGCTGTTTATGTTTTGTCAATTGTTAATGCAGCACATGGGAGCTCTTCGGTTTGAAATGCCGCGCCACACGTTTTATTTTCCTTTATTTTGTTGGGTTGTTGTTTTCGAGACAAAAATTGTTCTCAAGTCGAAACAAACATGAAAATGAAATGAAATATTTTTGGGGGGACTCTCCCTTGCGTCGTGGTTCTTTTTTTATTTTGAATATTTATACTTTTATTCTGTTTTTTGGTGCAACGCGTGCAGTTGTGTTTTTTGTTGCGATCCGCCGATGTTGCTATCAACTACTTGCCGCTTCGGAAGCGTCTCACAAACTAAGCCCACGGGAGGCCGATCGCAGCGTTTTGTACGTCTCACCAGCGTTCCGGGGAGGGGACGGGGAAGGGGAAGGGCCGGGCCAGAGGCAGAGGCGTGGAGCTTGGGGGTTGGAGGTACTAACATAGCACTCGGTCAGTGCCTCAGCCCCATCGCCCGCGATATTCCCCTCGGCGATCGGCATCGTTCGGCTCCTCCCGATCCATTTACTCGAATATATTTATGTTGTCTTTTATTTTTTGTTGGATGTGAGTGCAAGCATTAACAAAATATTTAAAAAAAATAAATAAAAATTAAATACAGTCATAGAACGCTCTAAGAGAGATTCTTTGCGAATGTCAAAAAAAAGCGAACACTCTAGTTTGACGAGCGAGCATACTTGAACTAAATGGATCATTTGAATACGGAACAATTACCGAATAAATGTGCGATTTGGGTTATTATCAGCAAAGCGATTCTGGTTAAAATTTCAGATAGTTAATTTCAGATTGTTAGCTTCCTGTTTGGGACTAACAGAAATTATTTATTAAGTTATTTTTGCTATTCTGGCTTAATAGTTTATTGCTTCACCTACAATTATGTATATTTTATTGTATTAGGCACATTTATATTTATCTGGAAAATTCTTTAAAAATCTTTCATATTTTCCAAGTAATTTATTTTCCTGATATAAATAAACATGCTAATTTTTTTACGTTTTTTATTGAAATGCATTAATACCCTAAGATGTGCGCATTAGACATTGCAGAGTATATAGTAAATATTTTTAGGCTTCTCGCTCGGTCGCCTCCTTATTATAAATGCGTCAAACAGCAAGAACACATTTCAATGAGTACTCGAACATATGGCTATGCCCATTTCCAACTCAATCCCTTCCATTACACTCGCCAGTGTCTGTCTGAGAATATCCGAACCTTTTGATTTACATTGGCGGGCCATTAAATTCGGTTGTCTCTGAATTTCATTACAACGTTCCCCCTTGGCTAGCTGATATCCGAGTATTGTTTACATTTTTGTTCTGTTCAAGTCTGTTGAAAAAATTAAGAGAGAACATTTTCTGAATGGGAATTTCGCATAGACAGTATATTGAAAAATCTGCTGCCTCATAATTTTCGCTTCTCTCTTCGGCCACCACTTGTTTATGAATGAATCTAGGAATAGGGTTTAGAATCTGAGCAGATTGAAACAAACTTGAACTAGAAATCTGCCTGAACAGAACCAGATTTCTACGCAGTGACCTTACCTGCTGATCCAATTAAGGTTAACCTCCCTTATCAGCGAAACATCGAGAGTCCTCAACTCTGGCTAAGACCAATTGAACTCAATGAATCAATCGACGTCAATAGGCGCAATCCGAGAGATATCGTAACCAGTAACCCTGCGGTGAAAAATAGAGATTGACATTGAAGGGTGGGTGGGGCGATGGCTGGGAATTCAATTCCCCATATTCCAATTATGATATTCTTTTTTTAGCCTATTCTAATTTCAATTAATTCCGTATTCAGTTCCCAGGCATGCAATCTTCCTGTCTCTGTAGAATGCGCATTCTATTCCGTCTATTAAACCCGCATCTGTGAAATTCTCCGTACTAACGGTTTTTGTATAGACTTTAAGCGTAATTAGGCCTGTATGCTGTTAACCTGACTCGCATGTTGTGATGCACATGGGCGTGACTTTCCATTGACAATCCGACTGTCGTTGAAATGGGTTGGGTTCCTGGCTTTTATTTTCCGTTTCTTGCCATTGTTTCGAAAACGCACGTGAAGCTATTAATGGGTATATATTACATTTAGATTATCTTTTCTAAGCGCTTTCACTTTCCACCCACAACGTCAATCAATTGGACGCCCCAACAAGCACCAATCTAATAATAAAATTCATTTGCATAATTGTTTAAAGTACTTCTATGAAGAAAGAAAGATTTAAGTCGGCTTTTTTAAACATTTTATAAAAGTATCTTGCTCCACAGACTATGGAAACCTTTGAACGATAATTCATTTTTACAAAGACAGCTCAATTTAAGTGTCCCATTTGGCGTTGGCGAACCTTAAGTGAATGATTGCCCACGAAATTAACTGAGAATTGTGCATAAATTCGTAAGTATTCTAGGCGTTGCTAAACTCAGAAAATTCAATGAGCATTCGACCTCAGCCCAGACTAAGCCTGCCACTAGTACTAATCCTCAGACAAGGTCACCATGTCGATTCTGTGCATAAAAACCAACACTTTAATTTCAAAAGATACACAATCGGGGGGTGTCCTTAGGGGAAGGTACTTAAGTAGCTCGTGAGTAGCCAAAGTTTAGTAGCCAGATGAGTCCGAGTACAAAACAGCTGTAGAAGGTGACGTTGTAGAGATTCAGGCGACTGAAAAGACCCGTAAGTCTTCCAGCGGACTCTCTTTCACTGGACCCCTTTTCTCGATCGTCGAGCATGTCCTTCCAGCTTACCACCTGCGGCCGCACCACAAAAAGTGCGTTTACAGCCGCCCGGACACCACTCTGCACCGCTCCGCCCATTAGACTGCGATAGCTGGTGCCGACCGCCGAGGAACTGGACCAGATGATGCGGTGCCAGGGCTTGATTTGCGGCTTATGCAACGCCTCATTCAACTCTTCCGCGAAGCAGTGGCACTCCAACGGCCTGCGCATCTCCTCCCCAAATTCCTTGGCCAGCAGATCGATCACCGTCTCCAGGGCTTCATCCTGCTCTTCGGGAGAGTGCAGCATGTAGCCACAGAGGGTGGACATCTGACTTTCGTGGCCGCTGACCATGGGATCCGAGTTGAGGAAGTTGCCCGAGTACCCCCGATCCGCCCAAAAGGACTTCCCATAGCCCAAATGAAATTGGCTTATCACTCGATGGGGTTTTTTTCGTCCTTTCGAGGCAGGAGGCGGCTGAAACGCCTTCGGTATAGGCGGCACAAACTCTAACTTCTGCACTTTGTTCCAGGGTATGGCCAGGATTACAGCCTCCGCTGTAAACTTGTATCCCTCGTCGTCCGTCACCTGGACATAGTTCTTAAAGTGCTCAAGCTTCACTGCCTTGCAGTTCAAAGTAATTCCAGTAAAGTGCATCTTATCCATAATACTTTGGATCAGCTGATGAGTAGAGACCTCAAAGAAACTGCTTGGATAGTCACAATAGCTAAGGGAGAAATCTGTTATAATAGTAATATATTTAACTTCGTTTTGTTGCATATTTTTAAAAATACCTAGTAAATCAAGAATAAATGCCATAATTTTCTCACCCAAAGGTGTTTCTAGGGCATTGTTCGCAAATACAATAAAAAAATGGTTTCAGGTCAAAATATAGGAGGAATTGTTGAATGAAATATGGTCTAGAATCTGAAGTACTTACTAATCAATCAACATATTAAGACCTCCACAGGAGCTGCAAATCGACATGAAGACATCGTAGTCCACCTCGCTGGCTGGTGCACCGCAAACAATTTCTACGAGGTTAAGCATAAAATTCCGAGACTTTCCGAAATACAAATGTTGGCAAATATGATGCTCCATATTACCCACTCGTTCTCGTAGACTAAAAATATTTAAATTATAAAAGTTAACAGATTGGAAGAAGATTCGAGATCCTACCTAAAACGTTTCGAGCGAAATTTGGACATTCGCAACTCCAACATATTGATGTATCTATTGAGCTCAAATTTGGCAGGCAGGGAAGTTATTCCACGATCTAGATCCCAACACCTTTTCAATCCACCGCTATCGCTCCTTCGCTTGCGAGGATTCAAATGGACGAGATTTAGAAAGGACAACATGTCCTGCTGTTCGCTGTCAATGAATCGAACGCCGTTTTCGCCCAGCTGACCGCCAAGAGTTTCGTTACTCTCGATAATCCGGAGCCTTAAGGAGCTCTCCTTGGCCAGGATCTTTACAGCCGAGGTCAGGCCTGACAGCCCGGCTCCTACAATAAGGACATCCAATTCAGGAGTCTGAGTACCAAAGGGCAGATCCATTTGAGCCTAAATTCTAAGCCGTATTGAAATTGAACAATTTTTTTAAACATTTTATCAAATATTTAAACAAAAAATTACATTTTTCTTGATAATAGTTTGACGTGAATAACACAGTTTGAGAGCCACACATTCAGAGAGAGAACATAATTTATAGCATGCTTTTCTGGTTATTTGAAGGAAATTAAATTTAAAATTAAAGTCCTATTTTATTATCCAACAAATCTGAAATTTTTCGTTTCGTTTTGAAACCAAAAAGCACATAATGATGTTGCTTAACATCTTCATTGGGATCTACCTAAAATTATTTTCAAAAATATTTTTAATCAATATTTAGTTTTATTCACTTAAACTAAGAACTAGGGAATAAGAAGAACTAACTTCTTTTTTAAGAACTATCACTTCGTCCCTGCCAAAAAATCCTGCAATCCAATTGCTCTCCGGCAGTGTATTCCAAATGTTACGCAAAAGCGGGTTTTGGATCAAGCTTGTTCCGCGTAATTGATTTAATAAAAGCATTAAATGAAAAACTTGGCTATAAACTAATTTTCGTTTAATACAGCATTTTTATACAGCATAAACTTGGTTAATTTATTAAAAAATAAGCACTGATTGAAAGTAATGTTAAAATTAAATTGCTAAAGAGAACAAAGCATCCCAATAAAACTACTGCGAATACTCCCACTAAAGCAATTTTTAAGTTGCCTACTTTTGGGCAGAAAGTTTTATTCGTACATGTCTCTGTAAAGTTAACAAACATGTTTATGTTTCCATGTTTAGCCATGTTTAGCCATGTCGACGAATAACTTTTCAAATATTGGTCGGAGACAAAAAGTTTGTATGAAGGAGCTCTACAACTCGTTATAATCTAGCAAGAACAATAATTCCAACTTTTTTTGAAACGCATGACGTCGATTTGGTGGTTCAAATGGGACCTTAATGTTATAACTAGTTCTTTTAAATGGAATTATCAATAAAAGTATAAAAACCTTGAGAAAAAGTCCAACAAGTCAGAGCTAACTTCACAGAGCTTGCTGGTTTAAGCAAATTGTTATTATTTGAAAAATGTCACTATATGAATTTATAATAAATAAATTATTTAAATAAAAAAATCATTAAATCATTTTTTCATCAGTAGCTTGTGTCTTCTGGTAATAAAATCTTTTTTTGTAAACCTGAATTTTACTTTTAACGCATCAATTAATACATTTTGTATCATTTGCAAGTATTTTCACCCAAAACCATCAATCAATTCCAACAAAATCAAATCACATTATGTAGAAGATTAAAAACTTTATCTTTCTGATAAGAACACTTATGAAACCCATTAATAGGTTCCTCATATTGCATACATGATTTTTTTAATAAAAATATTGCGATTCCAAGAACATTGCATGTGTAGTCTAGGCTAAGGTTTATATTGTATTATTGTTGTTATATTTATATGTTTTCTTAAGATGCATTGTGAAACACCTATACACTTTACCAATAAAAGAAACATTTACTCTGGGAAAGCCAAACCCTCTTTTTCGGTTGTGTTGATCTTGGATCGTCAACAGCTTGTGCAAGCTTTACTTTTTTAAATAAATACATACACTCCATTTAATTTAAGCGAGTCAAGACTGTTGCCATATGACATCTGGTATCTTAGTTCAAACTTCTTATCGATGACATTGGCAATCGTAGTCTCCATTATCTTTAAAAAAATGACAAGACTATTATACTCTAGTTAACTATAATTGGAACAAAGTTGAGATAGGAAACATATGGTGCACAGACTGACTATCTGAGCAAATGCAACCGGAGCTTGCACTCAAAATGATTAAATTACGTTTCCTTATCAAGCGTCGACCGTTTAGACCTAATTTCTTATTATCGCCTCAGAGAATGAAAGCTCCTCAATAAACATTGTACCCGCAAAGTTCGTTGATTCGAAGCAAAACACAACGCAATTTTCGTTTAGATTTTATTATTTTCAATTTATTTTATTTTATTGTTTGTAAAGGTAAACAAAGTTGAGAACGCGCTTTGAATGGAATGAATTTGTGGAGGAATGAAAATTTCCAGAATGATTAAATTCGTATGACGCGAACCAATTGATTCCATCCGTCTCCAGACTGTGTCTGGCCTTCCATTAGCTAGATTTTCCATCCAGCATCCCCCGCAGTTCCTGGTTGACTCCCTCCTCAGTGGACTGTGGGGTCTTTGACGTTTTCTTGCCGAAATTCTCGCCATCTTCGATAGTCTCTGGCATCGGTTGGTTTAGAGTTTCGGGCAGAAGCAGCGACAGTAGTCCGGCGATAAGGGACAGAGCTCCACAGATAATCAGTGGAAGGGGCCGCCAGATCTCGCCGAGGAGCTTCAGATATGGCGCCAAAATGCCACCGACTCGGGCTATCATGGAAGAGGCACCCAGGCCCACATTTCTCACTACAGTCGGGAACTGCTCCGCCGAGAAGATGTAGATGGTGCCGTAAGAGGAGGTGATGGTCAGCTTCCCAATCATGGCGCAGGCGATGATCAGCCAGTTCATGTCGCTGGGCACAAAGATCGTGGCCAGAAGACTGACCCCAGCTATCAGCATAGTACCGCACAAAATGGACCGACGACCCCAACGGTTCAGGGTGAAGAGCAGCAGCGTATATCCGGGTATCTCCACGGCGCCAGAGATCATAAAGTTTACCAGCTGGTTGCCACCCAGATTGTTGGTGTTCCAGGAGAGTCCGTAGTAGACACCGCTGTTCACAAACCAATCGAAGAAGATGAGCAGGGTTTTCCGGCGCAGATTCGGGTACCGCAGGAGATCGAACACGGTGGCTGCCGGCTGGGAGGCTGTCAGCTCGTCCTGCTTCTTCTTTTCGGCCACCTCTTCCACCAGCTGCTCATAGATCGCGTTGGGTATCTCCACTCGATTCTCCTTGGCTGCCTTCTCGATTATAACAAAGGCCTCGTCCTTGCGGCCTTTGAGCAAGAGCCAGCGAGCCGATTCTGGCACAATCCAATAATAGCAGAGAAAGAGAAGTCCCGGAAGGGTGAGAGCGATTTGCAGCCAACGCCAATCGTGAATGAAGTACGCAAACCCAGCAGTCAGCATGAAGCCCACGGAGAAGAACATTTGCATGGCCACGCCGGCGAAGAGTCGATAGGAAGATCCTACCATCTCCAGGGCGATCACATACGCCACCAGGAAAACGCCCGAGGTAGTGGCACCCACAATCATTCGGGAAATAGTATAACTAAAGTATTCCGGAGCCACTGCAGCCAGGACGCCGAAGATCAGCTGGATCACCAGGGAGGCGAAGAAGGTGGGCTTCCTGCCCAGTTTGTCGGACATCTGGCCAAAGATGAAGCTGCCGAGGAGCACGCCGAGCATGAAAAGCGAGTCACTAGTGGCACTTAAAAGACTGCGATCGCAAACCATGTCCCACTCTGTGACGGCACTATTGAGGTACTTGCTCCGATCGTACACGTAAGCAGAACAGCTCCTGGTCTGGTTAGTTCTCCTGGGAATGCTGCCGTTCAAGTAGGCCTCGCTGTACTCCACATCGTAGATCTCGCACACCTCGCCCTGGGGGTACGAGAGATTCCACAGATTCTGGGGCAGCTCGTAAGAGCTGTTGCTTTCCTCGAAGGGCAGGGCACAGCGAAAGTCCGGCTTGGCTAGCAGGAACACCCCTGCCAGCTTGTGGAAGGCGCACACAATGGCCGGCAGGCAGAGTAGGTAGTAGATACGCTTCTGATAGCGTCCGAATTCACCCAGGTGGGTGATGACGTCGTCGTAGCCCATTTTCTGCGACTAGCAGGTGTCTCACACACTTTCTGATTTTGTCACACACTGAAGTTGTCAACCGTCGGGTGTCGTACGATAACTGGCCTTTGGTTCAATGGTCGCGCCTCCGTGACGTATGAACGACTTATTAGCGCGTTGCGTATACGCCTAGTGCACCCAGTCGGACTCGTTTCCGATTTTGCAATAAAATCTGGTTGATTTCGGAGCCAGGGCTAATAATTCCCCGCCCACCACCTGCATCGACCAGATGCAGATCCAAACGAATCTCTGAATTTCGGCTACTCGATTCCGATAACAATTTCGGAGTGCGCGATCAACCGCTCGGGTGGTGCTTCAGTCTCAGACTAAAACCCAAAGAGCAGTCGTCGCTGTTCGTTCTGAAGAACCCCAAAACGTGAGCGTTTATCTCCGTCTGTGTGAGCGTTTTCGCCGCCAGTGTATGTGTCTCTGGAGCAGAGCTCTCCGGCTGGCTTGGGCCTGTTTCCACCCTGCGACCAATCTATTGATCACCGATCCGCCAAAGGAAATGCAATCTGCAACTATCCGCTTAAATAGGTAATAGGGATGGAACGGGAATAGGAGGGTGGAAGGGGGTATGTGGTAGCATAGATTAGAAAAGGCAGCTGGTAGATCTACAAACATCGTACGATGTTCAGTAATTAGCCAACAGGAGTAGATGATTTCTGACCATAATAGCTACAAAGTCTGCTAAAAGTGGCCTGATTCCAAATGCCAATCTATCTGCACGGAAATCGAGCCATACACTCTCTTATAATAAACAGTCTAGGGAAATTGTAAAATAGTGAAATTTTAATTTATTTAAGAAAATAAAATTACTAAAAATGTTTAGTTATAATACTCGTATATTTTTAAACTAAGCTTTCGCAAGACTCGTTTTATAAAAAACCAACTGAACTGCTATTAAAATGTTGACCTAAACTGTGTATTGTATGTCCCCTGTATATGCACGCCTTGTTATTTATTAAATAAACACTCTTCTAATCGAAAATATTCTCTTTCAGGGAACTGCCTTCTCTTGACTGAACATCCGTTTGTTATCTTCGAACATTTACAAGCTCGTTCGAATAGGAACTACAAAACACCACTTAATGTTGGCAGTGTAACAATGTACTAGAATTATAAATAGACGACCCACTTTTCCACCTAATGAGTTCAAGTTCAGATGGCTCTGATCGACGTGAAATATGCAAATTTTCGACCGTCGCCAAGTGCAAATATTTCTATAATTGGCTTGCCAAATTATATTTTTATACCCTTTGTTATCATGCTTTTTATTTGCCCGAATCTCGTGATTAGAAATTTAGTGCGGATCCAATTCTTTAATGTCGGTCTCGTGTTGTTCAAAGCTGATAACGAAGCAACACCGAAAGTAAACACAGCGGAAACACGTTTCGAATTCCGGCAGACAGCTCGTCCGGGTTTAGAAAGGTCAACAGAAATAAAAACAGAATGGGATGGTATACCGATTTCTTCTCTGGAAATATAATAGATTTTATTTCAACATTTCAGTGGAATATGATTGTAAATATAATTAATTGAAGTAAAGGTAGGAATTCATTATGCAGCGTCATGGATGGGATATCCGTTGCGATCATTTTCCAGACATTTCCCGGAGGTGTAGTCACCCCTAATCCTTTGAAATTGTACCATCTTACAAGGCCACTGCTTCCTGTCTAAATGCTAATATAAATGTGATCTATTTACTCATTCTACTCTTCATTTCCTTTGTCTTTGTGTCTTATTTTTTTCGTTTTTGGTAAATTGTGAGATTTCAGAAATGATATTTGTAATACTTGGTCCTTCTTCTATCTTAAATGCCCCACAGCAAAGCTTTTCTTTTAGGAAAAAATCAAGTGATCTTAGACCTTTAGATTCTTCCTAAAACTTGTGGCCATTGGCTTTGGTTCCGTTTTCGGCTGGTTCATTGAGTGGTTGGGTTTCTGGTGTAGGACGTAGCTCTCGGCCGGTTTCCAGATAGACATCGCCCTTGGTCTTCTTGCCAAAACGCTCCCCGTCGGCTATGGTCTCCAGCATGGGCTTGTTGTGCGTCTCTGGGAGGAGCAGCGAGAGCAATCCCGCCGCCAGGGAAAGCGATCCGCAGATGAGCAGCGGAAGTGGTGTCCAAATGGTGGCCAGGTAGTTAAGGAAAGGCGCCAGCATGCTACTAATTCGAGCCACCATCGAAGCTGCTCCCAGAGCCACATTTCTGACCACCGTCGGGAACTGCTCGGCTGAAAAAATATATACAGTTCCGTAGGAGGCTGTGATGGCCAGTTTTCCCAGCATGGCGCAGCACACAACTAGAGTGTGCATCTTCTCCGGGACGACCACGGTGGCCAACAGGCTGAGTCCCGCCAAGACCAGAGATCCACATTGTATGGATCGCCTGCCCCAGCGATTGAGGGTTAGCAACAAGAAGATGTAGGCTGGTATCTCCACGGCGCCGGATATCACAAAGTTGACCAGCACGTTGCCTCCGAGATTGTTGGTGTTCCAGGAGAGTCCGTAGTAGACGCCACTGCACACCAGCCAGTCCAGGAAGATGAGCAGCGTCTTGCGCCTTAGATTCGGATAACAGAAGAGATCCCACACCGAGGGGGGCGGACTATCGTCCCGCTCCTGATCATCCAGCTTCTGCCTGGCCTTGTCCTCTTCGGTCTCTCCCTCGTCCAGAAGTGCGCCCAACTCCTCATTGCTGATTTCCACCTTGTTGAAGCGGGCCGCCTTCTGCATATTGGCGATGGCGCATTCTTTCCGGCCCTTGGAGAGCAGCCAGCGGGCGGACTCAGGGATAATCCAATAGTAGCACATGAAGAGAAGTCCCGGCAGGGTCAGGGCGATCTGAAGCCACCGCCAGTCGTGCACAAAGTAAGCAAACGCAGTGGTCAACATAAATCCCACCGAAAAGAACATCATCACGAATATTCCGGCGTACAGGCGCTTGGCGGGACCGACCATTTCCATGGCAATGACGTAGGCGACGAGGAACACGCCCGAGGTGGTGGCCCCCACCATCAAACGCGCCGCGGTGTAGGTGATGTACTCCGGCGCCACTCCGGCGAGAACTCCAAACAGGACTTGAATGACCAACGAGGCGAAGAGGATGGGCTTGCGTCCGTACTTATCGCTCAGCTGGCCGAACACAATACTTCCGAGGAGCACGCCAAGCATGAAAAGTGAGTCACTGAAGGCGGCCAGGAAGCCACGTTTGCACACCAGATTCCACTCGGTGACGGCGCTGTTGAGGTACTTGCTCTGGTCGTACACGTAGCGGGAGCACCCTGTCGTCTGGTTGCTGCTCCTGGGAACGCTGTTGTTGAGGTACTCCGGTGAATACTCCACATCGTAGTACTCACAAACCTGCCCCTGGGGATACGATAGGTTCCACAAGTGGAGGGGCAGTTCGTAGGTGGCGTTCTGCTCCTCAAAGGGCAGAAGACAACGGAAATCCGGCTTGGCTAGGAGGAAGACCCCGGCCAGCTTGTGAAATGCCACTGGAATGGAGGTCAGGCAGATGAGGATGTAGATGATCTTCTGATAGCGGCCAAAGTCGCCCAGCTTGAGAATGGCCTCATCGTAGCCCATTTGAAAGTCAGATACTTTGCCGCGTTGCAGAAACAGATACAGATACTTTTGGAGCAGCTGTTTCTCGAACGACCGATGTATTGGAGCCCGCGCCGGCTAATGAATCACAAATTTTTTGGCACTATCTCGTGATGGCGACCAGCTCGAGTGCCGACAACCGAGAACCAGAGAGAGGACTGCCCCGCGCGCCGATGACGTGTACTTTGCTCCCCAGACCCCAGACCTCAGACCGCACGCACAAGGTTCTCTGCTGCGGTAATTATGGCGCAACACGTGTTGCCAAAATATCTAAAGGGGAAGCAGGCAAGCCGAAGCGGAACACGGCGATAAAAAGTCAAAAAAACCGGCACCGACACTGGATAACCGCAAAGCGCTAGAACGGTGCGTCACATTCGGCCAGCAAAACTCAAATGAACTGAGCCAGCCGTGTGACTGATGGGCTGGGGAGTGGGAAATGCAGGGCCAACAAACACTTATGGCCTTTTCGCTGTATACCATATGTATCTCATGGATGTATATCGGGCTCTCTCAGATACTCGGATATGTTTATGTTCGCAAAAAAAAGTAATGAAGAAAGAAGGGAAACGCGAGAGAACAACAACAAACAAATGCCGGCTGCAGGCGACTCTCAAATGGCACCTATTACTTTTGGCTCTCTCCTCGGTTCTTGGAGTGAAATCGGTGGGTGAGTGTAAAATTGGTAATAGACAAAGCCACCCTTAAGCTAACAAGCCATATTGTTGGTAACAGCTGACAGTTGGTCATTCTTAGGGTCGTAAGTGGAAAATCGAAGCATGAGATTAAAACGTTTGGACTTTCGCCAATCAGGCGATCTCTCAAGTCGTTTAAAAACTCTCTTTCAATTGAGACGCGCTCAAACAAACAATTAAGCAACTCGTCGTACGATTTATGTTCAAAAAAACTGAAAAAGGCAACTATTCTCCAAGCCGAAGATTGGATGCCCTGAAGCTCTACTATATACTTTAAAGATTTTCACCTTAAAAATTTTGTTTTCTTTTTAATCACTTTTCCTTATCTTATTTCATTAAATTCATATATCTCTTACATTTTGTTTAAATTATATTAACAATAATACACTAACCCTCAGTTAGGGTAGAAAACCCCGATTAATTGAGCTTAATTGGTAGGCGAAAATCAAAGGCGGAAAATCATACGATACCAAAGCCTGCATGGTCCCACTTCCCGTACACTCTATGATAAATTACCTAAGAATAAGGGTTAAGGTTCCACTCTTTAAAGAAAGTATATTTAGAAAGTAGAAATCTGTTTAAAAGAAACTGTAGAAACTTCTTTGCAACCGTGAATGAAAAAGGAAATACAATAGAGATCCTAAAGAGCTCCCTTAAATTTTATATATTCACCCATTAATCCGATAATATTCGATATATATATTTTTACATAAAAAATCAAGAATTCTTTAGAATTTAAGAATTTAAATCTTTAATAATTTACTTTAAAATATGAGAAATATGGGCTGTTTATATTTTTTGCGTAAAATATAAATAAATTAACAATTACAATAACTTAAAATGAAATAGCATATTCATTCAAGAGACTTATCCAAACTCTGGTTTTTTAAAATATGTGAGTTATTATTAAATTCAAAATTCCCAATCAGAAAAGACCTGAACCTCTTTTTCTTCAGTTTACAACTTTTTTTATAAATAAATATTTAAAGCATATCAATTTATATATTTTTATATGTATATAAAAATGTATATATTTTTGTACCCCCTTATTTTGGAACGCATTTTTTAAATCAAACGGGCTTTAATTTTTTTTATTCTAGGTTTTTGTTAAAAAGTCTTTCTTACGTTCAACAATTTGGTTCATAAAACCACTAAGCAAAGACACAAACCTTAGTTACCAGCAGATACTCAAAATTAAACAAATATTTATCTTTATTAATAAATGGTTCATTTTCAAATTAAAACAATTTTATTGTGTTATTTAGCATAGTCTTCAATTTTAAAATAATCGACCAATAATGGTTGATTTTAATAAAAAAAATACTGGATTCAGCGGCTACCACTGTCTGGCAACACTGTGTCTTTAAAGCCGATAGGCGCGAAAGTATCTCGCAGATACAAAACAAAGCTGGAACGCGGCGGTTGTTGAGCGGACGATCCTCGTTTTTGGAGCCGAGAAAACACGAAAATAGAGAAAACAAAACACACAACTAAATATACGTCAAGCTGTGAAAATTTTTCGGGAGTCTCGCGTTGCGCCGCTGAGAAAATTGCAAGTTCTAAATTTCGGTGGCAGTTCGCGGTGTCCCGCCACGAAAATTTTGATAATCAAGATCAGAGACGGTAACCAAGATCGCAAAGAGATCGAATACCAGTGGCTGGATCCTTCCTCAATGTGTGTGTCTCCAGCTCTAAGGTTCCTCGACATACAGTAAACGCTCGCTGTGCGAGATCTGCAGCAGGCTATATGTAAGTACCCGCTACTGGGATTATCGGGGGCGGCCCCTATTTTTGTAGTGAGTGGGTGCTCACCTGTAAAGGCGGATTTAGTTTTGCACGTCTGTTCATTTCTGTTGACTCGCACTTTCCGCCTTGCGCCTGACATTGGCAAATTCTTGGCCGCGGAAAATCGGTTACCCATATACAGTGAGTAAGAATGGTGCAACCAAGCAATCGATAAGACGGAAGTGCTTTTATGCCCTAATTGAAAGGTGATGTAGTTTAGTTAGTGGGTATGATCAGGCTAGTGATAAGAATTATCGACTGCACAGGTTTCAAAAACCTTGAACAAAGATTATAAAATATAGAATTTCGTACTTGTTTACATTTTAGTTTAGGGAAGAATTGTGCCTATGAAAGGCAAACGTGACCGTGAATCAACTAACAAGAGACAAAGAAAGGGCGCAGGCGCAACTGTCGCACCCCCTCTGGCAAATGTCACCACCGATTCTCAATTTTCCGCAGCTGTCCTCCTACCACATTGTACACCATGTAGCTCGCAAGATATGTCTCACACCCCCACACACACAGCTATAAACACACCCAAACCCATACAGAGGAATATGATTCTATTTATAGACGGAGGAGTCAGGCAGAATGTTGCCCCATGTCGCTGTCTTGGATTTTTAAAGCAAACTCGGGGATAGATTTGTGTCCCAACCATTTTAATTGAGTGCGGAAATGAGCAAACATTTCTCGGAGCCTCCGTTCGGGGACACAAGTGTCGTTCTGCCCGTCAGCCTGGCTGACTGACTGGCTGCTTCTCCATTCCAGGCACATATCAATTTATATTCCCTGGAAGGGAATACAAATGGAAGGAGGATCAGCACTAGGTGAAGGAGGAGGAGGAGGTCTCATGGCGTCGCCAGCACTCCTATGCGCATGCGTGTCCGTGTTAGCAAAGGCCCAGCCTATTCTCAGCATTTTAAAGCCAATTAAACGGGTTCCACAATGGCCTTTCATGTGGCAAGGATATTTGCCACTCTCGAGAGGTCATGGAGATCCCTGTGTGGTCAAGGCCCTCCATTGTCCAGGGGATCAGGCGCAAAGTAAACCAAAAATAGGGAAAAAGACACTGAAAACTATTAGATTTCTAAGCTGGAAGTAATTTGGTTCTTATTGTAACCTCCAACTGGGTTAAAAGGATATTATGCTTCATATTATTCAGCAATTTATTAATTTCTTTAATTATTTATTGTCCAATTTTAATTGGTTAGCAGTATATATACCCCCCTGAAGGGTGTTCATGTTGCGACTTGTTAGGGCCACAATTCAAACCCCTTTCCTATCGGGCAGACCAGGTAAAGTTGCCCTGTTGTTGTCGCTATAGTTGCTGTCACTCAAGCCCCGGCCGCAGTCCCTTCCCCCATCGTATCACCACCCCCCCGCCTTGGGCAAACAAGGCTCAACACGCGCCACACAGCTGACAGGAACTCGGATCACGATCCTGATCCTGATGCCATTGTCACCGCCGACAGCTGCGCCCTGGGCCATAACAAAACAACATGAAAAGGAGGCAGACGGGCAACAAAGGCCTCGTAAACCCATTTGGAGTGGCCACTATGGACGGATAGCTGGTCGGTCGGTTGGCTGGTTGGATAGATGGATGGATGAGGTTTGGATCGGAGATGCGTTAGATCAATTTGCATATAATACAAAAAGAGAAACACTGAAACGGCCGACGATTGTTCGAAGATTCGCTTATTCGTTTGCGTTTGCCGGAGTGAAAGTCAGCCGAATGTGTGTGGTTTAATTGCAGCTTTTGTTTTGATAGTCGATTAGCATAATTCAAGATGTATTTTACTCATATCGTGGTTTCGCTGATTGTTTTCTTTTATCTGCCAGCCTTCCAGTTGCTGTTTAATGTATTACTTTTTATAGTTTCTGCAACGCAACACGTGCTTCCAAAATTTGGGATTAATGTATGCATTATGGGGGGAAGGTGGGATTTTAAAGGGAAGTGCCCACTTACCGTTTCGGTTTCCTGTTTGAAAATGAAACAACGTTATAATACTGTCACGAATATCAACGGTGATTCAACCTCAAGGGTTGCGTCATCGGAAAAGGGTCTAAAGTTTGGAATGTAGAATAGGGTTTTAAAACATTTGATAAGAAGTGACCACTAAAGTCACTCCATTCCGAAACTTTTTGTATATATTTTTTCCAACTAGCTTTTAAAATGACAAAATTTTAGTTGTAAGGAAGGTATTTTATTACTCAAAACCAGACTCTCTCTTCTGCTTCCGCTTATCGTTCAGTTTTTACACAACTCTTACTTTCATTTGATTAATGATTGCCAATCTATTTATACATTTATGACATTAATCTTTTCTGTTTTTGTTTAAAAATAGACTTTGCCTAGTTTAGGCTTTCAGATGTCTGCATAATAAATATCCATATATTTCTCATTACCAGCAGGCTAAAATAATTATATTTAACTTGTTGTTTTAGGAGGGCTACCATCAAACAAGTTATTGCCCTGGAATAGGAGATAAGATTAAATGTGAAATGATAACACACACACTTTTCTGGGCCTCAGACAAGCCGCCAAAAGCAACAAAGACCGGCCAACAAAGACAAAAGCCTAAAATTGTCGACCCAAAATAATGAAATGGGATGTTTAATTTTAACCTTTTTATTTCATTTCGTTTCCCCCGGTTCACACACGTATCCGCCAAGTGCAAAGTAACGACTTGCAGGCCCGCCATATGGAAAAATCTGTGAACATGTGTCGGAGAAAATGAGTTATGGGGTCGTCGCACAAATCCATCAACGGCTGGGAATGGCCACGCTAATGGCAATGGGAATCGGACTGAAACCGAAACTGAAACTGAGTCTGGGTCTCGGTCTGGGCTGGCATTTGCATTTTAATTGCATCTTCTCTATTGTAGGAAGCGACGAGCGTTAATTGCCGTTTGGATCACACAAAAAACGCTCTCCAATTGTCCGAGCCTGGAGTTTTCCGGCTTTTTTTTTACTTTTTTGGATCGCTTTTGAGTGGTCTGCATTAATTGGTTCCACTTGCGCGACGTTTAACTATCGACAGTCTTTGGTTTGGTTCGGCATTTCTTCCAACATAATCCCCGCTTCCCATTCCGATGGCAAGTCGTTGAACTTGCTTACCCGCTGCTCTTGCAGTGTAACAGCAAAAGCACTCGACTCTGCATTTGTGGGCCAGCCAGCCCCCTCACATCACAAAACTAAAAACTAAAAACAAAAAATTAAATATATATATATATATAGATAAATAAAATAATACAAAACAAAGCCGGAGAGCGATGGTAAATAACAGAAAAAGATTGAACAACAAAACGCTACGAAAACTTGTTTCGGTTGTGACTTTTGCGCATGCTCAGCGTTTTGCTTGCCAACGCTTTACGGTACAGTGAACTCTGGCCCCGTCACCACCACCATCACCATCACCGTTCCCTCGCATTCTCGCTCTCTGGGCCAAAATCATGTTCCTGTGACGTTTGGGCCATAAATTTTACAGCTGCAACTTCTATTGTTGCAAGTGTAATTGCTTTTCCAGTCGGTTTTTTTTTGGACAGTTTCCCCTTTATTTTTTGGTTTTGGTTGGCCCAACTTAGGGGCTAGTTAACCGGAATGACTCATCAATGCTCCCATTTGTTGGACACAGGCAGCTGCAAAATCAAAGGCCAAAACAAGTTCAACTGGTTGCCTTTTAAATCCACACAATCGCTGCACTTCGGGGAAAATTACCCCAAATCTGGAGGTTACAATTTGAAAATTATTTGGTTACAATGATGGTGTTATAGAAAAAGGAAACTACTCATTAATGAGGAATTACTTCTGCTCTTTAATTGTAATCATTTTTAATTTTATGGTTCTGAATTCTTAGATCAAAAGTATTTTCAAGTGTATCCCCATTTTTTATCAGTGCTTTATGGCGTTTTGTAGCCCCCGCGATGCACAGTCCCGAACCTGTCGCACCGTTAGCGCGTCCCTCCATCCTCGCAGACCCGTTTCCCAGATATTAAGCCAAACTCCTGGCTCACGTGAGTCCCCGTCTTGACTGGTTGAACTTGATATTGATATTGGAGCATGGTCAAGGAACTGACCATCGAGCGCAACTGGTTTTGGGTCCACATAGGCGAGCAGTTCTTGGCACGGCCCAAACCATTTAAAGCTGGTGGCTAACAATGCTCATTGGATTCCAATGAAATGCTCGCAGAAGCATTTCGCTAACGGTTCGGGGGCTTGAATCGGAGCTTCTTCTTTCTCAGAGCTCTTATGGCCTCAATTGCTGTCAGTTCTTCTTCATGGCCTGTAACCCAGGAAAGTGTCGCAATTATTACACAATTTTCGTGGCTCGCTGTCTCTAGTTTTTGGTTTTGTTTTAATTTTCCTTTGTGCGCCACCAGCAATTTGAAATGTTTCGCTTTTCCACAGACCCCAGCCCCCAGTATGGCATACGAGCTGGTTGGTTATGAAATTATGGCAATTGTTTCGCTGTGGCGATATTTTTGGTCTTCTCGCTTTTCCCTCACTCTGTTTTGGGTTTTGTGGATACAAGGAAGTGGTACGAATATGCCAGTTCCAAAGGCACCCACAAAGAAATGGGTCACCCGAGCAGATAAAGACAATGCCTTGGCATTTCTCAAATTATAGGAAATCAATTTTGAACGGGAATTGGGGAGAATCATTAAACCAGATACTTTGAATTGATGGGGAAATGATAAACCATATAGGGTTACAAATTCATTTCATTCATCCAGCTTTGGCTCAAGTTCCCCCAATTATTTGTCATTATCATTTTAAGATTCCCCCCATAACTTCAATTGATTTGAAAGACTTGAGAGTATCGCTTGAGAAATCTTCTCAATCTCGGCCATCAGTTAGGTTTCCGACTCGTGACAAATGCAATAAACGGCACGTTTCAAAACCCCCAACTAGTTGGGTTCATTAATTTTTCGCTTTTCTAATTTAAGCCCGAAAGGTATACCCGTTAAAGCCAACAGCTTGCCCTTAACCGCTGTGTGCATTTCTTTAACTGTTTTTCATTTTCCACATTTCCAACGGGCATTGCGCAATGCAACAGAATGCATAACAAAGCACACGCCAAAACAATAGGCGCATAACGAGCAACATGGTTATTAATTATTCAGCCAAGGCACCAACCACGCACTCACAATAGGCCAAACGGGCACTTGCCGGTCATTTCAGTTGGTTGTCTGGTATTGGTCATCGCCTGGCGGCTCTTTTGGCCAAACTGAACCGGAAGCTGAACCTCGCAGCCCGGAACGGTAGAACAGTTTTCCATGACAAACAGAATTACATGGTTTTCCTTAAAAAAGACCGCCATGCCCCTCCAACTGGCTATACAAATTGCAATATTTTTCTGAAACATTCATAACTAAAGATATTTTAATGTATTTTATTAAAATTCTTAAAATAGTTCTAGTCACATTATTTCAATTTCCAATTTCTTATCACATTAGCAATATAAAAAGTGAAATACAAACAAAAAATATATTAAAACCCCCCTTAGAACATATGTAGGTTGTAAGAAATAGCCTTATCTTTTAACCCACTTGATAACCAGCCCTTGAAACACTCGACAACCATAAAGGGATGTGTGATAATAAATAATAAATAAAAAAAAATAAAAATAAAAAATTTAGAACCTCTTTGTCAGGTGTGGGGTTCGAACCCACGCTCTCTTTCGAGAACCAGAGCTTAAATCTGGCGCCTTAGACCGCTCGGCCAACCTGACTTGTTGGGCGACGTCGACAAAATGTGCTATAGAAGCAAACGGCTGCCTGGTTGCTGTTGAAATTCTCAAACTGTCAGATAGCTATAGGGGTGTTTTCCCCTTTGTGTTTCGATATGTTCGCTTCCGACTAGGTATATACATATCTATTTGTTTAAACAATGAAAAAGCACTTTTATGTGACTAACTAAAAGCCACTAAAAGCCTACAAAAGCAGGTTGTGTCAGCAAAAATAATAATGAATGCCCCTAAAGGAAAAAGATTCCCGTCGTCCTTGACTTGATTTTGGACTTGTATCTTTATTTTTTTAAAATAAATTCAACTTTCAGAAATAAGTATGTACAACATATGTGTGTACAAAGTACATTCGTATGCAAGTGAGTACTTATTTATAGAACATTGCCAAGAAGTAGCCCGTGATTTTAGCAAAATTTCTCACTTATTCGCATTTATTAGTTTTGTGTTTTATTGATCAAGAGATTAGAGGGCTAGGTAGACATTAGACAGACAAACAATGCCCGCCGTTTCCTCCCCCGACCGCAGCCACCACCCCTGTTAGTGCGCGAATGCCTGTCAGTCACAGACCAGCGAGCTGCTTACTCTCTCCCTCGCTCGCTAGTTCTGCCGTCACGTTTTTAGAAAGCTTCCTGCGAAAGCTTTTGAAATGCCGCTATCAGATGCATCTCATGGAACCGTTTCGCTAATCCGCTACTGATTTGTTTTTCTCTCCCCTCCCATTTTAATCGCGTTGTTTACGAAAATAAGGGAAGCTTTAAGCACGTCCCTCCACCCCATTTCTTCAGCCCTTGTTGAATGTTTTCTTCAAGCAGCTGTTGCATCTATGAGGTTGAAGATACTTTACAATCTTGGTTAAATATTTAGCCAGAGATTTAATTATTTCTAATTAGTTTGACCTTGAATGTGTAAAAGTATATCAAATTTAATACCAAATAACATAAGAGCTTGCCTAAATAATTTCTTAATTATTAAGGAAACAAAAAATATAGCTCCCAATTGGAGTATAACTGTTTTATTGAATCCGGAAGTTGTTATTCACGCTGAAGCTGTTGAAGCGCCGAGAGTCTCCACTGTGCGTGAATGCAGTATGCTTCCTGGTGGCTCCAATGACTCCATTGCACTTGAGGCAAGTGTCAGTGGTGCCATTGTTTGGTCCCGCTCCCGAATTGGAGCACAAACAATGTGCCAGGCACGCAACTGGAATTATTACTGTGCCACCCGGCCCACCCACAGACTCACACACACTACACTCACACACTGACAATCGGCAATTGCGGATTCGGCGCAGTTAACGAAGCCGAACACAGCTTACCATATCCGAGGCACGATGAGCTGCCACCCCGTGACTCTCGAGAGGGGCATCCTACCCAGAATCCAGCAGCGGACTCATCCGCAGTGCATGTCGCGAGTTCGCTGCAGTCGCCACGCCACGTGTAGCCCGGTTTGAGTTCTCGATTAGAACATCGTTTCCCTTATTTTCTCCTTTTGGGGCGGGGTGCCCGAATCGTAAAACTCGGTTACTGGGTGAAAACTGCACGGCAACAGCATCGACAGTCACAACATCAATAAAAGATACATTCGATAGAAACATTTCGTGTCAAAAGTTCAGCATTGCAGCTCGATTTTATAAAGCAGACTTTGCATCTGCTTTTGATCAACCATTTGTGGTATTTACACCGTAATGTAGGTCGGAAATTGCCGTAAATTATCCAACAGCTGGCCGAGAGGAAAATTCAATTAAAAGTGAAAACCTGCTGCACATAATCGCATTTCAATTATCCAGCGGATGGGCCTAAGGTGCCCACAGTGCCAGTGGAAAGTGTTTAATCGATAGTGAAAAGCGCCAAAGTGAAAATCAATTGTCACTGCCTGCTGGATTTGTAGCGAGGCTTGTAGTCAGGCAAAGACCTTACCTACCCCAGAAGTACAAAAATAACAAGTCGCATCCCAATCGGTTTCATAAACAGTCAACCCTCCTTGGTGACTCACCGTAGTACCCAGTACCCAGCAGCACCCCTGTTCGAACTTCTTTCCTTCCGCGCGTGTCATTGTCTTGGCTTCCATCCCAGTGCATTGCACTGCAATTAACCTATTGAGGATATAGGTTTCTCGACGGGACTGCAGCGGAGTGCCACAAAATGGATTTCTATGCCAATAACAAAGAGCTGCACTCGGCCACCAGTGGTGAGTTCAATTAACTTGGCTTAATTGGCCGGCAATCTTATCTCCAGACGTTATTAAAAGGTGGCAATCATTTGCCTCCATTCTATTAAGAAATGTTATTGAACTATAAACGAGATTAATTGGATAACGTGATGATAATAGCTCTCTTTTTAGATGTTAGATTAAGAATTGTACTTTCTGACCTGCCAGTATCGGTCAAAATCGTATATTAAGTTATACTCACTCCTCTAATCTTTTCTAAAACATCTGATTAAATTTGGAATAGACTATGACTAAAACTCATGAAAATAATGGAATAATAGAAAAAATATTTCCAAGTTTGCAATTTTTAAAGGAAAGTACAATAATAAATCGCTGGCACGCAACATTTTTTGGTAAACAGAGTAAACGATGATATCACACCCACCGTACTCCCACTTTTTCTCAGAACTTCCTGTCTTCCACCCCACCACCACCCCAAAAGTTGGCATGTAAACATTGTCTGTTCCGTTGCTTTTTAACAGAAAATCACGCAAAGGCGTCTGCTTTGCCGGCTTAGTTCTTGGCTAATTGCTATTCGGACCTGGGTTTGAGTTTTGGGTCGTGGGTCGCGGGTCGGGGTCAATGCATGTGCTCGGATTACGTATACGCACGGTGGGCCCTGGACAGAGTCGAATAAGCCCATTAGCTGCAGCAAGTGTCCCTTTCAGGCTGCTGTTCAGGCTGTTCATCACTTTCCAGGCACAAAAGGTTCGCTTCTTTTCCAGCTACCGGCTTCAGATTTCATAAGCTTCTTGAACATGACTTGGCTGTTTGTACCCGTCCCCCCGTTGGAGGTCTCCGCCCCAGTGTGTCTTGCTTTTCCACACCTTGGCTTTGCTTCGCCTCTTGGCCATTGTCAATGTCGCCTTGAAGTATTTCCTCCGTCATCATGTCATTTGCCGCTTCCACACATGGTTGCCCTGTGTCCACACACAAAACAAATCTTGTTTTAAACGCTAATAATATAGAAACTTAGCAGAAAGTAATGTTTCCCAGGCAACTACCACGTAATATCATATTGTTCTGAAACACAACACTCAATTTTGTGTTGAATTTGAAGTAATTTATGCCAGGTTGAGGCTAATTTTTATTGCAGTGTCTTCTGGAGTGCAAAAAAGGAGAATGAGAACTGTGGGACTGCATTTCCATGCAGAAAAATCTTGAAGAATGCTGCCCGGCTAGTTCTTCTACCCCCCATAAACGGCCATCAAACACTGGCTTCTTTTTTAGACATTCAGGTCTCGGGGCTTAGGTTTTTTTCCATTTTTTGTGCAGGCTCTGGGTGTGCTTGTTTTTTGTAAAATTTGTAATTTATGCCGCCATCTCATGCTGGCAACAGATTCAAGTGGCCCAGGCGAATGCGAAAGCAGAAGACGCAGGACCGAAGCCAGAAGACGACAACATTGCCATGATTATGGGTGTCTTGGATATGGAAAAACTGCACTAGCGCATGGGCTTCTCGCCTCATTCTCCTCTATGTACGAGTATGCTGTGTTGCCAATCATTATTTTTTGCTCTCTGCATAATCAAGATTATGTTAAATTGTCTGGGTAATTGTTGTTAATTTGCTTGGGCACATTATAAAGCGATTTCAACCATATGGCCGGGGTTAAGCTCCACTTTCTTTTGTACAAAACTGGGCTAATTATGATGGATACATTGCAGCCCATAAATTGTTTACAACGCTCCGATAAGTGGCGAGGCAATGCCTTCATATCAGCATGGAATCGAAGTTTCATTAAATTGCAGCTTAATATTCGCCCTAATGCTGCCAAAGCTTGTAAGCTTGGAGGGGGAAAAACCTATGAGTCATTGCATTTTGAAGGACCAGGAAGTTTGGGGGTTGATAAGGCGTACTTGTTTCTCGATGAAGACTGACTTTGGTGGCTATATTTTGATGGTAAAGACCAGGGTAAAAGAGTATATTTTTTAAGGTTGATTTATAACTAAATAAAATTAAATCTTAAATCGCTACAAAACCTATTAATTGTTATGTACAATGAGTTGTTACGTCGCCAAACGGTTTTTAAATTACATCTAGTAATTGCATTTCTGTTTGGAGGAGAACACCCACACACCATATGTACATATAACCGCTAAATAAACACTGTTAGAATCTTTTCTCTTATTTTCGTTGTATCTGTGTATCTGAGTATCTCTCGCCAGTCAAAGCAAAGTCAAACAGACCACACTGACTCATTTGGGGAAACAAAAATGAAACAAAATAAGGCTTAACAATCATTTAATAATTTAGCACTTTGTGGCAAATTTATCTTGATGAAAGCGGGGAGGTGAGAGGCCCTGCCACACAGAGAGGCTATTGTTCTGCGGATATCTACTATACATGTAGCTCCCACAGCAGGCCCCAAAATAATAGACGCAGTAACTGCGTCATAAATGCAATCTAAAAGAACGACACCAGTTGATATGGCTGATGGACTAAATCTTTTCAATTACTATCAGAAAATATTCAAATTTCTTTCGGTGCAGAGCTGGGAGGGGAAAGGGCATGCACCATTAACCCAGCGAGAGCTAAATAAATGGATTTCACCTTGACGCGGTTGCTGAAACAGTTTCAAACGTCACCGCATCGCTTACCGAAATCAGATATTGTAGCCCAGAGTTTGGAGCCCAGAAAGGGTTGTAGGGGCACTAGGGAGCTACATTTGCGGTTTTTTTTGCATATTGGATACTAGACTGAGAGGTGTTTAGCAAATCGCCTAGCAAGGCCGCTCACCTACGTGGAATGGATATGGCGTTGGGGCTTATCAACTGCGCTACGTAAACATAGACCCTCACACACACTCGTCGCACACACCAGTCCAGTGAGTCAGAAGCCAGTGCATGACCAAGAAAGGTAACCAATGAATAGACATAAACGAAAGGCGAAAGAAGCAGAGGTTGGAACAGACGAAAAACAGAAACTGCCACAGCGACATCACCTGGAGAACAATAAGCGTGAATCGGAGAGCGGCCCAGCAGGTTCCAAAGAGTGAAAGAGAGAGATCATAGGCGTAGCAGGCCAAAAGGGGTCTAGAAATAAGGGTTGAGAAACAAAACCACCTAAATCTGGAGAAGTTTAACTATAAAGACCTCTTTCTATTTTAAACTACATAGAACAATATCCCAAAACCCCCTCTAAAGAACGATACGCCCCTGTCAGTGAGCAAGAGAGGATTTCCAGGTAGAGGTGGCTCACAAAACACCGGCACCAGTGGCCCTAATGACTCTACCTCACAGATAGAGAGAGAGTGCTGAAAAAAACCTACGGGGATCTCTTCCACAGAGCATTGTGATCGCTCCATAGTTGCTCACTTACCCAGTTGACTTCAAACAGTTAACACTGAAAGCGTTCCTGGTCGAACTCCTGGTTCTCATTCTCTCAGTGTTGGTAGTACGAGGTAGATAAGATTTTTCGCATTGATACTGGCCCGTTGTTGCCATACGGCGGTGATACTTCACAACTGACTTAATATTTATAAACCTAGACAGTTTTTACTTTTACTTTTTGGCAATTAACTAAACACTTTGTTTTCCTTATTCCAGTGCGAAAGATGTTGGAGGACACCCAACTGGTGTGGGTGCGAGATGCCGCTGAAGGCTACATACAGGGCCGGATTACAGAGATCGGCGCCAAGGAGTTCGAGGTTACGCCCACCGATCGGAAGTATCCAAAGCGCACGTGTCACTATGATGACATCCACTCTTCGTGCGATGGACCCCAAGACCACGACGATAACTGTAAGTACTTTGTAGAAAAATACATTCAGGGAATTGATGTGTCCTACACCAAAAAAAAAGCCCCCGAAATTCCTAGAGCTTCCGATTTGAGGTCTTATCTATAGAAAAGTATTTATATAACAGTCTGGACAAAGTTAACGAAACAAGAAATTAAGGTTTCTTTCTTATAAAGCTATAATGGGAATTTAATGAAGTTAAGTGTAGGTTCCTACTAATATTTGAAATGCATTATCACGCCCTTGCCAATATTTGATCTATTTATAGGTAAATTTTTTACCCACATAGCTATGAATGCTTTAGCTACAAACAATAACTAGGGTAAAGATAAGAGTGTCAAGTTCTCTTGATCTTGAATACATATCCGCGATATAAACAAGTACTTTTGTTCAGTAGTTTGCGATCTTATCTCTCAACCCGATAACATCACTTTGACGTAAACAATTTTGTGTATTTAGAGCAGAATTTCTCGGTGCATTAGCTACTAAAATGGACTTCTTGCTAAATCCAACTTTTCTTAGCCCTGTTTACCTTTACAATCGTTAACCACACTTTGATATCCAAGCCTAAAAGCCAGCCAGACAGAAGAAAGTAGTGGGGGCCATTAAAAAAACCCGCATCATTTTAGGCGTATTACTAACCCAGATGTTTTTATGTTCCAGGCGAACTCATGCTGCTCAACGAGGCCACATTTCTGGACAATTTGAAAACACGTTACTATAAAGACAAGATTTACGTGAGTACTTGGAATTTTATGAAGCAACGGAACCGGAATCCACATATTTCATTATCTTGCAGACCTATGTGGCCAACATACTAATCGCCGTGAATCCGTATCGCGAGATCAAGGAGCTCTATGCACCCGATACCATTAAGAAGTACAATGGCCGTTCTTTGGGCGAACTGCCCCCACATGTCTTTGCGATTGGTAAGTTTTATTGTATTTTATGATTAAATTTAAGAAGGATCTAATTCTGGAATTGTTCTTCGTCCTTTAGCGGATAAAGCTATACGGGATATGCGGGTTTACAAGTTGTCGCAATCCATCATTGTTTCTGGAGAGTCGGGTGCCGGAAAGACCGAGTCCACCAAATACCTGCTCAAATACCTATGCTATTCGCACGATAGCGCTGGTCCTATCGAAACTAAAATATTGGATGGTGAGTCAATAATCTAGAAGTTGAAAAACCAATTTTAACATTTTTATACTTTCCTCTCCAGCCAACCCCGTACTGGAGGCCTTCGGCAATGCTAAAACTACTCGAAACAACAACTCTTCCCGATTCGGCAAGTTCATTGAGGTCCACTATGACGCCAAGTGCCAGGTGGTCGGTGGCTACATTTCCCATTATTTGCTGGAGAAGAGCCGCATCTGCACTCAGAGTGCAGAGGAGCGAAACTACCATGTGTTCTACATGCTCCTGGCCGGAGCACCCCAGCAGTTGCGGGACAAGCTGAGTCTGGGAAAACCTGATGACTACAGGGTAAGTGTGGCTTATTATATCCAATGCCCCAATCCTACTTACTAATGTTCTTCTATGGACAGTATCTTTCCGGCTGCACCCAGTACTTTGCCAATGCCAAGACCGAGCAGCTGATACCCGGCTCTCAGAAGTCCAAGAATCACCAGCAGAAAGGTCCGCTCAAGGATCCCATTATCGATGATTACCAGCACTTCCAGAACCTGGACAAGGCTCTGGGTCGTCTGGGACTTTCGGATACCGAGAAACTGGGCATATACTCGCTGGTGGCTGCTGTACTGCATTTGGGCAACATTGCTTTTGAAGAGATTCCCGACGATGTGCGTGGCGGTTGTCAGGTGTCCGAGGCTTCCGAGCAGTCACTGACCATCACCAGTGGTCTCCTGGGAGTAGACCAAACGGAGCTGCGCACAGCGCTGGTGTCCAGGGTAATGCAGAGCAAAGGCGGCGGCTTCAAGGGCACGGTCATCATGTAAGAAGGAGAATCTATCAAAGTATATCCAAAACAATATATTTATTAATTAATTCTAATCAACAGGGTTCCTCTGAAAATTTATGAGGCTAGCAACGCTAGAGATGCCCTTGCCAAGGCCATCTACAGTCGCCTCTTTGACCGCATCGTCGGCCTGATCAACCAGAGCATCCCCTTCCAGGCCTCCAACTTCTACATCGGCGTTCTCGACATTGCCGGCTTCGAGTACTTCACAGTGAACTCGTTCGAGCAGTTCTGCATCAACTACTGCAATGAAAAGCTCCAAAAGTTCTTTAACGACAACATCCTGAAGAACGAACAGGAACTGTACAAGCGTGAGGGTCTCAACGTGCCGGAAATTACTTTCACCGACAATCAAGACATCATCGAGCTGATCGAAGCCAAGTCGAATGGCATTTTCACCTTGCTGGATGAGGAATCGAAGCTGCCGAAGCCCTCGCCCTCGCATTTTACTGCCGAGGTCCACAAGTCCTGGGCGAATCACTACCGTTTGGGTCTTCCACGCTCCTCGCGCTTGAAAGCTCATCGCACCCTGCGCGATGAAGAGGGCTTCCTGGTTCGCCACTTTGCCGGAGCCGTTTGCTATAACACGGAGCAGTTTATCGAAAAGAACAACGACGCCCTACACGCCTCGCTGGAGGGTCTGGTTCAGGAGTGCGACAATCCCCTCCTACAGACCCTCTTCCCCTCGGGAAGCAGCACCTCCGTACGCGGCAAGCTCAACTTTATTTCGGTGGGCTCCAAGTTCAAGACGCAGCTGGGTGAACTAATGGAGAAGCTGGAACAGAACGTAAGTAGTTCAAGCAAAAACAACAGGCTATTTCACTAATGGTTGCTTCGGGTTTAGGGCACCAACTTCATCCGTTGCATCAAGCCCAACAGCAAGATGATCGATCGCCAGTTCGAGGGCAGCCTGGCGCTGGCCCAACTAAAGTGTTCGGGCACCATCTCGGTGCTGGAGCTCATGGAGCACGGATATCCATCCAGAGTTCTGTTCGCTGATCTGTACAGCATGTACAAGTCGGTGCTGCCACCAGAACTGGTTTCTCTGCCAGCCCGCACCTTCTGCGAGGCAATGTTCCAGTCTCTCAATCTGAGCGCCAAGGACTTTAAGTTCGGCATCACCAAGGTCTTCTTCCGGCCAGGAAAGTTCGTCGAGTTTGACCGCATCATGCGTTCGGATCCTGAGAATATGCTAGCCATTGTGGCCAAGGTGAAGAAGTGGCTGATTCGATCTCGTTGGGTCAAGTCCGCACTGGGAGCTCTATGCGTGATTAAGCGTGAGTTCATCTGCAATACAGTTTTCTTTCCAGTTTTCACAGAGATCTCTATTTCAGTACGCAATCGTATCATCTACCGGAACAAGTGTGTCCTGGTGGCCCAGCGCATTGCCCGTGGCTACCTCGCTCGTAAGCAGCATCGCCCGCGGTACCAGGGACTCGCCAAGATCAACAAGATTCGGGTAAACACGGTTAAAACCATCGAGATAGCCAGTGGCCTGAAAATGGGTCGCGATGAGATTGTAAGCGGAGTGAATGATATTTACAGACAAATAGATGAGGCCATCAAGAAGATAAAGGTAGGACTTTTTGAATTATTTGAAAACCTTATAGATCTACATATCCCTCTTCACTTTTAGTTGAATCCTCGCATCACACAACGCGAAATCGACTCCATGTACACCGTGGTTATGGCCAATATGAACAAGTTGACCGTGGATCTGAACACCAAGCTAAAGGAGCAGCAGCAGGCCGAGGAGCAGGAGCGCCTGCGCAAAATCCAAGAGGCCCTGGAGGCCGAAAGGGCTGCCAAGGAGGCGGAAGAGCAGCGTCTACGCGAGGAAGCCGAAAACAAACGACTGTGAGTTGAACTCTTATTCGTTAAGACATTAAATATAAGTTATATTAAAATTTCTAAAAAAAACAGCAAAGCCGAAATGGAAACTCGCCGCAAAGCTGCGGAAGCCCAGCGCCTACGACAAGAGGAGGAAGATCGACGTGCCGCCTTGGCTCTGCAGGAGCAGCTGGAGAAGGAGGCCAAGGACGATGCCAAGTACCGTCAGCAACTCGAACAAGAACGCCGCGATCACGAGCTGGCCCTGCGCTTGGCCAACGAATCCAACGGCCAGGTGGAAGATAGTCCTCCAGTTATACGCAAGTATGTGGTAAACTTTAAAGACCTTATAGGAATTATTTTTTTTATTGAGAATTGTTTTTATAAATATCAAAATGCAGTTTTTAGTTAACGAATATTTTTCAAAAATATTCGTTAATTTGTTTAAAAGATAAATAGCAAAAGTGAACTATAATTTTGGTATAAATTCTAGCTGTAACTATATGTATATAATTACACAATTAGATTTTAAGAATTTTGAATATTTATTATGAAACTCACAGAATTTTTCCCTTTCCCTCTTACAATGCAATCTACACCACACAATCCACACTCCCACCAACCACCCAACACCAAATCCAATCCAACGAACACAACACAGTGGTGTCAATGACGCGTCTCCCATGGGTTCCAACAAGCTGATCAGGTATAGCACGCTTTATGTTTTATCTATATCTTTAACTCTTGTCAAATTTGTCAATCTTTTCTTGCTTTTCCCAAACAAAAACACTAATTGGATAATGAAAACAAAAAAATCTAAACAATTTTAAACTTCTTTACTTCTAAAACTTCTTTACTTTCTGTATATTTTTGAAAAAGTTTTTCACAAGTTGTGTCAAACATTGCTTCGCGGTACTTAAATAAGTGAGTTGGTGCTGGTTTTGAAATCATTTCACTCTAACCCAAACTACTAAAACCTAATATAGTAGATATCATATCCACTAATCAAAAGCATCTCTAACATGTGTACTAGTAGAGTTCTCATTGGCATTTAGTCTTAACTTTGAATCTTCTATCTTCTCCTGTCACCAACAAAAAATACCATCTATGACTCACTTTTTTGGCTTGCGCTTAAATCATTTTCATTTTTTGATTCTAAAATATTGTTTACTTTCCGTGGCAGATCGGAAAATGTTCGGGCCCAGCAACAGGCATTGGGCAAACAGAAATACGACCTATCCAAATGGAAGTACTCGGAACTACGTGATGCTATCAACACGTCCTGTGATATCGAGCTACTGGAGGTGAGTCCTAAACTAAGGTTCATTAAGGATTTGTGTATTAATGGAATGAGTTATTTTAGGCATGTCGCCAGGAGTTCCATCGCCGTTTGAAGGTGTACCACGCCTGGAAGGCAAAGAACCGCAAACGCACCACCATGGATGAGAACGAGCGTGCACCACGCAGCGTCATGGAAGCTGGTTAGTCAACAAAAATAATATTTTAATCTATTAAATAATAACCATCAAATCTCTTCTATTTCTAGCTTTCAAGCAGCCTCCTATAGTTCAGCCCATTCAGGAGATTGTGACAGCCCAGCATCGCTACTTCCGCATCCCATTTATGCGAGCCAATGCCCCTGATAATAGTAGGTTTTATACCATTGTTTTCTATAGAAATTTTATTAAATTTTCTCCCACTTTTAGCGAAACGAGGTTTGTGGTATGCCCACTTTGATGGCCAGTGGATCGCTCGCCAGATGGAGCTGCATGCGGACAAGCCGCCCATTCTTTTGGTAGCCGGCACGGACGACATGCAGATGTGCGAGCTGAGCCTCGAGGAGACGGGTCTGACCCGCAAGCGTGGCGCCGAAATATTGGAGCATGAATTCAACCGGGAATGGGAACGCAATGGAGGCAAGGCCTACAAGAACCTGGGTGCTAGGCCCAACGGACCAGCCGCCGCCGGTATTCAGAAACAACAATCATAAGAACACCCAACAATATTACCGCCTCGATGCAAATGCAGTAATCAAACGATGCCGTTTTTGTGGTCCATAGATCAAAATTATCAAAAAATTCCAAGGGAAATACCATTTTGCCAGACAACTTTTAGAGAAAGTGACCACGTCCATAAATTTTTTAGTGAATATAACTTTATACATTTTTTTGTGACGAGTGTTTATCTTTTTTGGCATTCGCATTTCGATTCATCTTATCCTAGTTTATTCGCTCATTTGGCGCCCGGACTGCTGTGGGGGGCCCTATACCACTTAGCTATAAAAATATATAAACCTGTTTAAGTGATTCTTATGATGTAAAAGAAAACGGCAAGTTGTATTTAGTATTTAACAAAGTACTATATAAATTGTGTATTTAGTTCACTGCGATGTATTTACATTATTGAATATATTTTACAGTATTTTAAAAATAAATATTTGAAATTATTGGTTTTTTTGGCGTAAAAAAAAGGTTAAGAGGTTGGACTTTAAACGATTTAAAGTTGGCGCTCTAGTTTTGGGACATGCTAACGTGTCCCAAGTCTTGTAGGGTTGCCCTTTCGGCAACTGCTTTCCTCCAGTTAGTGTTTTCTTAATTTTTTCATATGTTTTTCGTAGAGAGTGTTTTACAGCGACAGAATAGGAGAAAATATCTTTTTTATTCGATACTACTTTGCTATTTTTTGTCGAAAAACAGAGAAAATCATATAAGGCCAGAAGCTGCCAATTCGCAATAGTGTGACCAGACCACGAAAGATAAGGAACGTCGCTAGTTTTCCTCTTCAACCGGACCACAATCTTCGGAAGTTTATTTTATTTTTAAAATATACTTTTAAAGTCTCGTTCTAAAAGAACCGTCATCAAATTATAATCTGACATTATGCCTACCATTGGGGTAAAACGTGATCTGCTCTTCGCCGCCCTCGGCAAGACCTACAGTGAGTTTAACGAATCCACGTGTAATCTCCTCCGTTGAGTACTTCAATGTTTACCCCTTTTCTTTAGCCGATGACGAATTCCAGGAGCTCTGCTTCGCTTTCGGTCTAGAACTCGATGAAGTGGTAAGTGTTCCCCGATGAATTATATAAAAAAATTTATTAATATCATCCAAAATGTCGCTATAGACCACGGAGAAGCAGATGCTTACCAAGGAACAGGGCGATGTGGCAGCGGCAGTGGACGCCAGCGAGGAAATCATCTACCGGATAGATATCCCCGCTAACCGCTACGATCTACTGTGTCTGGAGGGTCTGGTTACCGGTCTCCTAGTGTTCCAGGGGAAGTGAGTTCAGTGACTCCTACTGTTCTGTAATAGAAACTACATTACCTTATTTTCATTTAGAGTTAAGCCGCCAAAGTTTGAGTTTGTGGAGCCGGCCAAGAGACAGGTGCTAAAGATCGATTCTTCGACTGCCCAGATTAGACCTCATGCCGTGGCGGCTGTGCTGAGAAATGTGACCTTCACCCAGGAATCATACAACAGCTTCATCGACCTCCAGGATAAGTTGCACCAGAACATTTGCCGGAAGCGGACTCTGGTGGCCATCGGCACCCATGATCTCGACACTATTCAAGGACCTTTCAGCTACGAAGCCCTGGCACCTGAGAAAATCAAGTTCAAGCCGCTTAATCAGACGCAGGAGATGAATGGAAACCAACTGATGGATTTCTACACCACACATGCCCAGCTGAAACAATATTTGCCGATTATTCGGGACTCTCCCGTGTACCCGGTTATTTACGATGCTAAGAGGGTGGTGCTGTCACTGCCGCCCATTATCAATGGGGACCACTCCAAGATCTCGCTAAACACCAAGAACGTTTTCATCGAGTGCACAGCGACGGACTTGACGAAAGCTAAGGTGGTGCTGGACACCATTGTGTGCCTCTTCTCCGAGCACTGCGCCCAGAAGTTCACCGTAGAGCCGTGCGACGTGGTGCAGACTGACGGAAGTGTGATTTCCTATCCGGAACTGCAAGTTCGAGAGGAACGGATATCGGCCAAGAAAGCCAATGCCTACATTGGCATCAATGAGCCAGCGGAAAAATTGGCTGACATGCTCACCCGCATGTATCTGGAAGCTAAGGTTGAGGGCGAAGACTCTCTCGCGGTAAAGATTCCTCCCACTCGGCACGACGTAATCCATCCTTGCGACATATACGAGGACATTGCCATCGCCTTTGGTTACAATAATATTAAGAAATCGCTGCCGGCCTTCATGCAGATAGCCAAACAATTCCCTCTCAACAAGCTCACCGAACAGCTTAGAGAACAGGTAGCTCAGGCCGGCTTCACCGAGGCACTGACCTTTACGCTCTGTTCGAGAGACGACATTGGACGCAAACTGAACAAGACGATTGAGGCTACTCCTGCCGTGCACATCGGTAATCCCAAGACCTTGGAGTTCCAGGTGGTGCGGACTACCCTGTTGCCAGGACTTCTAAAGACACTGGTGGCCAATCGAAAAATGCCGTTGCCCCTGAAGCTCTTCGAGATTAGCGACGTGGTTGTGGCGGACGAGAGCACGGAAGTGGGAGCCCGTAACGAGCGTCGTGTTTGTGCCGTGAACTGCAACAAGACCGCTGGCTTTGAAGTTGTTCACGGATTGTTGGATCGGGTGATGCAGCTGCTGTCTGTGCCATGGAAATCGGGCAACGTTACCAAGGGCTATTACCTCCAAGCCACAGAAGGTAAGTTTATCTGTTATAGGTTGAATAGGGAACTCATTTTTTGACTTTCTCTGCAGATCCCAGCTACTTCCCTGGTCGCTGTGCTAATGTGATGTACGACAATGTAGTCATTGGCAAGATTGGAGTCCTCCATCCCACAGTTCTGCAGGCCTTCGAACTTACTACTCCTTGCTCTGTAGTGGAGTTCACCATTGAGCCCTTCGTTTGAATAAAATGTTAAACATTTGAAAAAGTTTACCAATAAACCAGAAATACTTTTAACCAATAGAATACTTGAAAAGTTAATTTATTGCTGAGACTATCAACCCACACCCTTTGCCAATAAAAAAGCCTGTAAAATTTTTATTTATGCTGTTTAATGTTCTCTTTTATATTTTCCTTGAATACAATAATAATAATTATAAGAGTAATAATAATCCGTAGTATACTCATATAGTATGTGTGTATTTAATATATGTAGTTTTTTTTTCCTTTCTGTTTTTCTTTTTTTTGTTTCCATACTTTTCATATTTGAAGTATATTTATTTTAATTTTTAAATTAATAAATCTATGTGAATTCAATTTCTTTCGTTTGAAAAAAATTCTACATTTATTCAGTATGCTTTTTGCGTTTGTTTTTTATCTTTTTGTTTTTTTTTTTTGTTTACTGTGTTCTCGATCAAGGATGCATCTTTATATAACGGTTGCATGTACCCTGCTCCTTCAGCTATTCAATTTTCGTTTATATTATTTATTTATTTTTGTTTAACAACAAAAAAGTTTGTGTGTGTTCTCGAATAAAGATCCTGTCTGGCATATATGGTATAGGTGTGTGTGTCTATAGTGTATGTGTTATTTATATAGCATTTGTGGCTATGTATCTCTCGTAATCTGTTGTATCAAATAACTTAAACGAACTTCTCGATTTTATTACATATTTGCTTGCAGCTAAAACATTGAAAAATAGAAAAAAAGTAGTTTCATGCTCACTTAAATTATCCTTTATTTCGTATTTTCATTTTCATCATTATATCATCGTTTAAGTATATCTTGTATACGGCTTTGTGTGTGGGTATCTTTATCTTTATCTTTATCTGTATCTGTATCTGTGTGTGTGGCTATGCGTGGGTGGCTCATATAACGTTTCTCTAAGCATTATATTCTCAAGCATCATTTTGTTTTTGTTTTTTCTATAATTTTACAAAGCAATTGCCTTTGACCTCCCGTCACCGTCACCTTTTGCCCAGAATCCAGGCAGAATCCTGCAATCAGGCAAGAGTTCATCAAGTGTTTTTACATATCATCGTAGTTTTCATCGAAATAAAATTTGTGTATCTCATATGCTATTCGCTAGTATATATGTGATATATATATAGTTATGTACGTCTATGAGCAGTGTCGGAAAAGCATCAAAGATGGCAAGCAAGCGCCGCTTCGTCCTCTCGTCATCTTCATCTTCATAAATGGAATATTAAAACGTTACTCGGCCTTTTTTCAGTGATTTTTTGTTTTTTTTTTTTTTTCGTTTTCTTAGTTATTTAAGCAATTTCAATTTCTACTAGCTACATTTTTGGGGGCTTCCGTCGTCGTTGGAAATCGAAGTGAGGACCAAAGAACGCCAAACTAGTGTAGCCTACCGTTCTGGCTTGTTTGGTTGTATCTGAGGGATACTTATCCCATTCATGCGTATTTTGCGAACATTTTAGAGTGTAGTTAATGGTATGTTGTAAGTTAAGTAATTTCCTGTCGATTTTTCCTCAACCTCTGACAGATTCAAAGATTTTTGTGTTTAATAGTTTACGCAAGCGATTCTTTCATAGCTTTGTTCTAGTTTCCGTACCCGATAGCTTCGTGTCGTGGAGTCTTCGTTTTGGGAGGGGGCGGGAAAGAAATGGGGAAATAGAAATAGTGCGCGCCTAAAATTTTGGGTTTTTGACATTCATTTTTTGCCTTTATTAATGTTATTAAATATTTATAGATGTATTTTTATGTATAGGTGTTGTAGTAAATGGTTTCGTGTTCCTTTAGCTGGCGCTAAACATTTCAATTTAATGTTTCATTCATACGACTGACTCCTATCTTAAAAGTAAATGTATTTACGTGTGTTGAGGGGCTGAGCTGAGTGGTGAGGGGGGGTGAAAGAAAGTTAACTACAGATTTCGAATTTCCTTTCGTTCGTTTAGTGTTTCCCTTGCTCATCATCATCATCCTCGTCATCATCACACAAAACAATAAGCTACCACTAACTTCATGCTTTCTTCAAAAAATATCAATACATTTAAAAATAAATAATATATATTGCACCCATGCACCTGGGCGCCAGTTTCGAACATTTCTTGTATCGTTGTTTTGCATTTCTCAATCCCATTTCTTTCTTTCTGGGTTACTCTTTCTCTGGTTGTTTGAAAATTTGAAAATACCTGCGAATTTAAACAATTACCCAAAATTTTAAATTATATAATCGAAAAACTAATGAACAAAGCCATGCTGGAGCCTTCACTCAAGTTCGCGGTGTTGTTGGTTGTCGATCAGTTGGTTGCTGGTCTTTAGAACAATAGGTATTATGTGGGTAGGTAGGTAGGAAGAAGCCGAGAATCCGAATAGAAAACGTAGAAATTCAATAAATATTATTTCGCTTTGCATGTTCAAATCAGTGAAATGCTTATGTTGTTACTGTTGCTGCTTTCCCGGTGGCTGCGGCTGCTGCTGCGGCTTCCACTGATGTGACTGCGTTTCGGGGGTTACTGTCAAGTCCAGGTGGTTTGGAGGATATCTAGCCACTAGCCGGTTTAGTTGTTCGAACGGCAGGCACTGAGTGGATCCTCCTTCTGAGTGTCGCTGGGACATCAGTTGGACCAATTGGTGGTGTAATTGGCCCACGGCATCTGCAGAAGAACAACAAGCTATGAGCGAAAGCTCAGAAGCTATAAATAGTCGCTACTTACGTGTTTGTCGTGGTGATCCCACACCTCCATCTTATCTGGCATGTGAGCAGAGATGTCGGCCGTTCCTGGGGCTCCCACGAAATGCTGGAAACCGTACGAGGGCATAAGGTTAACGTGTTGCTGTTGCTGTTGGCCCATATTTGGCGGACCCTGCATGTTGTGGTAGTCCATTGGCATCTGAAAAGAACCAAATCCCATTAAGTTACATCGGAAAACCCTTTCCAAACTATGAAACTTACATTCATGGGCTCGTGTTGCTGCTGCTGGGGGTAGGGCCCATTGTTGTAAGGCCGGTATTGCTGCTGCTGGGGTTGCTGTTGCTTAAGCCAGTTAAGCGGCTGCTGCTGCTGCGACTGGGGCGGAGGAGGCGGCTGTTGCAGGCCGGGTGGTTGGGCCTTCGGCTCGTGCGCCCACTGAGGCAGGACGGTGGAAAGGGCTTCGTCCATGTTCAGGCCCGAGGCGGCCCCCACACTAAAGTTGTTGTACTTCCAGGAGGCACGCTCTGTGCCAATGGGACGTGGCATTTTTCGAATATCTTCGTGGTTGGGGGACATGGCCGATGGCGACCCAAGGCCCGCCATTCCGTTTTCCAGATGAAGCATGTCGCGACCTGTGTACGAAGGATACTCCAAAGTACCGCCGTACCAACGCTGTGCTGACGCTCCGCCCGCTCCTCCTCCCGCTTGTCTGGCTCCTTGTCTCCCTGGGGCTCCGCCTCCGAACATGCTCGTCTGCGCAGCCTGCTGCTGCGGCGGCTGCGGTGGTTGCTGCTTGTTGCCCTGTGCGAACACAGAGGCCCGCGGGTTCAGGCGCAGAATTCTGTCGTCCACAATGTAGGGCGAGGACATGTCCATTGGGTAGTTGAGTTGGGGCTGGGGCTGTTGCTGGGAGGCTCCCACCTTGTCGTAGATCAGACGCTGCAGATTCTGATTCTGGCGGTCGATCATGGCGGCGGCGGCAGCAGCTGCTGCAGCGGCCGCTGCGGTGTTCGAAGGATTAGAGCCGATGGCTCCGAACTGCTGGGGTGCGACGGTGTCACCCATGGGCACATGTCGCTGAATGGGTGCCGTCGATGTCGGCGGCTTGATCACTCCTGGCGAATGGGCCGGGGCCGACTCGCCATTGATATTCGGCTGTGCTTGGATACCGGGCGGAATCCCGTCATTGCTGGCCACCAATGGTGATCTGGCGGGCGCCGAAACTGCAGCTCCTCCACTGGTGATGATGTTCAGCTGCTGCTGGACACTCTGCTGGTTGGATTGCGTTTGCTGCTGCTGCTGTTGCTGCTGCTGCTGAATCACATTTCCCACCGGGGGCGAGGTTGAGTGATTCGACGAAGCCTTGGAGCTGCCCACCGGGGAGCTCAGGATGTTCCGGTTGTAGCCTGGAGCCTTGGAGGCATCGGCTTGGGGCAGACCATCGCCCACAGCGCCAGCTGCTCCTCCGGTGGTCGGATCTCCCAACTTGCCCCACTGGGACTGCTGGTAGTCGCTGAACAGGGAGTAGGCGCTGGACAACTTGGCGGCCAGCTGGGTGCTGAAGCTGTCGCTGACCGGGTTGCCGGCCATCAGGTCGTTCAGTATGTTTGTGTTGATCACCAGGTTTTGCTGCTGCTGCTGGAGAGTGGGCTGCGGGTGTTGTGGGGCTTGTTGCTGTTGCTGCTGAGGTTGCGGCTGCTGCTGGGATGGTGCCTGTTGCTGGTGTGGAACGCCAGGGGCTGAGGCTGGTTGCGATTGCTGTGGCTGCTGCTGCTGCTGAGGTGGTTGCAATGGCTGTTGCTGCTGCTGCTGCTGCTGTGCTGGTGTGGGTTGGGCTGGAGATTTCGCATTGCTGTTGGAACTGGCACCCGATGCCGCTCCTGCTGCCGCGGCGGCATTCACGGCGGCCACATCCGCCACATTGAATGTGCCAATTGGTCCAGCCAATATGTTGCCGCTGGCGTTTCCGCCTCCACTTCCCAGCGGGGCAACCGCATTAGGAGCTGCCGGAGCTCCTGCAGACACGGGCTTGCCTCTGCCGAATGGAGCCACAACACCACTGCTGCGCCCGCCAGCCGAGGCAACTGTGACAGCCTCCTTTTTGGGCGAGGCTTGAGCTATAGCCGCTGCCTTTGCAAAATTCTGGGCTCCTGCCGGCACAGTCGAGCTCGACTTTGCCTGAGCGGTGGAAGAGCTGTTCTTCTGAGCTGCTTGCTGGGATTTGGCGTTGGAACTATCGGTCTTGCCCTTCGCCACTCCGTTCGACGATGCACCGCCCGCACCACGTCCCGATGGCTGCGCCTGTTGCTGGCCGAGGTAGCCACTATTGCGTGTATTCTGGCCGCGAGACCCAGCGGATGCCGTGGTCGCCTTGGAGCCGTTTGACTTGGACGATGCCGCGGCACGTCCACTTGAAGCCTTCGAGGACTGGAGTGGCTGCGGCTGCTGTTTGTGCGCATTGCTGTAGGCTGCAGTGCCCGCTGCGGTGGTAGAGCTGGCCGACGAGCTTGACGACGTCGACGTGGTGGACGCGGCCGAGGAAAAGTTATTCCCAGTAACACCAGCGGCCGTACGGTTGTCCCACGTACCCACAGCCATAGGGGCGTTGGCCGCCTGCTTGATGCTGCTGTTGATGCGCGGCAGCATTTGGAGGATGTCCACATCGGGATCCTTGATGAGGGCTAGAATGAGCATGTGGGCCTGCTTGGTAGCGTCGGTGAGGCCCTTGATCGTGATGCATCGCTCGGACTGGTTCTTGCCCTGCTTCTCCACTTCGATGTGGGCCCCAGTGGTGGCTCTGATGGCGTTAATGTTGCTGCCACCGCGACCAATGACGCGGGATATGGCGTTCACCGGCACCTGGACCTTCTTGCAGGTCATCTCGGGAGCCGAAGACGATCCCTGGGTGGTTGTTGTGGCCAGTGAGCTGGAACTGTTGCTGGAGCTGTTGGCCAGGTGGTGGTGAGCATGGTGGTGGTGCTGCAGACTGGTGGCCGAGCTGGCCGACGTCACGGGCGTGGGAGTGCCACCAGCGTTGCCGGCGACTGCAGTGGTTTGCTGGGTGCTGCTCTTGCGGACCACCTCCTTCCAGCCGTCGACTTCGGTGCGCTTGGCTGGATTGAGGCTGGAGACACTGCTAGTGGCAGGCGGAAGGGCTTTTCCCACCTCCTTTCGGGCGATGTTAGTGGTGGACTCGCTGCTCTGAAGCTTGCTTGAGTTACTGGGCTGCTGCTTGGCTGGAAGGGCCACCTCCTTGGGCGCCAGATTTTCCTTCTCGCGCTTCTTTTCGATGGTCTTCTCGTCCTTCTTCTTCGAGGATGGCTTCTCAGTCTGCTCCTCCTTCTTGACCTCCAACTGGCGCTTGACGGGAGCTGCCTGCTGGCTGGGCGGGAGCTGCTTTGTACTGACCTCCACCGCAGGTTGTTTCTTCACCGAGATGCCCTTGAGAACCGAGCTCGCAGCGGCTGTTGCGGCAGGAGAGGCGGGAACCGGATTCTCTGCAGGAGCAGCCTTGTTCTTCTGCTGCTTCTTGCTCTTCTTGCCTTGATTGGTATTTGAACTAGGATTGGCAACAGTTTCTGGAGCCTGAGATGCCTTGGCAGCTTTTGTGTCGCCGCTGGAGCAGGAGCCCTGATCGATGCCAGAGTCGCCCTCTTCGCGGGTGGCCGCCGGCGGAGCCTCCTCGTCGTCATCCTCCTTGTCGGAGTCATCATCCTTGTCACTGGCGTCGTCCTCATCGCCCTGCTGGTCATCGCCACCGACGTTGCCACCTCCACTGCCCTGTTGCTGGCGGCGCTTCTCCTCCTTTTTCTCCATCTTCTTCTTCTTCTTGCGCTCGCGACGTCGGGCAGCTGCCGCCTTGCGGCTTTCCTCGCGTGTCCGCTCCAGGTCGAGCTCCTCCAGCAGGATCGAGGCGTTCTTGTTGGCTTTGACGGCCTGGGCCTCCTTGGCGCTGCGCAGGATTTTCATGCAGTCATAGCACTTGTCTATGAGCTCCTTGTCGCTGATGGTGCCGATGAAGCGGATCATCTCCTGGTCGGAGGGGAATTGCGACACGTACTGCACCATCCACTTGACAATCTTGGTGTGACCTTTGCGGAAGGCGGCCATCAAGCAGGACACGCGACGGTTGTCCTGCGAGTCGATGTCCGCCTGGTTGTCGTACAGCAGCTCCACCACGCTAAGGTGGCCGCCGTGCGCAGCCAGCCACAAAGGAGAGTTGCCCTTCTTGTTCTTTACTTCGACGCTGGCGCCGCGTGACAGCAGGAGTTCGACGAACTTCTGGTGCCCCTTGTCGGCGGCGATGGTGAGCGCAGTATCCCTGGAGGTGGGAACCGGTGCGGCATTCACATCGGCCCCCTTGTCCAACAGAACTCGACCAACCTCAATGTAGCCGCCCGAAGCGGCCTCCATTAGCGGCGTGAGGCCTGTTTTGGCGCGATGCTCCACGTTGGCCCGCCGGTCGAGCAGCAAACTCACCACCTCGTGCCTTCCCTGGAAACACGCCAAGGTGAGGGCCGTGTTGCGGTTGGTTTCGATTTGGGCGTTGATGTCGGAGCCCTGGTCCAGCAGCAGTTTCACCGCCGCAGTATGGCCGTTCATGGCGGCCAACATAAGCGGGGATATGCCCAGTTTGCTGCCCGTGCGGGAGTTGATCTCGGCTCCATGGCTGAGCAGCAGCTTTATGATGTTCACGTAGCCGCCGCTGGCCGCCAAACTCAGGGGTGTGTAGTCGGAAACATTGCGGTGCTCCTTGTTGGCGCCAACACTCAGCAGGAGCTCCACCACCTCGTAGCGACCGCCGGAGCAGGCCAGCGACAGTGGCGTGTCCTTGGTGCGCTCCGACTGGGCTTCGAGCTCCGCGCTGTGCTTTAGGAGTATGTCCACAACCTTCTCGTGTCCAGCAGTGGCCGCCAGTATCAGCGGCGTGAAGCCTTTCTTGTCGCGGTGCTCGATGTTGGCTCCTCGAGTGATCAGCAACTCGACAAGTTCCTCGTGCCCGCCAGCACAGGCCAGAGTCAGGGCGGTATCGTGGTTGGACTCTGTCTCAGAGTCAATCTCGATAGTCTTGTCCACGCTGACCGGTGCGGCCACGGCCAGTTGATTCTGCAGCTGAGCCTGCTGCTGAGCAGCGGCAACCTGTGGCTGTTGGTGCTGATTGGTGTTCACTGTAAGGAATGGATGGAATGGAGTGAGAATGAAGATGGGCTCATGGGATTAGCAGACATACCTTGACTTCCGGCTGGAGTTTGGCGGAAGCAACGGCGATCCTTGCGCGACTGCTTGTCGATGACCTTCTTGGCTATTCCGCCGGGCTTGGTGGCGTTCACTTGGGTATTGGGTATGGGAGTGGGAGTGCCCATTGGCCAGACGGAGAGCTCGTTTTGAGGCTGGCCCGTCTGCAGTTGTTGTTGCTGTGGAGGCTGCAGGGCGAACTGAGTGTACTGTCCGACCGCGGGCTGCTGCGGCAACACCACCGAGGCCGGATGCGTCTGCGTGGCCACCTGTGAGTACATACATGGTCCCTTAATTAATAAAAGTACTCAAGATTTCCTTTTAACGAACTTACCTGATGCTGAACACAGGTGGGCGCCTGCATGTGCGGCGGAGGGTGCAGGAGCAGCTGTTCCTGCAGATTGAAGTGCTTCTGCTTGAGGGGCAGGGCCTGAACTCCCAGAACGGAATTAGTTGGTAGCTGGCCGACGCGTTGGTGCAAGAGCTCCTGAGCCACCTGATCGAGTTCGCTCTGAGTGGGCGGACGATGGCCGGAGGCACGCTGCTGGAATAGTTGGACCTGCTCGGCATGCAGTTGTTGCTGTTGCTGTTCAGACAGAGGCTCTCCAGAGGCCTGTTGCTGGCCCATGTTCGGCGGCAACTGGAAGAGCAGCTGCACCGGCGGAGCGTTCTTGTCGCCGCTGTCCACATTGTAGACAAAGTTAGTGGCTGGCTGCTGCTGCTGTTGGTGCTGGGCCGCCACTGCCTTGATGATGCGTGCATTCGAGTACTGCTGGAGCTGCTGCTTCAGCTCGGGATCGGCCTCCAAAGCGATCTGCTGCTGCTGGTGGAACTCTGCGGCAGCGTTGGGCAGCGCTTGGTGATGCAACTGCTGTTGCTGCTGCTGCTCGTCAGTGGTGAAGGGCAGTAGCGAGAGCGGATTCTGTTGTTGCTGAAAGCGATGATTCGTAGAGACACGCCCCAACTATAGGAATGGAATTAAGGACTCACCTGCATGTGCATTTCCTCCGCCTCGAGGAGACGCTGGTCGAGCGGGATGTTCTGCTGCATGGGATAGTCGAGCAGCAAAAGATTCGCCGGTCGCTGGCCATCCTGCTGCGACACGTCGCTGGGATTGATCAGGCCCGGCGACCTTACCACACCCACCAGCTGCTCCTGGCCTGTCCACTTGGCCGTCGACTGCCCCCAGTTTCCAGCGAATCTTCCCTTGCACATCTGATTCAGACTGAACTCGGCCAGCTCCGGGTAGTTCAGGCTGCTGGCAAGCTCCTAAAAAGCAAAGCAGAATGTTAGTTTCAATTCATCAGAAAGGTATCCATTGACCACTGTACCTGGAATATGTCTTCCATTTCGCCATCGTTGGCAAAGTGCTCCAATGCGGGATACAGCTCGCTGGCGCCTGCGCCGCCTTCCTCATCTGCATGAATAGAATCATTACCATTTCTTACTAATATTTGAGAGCTGATCTTGATCTTACCGCACGGCTGGTCTCCCTCCTGCTGCTGGTGCTTGTGGTGGACTGCGGCCGCCGCCTTGGCATGCGCTGCTGCCGCGGTAGCTGCCGCCAGCTGCTGGTGAAGGACGCTGTTGAGGGCTGCGTTGCTGCTAGCCGCCGCTTTGAGATTGCTGATTTGCGGGAGGACATGGACCAGTTCGGAGTTGGTGAGGTCCGGTGGAAAGTCGCACAGAGACTGCGAGGTGAGAATCAGGTTCTCCAATCGGGTGGCCATTTTGCGCTGCTTGAGCGGCAGAGAGCTGGTTCCTCGCTTCGAGTTGTTGTTAATGTTGTTGTTGGAGGAAGCTTGGTCGGAGGCAACAGGCACGTCCAGGAAGAACTCGTCGTCGTCTTCATCCTCCTCCTCCTCGTCCTCTTCCTCCTCCTCTTCTTCCCCGTCACCCGCGCCCTCGTCATCATCGATATAATCAACATCTCCATCTGGAAGGATCGGTTTGTAAGTCTCGTAAGAATCTTATAGAACCCAATCCAAACTTACCGTCGTTGTCCACCTCGCCATCCTCGTCGTCGTAGTTCAGCTTCTCGACCTCTCCGCTATTGGTGTCTTCCTGATCTTCATCATCGTCCACCTCCTCCTCTTCCACAATTATGCCATCCTCGCGCAGAGCGGCAGCAAGTTCGATCGGCTCTGGTGGCAGCGTGTTCTCCTCAGCATCTCCGACAGTGTCACCGTCGCCCTCACCTGCGTCGCTCTCCAGATCAGTGCTGATCTCGTCCTGGTCCTTGTTGGCGGCTGCCACAGCCGCTGCTGCGGCTGCTGCTGAACAAAGCGTGGCCAGGTTCTTCATCTCGGCTCGAGGTTCTCTTACCAGGCGACCATCATCGTTGGGGGACGACATTGTGGTCTCCTCCATCTCCGGCGGCGTTTCAGTTGGCGACTTGGGCTGATCCCCGAAGAAGTTGTGCATCCCGACCATGTGCCAGCCGTCCTTAAAGAAGTTCCTCTGGGGCGCGTTGAGGGCAGGTATGTCCTTCCTGCCGCGAGACCCGTTCACTGCCGTCTCCAGCATTCCATGGATGTCCTCCATGACGGCTTTGCGCTGCAGTGCCGCGTCCAGAGACTGAAGCTGTTGCTGCTGCTGGTCACCGTTGAAGTTAATATTGCCAGTGGGCGAAGCGAGCGGAGAGGCTGGCGAGTTGGAGTAGGCCGCTGTCGCAGCAGCCGCATTGTCCAAAACCCGTTGCTGGTGGTGGTGCAGCTGCAGGTGCTGCTGCAGTTGCAAATGGGTTTGCTGAATTTGCTGATGGAAGAGCGGATTAGTGGGCTGCACTTCAGAATCCTCATCTGGGGACTTACCAAGTTGTTGTAAATGGACACCATCTGATTCTGCTGCAGATTCGGCAGCACTTGCTGGGCGTGCTGGGCTGCTGCCGCCGCTGCTGCGGCCGCGGCTGCTGCTGCTGCAGCCGCTGCAGCTGCCTGCTTGCGGTTGCTCTTGTTGGTGGCCTTCACCTTGGGCCTATCGCTGATGGCCGTGCTCTGGAGGACTTCCGAAGAGTGTGTGATGGCCCCACTGGGGTTACGCTACAATTAGATTGAAAGTCAGTAAGCCATCGGTAGAAGTCAGTAACCAAGGAAACTCACAGCTGGTATCTGGGTGCAGGCGCTGCTGTCCACAGCTGTGGATGCGGGCTGGTTGCTGTCGGCTCCTGTTTTAAATAAATATATTAGCATACAGCATGAGGAAGTATTCTCATTGGTGCTTTAAACATACCTTTTAGTGCTAGTTCGGTCTGGTCACCGCTGCCGCCCTCCGGAGGAAGTTCACCCTTCTTCAGATCTTGCGCAAAGCCGCGAAGCCGCTGCAGGCGTGGATCGTCAGTCGACAGTGCGAATTGCGGTGCACTGCCGTCCTCTCCCAGTGGCTGCGAGCGCACTTGCTCGGCCTGCTGCTGCTGTTGGTCCAACGGGCATTCGATGAACTCCATTGGTCGCCGGTTAAGCTTGGCCTGCACGTGTTGCAAGTGTCTTTGCTGCTGCTGCACCATTTCCTGCTGGTAGGCAGTGTGGAAGAGCACTGGCGGAGCCGGCGGCGCCTTCTGCGGCGGCTGCAAGGAGTTGATGTGCTCCATGTCGAGGTCGAAGTGCTTGCAAGGTACCAGCGTTTGCTGCTGTTGCTGCTGCTGCTGCTCGAATCCTGGTTGCAAATGGAATAATCTTGACTTCGCTATTAAGCCTTCCTGCTGTTGAGCGCCCAGGGTGGTCAGGTCGATGCCACCCACACCTCCGTACTCCTCGACACCCGCCTCGCTGCCTGTGGTGCTGGCGCCTGCCCCCGCTGCACTCAGCTGCAGTTCGCCGGCGTCCAGAAAGTCGCCGGTTCCCAGGGCAACGATATTGGAGGTGCCGTTGCCCCCAGTAGCTGCGTTGCTGAACTGCTGGTGATGGAATAGCTGCTGGTTGGAGGCACGCGCCGCGTCCGGCAGTTCCTGCAATCCGGGCGGGGCGTTTAGCTGAAACTGGTGATGGAACTGCTGCTGGAGAATCTTTTGCTGCTGGAGGCGCATCTGGTTCGAGCCCAGGGCCTGAGCAGCCTGCGCCTGGACCTGTCCGGCGTTCGCATTGGCTGCCATTTCCGTGGGCGAGATGTTTGGATAGCTGAACAGGATTTCCACCACGCGCGTATGCCCGCCCTTGGAAGCCTCGATCAGCATGGTGCTGTTGTCCTTCAGCTTGTGGAAAGGATCGGCGTTGTTCTTGAGCAGATGCTCTACTACCGACTGGTGGCCACCGGCGCAGGCCAGCGACAAGGGAGTGTGATCATTGCTGGTGGTTTGCTTGTTGACATTGGCGCCCTTTTGGATGAGGAATTTCACAGTGCAGAGGTGTCCGGCGCGACAGGCTTTCATAAGCGGGGTGCGTCCACCCTCCGACTCGTGCTCGAGCTCGGCTCCGTAGGAAAGGAGGACGCCGGCGGCATCTGTGTGGCCGTTCTCGCAAGCATGCGTTAGAGCCGTATCCCCGGTCTGTGTCTCTGCATGGACGTTCGCCTTATTCTTCAACAAGAATCGCACCAGATCGGTGTGGCCCTCCTGGGAGGCTTCCATCAGGGGTGTGGATGCGCCCAGCTCCAGATTGGCACCCTCCTTGATCAAGAAAGCTGCCACTTCGCTGAAGCCGCCGCAGCAGGCTAATGTAAGAGCCGTTTCCTGGGTCTCCTCGGTGGTGGCATTGATGTTCGCCCCCTTGCTCAGCAGCAGAGCGACCATCTCTTCGTGTCCCTCGCGTGCTGCCTCCATTAGGGGGGTGTAGCCCTCGTCGTTTACCTCCTCTATGTTGGCACCGCGCTCGATCAACAGAGTGGCCAGCTCGACATGACCGCCGCACGCTGCGAGGGTCAGAGGCGATTCAAAGGAATCTGTTGGCATGTTAACCTGCGCACCCGAGTCCAGCAGCAGGCGCGCCACCTCAACATGTCCGTCCATTGAGGCCTCCATCAGTGCCGTGTGCATTTCGTCGGTCTTGTGCTCCTGATCGGCTCCAGCCTGCAACAGGAACCGAACCATGTCCAGATGACCCTTGTAGCAGGCCAATGTGAGAGCGCTCTCCTTGAACTCGTTGGAGTGGGTGTTGATTCCGGCGCCATGTTCCAGCAGCACCTAGAAAACAATCAAGTCACAAATATTAAAAATTATGTAGCTCCTAATTTTAATTTTAAATAAAAATTAAATGGCATCAGATAAGATCAAACTAAATCACTGAAATGGCATATGTCCTGGACTAATCAGTAACTCGATTCCAGTCGCAGGTTTGCCAGAATTCTCAAATCTCGGATTCTAATCATTTGTTTTTAGGGAAGTTGCTAGCTTAGTTATACATTTTAGGGATGTGACTAGATAACCACTTACCTTTGCCACTTCAACATGTCCCGCGGATGCTGCCTCCATGAGCGGCGTATGCCCGTTCTCGTTCTGCTCCTCCACGTTGGCACCGTGCTTGAGCAGTACCTTGACTACGTCCACCTGACCGCCGGCGCAAGCGAACATGAGCGGGGTGTTGCCGGTGGCGCAGTGGGCGTTCACGTCGGCATTGTGACTGAGCAGCAGCTTCACGATGTCCAAGTGACCGGCCGAGGCGGCCTCCATCAGCGGCGTAGAGTCCTTTTGACCCTTGTCCTCCACCTGAGCGGCTGACATGGCCAGTAGAACCTGTTGGTAAACAGTAGAATTTACAATCTCTGGATGGACGGATTTTTAGATATATTCTTGTGGAAAGGGAAGGATAATCACAAAAAAAAAAAAAAAGTTTCTCGAATATAGTTTCTCCTATATAATTTGTATGGTTTTAGCACGATTTGTTTGTGGTAGTACTGTTATCGATAAACAGACGCCACTAGCGAGTATGCAAACGTGAATAGCGGCGTTGCCACACTGGCGGAAACGGATCAGCTGATAAGCGTGGGAAAATTTCACGTGCAATACAAAAAAAAACATGTTTCTGCTATATATACGATAACTGATCAACTGGTAGATCCAAAAACACGAAAACCCAACTTCAGAATACACTTAATGAACTTCTTGGAGATGTGTTTCAAGTTGGCCAATTGGGTTACCTTTTCACTTTTCTTCTTAACGTCATAGACTAGTTTCTTATAGATTGCATTCGGGATCGTCTCGGGAAAGCCCACAGACTGTGGGAAGGGTTTTTGGCACTATTAATATTGACCGGCTGGCGAGAAACGCTTAGGGAAAGGGAGGAGGATAAGGAGGGACACATACCTGTGCCAGCTCGTAGTAGCCGGCGGAGCAGGCCATCGAGAGAAGGGACTCGCCGTCGTCCGTGGAGGCGGCAGCGTCGTTCAAGTTGACGTTGCCCTTGCACAGCAACCGCTTCACCGTGTTCACGTCGTTGTCCGTACAGGCGGCGACCAGAGATCGCGAGAAACCACTGCTGAAACAAGGACATAGAACGTTACTTTTGGGACTAACAGTCTAAGGAGATATGATACTAACTTCTTATCGCGTGGGCTGTTGGCACAGCGCATCTTGGTCAGAGCCTGCTTGGTCTCGTCGATGGCGTGGGTGGCGTGGCGCAGGACGGGAGCCTTCTCATTAGCCGCAGCTTCGAGCAGGGCGGAGAGATTGCTGGAACGCTTGTTGTTGGCATCCAGAAGGAAGGGACTCACTTCCGGCGCGTCCTCCTCCTCGTCCTCGTCGTCGATTTCCTCATCATCGGCATCGTTGTCTTGCAGGACATCTACCAAGAAGAAGTATGCATTGAAGAGGCTATATATCGCTATATTCCATGGATTCTTACCAATCTCTTCCTCGTCCTCCTCGTCGTCGCCGTCGGACTCATCAGAGTCCTCGGACTCCTCCTCCGTCTCGTCCTCGTCGTCGCGTCGTTCCCCCTCATGCGGGCAGCTATCGGGATCAGACTCGGGTATGTCGTCCTGCAACAGAGAATGGGACATTTTTACTCTTGTGACGAGGCAGGGTTAGAACTCTTCTCTCAAATAGTTGTTTTAATGAGTAAAGTAAAGAAATTAATTGGCTGGAAGTTGCAAATTAAAGAAGCTATAAAGAATTGATCAGTAGAGCACGTTCTTGTTGTCTAAGGCCAGCAACAAAGTGGTGTGGTTTTAGCTAGGTGTTTTCTTTAGTTATGAAGCTAGTTGGCGGGTTAGAAATCAATTGAACGACTGATAATATTTTAGTTTAGTAGAATTGTGATTGAAGCCTTAGGCTATGGTAAGTACGTTCGATTGCATTCGTTAATGTTTTTGTTTTTGCTTTGATCGCATGGGGTGGGAGGTTGGTTGGAGAGCGGGGTCAGAGTGTATAACGCGAAACTGAAACTTACCAGGAGATCTGGCCTTAAACACAAGAATGCCAATAGGATCTACAAATAAAGAGAAACGAAAGAAACATACATAAATAAAAATTAAGGCAAGCGAAGATCGGTTTTTGGAGTTAGGAGGAGAATGGTGCCGAGCAATTCAGCTGAAGTGTAGAAGCTTCTAGTGATTCCACGGCCCCCGATTTACATGGACGAGGGACTGCAACAGATAGTCCACAGTAGATCGAACTCTCGGTAGCATCACGTTTCTTAAAAATCACTAATACAGCTAAAATAAATGGTTGGCCAACCATTGGCTTCTGTCTGGTTGTAATTATAACCAAAATTTAAAAAGTTCTATTCTATTTTTGGGAAACTTAACAACAACAGTAACAAATATGACAGCAAGTGCTCGGATAGTGTTGAATGTAATGTGGAATAGTTTTCCTTATAAAGTGAGGAATGTGGTGTATCCTTATGCTGACATACTGAACCACTTAGCCTAAGAACAACATACTACCTGCCAGCGTTGCCACACAACCGATAGCTGCCGAAAATGTAGAGGAAGTGGAGGAGGAAGCGAAACTAGCCAACAATTTACAACCATATGTCTGTCTCTTATTTACTGCCAGTTTCCTTCTTTTTATGATATTTATATAATGAAATGAATCCTGCATTTTGTACATAAGCTTTGGAAAAAGCCGCATGAGTCAGAGGCAGTGCAACTCGCACACACACACACCCTCTCGCACCAGAAGGGGGGAGAGCCACGTAAATCTGCATGGTGGTGTTGGTGTGTTTACGCCCACGCCTAAAATTATTGAACCAAAAAAGAAAATGCCAAAATACATTTTCGACACGAGGCCAAGTGCTGTGTGCTTAACCTTTGATGAATGAACAGAACAGAACATACATTAAAAGACAAACATAACCATAACCAAGCAGGGCAGGCGGCAGGCAAGAGCAAGCAAGAGGGGCAGAGGGCAGCGAAAAGCAAAAGAAAGAACAGCTAAAGTGGAGGAGAACGGAGAACATACAAAATTCATCATGAACGAGTTCAACAGCAGCAGCAGCAGCACCAGCACCAGCACCAGCAGCCAGGCCGTTCGGTTCGTCTGTTCTCGTTACTGCGCACTGGCATAGGTATTGGTGTAAATTTTTATTTTTTTTTTTGTGAAAAAATTATCAAGAAAATCAACCGTAAATGTTTGCACGCTACCGCAATATTATCACTAAAATGGGCGTGGAACAGAACAGGGCAGGGATATTATTGGTCCCTTGGTTCAAAATTCAAAAAATTGGCTGCCCAAAAGTTCATTACACTCGACGTGCGTTTTCTACCAGCGTTATTATAACTTTTATTTATTATTGTTGTTTTAGTGGCTCGTTTTCTTTGCGCATTTTCGCTTCACAAACGATTTCACTGCTGCTGCTGCTGGTGCAACAACAATTTCGGCAGCAAAACGAGCAAGAAGCAGAAGCAGCAGCAGAGCCCGGCGTTGCCAGACGGTCGCCAAAATCTTTTGTCACGCTGCTCGAAAAAAAAAGAGAATTCGCGAACGGACGCGAAAATAAATTATCAGCGACAGGAAATTGAACAACTACATCAATGTTGGGAGGTCAACTGCGCTGGGGGGAACATAATTAGCTAGAAAGAAAACTGTGTCGCAGCAATGACCTTTTAACAACTTAAATTTTTGTATTTTATTCGCATTTGCTAGACAAAGAAAAAGCATTCACAGACACAGGCACAGGCCTGCAAACGCCCACCCACCGTCGGCAAACAGCTGATAAATCATTCACCTACACGGCCAAGAGAGAGAGAATGAGAGAGAGAAGGGCTGGCCACACAAACGCACGCACCCCGGAGAAAGAGAGCAGGGAGCTGGGTGCTGGGAGCAGGAGAGAGACTCCCAACAACAAATACAAGAACGAAGAACGACCCGTCTGGCGATCAATTCCACTAATCAAAGGTGATTTCCCCAGGTATAGCCAGTATTGCTGGTAGTACAGCTGAGATAAGCTGGCCAACGAATCTGTGCAGCGGCAACTGTGGATTTCCGAAGAAAACACTTGCCCACCTGCGTCACCAGCAACTGTGTTGTTTCCGCAGCTACATCAACATATATTTTTTCTATTTTGATAAGGGGTGTGTGTGCGAGGTGATAACAGAAAGTATCAATGATCTGGTCCACTGCATTCTACAATTTCAAATTAAATTCAAGAGTATGAATTAAACTAAACTTTGAAGGAAATAAAGAGTAGAAGGAGGTGGAGAATTCTACCTGGTAGTATCACGGATGAGCACACTTACCTCTGAGACGGACTCCTCCTCCGATTCGGACAAGTCTGTGGTAGCGGGCTGGGGATAGAGCTCCGTGTCGGTGTCGGTGTCCGGCGTTATGATGTTCTGCAGCGCCGACGAGATGGCGTTCACGATGCCCACCGAAGAGGACAGCGAGGAGGCGTTCGAGGAGAGGGACGATGAGGCGGAGCGATTCGAGGCGGATGCTGTGGCAGCGGCGGCGGCATCCTTCAGCTTTTGCTTCAGCACAGCCGCTGTTTTGGCCACATCAACTCCGGCTGCTCCGCCTCCGCTTCCGACCCCGGTAGCAGCGCCAGCGTTGCTATCCACGGCAGCAGCGGCGGCGCCCATCAGCAGAGTGGTTGCGGCGAATTTCAAATGCGCCGAATCCTTGCTGGTCAAGCTGGGAGGAGCTGTTGATCCAGCAGCGTACGGTTGCTGCTGCATAGCTACCTGGCGCTTCAGAGCTGCCACAGCCGCTCGTGTCTTCTTAGAGGAGCTGCTGCTGCTGCTGGTTGGGGCGGGTGTTGGAGCAGGTGCTGCTGAGGCGGATGCTGGTGCAGCTGCAGACGGCGCGGATGTTGTTGCTGATGCCGACGGTGCTGAGCTGGGCGCCGATGCGACGGCGGCCCGGAACTTGGCAGCGCTGCCGGCGGCAGTGGTGGACACCGATGCGGGATTGGCAATGACCGTGGTACCGCCGCCGCCTCCACCACCAGACCCACTCCCACTGCCACTGCTTGTTGTGGCGCTGCAGCCGCTGGGATTCGTTGTGGTGGTGGTGGTGGTTGAGGTGGCCGTGGGCGTTGTCTGGCTATTGGTGCCGGACATCTTGCTGTTAGTATTGGCAGTGGCTGAGTTACAATTGTTAACTTTCAATCTGCTCGCCTTGGTGCTGGTGCTGTTGCTGGTTGTTGCTATTTCAGGTGGTGTTGCTAAAGTTGTTGTTGTTGTTGTTGGTGTTACTTCGATTACTGCTGCCGCCGCGGTCAGATTCTCATTCTTGACGGTCTTCTGGTTGCTGGCCAGGAGAGCGGCGGCGGCGGCGATTTTCGTCTGTCTGGCGGCAGCAAGACGAGGTATGTTGTAAGGGAACTGTCTATTTGGCAGTTTGTTTTGATTTTTGTTACCACTCGGGCTGTTGGCTTGGGCAGCGCTCGGCTTGCTGTTGTTCTTGCCAACTGGAGCTGCTGCTGCTGCTGCTGCACTTGTGGTTGTGGTAGGTGTGGATTTATTATTCAAATACGCCGTGGAGCGCACGTTCAAGTCATCGCTTTCATGGCTTTTCGCATCATTATTCATTTTACTCTCTCTCGCTGAGGGTGTGAGTGCTATTTTGCTTTGCTTTTACTTTTAATTCGCGCGTCCTTTTTATACTTTTTAGTTGGTTGGTAGGTTGGAGAAGAGAGTGTAGGATTAGTATACGAGATTTTTTTTTAGGTTTTTTATGTGGGTAAGAAAATTACTCCAAAGAAAATTACTTCAATGAATTTGACATCTTTGTTGATGTGTTTTCCGAAAGCTTTATTATAACTCGGTTCGGAACAATAAAAAAAACACATCAACAAAGGCGCCGAGGATTGGAGTTCTTAAAGATTTATGCGTTTATATCGATTTTTTGTTATATTGTTAGGAATTGGATTATATATACACGTATATATAGGCAGGCACACCACACACTCACTCACACACACACAAAAACACACATACACACTCGGAGAGATTCAGGCACACACACGTTCCGCACCCGTATGGCAACGCCGCGCATTCTTTCACTTCTCCTTCTCCTCTATTGCACACTCGTTCGTACATTCGTATCGTTCGTTCGCATTTAATTCTCCCATTCCCATGCCCACTGATTCACATTTTTACACCGAAAACTGTTCAGGTGCGAAACAAAAAACACACGCTCTGCGGGAAGCGGGGGCAACAACTTTTATTTTCCTTTTCAATTTTTCTTTATTCCCCGTTTTTTTCGAATCGCGGGGACAATCGATGCGCAATTAGGACTTCGGCAACGTGCTTCACTATTTATATAATCGCAGGCAAACAAATCGCCAATTAAAGGCTGCACTTGTCGCGATTAATAACTCTCGCACATTGTCTATGACCGTACTTTATTTATAAAACCTTTCGAGCAGTTTCGACTTCGCCCTGAACGAGCCAAGAAAAAATCACTTTTCGACTTTTCGTTTCGTCGATAGCCTCGTCTCGCTTGCACACACGCGATTCGCTACAGCGGCCCGAGTGGCCGCGTCAGGAAGGCAGAAAATAGCGACTAAGGGAAAATTTTTATGCCACTATTCAGAAGCAGATTTTCACCAATTTACGGCTATTTGAAGGCCGGAAAACTAGTACCCTTTATTCCGCACTTGCTGCCCAATAGTTTGGCGATTATTTCGCGTATTACCGTTTTCAATTTATAGTGAATTAATCAAATTTTCAGCAGTGTTAAATCCTCAGTGTTAAAATCGTCAGAGTTTCGGATCGCCATATTATTCTATTCCCGGATATTAGAGGTTGGCAATCGATGTTTCCAAGATGTATCGATATGTTGGGGAAATATCTAACATTAAACCCGGTTCGGGCACGGCTTACCGGTTCGAATTGTAATATTGTATTCCCGTATATACGGGGTTCGAAAACTTATTTAACAACGTCTTTAAAATAAAATCAAACGAAGGTCATTTTTTTTACATGGAAGTCGATTTGGATCGCTATATTCTTCTCCCGGATATTGAAATGAACCGGAGCGATCTGGTTCTCAGACGAAGTTGCCATTTAATTTTGTTCATCGCTTATACAAGCCTTGTTATTTTATTAAAAATTTATTATTCTCCGACTAGAAGCCGGGACATGCTTATCTAAACATACCATAGCCAAATACATATAGAAAACTTTTTGACGCTTTGTATTTTTTTTAGCAATTTTGTTAAATTAGCTAAAACGTTAATTTTTTTAAATTTTGCTTAAGAATTTTGTTTAGTTTTCATACCGTTTTTAAATTTGAAATTTTTTGAAAACAATTCTAGAACGGCAACCTTGGGTACGTCCCGAATAGGGTAGACTACTAGAATTACCAGGTACCAGGAGTTACCTGGTAGAATTACTGGTAATAAACCAGGATAGTAAGTTATTTGGTTTTTTCTTATTGACGGCTTGAAGTGAATTTTAGAGGGTAAAAATTTTAAGGGAGCAAGCTTTTTTTTTCTAAGAAGTTTTTTTATGTTTATCTCTACTGCGAATTGCGAATTAACATAAATTTTGTTTCAGTGCACCTTTGAATTTAGGGGGATATCTGCATTTTTTAGTGTGTTTTGCAAATCGGTATATGGCAACACTCCATCAAACATTGACAACACTGGATATACGTGTCATTTTGCCGATTTAGACTCCAGAAAAAGGAATCAACGAATATATTAAGATGCATACGGTTCTCACCCGAGGAAACGCCACCGTGGCGTATACCCTGAGCGTCCTAGCCTGCCTCACCTTCAGTTGCTTCCTGTCTACCGTGTTTCTCGACTACCGCACCGATGCCTCAATAAACACTATCCGGGTGCTGGTGAAGAATGTGCCGGATTATGGAGCTTCCCGCGAGAAACACGATCTGGGCTACGTCACCTTTGACTTGCAGACAAATCTGACCGACGTCTTCAACTGGAACGTCAAGCAGCTGTTCCTGTATCTGACCGCCGAGTACAAGACGCCGGCCAATCAGCTCAACCAGGTGGTGCTCTGGGACAAGATCATCCTTCGCGGCGACAACGCCGTTCTCGACTTTAAGAACATGAACACCAAGTACTACTTCTGGGACGACGGAAACGGTCTTAAGGATAACCGCAATGTGTCCCTCTACCTCTCGTGGAACATCATCCCCAATGCTGGACTCCTACCCTCAGTCCAGGCCACCGGCAAGCACATCTTCAAATTCCCGGCCGACTACGCCACCTCCTCCATCTAGATATGTAGTTAGTGAAGCGAAACTGATCTGATAGGAAACCATAACTTAGTGGGTATCAAATAAAATCATAACCAAAAAAAGATCAACTTTCCATCAAAAAACACTGCGTTTCTAACAAGAATCTTTTATATTTGGGATTCTAATAGTACAGGATAAGACCTTTTAGAATATTATTTATATTTTATTTAAATAATGAATTGTATGAAATTGCGAATTCCTCTAAAAACTATCATTACTTCCTACATAAACTCATAACTACCGTCGTCAAAATTTCGATTTCCGACCATCGGACCACCGGCACCCATTTGATTGGGATTCTGGCCGCCCATCTGTGGCCGAAACTGGTTGACGGGCGTGGTCTGGTGTTGCAGCAGCTGACGCAGTCCCGGGTTGTTGTTGCTCATCATGGGGCGAACCATGCGCTGCTGCTGTTGCTGCGCCTGCTGCTGCTGCTGCTGCATGGCCGCCACGTTGGGAGCCACTTGCTGCAACTGCTGCTGCAAGTTAGGATTGGGCACTCCGCCGGGTCCAACGCCAAGGGGCATCCGCTGCTGCTGCATCATGTTCATCTGCATCTGGTTTTGCTGCATGGGCATTCCCCCAGGCCCGGGGCCTCCGCCTGGGCCACCCCCGCCCATCTGCATGTTCAGCTGATACTGGTTGTAGTGCTGCTGCTGTTGCTGGGAGTTGTCCTGCTGCATCTGCTGCTGCTGTTGTTGTTGCTGTTGCAGCTCCATGGGCGACTTGCCCTGTTGTTGCAGCATTTGCTGTTGCTGCTGCTGCTGTTGCATACTCCCGTGCTGCTTCTGCTGGATAACCTTTCGCAGTCGCTCCACAAACATCGCCTGATTGTTGGGTATGAACCCAAGAAACGCATTGCGATCCGGAGTGTACAGAAGAATGAGGACCTTGAGCTCGCATGCTGGCGAGTTGGGAATGGACGAGAAGTGGACGCAACCGGCGTACCCGGACGTCATCATCTTGGCGAGGGAATCAAGCGCCTCTCCAGGTGTTGGCCGGAAAACGACCATCTTTGAATCCTTTAGGAACTGCCCTCCAATGTTGCCCACCAAGTGCTTGGGCATCAGCTGCATCAGCAATTTTGGAGGCCAGTTTTCGGCTTTGATTTCTGGCTCTCCGTCCTTGATATTGGTGCACACCGTGCACTGAAGCGTGTGCGGAATTTTTTGCGGATCTGACTTTGGTTTCTCCGACCACTCCAAAATGCCCGTCCAAATCTTTTCTCTCAGGGAAGCCTGCTCCTGCTGCGGATTCGCCTGCTGTTGCTGCTGAGGATTGCCCTGCTGCTGGGGATTGGCTTGCTGGCCCACCTGCTGCTGCTGCTGTTGCTGTTGTTGTTGCGGATTGGGCATATTTCCAGCATTTGAAACGGCCGGCATCATGTTGTTCCCGGGGTTGTTTGGATTTCCTTGTTGCTGTTGTCCCTGCTGCTGTTGCTGCTGCTGCGCCAGTTGTTGCTGCTGCTGCATTTGTTGGTGGTTTAGGATCTGCTGCTGGCTGATCATCTGCATCCGCTGCTGCTGGGCCTGTTGTTGCTGCTGTTGAGCCTGCTGTTGCTGCTGCTGCTGTTGGACCTGTTGTTGCTGCTGCTGTTGCGCCTGCTGCTGCTGCTGTTGCAGGGAGTTCACAGTTTGGTTGGGTGGTGGTGCATTGATGCGTGAGATTAATGCCGAGTTGGGGTTCTGCTGCTGCTGCAGCTGCATTCCGCCACCTTGTCCTACATTGCCGGCACCCTGCATAAACGGAGGACGCTGTTGGCCTGGCTGGTTCGGATACATCCACCGGTTTTGACCTGGAAAGTTTGGATTCTGCATTTGGTTGGGCACAAACTGACTTTGCTGCTGTTGCTGCTGCTGCTGCTGAATGAGTTGTTGTTGCTGCTGAGGATTGAGGAGTCCCGCTTGGGGATTCTGACCGGGTTGCTGCTGGGGCTGCTGCATCGGATTCATGTTCAACACCTGCTGTTGCTGTTGCGGATTTCCCTGCTGCGGTTGTTGTTGCTGCTGCTGCGGAGGATTAGTGTCCATAGGCATTCCGCCACCTGTTTGCTGCTGGACCGCAGGATTCTGTTGTTGCTGTTGCTGCTGCTGAGCAACAGCCTGAGCTGCGTTTGGCGCAGCCATTTGGGCACCCATACTGTTCGGACTGGGAGCCCGCTCCTTAAGGCTGTAACCTTTAAGCAAGACCAAATGGCGAATATTCTTCGCGTAGTTCTTGCTCGTGATCGGTTGGTCCCCATCGGCCTTCATGAAGAGCTTGAAGAGCACGGGCATCTTTCGGGGAGCAATGATCGAGAGATTTATCTTTTGTTCGTTGAATAAGGCGGCCAGCTGCTCGCAAGTTTTGCCCTGGTACTTCCAGGACTCTGTAGTTGGCATCTGGTAGGGCGGGCTATTGCAGATAAGGATGCAGTGGCGCTGAACGCTGGTCTGGTCAATCATCTGACGATGTTTGGCAAAGTCGTCGAAACAGCCGTGAGCTGCTGCAAATCCCTCAGCCATGTGGGCACAGGACTCCATTCCGCCGCCGACCAGCGGCAGGCGCTCGATGGTCTCCATTACCTTTTGTGGCTGCAAGAAGGGGCCATAGGTGGAGCAAACGGGTTCCAGCAGATTGGCGGCTGTCCGATAGACCACAATTCCGTAAAGAGTGGCGAAGCGCTCCGCAATCAGATACTCTCGTTCGTCAATAGAGCCAGTCGTAAAGTGCTCCAGAGTCGGCAGAATGTAGTTGGTCTTCAGCTCGTTGATGTAGGCCCCGTTGATGGCGCTGCCCTCGATTACGAAGACCACGTCGGCCAGAGGCATCTGGTCCACCTCCATCATGGACATCGGATGCGAAGATGCGGAAGACAGCTGAACTTAAACAAAATCAGAAACTTGTTGACAAAACAGAAACAGAGCTTCTGATACGTTCTTCTTCTTCTTCTCCTTTTTTTGGTGCTACCACCCTTCTCAGATATCGATAACTCTCGCCAAGCTATCGATATCAGACGCCGTGCAGCCCTGCCTATTCTCACTCTCACTTTGCGTTTGTCAAAACAAAATTATCCAAAAACTTGTTTAATTCGGTCCTTAACTTTATTATCTTTGCCGTTTATGTATTATATGTGTTTAGTTATGCGCGACAACCCCCTGCGTCCTTGTTTAAATGTTTGTGTTTGTGAAATGGCCGTTTAAATGCAATCCACTCGTGCCGCGTCTAATGGAGAAAAATCAAACATGTTTTTATTGAAAGACTGCTGACTGCTAAATCTAAATTAAAAGTGCTGCCATGATAAGGCAAAGTGCTCCGGCTGCCGCGCCCTCAGCGGCCAGCGTATCCGGCAAGGCGACCCCCGCGCCATCGACGCCCACCAACAATGCACCCCAAGCGGCACAGGCCGCTGCCCAAGCTGCCCCCCAAATGCAGCAGATAGCCATTCACCAAATACCGCAGCAATTTGCTGCAGGTGCCGCAGTGGCAGGTGGTGCCCAAGGCACGGGGCTCACCCAGAACATGTTCCAAATCGTGCAGCCCATGCCCATGCAGACGGTGAACATTGATGGGCAGGAGGCCATCTTCATCCCGAACCTTAATGCTCAGCTGGCCACAGCCCAGCCGGTGAACATCAATGGCCAGCAGGCCTTTATCACGCCCAACGGCCAGATCATCAGGGCGCCAGGGAACTCCAACTGCATCCAGCTGCAGCAGCTGAACGGACTGGGCCAGGAGCAGCCAGCGCAAACTCAACTGTTCAACATTCCCGGCACTAATATTCAAATACCTGTCGCCAATCTCCTTCAGCAGCAGGCGCAGCAGCAGCAACAGCCGCAGGGAACGACTACCACTGGAACAGCAGCGACACCGGGCACCGCAACAGGAGGAGCAGCGGCTGGAGGCGCCACTGCCCAGCTACCCAGCACCATTACAATACCCGGCACCAATCTCCAAATACCCACGTCGGTGGCGGCAGCGAACGGGCTGCTGAGTAACATATCGAACCTATTGGGCGGTGGTCAGTCCATCAAGGTGGAAAATGGCCAGCTGCAACTGCGGCCCCAGTTGGTTCAGTTCCCGACGCAGTCGTTGCCGCAACAGCAGCAGACCGTAGCAGTGCAGATTCCTGTGCAGACCGCTGGCGGCCAAACCATCTACCAGACTGTCCACGTTCCTGTGCAAACAGCAGCGGCAGCGGCCGGAGGGGGGCTGCCCAATCTTATGCAGGCACAATCTCTGCAGATGCCGGCCGCTTCCCAAATGCAGATCATCCCGCAGTTCTCGCAGATAGCACAGATTGTGACGCCCAACGGGCAGATACAGCAGGTGCAGCTGGCGCCCATGCCGTATCCACAGCTGCCACCCAATGCGAATATCATACATATCCAGAATCCCCACCAGCAGCAGCAAGTCCAACAGCAACAGGTCCAAGTGCAGCAACAGCAGCAACAACAAGTCCAGGTTCAGCAGCAACAGCAGCAGGCTCAGCAACAACAGCAGGCTCAGCACCAGCAGCTCCTTCAGGCCATCAGCGAAGCGTCCGCGGGGGGACAAATACCGGCGAATCAACCCATCACCATCACCAATGCCCAGGGTCAGCAACTAACCGTGTATCCCGCCCAGCTGCGGCAGAACCCCGCAGCTCCAGCACCGGCTCCAGCGCCTGCTGCAGTGCCCACCCCGCTACAGCTACCCAACCTGCAGGCCCTGCCCATCCAAAACATTCCCGGATTGGGCCAGGTGCAAATCATACAAGCCAACCAGCTGCCCCCGAATCTGCCCGCCAACTTACAGCAGGTGCTCACCCAACTGCCCGTGCCGCAGGTTCAGACTGGTGGGCAGTCGCACTTGCAGGTGATGCCGAAGCAGGAGCCGCAGAGTCCCACGCAGATGATCACCAACATCAAGCAGGAACCGCCGGACACCTTTGCCCCCGTCAATCCTCCGGCTCCCGCGTCGACGCCAAGCACCACGTCTTCACCTCAACAAATAAAGTTCCTGCAGACCGACGGCAACACCTTGTCCAGCCTGAGCATACCGGCGTCCATTCAGATCACGGCCCTGCCCCAGCCAAACGCCAATCCTCCCCCGCCACCAACTCCAAAAACTAAAGCCAACCTGGCCAGCAACTCCACGGGCAATCAGATCTCCATAGCGCCCACTGGCGTCCAAGTGGTGACCACGCCAGTGAGAGGAGCCAGTATAAGGGGTATTACCACCCCGACCATAAATCCCACCCAGAACAGCACCAATCTGAATGTCAGCGGCGGGAGCGTTGGGGAGTCCAAGTCGGCAGAGTCGAAGCCGCGACTGAAGCGCGTGGCATGCACCTGCCCGAACTGCACCGACGGGGAGAAGCACTCGGACAAGAAGCGCCAGCACATATGCCATATAGCCGGCTGCCAGAAGGTGTACGGAAAGACCTCGCATCTCCGGGCTCACCTGCGGTGGCATACCGGCGAGCGACCATTCGTGTGCTCCTGGGTGTTTTGCGGAAAGCGATTCACTCGATCCGACGAGCTGCAGCGCCACAGGCGAACGCACACCGGGGAGAAACGGTTTCAGTGCCGCGAGTGCAACAAAAAGTTCATGCGCAGCGACCACCTCTCCAAGCACATTAAGACTCACTTTAAGAGCCGCTCCGGAGCGGAGCTGATGCTGAGCATCAAGCAGGAAGGCAAGACTGCGAACGGGCCGAAGAGTATCAGCACCATGAGCGGAATAGTTACGATAGAGCTACCAACGAATCGGACAACAGGGGTGGCAGGAAGTGGCGCCTCCAGTGTGGCAGCCACGGTTGCGGGATCAACTGTGACGCCGGGCGGAGCAACGATTGTCCAGCTTCCAGCAGTGGAGGGTCCTGGTGGCGGCGATAGCTTTGGCGAGGAAGACGAGGACGAGGAGGAAGATATGACGGAAGAGGATGAAGACGAGGAAGATCTAGACGAGGAGGAGCTGGACGAGGACGACGACGAGGAGCCGGAGAGTGGCGACGAGGCCAAGATGACCATTGCTGTAAGCGAGCCGGGCGAGAACGCGTCCAACTAGCATTCGGAGTCACTGTTCATGGAACAGTTCCTGTTTGACCATTTCCCGTAGCATCCGCCGCACCTGCCACACCCGCCGCCCCCGACCCTCTGCCACGCCCTCTGGGACCACGTAAATTAGTTATCCATGTAAATAATACATAGCGTAAATTATGTAAAAGGGAGCATTTTAAATGTCCAACTCCGTGCACATACTGAGCCGAATCAGAATGTACATATTTTAAAAAATATTTAATTATTGAATGGATTAGAATAGGGTTTTATTATAAATAGGGTTCTAGTGAATCGACTAAGCCATAAGTACATGTTTTTAAGAAGTTTTTATATCCATCTCTTTTAATTAAAGAAATAAACAAAAATAACATTAATATTTAACTTTAAAATCTTATTCTTCTAAACTATTCAGTACGGAGAGCCAGCGCAAGCCCCAGCCCTAAAACCTATAACATTTATTGAGTCAAAAAAAAAAGGCTAATCATTGGGAGACCGAATCCTGGGTAGATGCGCCCACCACTTGGGTTCCAAAGATCTCATAGTTTGTATCGTCACTCCTCTGGGATTGGGTGTTTTTTTCATCAAGAATGCTTTCAGAGTTCAGTTCAATTCCGGCCTGGACCCAGTCCAGATTCAAAAGACTCGGATGTATTTCCTCGCTTGGCCCGATGCTCAGCTCCTGGCTCTGGCCTCCTCCTGCGTCCTGATTCTGGCTTTGGCTCTCGCCTATATCCTGAAGTAGCATCTCGCTGTTGTAGTTGTAATCCTCCTCTATTATATCGCCAAAGTCTGAGATATCGGTTCTTTTCACCAATTTCATTCGTGGATACATATCCACAGGTGCTGATTCTGTGTCTCCTATGCCAACGAGTCCACCGTCTTCCAAATGAGAGTCCAAGTCCAAGATGTCTTCTTTAGAGGCACTTGATTGGGAGGACATCAGCTCCACATCCGAGATATTGTCATTTGTGTAATTCGATTTGCGGGAAGACTTTGACTCTCTTGAGAGGCTTCTTCGGCTTTGGCGCCCAATCTCCAAACGTCGAAGATTTTGTTCTTTAAGAAGACTGCGGTTGATACTCCTCCACTTGGACACCTCCTCGTCCGAATACGGCGTCACCATTTTTCGCTTTACCGCTTTAATCAGCATCTTGTCAATATAGCGTTGGGAGGCGTCTTTAAACCGGCCCTTTGCCTCGAATCGTTTTTTGGCTTCAAAAACACAGTTTTTTCTATACATTTGCACCTTGACTTTGGTACGCCGGCACAACTCCTCGACTTCCTCTCGAGAAAAGGGCCGCGCCAGTTCTTCAGCGGTTATCCTTGTCTTTTCGTATATCCAAAGATAGTGTTCCTTACAGCCGTCCGGGGCGATTTCCATCACGGACTGTTTATCTCTTTCTAGGTAATCTGCGAATTCCGGTGTCATCTCAGGTCTGTAAATAGTTATTAATGAATTTTGATTCCAACATTCAACTGGCACCTAGATACTTTGCAATTTGGCTCCCGCTTCAAAACATCTTAAGGCTGCCAACTTGGGCGATCAGAAAAACTGTACCGCCAATCTATTCAAAATAAAGGTGCCTAAAATTTGAAAGTTAAAAAAGTCATTTCAAATGATTTCCTTTTTGTAAATCTTTTATAAGTTTTTTTTATTACCCTAAATAACACTTTATAGAAGAGTTGGTTTCTTATATTTAATTTAAAATATTTAATGCCGATATTTCTAATGTATATACAAGAGAGTTGGCAGTTCTGATTGCGCCATGCCGAAGAAGCGCACAAAAGAGAAATGGAACAAGAAGGAAAGCGAAGAACAAGACAACATAGCATCAGCAGACAGAATCGCAAATAAATCGCCATCAAAGAATAATAATATTCAAAATATTGAATCGCGATCGGTGCAGAGTTACAACCAAAAAAAGAGTTGCACAAAAAGTGGCTAGCACAGCAAACAGTACGAAATCTACGCTGTTTTTATTTCAACCCTGCCACCTCTGTGTATGCGAGTGACCGTTTTGTATGTGTGCGGTTGTGTGAGTGTGTGTGTGGGCGATTGTTTTGTTTTGGCTAATAGAACAATTAATTGTACATACATTGGAGTTATTCAAAATTAAGGCCGCTTCGTAAACAGAAAATGACTTGTAGATCAAAATTGGCTCCAGCCACGAGTGTTGAGACGCATTTGTAAATACATCGAGTGGCAACTCCGAGCACCATGTATACAAAAACAAGAAACGACGATGAAAACGAGTCGCGCAATAAATAAAGCGGGGAAAGCGAAGCGACGGAGAACGGAGGCACAACGGAGAAGGGGAATAGTAGATTCGTCGCTTCTGTTCCGACAAACAGACATAAAAAACACTTAATACAAAAAAAAATTAAAAATATTAGATACCTCGAAATTCGCAGTGCATTGAAAGGAAGCTCGGCTTTCCCAGTTATCCACCATTTACCGTTTACCGTTCAAAATTCATAAGTAACTTGCGGGTGGCGTACAAAAAGAGCGCGTAGAAGAGCAAGTATTGGCAAGAAAATACAAAATTCAAGAGACTGACTTAAGGGGCAACGTAAACTGAGGCGATCGTACCCGAAGTATTTCTAAGCTTGGCCCAGGTAAACAGAGTTTGGCAGGATATGTGGCATTCGCGAATCCCAACACGCGTCCTCCTTGCAATTGCCCACCCACGCCATTTGTTGGTTACCCTAACTCTTAACTGCATTACGGCCAATCGAGCCATGTGTGTGTGCGCCTTTGTGTGTGTTCGTGGGCTTGCACTTTGCGCGCGCTTCAAAACATCGAATTTGGTTGCATTTAGTTATGATTTCAGATTCATGCTTGCAGTCAAAATGAACTATATTAGATTGATGATGAAACGGCATCTGCCATTACAGATCTATTTTGACCGCAAGTGCATCCTCCAATCACCAAAACCATCCCCAAACCCGAAACCCCAAACCCCAAAACTCTTTGTTTACTAATACGAAATAATAATTGAAACCACTTTATTAATATTTTGCAGAGACGCTTATCATCAGGCGGTTATTATGAAAGGTTATAATTTGATTCCAATTCTCCTTAATAATTTTAAGCTAAAACTAAAAAGATTTCTGTTGCTAAGTGAGGTTTCGTCTCCTAACATGAGCCCTAACTTCCTTGAAACAAAACCAAATGCTTTTTACCTGCATCCTCCTTTTTGAAATGAGGGATCTTCTAATTCCAATCTATTGCTATCTACCAAAATCCAGGCAATCACTATAAAATGTCTCGTAACAAAGACAAATACGACAGCGCCAACCGGAGGCAGCAGATCTTTCTGTCGCAAGAGGATATAGCAGCCGGCAAGAAGACAAACTGGAGTGGTTTGGAGATAACGGGTGAGTGCTGACCACCAATGCTCCAGAAGACACCCTACTAATCCCATATATTCCCCGTATGATAGGTTGCGTTCGGAATATTAGTCCGTCGCTCTGGGAATTCGAACACCTGACCGCCCTCTACCTGAACGACAACCAGTTGCTTCGGTTGCCGGCCGACGTTGGCATGCTGATCAGCCTGCGGACCCTGGACCTGTCCAGCAATAAGCTGCGGAGTCTTCCAGCAGAGCTCGGCGAGCTTATCCAGCTGCGGTGAGTCCTGCAGGCAGGGTTTTGGGACTAGCATATTACTAAAGGGATTATGGGTTCCTATATAAGATAAGATTTAAATATGAGACCCAGCTATTGGCCCGTTTTGGTCACTGATCCACACATTTCACTCACTCACCGAGTCTTCTCCTTTTAGGGAACTGCTGCTGAACAACAACTTTCTGCGAGTGCTGCCATACGAGATCGGCAAGCTGTTCCACCTCGTCATACTGGGACTCATGGGCAATCCGCTGCAAAAGGAGTTCATGAACATCTACAACGAGCCGAACGGCACGCAGAAACTGCTCACCTACATGCTGGACAACTTGTCATGTGAGTGCCCCCTGTTATCATTACTTTTCCTTCGGGTGTGCTGGTGTGTGTGAACTTGGTGCGTAACCAGCCGCCAATGTGTGTGTGTGTGTGTATGCCTGTGTGTGGGGGGAAAAAAGGAAAGCTCGTGAGCAAGAGCGCAAAAAAGGCTTCCGAAAAGAGAAAGTTTTGGACTGTAGCTGGAAGGGTATCTTAGCTATGCAATTGGGTTGGTTTAAATTAATATTTAAATGTATATTTAAGAAAAGTAAAAGTTATGAAATATACAGAAATTAAGGTTAACCCTTTTATGGATTTTCCCTTCGAACCCCACTTCCAAACAAGTTTCTGTAAGCTCGTGTAATTAAAGTTCAAACTCACGGCTAGACACTAATGCCGAAAACATAATGCACAGGCATCAATTAAAAATAAATAATTGAATGCAACAATTACAAGAACTGCACGACCTCGACATGCAAAAGCATGCCGCTCTCTGGCCGTTGGCCCGAAGAGAGCGAAAGATAGATGGCGGGGTAGGGGTGGGAGCTTAAAAGCCGGCTTTGGCTTTGCTTGTGGATCGCAAGTGGAACGCAAGACCCGCTCAGAAAAAAAAGAGAGCGCGAGAGAGAGTGGAAAATCTCGCATAACGGCTTTTACTGTTAGCCGGCCCGATCGGCGATCGTTGGAGCAGCTGACTTCAGTCTGCCTTCAGACCTCAGTGGACACACTTGCTCCACTTGCTCGCTCCACACTTCGATATCCAGTGGAAACCCGTTCGCGGCTCGCCTCGCTTAGATTCGATTCCGTTCGCGCAGGCGCCCAGTGTTTCGTAATTGCGCTCGCGCCGTGTCCCAGATTCGGTGGCTCGTTTCGTTTTCATTTCGCAGCGCTGCTCGAGTTCGTTTGGCAATCGAAATGCACCATTGAGTGGCTTAATCCGAAATCAGAGAATCGGCGAAAACGAAGCATGTGCAATCGGCTAGGACTGAGATCCACCGAGAGTTGAGATGAGATCGCATGTGGCCGTCTACCGGGCGCCCGAAACTGCACCACCTGCACCACCCTATGGCCCCCTGAGATACCCACCACATCAGCAGCAGCAGCTAGGCCACTGGCCAGGCTCACCAGCCCCACCACCGCCGCAATCCTCCGGATACAACTTGCAACGACTGCATCATGCAGCGCCTCCTCCCAACTGGACCACCTCCCCGGCGACCGGCCCTCCACCCCAGCCCAGTGGCTACGGGGTCGTCAATCAGCAGCGGATCAACGAGTGCGCCGGGATTCCGCTCATCTCGAATGCTTCCAGTCACCTGTCGCCGGCCCAGCGGCAGCGACTGTTGCGGAAGTCCACTCCAAAGTCCGCACCGTCCTGGCCGCCTGGCGGGGCTTCCATGTCGCAACTGGCGGTGCACGCGCAGGGGATGCCGCTGCTTCAGCAGAACGGCAAGCAGCATCTCCAGCCACAGTTCCAGCCGTCGGCCCATCCACACAACCACCACCCGATGCCGCCCAACTGGAGTGCCTACCATCCGATGAACAGCCAGGGCTTCAAGCTGGCCGACAAATCCCGGACCCTCCGGTACCAGAACTCTGCACCGCCCGTGCTTACCACCCAGGAGAAACCCATCATGAATGCATCAACCCAGGACCAGACCAATTCTCCCTCGGAGACCTGCCTGCCCAGGATCATTAAGCCGAGGAAGCGGCGCAAGAAGGACCGGAAGCCGGGCAACGGAGTGCTCCTCAAGCTGGAGCCCGAGATGCAGCCAAAAATGAACAGCCATGGGGAGGGCTATCCCGCTGGTGTCGCGTACCACCTACCACCTGGGATACTGCAGCACGACCACACCCATGGTGTCTGCTTTTGCCGGGACTGCGATCCGCTGCGCTCTCTGTGGGACTACCCACTGCGTCGGTCCCTCTCGGACGCCTCGTCGAGCGAGCAGGGTGGCGGCAGCCGGGAGTCCTCGTCCTCCACTTCGTCCACTCACTCGGACAGCTCCTGCGATAGCTCCATTTGCAGCCAGAGCCGGCCCAACCCAACCACCAAGGCAGCGCTGGAGGAGACGGCCGAGGAGTTCGCCCCCATTACCGGAGACAGTAGTCGGGCGGACATAGTGGGCGTGATCGGGTCCCAGCGAAGTCATCCGAGCGTGGTGACCACGCCCTCGCAGTGCCTGAGCGACGACTCCGGCTACGGGGACATCCTGAGTGGGATCAACATAGTGAACGATCTGTTCGGGAACTGTTTCAAAGGCGGAGTGGGCAACACCTCCTCCTCGACGATTTCCGCCCAGGCGGAGACTCTCCTGGACGAGAGCCTCAATGAGATATCGCGCAAGCTGATCGAGACCTGCAATGCCTCGGATCATGCCGGATTAGTATCGGGCCTCGGACCGGGATCGGGATCAGCCAGCGACAGTGGCTTGGATAGCGCTGGGAGCCACGGCTGCGAGTCGGGCCTCGTCTTTAACTTTGAGCATTTGAATCTGACGGATGCGACGCCCACAGCCTTGAATCTCTTGGTAGATTGCAACAACAATAGCAATAGCTTGGGCTTGGTGTGGTGCGGCGGCGGCGGCAGGCATCCGAGCGGAGGTGGCAGCCACGATGACAGCCAAGTGGCAGCTGCCAAACTGGGGCCAGACAGCCGGGCCACACCCACCAGGCTGATACTGGGCTCGGTGGGTAAGCTAAAGCCAGCGTTTTCCACCATCTCGTGACGACGACGACGACAATGGAAAACTAATCAAATCCATGGGAGACGAAAGATGAAAACCGAAATCCCAAACCAGAAAATGACGTTTCTTGTTTTTTGGCGACGGAGAGATAATTGGAAACGTGAGACGCAAGATATCCGCTGCGTGGGCGGACTCGGATTGGAAAATTCAAATCTCCCCACATCCCATTTGGGCATTTCTTCCAAGCCCAAGTTGCATAACTCCCAAAAGAAAGATAAAAGAAAGAGACACTGAGGTGAAAGATAGAAGAAAACCCATTAATCCGTCCCAGACACATGTGAGGCGATCATCATCACGTCGTCAGGCCTTATGGATGCAATCCCAAAGCTAAATGGAAACTTGTGAAGACCGACCGGGACTGGCAGCTGGAAACCTTGTACATACCATCCATCCACATCCACATACACACATGAAGCTTGAATCCGAACCCGAACCCGAATCCGAATCCAACTTGCGACTTCCACTTCAACTTTCACTTTCACTGTGGCGGCGTTTTGTATTTCTGTATTTTTTAAGACTCTTTTTCTTTTCTTTTTCTTTTTGCCAAGACCACAGAGTCCAAAAGAGCTGCGGGTGGCGGTGGCTAGAGGCGGGAGAGGGGGGCGGGTGTCAGCTCTTATGCAGATTTTGTGGCGCAAAAAGAAGAAGAAACTGTAGCTGTAGCTGTAGAAATCGTGTGGAGCAGCGCTACCATGTGAACCCAAAACTCCGTACAATGATTCACCCAAGCACCCAAACACCCATACATCCATACATCCATTTCTTTATACTTTAAACGCTGTTGTTATTTGTGCATTAACGTTACCAACCCCGTAGGTCCAAAATCGTACACCCCGTGATCTGGGATCTTATGTTTCGAGTTTAAGCCACGTTCCTAAATGTAGTTGTGTATCTCGTAGGTATTGTTGGATCTTTTGGTTTGGTTTTTAGATAGTTTTGTAATCGCAGCGCTACAACGTGAACTTTTATAGTGGATAGGTCTGGTTAGGTTATAGGTTATGCTTAGTTTTGGGGTCAGGTTTCGTAGGAACTCGTAGAAAGGATCTCCGTCGGTTTTTAAAAGTCGAAAGTACATACATATTTTAGTGATTCATCCTTTGAGGTCGAACCGAAAAGAAAACTTCAAGTGAGAGTTGAATTTCCAATGGGGTTGTGGGATATTTCTTATCATGGCATGCTGTATCTCGGAATTAAGATTCATTTATGGCTGAATTGGCACCGAAAACAGCCGAAACAGAAAGAACATCTAGCGCACAATTAATTCCAACTGAGATCGCCGAGCATAAAATCTAAATCTGAAAATCGAGAGCAGCCCTAGTTACCTGCTTACTGGCTGCTATAGTTGGCGAGTAAAAGTTTTCGCCTTTTTTTTAATTAAAAGAAACTCACGAACGAACGAAGCGCGCGCCCGCTTAGAAATTGCTTGAAGTTTTCCACTCCACTCCGGATCGGCTCGGCTTCTCTTGGCTGCAATCGAGTTAGCTTGGAGTCTTAGCATCAGCATCAGCGGGTTGGGTGGAAAATGTCACAGATTTTCCATTGACAGGTTCCGGGCAGAAAGAGACAGACGGCGCCTGTGTTACCATTCCCCAGATAGAAATTACAACTCAAAGCTAATTTATTTAATTAATATTTTCACTAGTTTGTATTGCATGGCATTGTGCTCTCTTGTATTGTAGTCTTTGTTCGTTTTTAAGCATCGTTTTTGCACAAATAACAATAATATATAGATATACTACACCCCCCGATCTACACTCGATCTAACTCACATCCTCATCAATACACCAACTACCATCCAACATACTACTTTTGTAAACCATCCACAATATGGCCAACTTATTTATTTTGATTAAGCCCGAACGAGAACTCAATAAAAAGTGTAAACAAAAATGTCAAACAAAAAGAACTTGATTGCTGTTTTGATAGCCCCGAAAATGGTACAGAGCCACAGAGGTGTTGAAAAAGCCTCCGATTGGAGATCCGAAAAACTCAAAAGTAAACTCCATCTTCTAATGAGGCACGTTTGAGGCTCGAAGCCGGAAAAACAAACAGAACTGCTGCGTTTCGTAGGCCTACAACTGCACTCTCGAAAATGAACTTTCCAAACATTGGCCAGCGAAAGAGTCAGAGTCAGTCAGTTGCTGGGACACTGGACAGATTTCAATTACCGAAAGCCGAGTGGGAACCTCTAACTCTGTCTCTCGTCGGGGAAGATGATTTACTGGCCACCTTTCACCTGGGCGAAGGCCTGGCCTTCTAAGTTTTTTTTGCGAAAATATTAACCGCTCTCATAACCGTAACTGGCAAATTAATTTCTGGGCATTTTGTGCCTGTCATTAGGCTAATTAATGTCTCCATTTTAAGGTCTCATTTGTGGTTCTTTTGCCGCTTGTTAGGTCAGCTTCTAAAGACGCCCCTTCTTGGACTCCATCAGGGCTCGATTTCGGTCGCTCTTCTTTATTTCACAACTCCAACTCTGGAGGTCTCCGGACCCGGACAGCGTCGAGCCGAGCTTTGAGTGGGTCAGTGGATAATTGGGTCATTTGCAACACTGTTTGCGCCATCAGCCATCGGCCAGCACCACCGGCTAAGAGCCAGCCAGCAACAACAACAATAAAAACTATGGCCAGCGGTGGCTAATGTGTTTTGGCTACGTCAATAAATGCGTCGTGTTGTTCTGGCCATCATAGCCGCTGGCCAACGAAGCGGGCCATCTCTTCCAGTGTCTCTACCATCAACCTGCTAGTTTTCCTCTTTTCCTTCTGGCGTCTGAAATTTAATTGTTTTTCCTCACCTTCTCTCACTGGGGGTACTTTGGAAATTAAGTGAATTTTAATTTAAGAAAAATAGCAGCTTTTAGGGAGAATTTAAGTAAATGATTTTAAGAAATTAAATATAAGGAAAAATACCCGCTTTTAGGAAATTTAAAGGTTTATTGTAATAAATTTTATATATTTCTTATTTCATTTACTGAGATATCATTTAGATATATTTAATTTAAAGTCAGAAAAGAGTATCTACATATATGCTTTAAAAATATTTCTTCACTTTATTTCTTCTTTTTTTTTTAGTTCTGCGATTTTTTATTTAGTCTTGCCATTTTTCCTCTTCGTTTACTCTTCTCTGCTGTTTTTCCAGTTGACTTTTCTTTGGCTAGAAATTAGCATTTCGCCATGAAATTGAAAGTTTCATTTTTCAATTAGCCTGGCCAGTTCAGTGGGTCACTCCAACACTACCATCCAGCCAGCCAGTAGCTCCAGCAGCTCATCATCGTTGCTCCCCCATCGCAACTTCCTCTTGGCCAGACGAGACTCGTAAAAAAAACATGTACTTAATCCGAATAAAGGCCAAATGTCTACGAAAAAGGTTACGCAAAATGTCAAACAGTTAAGAATCCAACTCCTAACGGCCCCAAATGTCATTATTACACTTATTTTCCACTTTTAATGCTCGTTCGTCTGCTCGTTCTGTGGGTCGTCTTAAAGTTGTCGGGTTTTCTTGTTTCTTGTTGGATATTTTTCTTTTTTTTTTTTTGGATGGCGATGTTGTTGATTTTCGTGTTGACTTCGTTTTAGATTTTCACAGACAATTGCCGGTTGCTACTTGTCTGGCACATTAACCGTGTACTACACCATGCTCCACTCCACTCCACTCCAAGAAAGATGAAGGGCTTCACTTTTTGAATAATTTGTTTGTCTAAAATTCGTGTGTGCACGTTGGGCAATGTGTCGATTGGATTGTATCTCTAGATGCACGCTTCCAAAGAACTAACTAATTCATTGCTCCACATTTGTACCTGATGGATAAACTTTTATGATAATCTTTTACAATAAGATGCCCTGGGTTACGAACCGCAAAACCTCAAAACAAAATATCTAAGAGCTAACTTTTTATACTTTTCCATAAACTGATTTTGCAAATGGGATTCTTGTAAGCCCAGTACTCCCCAGTAGGTCACCATAATCGAACAAAAACCAGATTACAGAATGTAAGCCATATTATCTAACCCAAGCTAATTGGGTTGTAGTTCTTTTTGTATTCCCTATAGGTTGGTGCCTATCGAGGTTGGTTAGGTCACAAGTTAGAACAAAAAGGTGGTCCATCATCCAACTCATTGTCATTACTAGTTGCCGTTTACCAGATTAGCCGCGATCTCCGGCCATACTTTGCTGCAGTCTCGAATGACGAAATCATGGCCGGACAGGGGGCGGAGGGCTCTAACATGGCCTGTGACGTAAACTTCATCGGAAAGATGGTAAGAAGATGCATCACCGCCTCTTGGACTCCATAAATCAAGTGGACAGAGAGCTCTTCGAAGGGCCGAAGAAGCCAGCCATTTCGCTGTTAAGTCTTAACTCTTTCTGCCGTTTGTGAACGGCTTGTGCTTCATTTGTTGCTGCTGTTTTTATAACCGATTATACCCTCACAAAGGGTACTCCAATATTTTCACCACTTACTGTTTACAGCCAGCATTAGATAGGATATGAATTATAAAATAAAAGATATACTTCATGTTAAGAAGTTTCTTTTTAAAATTTACCTGTAAGGGTTTCTTTGTCGCAAAGTTTAAATAGTATTTGTATCTTAAAGCTATCTATGCAAATTACAGGATACAGAGAGATTTTCAGTTTAATTTATTTAAAGAATTTTACCAAAGAATTCTACTTCAAAGAAAGAAGAAGAATTAACAAATCCCAAAAAAATATTCATATCTAAAAGTCATATCTAAGTTATCTTACAAATTATTGGATCTATAGGGACTCTCCATAAATGTTTTCTATTAGTTCTATTAAAGAATTCTAGCATCTGCTTACAACAAATTCTAAACAAATTCTTATAATAAAGTTTTCTATCCAATTCTAGGACCTTTTATGTTAAATTCAAGTTATCTAGACTTCTTTTTAAATTTTTTCCACCAATTCTAACATATTTTCTACCAATTTTATTAGAGAAATCTAGCAATTCTTCATAAAAAATTCTAAATGATATTCCTATCTACAAGTTGTCTATTCAAATTCTTTGAACTCTCTTATATAATCTATTGAAGTAATCTAAACAAAATTCTGCAGCTATGACGATTCTCCCTTAAATTTTGTCTTTCAATTCTACCAAAGTATTATACCAATTCTAGCAAAGTATTGGATCTATATGGATCTAATGGATCTATGCATAAGAAACCTATATATATCTAGATATTAAAGTATTCCCACTTAAAAGATACCTATCCATATCGTTAGACCTCTTAGACTTCCACCAACTTCTTGAAGGGCATTACAAGCTTCGGCTGTAAGAGCCAACTTTACGTGCTTCTTGTAACTCATTCTTCGGCTTTTTGTTTCCTTTGTGGCCGCTCACGAAATGAGCACAACATGAATTAATTTTTTCTGTTTCTGGCTTTTTTCCGTTTGCCACCAGCCCTGGCCCACCGGCCCACCGTTGTGTGTACAAATTTTGTGTCTCTATGTAGGTTTATAACTCGACTCGTCTGAGCTTTATTGTTATTGCCCTGACTGTTGCTGTGGCTATGTTGTTTTTGTGTTTTTCTGTTTTCTGGCCGATGACGATGCTGCATACGAGATGCTGATGCTACGACTGATGCTATTATTGTTGTAACTGTTACCTAATCGTTTAATTGGCTTAAGTCGGTTGATCTTTTTTTTTGCCTCTTGTCGCATACGTTTGCTTGTTTTCGGCTTTTATTTAATTTAATTTTTATGACAACATTGTGCTTTGTAATGCATTTTAAACGCATCGCGCTTCGTCATCGATTCCCACAAAAGATAGCTGATATACCCATAGTAGTGGAGCATACAGGATCAAAGTGTGGGAAGAGGAAGTGCCCCCTCGTTTAAGGGGCGAAGGTCCTCGCCTTAATAAATACCCTGTATACTATTATAGTAAGGGTTATAGATTAAAAGCCTTTAAAAATATCACCATTCTTTGGCTTACCCTTTATGGCCACCCTTTTCGGCCAATATACCCGGCTTTCCCTTCGTTTGGGCCTCGTTTAGGATGACAAAACGGCCACAAAGCACTGAAATGGTTTATTTATATAGCGAAACCGGTATTTATAACTGCAATTGGGAGAGAAATGATGATGATATTAGTGCCAAAAATTATAATAGTGTGGCCGGGCAACAACAAAAAACAGCTGTTGATTGGGGCCGGTGCCGGAACCCGCCCTTTCTTCTTCACCTCCCCGCTTACTCCACCTCCCTCGTGCTCTGCGCGGCCCACTTCCACTGTTGGCTTTTGTGAATGTTAACGGTTATTTCGGTTACGAAATGTGAACTTTTTTTCTTTCTTCATTTTTTTTTTGTTGGTCGGCTTTTAATATTATTTTGTGCTTTGTCATGGCAAAGCCTTTTCCGTTTTTATTTTCGTTTCTTGCCTCGTTGAGCTTTTTGTTGGTCTCTTGTGGAGTAATTCGCATAATTGGCCCATATTTCTTATAAATATGCAACAGAAACAGAAATCGGAAATGTTATCGTCTCGTCTCGCCTTTATTATTGTTTTAAATGCGGAAGTGAGCTTACAGCCTGTTTTCGTTTCGTTTTCGTTTCATTTTTCGTATCTCTTCTCGTTTTTTATTTTTTTGGCTTATCAAGGTTGTTGTTGCGTAAAAGGAAGTGCAAATGGTTAGAAAGTTTTATGGCCAGGGAATGGGTCTGGCCGAAAGCGATTGCACTGGGAATAAATCAAATACTTCCTGCTACAAGCTTAAAGATATATGTAGACCCTAAAGAGTTTAGTTTTTAGATGATAAGACGTTGTTTTTATAAAGAGAAACTTGGGATTAAAAATATACATGAATTTTAAAGATATTTCCAAATATGATGGATCTTCCAAGTAGATTTCACTCCATATTAAACACCTCTAACTTTAGGAATATATTTTATATATATCTAGATATTATAGAAACCATAACTTTGTATGATTATCGAGGGTTTCGTTTCTTTAAGCCTGGCTCTTTGGCCACTGCCTGGATGGCCCCTTACAGGCTGTGTCAATGTCAGCAGGCGGCAGGCAGTAGGCAGTAGGCTGTAGTTGCCTCGTCGCCGCTTTCCAACTGCGGGAGAGAGAAAGTACCCCGCCGACTGAAAATGCGACTGCGAGTGCGCGCAAAGATTTAAAAGTGGATCAGCGAAAGAAAAATAAGCAGCATGCGGCATTGTTGGCAGATCGCGTGAGTTGCCTGCCACAGCCTCCTACGAAGATCGAAATGCTTGCATTTGAATTTAATTTCAAGAAAAATATTTCGAATTCTTAAAATAAAACAGAGTATCTTCTGTTGGCTATAATGTTTTTCCTCTGTGTACTGGAAAGAAAGCCCACGCCAGTCTGCAACTTGGATGGTGTTGCATCTGGGGGCTGGTGGTGTCTCTGGCATCGGCTTCATCCACAGCATAATCACTGTGCGCGCACATTTTCAATTGATTTTTCATGTGACGCAGCACAATTGAAGTCTTTTGAATATGGTGCTCACGATCGGCAGTGATCTGTGAAGCGACTGCAAGAAGTGCATTGCCAAATGCCGTCCAACTGGTTTCCCACACGCAGACAAAGGCTCCTAAAGAACACACACAGGTGTGTGTCGAAAAAAGTAGCAAAAGTTTGCTTAAAATTGCTCAGAAATACTATTATTTTGAACTGTAATGCTGTTTAGAGCCTGTATTGAGTCTTGGCTTTTATTTCATTATGATTTAAATGCCACATTGTCTTAAGTGGAGGCATCGTATCTACGGCAACCTGCAACTTGCAACTTGGTGTTGCTGAACGCCATTGAACATTGGCAGTCAATTGTTGGTGTTGCTGCTGCTGAGATTGGAAAAAACTGGCGCACCAGAAACAAGTTATCTAATTGCAGCTCTCAAAGTGTGGCAAGTGGCGAGTTGACTTTTGATTTCTATTCAGAGCAAGCAGGTCTCACCACCAGTTATAGAGCTCCTATAGAGCTCCTCCACTCCAGCCAGCACTGGCTGGCATGTTGTGCATACGAAATTGTTGGCCAACATATATAGATACATATATGTACATATATAAGAGTATGTGTGTATTCCCAGAAACGGATAAACACACAAGAGGCTCTGCATCGGCCTCTTGCCGTTTTTAATCGCACCAAATTTCAATTTGAATTTCACTTTCTTTTTCGATACGCTCACTTGGGTTTTTGCCTTTCGAACTTTTGTTTGTTGTCTTTACCTCTTGGATTTTTTCAGTTTTTATTTTTTTTGCTATTGTGTTTCTTTTGTTTTTTCTTCTTTTTATTGTTTTCAAATGCAACCAGCAACGACCATGAAAACTTTTGGATAGAAAGGGCTTTCTAGTGGCGCCCGAGCATCGAAAAAAATAAAAAACAAAAAAAAATTAGGGGAAAGGTGGGTGGGGATAGCAAGAGGGGTGGGTTGGGGAGGGAGGTAAGGCACGACATGGCGTGACATCAGGCTGCGGGGCGAATATTGAACCATCGAATGCCAACTCTCAGCTCACCGTGTCAGGAGAGAGTAAACATAATTGATATGCATCCATTAGGCAGTAAATAATCTTGATTGTGTGACGGTGGAAATTTATGACTGATTGCGATAGAGTGTGGAGGATTAGGAGGAGGCTTAAAGGGGTCACCTACATCTTACCATTAAAGGAGATCTTACCAGTGGGAGGATCTTATATTACAAAAACTTAAAGAATTATACGCAGTTGTGCAATAAAAAGAAACAGAATTTTTACAATTTTTGTACAAAGAGAACCTAAAATTTCAAATTAAAATTATTTAATTAAGTAGAAGATACTTTTAAAAAGAGAATAGCATATTGTCGGACAATTATTATTTACTAAAGTAACATATACTTATAAAAAGAAAATAGCAAGTCCTTCATGTACAAATTTTTTTTACTAATACTACGTTTGTAATCGTTTTTTAAAAAACGTTCTTTGCCGTAATCTCGTTTTTTGGCGTGGAATATTTAAATTCAAAATATTTGATTGATTATTTTGAAAGAATAGATAAACGTTGGTAATAAACGACGAATTTTCTAAAAAAAAATTAACTTCTTAATTTAACGTCTTAATTTTCAAATAAAACTTGGTTATTTGCAGAAATGTATATTATTAAATGATTGAATAAAATATTTCCTTTATGAAACTTTTAAAAATTTTTAGACTTATTAGTTATTTATTAAAAATGCCCAACTGCCCAACTTAACCCTTAAAAAACAGCCCGAAGAACTGAGAACAGCAAGATGGATTGGTAATATTTGAATGTATTTTCGAAAATACACATTCATCTGTTAGTTAAACTTTCCACTGACACTTCCATCTCCAAACCATCTCCAAACCGTGAACTTCCATTTACTAACCCTCTCAATACTCCCCCCTTGCCTCCCAAAATATAGGTAGCACGCTTCGCTGGTTGAACAAATTTGTTTTAAAATTTCGTTGATCGCTTTGTTATCCAAAAGTGTGTGCGATGTTTGGCTTTTGTTACACCTGTCCGTGGGGTAATCACTCATAAATTCGGTGAAATTATTTACCCTCGACGGTATGGGGGTTTCGAGGGACTGCGTGGGCGCACGCGTTGGGTAAAAGTTTCATAATTAACCCCACTCACCGAAAATAGAAACAATGAAAAGGCATCTAAACCTTTAACCCACTAAAGAAGGCGAACTAATGATGACAAACCCTGCCTGTTTGCCCACAATAGTTGGCATTGAGTTTGTTGTCGAAGTCTTTCGTCGGTCGGTCTGTCGTCTGTTTTGTAATTTCCCACTTTAGTTATTACTTACGCTTCGTACACAACGATCACTCATAGACACATTGAGACAAACAGAGTTACGTTGCTCTTTTTCATCCTTTTCTCGTTTTGTAAATATTTCGGTGACTAATTTAGCGTCTTGTGCGATTTTGTTGGCTGCGCCGCCTTGTTGTTGGCTGCGATTGCGATTCCGATTCCGATCCCGATTGCTATTGCGATTGTGATTGCGATTCAATTAAATAACCATTTTGCATAATTAAGGTATAGTACAGCGAATGGTTCCCAAAAACGACGAATTGTACAATTAAAATGCAATCAAAGCTGTGTTAATGTAGTCATTAAAGGCTGTCAGCAAAAACACAAAATAAAAAAAAAGCCAAATCAAATTACCCTAAAGACCAAAAACAAAACAAGGCGCAGACAAGCAACAACAACCAAATTATGAAAAAAATCACAAAATTTATTAAAAAGTGAAAGTTTTTAGTCAACGACGACGACGACTACGAAGCCAGTCTCAGCCTCAGTCGCCACCGCTGCCGCTGCCCCAGCCGCAGCCTCAGCCGTTTCCACAAAATTACCAGAGGGAGAAAAGAAATGCAAAAACAATCCACTACAAGTCTGCGAAACAACAAAACAAAACAAAACAAATCCGCAAAAGCCCCAAGAGCGAAGAGAACCCAGAGTGGGCACAACTGAAAGAGATAGCCAGGGATTGGCAAGAGCAATAGAGCTACCTGAGAAGAGAGTGAGAGAGAGTGCGACCAAGATCCACACTGGGGCATAACGGTCCCCCCTCATATTATCGGTGGTGTGTGGAGGAGGGTACTAACCGAAATCGAGCTGTGGCGCATCCCTTTTTTATGCGTGAAAATGTTTTAAGCTCCAGCTCAGCCACGGCTACCAACGGTCGAAACAGGAATGGCGGTGGGGTGGCCAGGAAGATCTATCAACATCATCCTCACCCCCATCAGCAGTACCACCCACCTTATTACCACCAGCAGCAGCTTCAACATCCACACCACTACCACCACCAACAGCATCAGCAGCAATACCAGCAGCACTACTATCATCACCGCAGCTTCTATACCCCGATGCCGATGCAGATGCCGATGCCATATTGTTCGCAGCGCCCCCCCGGCTGCCCCGTCGCCAATTGGAGAAACCCATGTCCCAGTAAGTGGTTTCCCCCCCAACAGGAGGGAGGAGTAAGTGGTTACATGTCTCTGGTTTGTACTGAGAAATATTTTCAGTCTTTCATATTCGACATTTAGTAGTTTTTCTAGCAAACTTTATTATTTGGCATCTAATTTTTTCGAGTGTATGCAAAAACCACGACAGCACCTGACGACGGCTGGTGGTGGTGGTGGGGCAACCCAAAGGCGGAAGCAATTTGATTGCTTGTGCATGTCACTTTCACCGGTTGCAATCTTTTAGTTCGCCGGGGGAATCGGCTGCTTAGAGGGAGTGGAGTGGGTGGTGGTCACTGGCCACTGGCCACTGGCCGGTAAGTGGTTGTGGGAGAACGTGGATGTTCGCAGATCAGTGTGTCAGTGGGGTAGCTTCAGATAGCGCCCGAATGCCTGTTGTGTGACTTTGTGTGCGGGTGCTAATTTCATAATCTTTTCTCTGCCATTTTCACTCGCAAACAGCAAACTAAACGTGCATCCGCGTATCTTTTTCTTCTTCTTCTGTTGCAGTTACCGTCAATCCACCGCCACAGAGGCCCTGGCTGCCACTGGCCAAGCCCAACAAAACGCGACCAGCCTGTAAGTTGTAATTAAAGCCTAATGGAGCTCCACCCGGCCAGCGAGAATTTCCTATTAGTGTATTTCTAGTTGGCCTGGTTTACTAGCCACACCTGGAGATAATCTCTTGTGGAAACTAAACTAAACTCTAATCCGATTCCAGGCATTTTCACGGTCATGTGCTACAACGTGCTCTGTGACAAGTATGCGACGCGGCAAATGTACGGGTACTGCCCCTCGTGGGCGCTCTGCTGGGAGTACAGGAAAAAGTCGATTATTGACGAGATACGGCACTACTCGGCGGACATCATCAGCCTGCAAGAGATCGAAACGGAGCAGTTCTATCACTTTTTCCTGCCGGAGCTGAAGAACGATGGGTACGAGGGGATCTTCTCGCCGAAATCCCGAGCCAAGACGATGTCCGAGCTGGAGCGGAAGTACGTGGACGGGTGTGCGATATTTTTCAGGGCGTCAAAGTAAGTGACCACCTAAGTTCCAGCAACAGGAACTTATATTAATCCTTCTTCGTTTAAAGGTTCACCCTGATCAAGGAACACCTCATTGAATTTAACCAACTGGCAATGGCCAATGCCGAGGGTTCGGACAACATGCTGAACCGTGTGATGCCAAAGGATAACATCGGGCTGGCGGCTTTGCTAAAGGTGAAGGAGAACGCGTGGGAGCCAATGTCCGAGGTGACGCAGATCTCGCAGCCGCTGCTGGTGTGCACGGCGCACATCCACTGGGACCCCGAGTTCTGTGACGTCAAGCTCATCCAAACGATGATGCTTTCCAACGAGCTGAAGACGATCATCGATGAGGCGAGCCACAGCTTTAGGCCGGGTCACAAAAACGACTCGAACAGCGTGCAGCTGCTGCTGTGCGGCGACTTCAACTCGCTCCCCGACTCGGGAGTGGTGGAGTTCCTCGGCAAGGGACGCGTCTCCATGGACCATCTCGACTTCAAGGACATGGGCTACAAGTCGTGCCTGCAGCGATTGCTGTCGAACGACACGAACGAGTTCACGCACTCCTTCAAGCTGGCCTCCGCCTACAGTGAGGACATCATGCCGCACACCAACTACACGTTCGATTTCAAGGGGATCATCGATTACATCTTCTATACGAAAACGGGAATGGTGCCGTTGGGACTACTGGGCCCGGTGTCGAACGACTGGCTGCGAGAAAACAAGGTGGTGGGATGCCCCCATCCACACATACCCTCCGATCATTTTCCTCTCCTGGTCGAACTGGAGCTGATGCACACGGCTAGCCAACAGGCGCCCCCCAACGGGCTGATCAACCGACGGTAGCAATAGAATCGACGCGGCAGACCCACCACCAGCCACAGCAACAGCACCACCGCCATCATCCCCAGCGGAAGTGGTTCTGGGACTGGGACTGGCACTGGACCTGGGTGTGGAGGTGTAGGAGCTAGTGGAAATGTTGGAATAGTGATCCCAGGCGGCGGCTACAGGGGACGCAGCAGCAGTCACAGCGGAAGCCATTTACTAGCCGCTGCTCTGGGGCCGAGAAAATCAAACAACCTCCAGATGCCCGCGGAAAAGTAGTTTTCTGCGTGGAGTGGATCCAAATACTAACACCCACTGCCCACATCCCTCCCATTCCCAACCGACGTGGCGATCTGCTCGCAAGAAGATTCAATTTTAGTTAGATACGACCTAAAGTTTGATGTGAACCACAGCTCCCTCTTAGTCTACCAAGCCCCGTACCAAGCACCCCACCAACCACACCATCTCCCTAAGATCCCTAAGTTATAAGATGACGACGTTGCTAAGGCTTGGCCGCTTTGTGCGCTGGATCGCAAAGTGCGTTGGCCGACGCAACCGCAATTTATCCGATCGCAATCACCAGAATCAGGAGGATCAACAACATTCAATTGATGCCACTTCTCTTCCGCGCTTCTCGTTTTGATTTTATCAACTTTACGTTTTCACACATCGAATAAATCCGTATATTTAAACAGTCCTACATAGATCAATAGATAAGTTCTTGCAGCATCCCCAAGTCCCTCATAGCGAACCATAAGTTTAAGCGCAATTTGTTTGACAAAAATTATCCAAAGTATCATTCTTCAACCGCGTATTCATTAAGCGAAAAGTTAAAATAAAATTTGTAAAAATTAAACGAAAACAGTAAAACACGTTATATAGAAATGCAACTGTTTAAGCCATTTTGTAAATTGACTCTGACCGAACCAGATACAAATAATACGTATATGTACAGACCATTTCGGGCCAAAACCAAACCAAACCACTGACAACTAAATTGTAGCAATGATTGTGCAAAGTAAACGGATCCCTTAACTAGTTATTAGTGCAAAAACCTGCGCAGAAACATGCATATAATGTAAAACACTCACAAGCCCAAAACATCCAATAGTTGTAGACATGGTATTCGATTCGTTAGGGTAGGGTCGACTGTGTGAAACCGGATAATCTAAACACTCATATGGGGAAAGTAATCCAACGAAAAAATAACTTATAGAAATGTTCTGTTTACTGTGCATCCACATACTTGTTCGTATTAAGAAAACAATCATTTTATTTATAATTTTACGGTAAGACGATCATTGGATTACTTTCTGTATGTTTAAAGAAACCCATTTGTGCATATACAGATCCGCAAAGGTCTTATAAATATATAAACTATGTGTACATACATGCGTGCGGAACAGAATACAAACTATATATATGTAAAAGATTAATAAATATAAGTATTCAATGGCCTCAACCCGACCACCAGCCACGAAAGCGTTTCAGCGAGCACAGGTTCGATGTCCAGCACTCATTGAAAGTCGAGGGTTCGAGATTATCTCTAGATGGAACAATCGGGGCGTCATTGGCAGGCGATCTTTATTCACCGAAATCCCCTCATCATTATTAATAAAGTGAAAAACTGAATCAATTACATTGTTTTTAGTCTTTTTTCTGAAATCATTGGAAAAGCAATTTTTCCAAGGGATTGTTGTTTTTCTAATCGTTCAGCTATGCTGCTCCACAGGGTTCGATTTCCCTTTTGTAACGTCTCCATGTTTCCAACTATATAGAGGGCCCAGCGAGCGCGGGAAAGGGCTACGCACACTCGGTTCGGCTGACGCAGAAATCCTATCTGACCGTCAGAATTGCTCCGAACGAGGGAAAGCAGCACGATGTTCGCCTCCAATCCCTGAAAACTATCTACAGTGGAGACCAGGACACTGCGTTTTTTTTTGGTAACCTGTAAATAGAATCATATTAAACATCTCTCGTAGCAGCCTTAAGTGCAAACCTTTTTTTTGATGCACTCAACCTGAGCGTTGTATGGCGACAGGATCACTATGTCACTTTTTTCGTACTTGGCCTTATCGATAAGAAAGCTCGTTAATTCGAGCAAGCTATCAGCTTCATAGGGATTTATGAAGGACTTGTCCGTCAACTGCTGCTCTGGTCTTTTGTGATTCAGAAAGAACAGGTTCTTCTCCATCAAACGGATGTCGTCGTAGGTCTTGACAGAATCAGAACTGGTCAGTTCTTCGTATATCGTGGGTATAAGGAGCTCTGCAATGCAGGGACGCATTCGGTACTGAAGGTTCAAAAAGCTAAATGGCATTCCAGACACGATGAGTCGCTCGAAGAGGGAGATTTGCTGCACTTGGTTGCTGCCGTTGAAGGGCTGCAGCTGCTTGTGATCCCCAACAAGGATCACGTGTTCTGTGTGCGGAGTAAGGCACGCTACAACGTGCGACTCTTGGATCTCGGCCGCTTCCTCAAAAACCACACACTTGGATTTTAGCAGCCGGAGGAAGAAGTTTAATCGAGCCGCGCACGTGGTAGTCATGGCCACAATGTCCTTGCTCTTTGCCAGAAAGTACTTGAATACGGCGCGCAGGGTTTCCAGACGCTCTGCCACCTGCCGGACTCTCTGTTGGGCTAGCAGGGTTGCCTCATAGCTCTCCTCACTGCCGTCGAAGTTGGAGTATGCGCTTTGAAGAAGCTCGAATTTCTCTTTGTATTCGCAATTGACAAGCCACCAGATTCGTTTCAGTCTAGAAGATGCATGCTCAACGTGCACTGGTCCTTCATTAAATTTTTTCAATTGCGGATCTCTCGATTGGCTACCGAAGCGCAAAATGTTTTGAGTGTGCTCCGACATCTTTACCAGAAACTTATCCAGAGAGTCGTTGGTGTAGGTCAGTACTACAACCGGCCCTAATTGCGCTGCCCTGGAGCTCTCTATCAGGCAACGGACCAGTTCTACTGAGAGATGTGTTTTTCCCGTACCAGGAGGTCCTTGTATAATGCAGAACTCTCTACGTAGGGCATCCATAAAAGCACTTTTCTGCGTTTCATTCAAAGGCATATGTTGTGGTGGGGCCTCTCTTGTAAAAGTCTTTCCATTGTAAGTAAGCTTAAGTTCCGGCTTCATATAGGCTGGTGGCCTTACGTCAAACTAATTTAAAGAATATATAGTGGTTACAAAATGCAGTTAACTTTAAGATTACTATACTTCTTTATCCACAAGGTACCGACGCATGGGAAGGTGCTCCGGGGTGCAGGTCATAAGGTAATTGTGGACCCTCAAGTACGGTTCGAAAAACGCGGGTGTTTGGAACATAATTAGTGGTTGATCGTAGATGTTACCAATGTTATATTGAGAAATAATCTCTACACTTAACTGAAATGCAAATAAAAGTAATATTTCTGTTAGAGTAATATAATTAAAATACTTACGCATCCGCTTTTCAGTTTTTCCTCCACTGTGTAGCCGACTGAGGCCAGGATAAGATTTTCGAATTCTAAACTTCTAGTGAGACAAAGCAGCGATCCCGATTTGATGTTCTCGAATGCTTTTTGGTAAGAATTCTCGTTGGCCTCTGTCTTTTGCAAATTCAGGTAAACCAAACTGTGCCTCTGGGCTTCGTTGAATTCGGGGTTTAAAGTGAGGGTCGTTCTAGGCCAAAGGAGTCCCTGCTGCTCCAGATCCCTGAGATCACGACCTTCTCGCAATCTTTGCACCAATTCCCGCAAAGGTCCAATAAAATCTTTTCGAAGCAATTCTCGATGCTCCTCTATGTATTGCGAAACATCATTAGAGGTATGATTGTGGGACTCTCCAACCGTGCTAATTTCTTCACTAAGTAATGCTTTCAAAGTTGGATATATATCATTTTTTACATTGCCCCTGGATGAAGACGTAAGTATATTATCTACTTTAAATGACTTCAATTTAAGATGATCATTTAACTTTTGGTATAGTTCCACTATATCGCCGCCCTGTTGGCTGAAATGTCCAAACTTATGGGCTCTATCAAGCAACCAAAACATGTTTTGTAGGATCAGTGACGTTTCCTCGTCCCAGTGCCTACCAGAACCCTTCGATAGCAAGGTTAATATCAGACGCCTAATCTTATCGTGGAGAACAGTTTGCTTGACAAAGGCCTCTAGGATAACTTCTTCGAACCCGACCATCTCCAGCTGGCAGAGCGACTTAAGTACGTCTAGGTATACGGCAAATCGTTTTAAGCTGTCATTGGGTTCCAGTTGGTTGACAAACAAATCCTTTTCCTCGGAGAAGAAATATAGAAACATGTCGATGGGCAACATTTCCAAGCCCTTCGTGAATTCAGCCATGGAGAAACGAGAGAAAAAGTCCTTTTTGTGGTTTGGATTCTCAATTACGGAGTTGGTGAGAAGGTTCATAGCCATAAAATCTCCAACTGGAATGGAAATATTCGCCAGATGTCAGATGTCTCACATTTAGTTACCGGGTTACCTTTAATCTGTTCCCCATTTTCTTCCTGCTCTTGGTGCTGAACCCTCTGCTCCAGGCTCTGGACCAGGTCCTCCTCATCCTGGTTGAACCAATCATCGTCTTCTGAGCTGGACATAAGGTACTTTGTTTATATTCGAAATTTCTTAAAAAGTGCAGCTGAGGTGCTGTTTTGTTTTGATAATATATCGATAAATTGTCAATTTATCGAAGATTGGAAAATTATATCCAACGGCGATGGATTTTTTTAAAACAAAATCTTGTAACCTTTATATAAAAATATTTATAATATATTTATATTTATAAAAAATTAGTTTGTTTGAAATAACAATCTTCAGCACTAGAATTTAATATATGCCAGTCTCTACTGTAATTTCCTTCAATGGCGCGTTTTCGCAACTCTTCAACGCTAACCCTCTGGTCACACTTCCGCTAGTTCAGCGAATGTTCGTTTCAGAATTTCTAAGATCTGTTTATTTGCGTCGGAATTTAACTATCTCTTGAAGATTGCAACGCTTGTAATCCCATATTCGATTGAATAAGCCTAATTGAAAAAATCAGGAGTTACCTTGCATGGGGTGTCTGCCCTCACTTTTATTGGCTACTGACGGAGCGCCCGCGCATTTTTAAGAAAGATAAACAACGCCATGGATCGGAGTCGAAGAAGTGGTCGGGTACGCCGGAAGCACTCATCGGGGTCGGATAGCGATAGCCCTAGCGAGGCTCCGAGGCGAAAACGAAGCAGGCAAGTACCTGGGTCTGAAAACGAGTCTGATCCGGAGGTGACTAAAAATAATAGTTTCGAAACTTCGGCGCCAAACGATCATGGATGGAAGAGCCGGAGTTCAGGGCAAAGCATGTCCCAACGTGCCACCAGCTTTAATCTAACGGTGTGTATTACTGAGTAGACATCGTTTATATTCATTAAAGTGTTCCTTTTTTCCAACAGTCTGAGCTATCGGTTCCAAATGCTTTCGATCGTTGTGGGAAAGTTATTTCGATGCGCCTCACGAACTTTATGTGCCACTCGAATCTATTTGTGGAATTCGGTCCGAATATCAACTTTTTGGTCGGTAATAATGGCAGCGGCAAGAGCGCAGTCATCACGGCCCTAGCCTTGGGCTTGACCAGCAGCGCCCGAGCCACGAGCCGGGCCAGCAGCATACAGAAGCTAATTAAGAACGGAGAGGCAAGTGCCACTATTTCCATAACTCTGTCCAATTCGGGTCTGAGACCCTTCAAGGCGGACTTTTTCGGGCCCCATCTCACCGTGGTGCGCCACTTGCGGCAGTCGTCCTCTTCTTATGATCTTCTGGACGCACGTGGCAAGAGTGTTTCCAAGAAAGTTGCCGAGATCCGACGTGTGCTTCTTTGCTTCGGCATCAATGTAGAGAATCCCATCTTCGTGCTGAATCAAGAAGCAGCGCGCGAGTTCCTCAAAGATCTAGAGCCGGCGTCGAATTACAAACTGCTGATGAAAGCAACTCAATTGGATATTTGTGCGGACAGTCTAAACCAGTGCCACGAGCAGCGTAAGACCCTTACGAATAAATTTGAACAGATGGTAAAAAATAAGACGCTCATCGAGAAGGATGTGGAAGCTGAAGCCGATAAACTTACCATCCTGAAGGACAAGGAAGTAGTCAAGGTTAATCTGGAACAGAGTCAGACTAAGTTGGCGTGGTTGGCGGTGACCCGCGTTCAGACAGAGCTTCATACCTTGGAGACATCGATACGCCATATAGAGGACAAAAAGGCTAAGCTTGAAAGCCAAACATCCAAGAAGGAGAGCACTCAGGCTGTTCTTACGCAGAAACTCAAGGATTTACAGGTCACAAAGAATGAGATAATGGAAGCTTACAATGAGCAGGACCAGAAGTACAAAGCCGCCAAGCGATCAGTGCAGGAAATGGCATTAAAAAGTGCTTCTATCAAAGCCCAGATCGGCAACGCTGAGAGAAGGCTGCGGGAGGAGCAGCATACGTACAACGCCTGCAAGAAGCATATTGGTAGCTACCATGCCAACTTCACGCGGGTGAAGGAGCAGCGGGAGGAACATGCCAAGACAATGGAGGCCCTGAAGTTGCAAGTGGCAGAGAGCGAGGCAATCATTGCGCGATTACGCGAAGAGCAGCAGGAGATAAAGAGGAAAACCAACTCCTTCCATGAGAGCTTGGAGGCCGTTAAGAACGAGAGGGCTCAGTTGCAGAAAACGAAACGTGAGTTACTTTCTCATGAGCCTCGGATTTTTGTTTACATTCTTTCCCCCTTCCAGAAAATATGCAGTGGGAAATCGACTCGCTCTCCCGGAACAAGTCCAACAAGCTTTCTGTTTATGGCGAGCAAGCTATTCAAGTGGTGTATGCGCTTCGCACTCAATATTCGGGCGCCAACATGCACCGAATGCCACGGGGTCCTCTAGGACAGTATATAAGCGCGCCGAACTCCAAGTATCGTGACCTGATTGAGAACCTGCTCTATTCCTGCCTACGTTCCTATATTGTCGGTTCGGATAGAGACCGCCAGTCCCTGCGAGCCTTGCTGCAGAACAAGTTCTCAGGCGGGATAGTTCCTAATATAATCACCAGTGCCTTTACAGAGCAGGTGTATAACGTATCCCGGCATAAGGTGAGACCAACAACGCCCAACACCACGGTTTTGATCGATGAAATAAGGTAGGTTGGATGACTGAGTGTTCTGTTCAACATCTCTAAGACATGATATGTATCTTGTAGCTGCGACGATCCTGTGGTAATGAACTTCCTCATCGACACTTATCGCATCGAGACAATCCTCGTGACAGAATCCAAAGAGATTGCTGAGTTTCTGACGTCGGAAACAGAGAATGTGCCTCCCAACCTAACAAAGGTTCTGGTTCCAAACCTGGGCCTTGAGTATATTCCGTCGCCCAACTACGCCGTCTACTCGACCCGCATTAATCCGGCCCGCTTCATTCACGTCAACGTCGACGATCGCATCCGGCAGCTGCAAATGGAACAGAGCGGCCTTCGGGAAAAGGAAGCGGCCCTGGAGAGCGATTTCGTGCAAAAGAAGACAATGCTCGAGAACACCCAAGTTGAAGCTACAAAGAGGAGCGCCCAAATTGGTCAACAGCAGTCCAAGAATCAGATGGCGATGCAGAAGAAAATTGAGTTGGAGAACTTTGATTACCAAGAGCTACCGGAATATGATCGTTTGGTGAGTTTTTGTTTCTTTAAAATTGAAAAAAATACTCATGAATTGTAATTTTAAAAAGAAAACAACTCTAAGTGATAGTGGAGAAAGAATTCAAAAGTGCAACGAAGAAATTGGAGAGCTCAAGGCAAAGCTACTCGAAATAAATGAAAAAAAGAGCCAATGCGAGACTGCAGAATCCAATGAACAAAAGGCCATGGAAGAGTTCTATGGGAGAGTTCAAACTCTGGAGGCGGAAGCTCGGGAAATAAATGGAAAGATTCAGAGCCTTGATCTTCATTATGAGGCGAACAGCAGACAGCTGCAAAAGACTTTGGAGCTGGAAAGGAAATTGCTCGATAAGACGCGCAGCATGGCGGACGAACTGGAGAAGTTGACCGAAGAGGCTAAAAAAGTTGGGGAGTATGTTGCCACAACGAATACAGAGGAGCAAATACGCGAAGACATAAGTCGTTACAAATCGAAGATCAGACAAGTGGAGCAACTGAACTACAATATAGAGGAAGTGGAAATCGAGCTGGGCCATCTTAGAGACAAGCTAGGCCTTCAGGTTCGGCAGTTGGGAATTGTAAACTCGGTTCTCAGTAAGCTTCGCATGGCGTACCACCAGCGTGCGCAGCTATTCCAAAGATCGCGCCACCATTATTTTACAATGGTACAATTTCAATTTGAGGTATGTTCTTGGGGGCTTGGAGGATTTGGACGAGATTAACTTATGTTTCTTCCTTTAGCAAGCACTCGCTATACGAAGGTTCCACGTCAGTTTTGAAACTAACGACAAACAAAAAACCTGGCAAATAAATGTGTTTCCCCCAAGTGGAAACGAGACTTCGAACACCAGGAGTTTATCCGGGGGCGAACGCTCCTTTACCACAGTATCGTTGCTGAAGGGACTGTGGAGCACTTCAGACCATCCATTCTACTTTTTAGATGAATATGATGTGTTTACAGTGAGTCATTCCTTTTTAAAAACCTTCATTATTTTAACTTGTTTTTCATTTAAAGGACGAAGTAAACCGAAAGTTTATTACCGAGATTCTGATAAGCGAAGGCATGGAGTGCAAGACCCGTCAGTATTGTTTCCTAACCCCTCAGGACACTGAGGTGGAAGCGAGCAGCTTTATCAAAGTTCACAAGTAAAAACCAAATATTGTTTTATTTTAAAGAAAATCATAAATTCATTTTATTTCTCTTCCAGATTGGAGGCCCCTGAGCGCTAGTATTTGGACAATTGTTATTACAACCCGATTGTTGCCGGACGACACAAGATTATATCGTAATAATATGTACCAAGAACAAGGAAGTGGCATTTAACGAGGATGTTTAAGATATTTTGTTGTTTTAACCTAAGAGCATAGTAGTATTGTATCGACGAAATTATTTTATTTCAATTCATTGACAAATGATGCCTCTAGTTCAGCTATTATTCTATCTTCGTCCAACAGTTCCAGGTCCATGGGGGTCTGTTCCTCTTTCCTTTGAGGACTCTGCGATGTTGTCTCGGCCACTGGTTCTTCCTTATCTGGGCTGCCTATATTTTGCGGAGAATTGATGTTTTCAGAATGTTCTAAAGCATCTTGGTAACTTTCGCAATCCATATCCTCCTCCAGGTTTCCATTAGGTTTGGTTTCCAAAATTTCAGAAGGGGCTTCAGAGTCTCCATTTTCAATATTTCCTGATGTTTCCAAATCCCTGGTAGCGTCCTGATCTTCTGGAAGCTCTTCTTCATCGCGGGTGGCGTCAACTTCGTTTACTTCGGAGGTTTCTTCCACTTGAGTGTCTTCACTTGCCAATTGAATTTCTTCATTGGATGATTCTGGAGGAGCTAGCAGTTCCAAAATGGGTGTGGAGGTTTCGCTGTTTTCTGGTAAATTATTTTCTTGGTCAAGACCTATGCTATGTTTGAGTTCAAAAGTCCTTTTGAAATTAATATTAATCTTTTGGGGATGAAGATAGGGTTCTAGGTCTTCGGCCAAGGCCTTGAAACTCTGACGAAGCTTAGTGTTGTTTCCAAAGACAATGGATTGCGACAATAGGGATAGATATATCTCTGAGGGTGGTGGGCAGTTGTTGTTTCGTGCTTTGAGTAGAAATACGAATGCTTTGTAGGTTTCCAAGCGACAATTCCAGACGACTGGCAGGTGTCGCTTCCTCACTGGATCCGAATGCATGCGACTACAGATCCCCAAAAGAGAACTGTGCACATCCTTCAGCAGAGAGACCTTCAGCAAATGACCAGAAGAAGATAGAAGTTTTTGGAGGCAGTTAAAGGCCTCACCCAGAAGCAGTTTCTTGTCCTCATTCCCCTGAAGGAGTTCTAGCGCAGAAATAGTCCCACTCTGCTGATTTTTTGGTGCTTGAGTTGGGTTCTTCCGCTTGTCGGGACTTTGGCGAATATCTTCCAATATTTCCTTGACCAGGGTCTCTGAAATAATCTCACAGTGGCTTCCTTCCTGCAGAGTGGCGCACCATTTTGATATTACTCGGTAAACAACTGATCTCACCTTGTCGGATTGTGAGCGATTTCCCGTGGATAGTAAAGTTTTTGTATTCTCAAGAGAATCCAGCAATACATTTAAGATGACCCGGAAGTCCATCCTGAGGTGCGTATGGCAGACATCTATGAGGGTCTCCAGCAGTTCCAGCAGCTTGATTTTCACTTCCGTCAAATAAATTCCAAAGCAAACATTATCAATATGGGCGTTTATTTTCTTGACTCCATCCACGGATAGCCCATTTCCTATAAAGCTCAGAATCTGCTGGGTGTTTATTAGCTTTTTGTTTCCAAAGGGCTTTCGCAACGCAATCTTCAGGAACTCGACCAGGTTGAGGAATCGGCGAAAGTTCTGGGAGGTCCGCTCCAAGGGATCCTTTGCCACCGTGATTGGAAACGGACCCGACGAACAGCTTTCCAAAGTGTCCTTTGACAGGGCAAAGTTCTCTTTAAGGACAGTGTTCAGATTTTTAAGTAATGATGTTTGGTAGTTCTGCCATATGAGTTTATCGTTGTTGTTGCCTTGATTAGAAGGACCTCGAACATTTTGCAACAGAAGCCAGCATTCCCCAGCTTTTGACACAACATCCTTGTTGTTGCTGTCCAATGAATTCAAGAGGAATTTTTCGATGGGCACTTTTCCAGATTTTATCGTTCGGGGGTAGAACTCCAAGCACAATTTGATAGTCTTCAGAGCAGCTAGTGTGCAGGATTGGTTATCGCACACTTCCTTCCGAGAGATAATGTCAAATACTTTTACCAAGTAGGTGGACGTAAATGTTTTGGACAAGTTGGAATCGTGTTGTATCTTTTTTATGAGAAGCGCCAATCCTGAAAAAATCAAATCTCCATACAAATTCAGCTCCGTCGCGTTGCACGATTGAAAGGTGAGCGTCAACCAAATGTTTCCAGTCTTATCGGCTAGTTCTGTGTCCTTTTTGCTGAGGTGGCAGATCAGGAGACGAAATCCAAGTCCTCGGGACTCTCTTTTTTTAAGCGTTGCAGTCAGAATTTTTTCCATTTTATTTATTAAATGCAATTTGTTTTTCCCTATCAAAGCAACATGTGCTTGGTGGTGATAAAACTTTTATTTAGCGATATGGTAATAATACTTAAGAAAGGTGGCATCACCATCTTGCATGATGATTTTTTTTCATGCAGTCTGAACGTGCCATCCTCCCTCCCTAGTAACCTCAAAGAGGCGGCATCTGATATATTTTTATTTATTTGTTAATATTGTCAAAATGAGCCGCAACTACAAAGAGGACCAGACCAATGAGGTCGAAGCTTTGGACTCCATCTACTGTGGCGAAATGGAAGGTGAGAGTTGTCGAAATTACTGAATATTCGTTTCTAAACAATACCATCCGTAGTTCTCGCCACGGAGCCATTCCACAAATTCCAAATCCCCATCGCCACAGAGGAATACAATGCGGAGGAGAACGATAATGGCCTAGCCTGCAAACTGATCTTCACATACACAGAAACCTACCCGGATGGTGCTCCTCTGGTGGAAATCGAGGAGCCTGAGAATTTCGAGGACACTTTCGAGGAACGCCTGCTGGAGCATCTGCGTCAGACAATCGAGGAAAACCTAGGCATGGAAATGGTCTTTTCGCTGGTGAGCAGCGCCCAGGAGTGGCTCAACGAGCGCTGGGACGAGCACAAGAACCAACAAGAGGAACAACGAGTAAAGAAGCTGAAGGAAGTCGAAGAGGAGGAGCGCAAGAAGTTTGAGGGAACCCGTGTCACGGTCGAGACATTCATGAAGTGGAAAATCGACTTTGAGGAGAGCACAGGTATCGCAGCAAAGCGGGAAAAGAACAACTCCTCCAAGAAGCTCACCGGGCGTGAGCTGTTCATGTGCGACAACACTCTCAACGACTCTGACATTAAGTTCCTTCTGGAGGCAGGAGAAAATATCGAGAAAGTCAAAATCGACGAGGCCCTGTTTCAGGATATTGGCGAGTTGGATTTGGATGATGATGATGATGACGATGAAGATTGGGTGCCTGGAGCAGACGATGATGATGACTGAATCTCCATTGGATTGGGTTAAATAAAGTTGTTTCTTCAAGGCATTATCGTGTATTGTACATAACATTAAATGCAAACTCTTTTATTAGTCTAACTTGTTTGGGTTTTGCAAGCTCAAATCGGACAGCTTGAGACCATGGCTTGCGATAGGGTTTATGTCGTCCAGATCGAAGTCTTCGTCGCTCTCCTCTTCTTTTGGCTTTTCTGCAGCAAGAGTCTTCTTAGCCGCAGGTAGGGTATCACGGGGAAAATTGAGTTTCGACCATGAGCCTGGTTCCAGTTTTGGCAAGGTAATCTCAACCTTGGTGCCATACATGTGCGCGCTGGCCTTCTTCACATCCACAATCTATTAAGGGAAACGTAAGATAATTAATTGCTTTATAAGATTAACTTAGGACTCACCCCGCGAAGTTCCAGGTCTAGGTCGAACCTGGCATTTTCTTGCTCTGGGAAGACTAAATTGACATGCAGTCGAATAGGATTTATTTCCACCAGACTCTGGGCGTAGTGGTATTTTTTGGCGTAAATAGCTACCACAACGTTTGTGGCGGTCTGGTGCCAATCGTACCGACACTGAACAACCCTCTTATCCTCATTCTGAAAGAGCCACAAGAATAAGTTTGGTTTTTTTTTCCATAACAAAAATTATGCTTACGTCCTTGACCCACTTGTGCTGTCCATAGACGCAGCCCTTTTGCGCCATAAACTGGGCAAAGTCCGAGGTTCGTTTCTGGCAGCACGACCAGAACTTCATGCCCTCGTGAAAGATGGGCACTCCCGGATGGTGGGTACACTCGCCAAAATCGATGCTAGTTCCGGTAAATGAGTAAGTGCACCCATTGTTCTTGCAGCTCGTGCCCACTTCGATAGAGTCACTGGCCTTTTCAGCTACTGGTGCAGACGGGGCTTTGATTTTAAGAGCATCAATAGCATCTTTCAGAGCGGGTGCCACCGTTGACTGAATCACTGTAAGCGGGGTTTCGATCGGTGGCCTGGGAAGCGATTCCCTGATGGGAGCTCGTACCTCGATGACCTCGTCTTTGTCCGACTCGTCCTTGGCGGGTTTTTCCGGTTCCGGTGGCTTAACGTTGGAGTGCTTGGCCAGAGTGCAGCCTTTGATGTTAAGGAACTCGGTGAAGTCAACAGACTTTTTGTTGCAGCAGGACCATCCCTTGTAGGCGTCGTGGAAGAACGGCTCACCCGGATGGTGCCGGCAAGACTCTGCGCGGGATGTGAGGGGGAATTTATTGAGAACACATGTGCTTTCAATTGGAAGTCGATTTACTTACCATCGTTATTGGTCGCCGGATCGAAGAGCTGGCCACAGCCTCTGTTGTAGCATTGTTGCATGATGTTAAGTTATGTTTTGTAAATTAAAGATCACTTTGTTTATAAAACACCCGCTGGGATCTGGAACATTCGCCTAACAGTGTTACATACGGGGAAGTGTAATACGGTCATACTGTCAATCAGCTGTTTAAACTTTAAAGGTTTGCGGTTGTTTTTCTTTATATCGTAAATACTCGCATACTTACGATAAATTCAAAATTATGGTTTGGCGCCACATGTTAGTGAACTTTATATTGAAGCAATTTGACTAAACATTTTAGTTCTTAAAAATGTAGTTTACAAATTAATCGCTTAATTATGCTCTAATCATATTAATTTCTTATTGATTTTGAGATATATTTAATTAATACTTTTGTTTTAATTTTCAATATTGTCCACGTACCATGTCACGGTCAAAACTCTTATTTTGAGAACATAAACTTAAGTTTTATAATACTTTTAAGAAACCTGCGACCGCTAATGCCATGGAACATGTGACAAATAATAGCTTTTGCGGTAATCGCTCATCGCTGGTTGGGGTCTGGGTTTGGGTTTGGGTTTGGAAAGGCCAACAGTCGACAAATGCAGAGCAATTAAAAGTGATAGTAAATTTGGAATTATGTTAATTGCTGCCACTGTTTCGCCGCTCTTGCGGAGCTTTAGAGAATTTGCTAATTGCAAGACGGAATTGAACTAAAAACCATTATTTGCCTGATCACCTGAAGGTCAGCCGGCAACGTTTGGGCTACGTGATTTTTGCACGGGATTGGAGCACTGGAAACGGTGGAACTGAACTGAAGAGAATGTGGGAGTCTGTGGTAACTGGTTCCTGGGACCCCCAGGTAATGTCTCCGCCTCGCCTGATTGTTTATTTGTCACGTGAATTCACTTAGAAACATGCATGTTTGCTTGTATGTGACTGCCGCCTGGTTTCATTTTCATTTATTGCCTGCGGGGTCGGAGCATAAATTGAACTTGCAGTCGTCGGCAAATTGCAGCGGCAGTCGCGTTGGAAATTCTTGTGGTCAACAAGGTTATCAACACTTTGGGTCCGGCGCTGTTCCTGAAACGAAAATAAAATTATGACAAACTCAGCGCCAATACCCGCCCACTTCCCGCGCATGGACCACATTTTTTTTGTGTGTCTGTGAATCATGCCATTGCTAATGATCCGTGGCCCATTGTTGTGAAACCAAACGAGAATTGTAAACCTTTTTTTAGAGTTTTATTTTTTTATGGAGGCTTGGAGCAGTGCTGCAGTTTTGACAATCGCAAATACAAATAAATAAATAAATAAATATAACGCTCAGCGGACACTCTGGGCGCAACATCGCCAGTGTCAGTGGAAATTAACACCGCGCGGCCTGACTTTGTCTTTTGCTGTGGCCGCCCGGGCGTATACGTAATTTAGCATACAATGGCAGCGGCAAACAGCAGCAGCAGCAGCAGCCGCGACAACAGCAACATGCAATTGTGGCGCTGCTGTCATGTCATGTTGCTTTTGCCGCCAGTGCACAGATTTCCCGCAATGGCAACACTCGCATTTGTAGCATTCCAAGACCGCTGACGATGCCCAAAAAATAAGACGTGCGTGCTCCAATTGCCAGGCTGGAGCAATAGTCCACTTATTATCCTTATCGCTGATTGCCTGCCAATTTTCTCAGCTCCTCGGCTGGAGGGATGATGCAATTAGGCCGCCGCCATGCAAATGATCAGCCGGCACGCTCTCAAGTTCGTTTCCCAAGTCTTTTGTGTGCCAATTCGAATTTGGAACAAACACAACCGGCGGCGCTAACTCTTGGGAATTTTCATTTATGATTTCATAGTGTTTGCTCTAAGTAATTTTTGGCTATTTGTAGTACAAAGGTTATAATTTCGATTAAGATCTGTATAATGAAAAGGCTTTCAAGTTCGTTGTTCAGGTCTTTTGTTTGTAAATTAATTTCATAAATTTGAGTTTTTGTTAATTATTAAGATAAAATCCAAGAAGTTGAAGATTATTAGTAAACATCTTAATCACAGATCCATTTATTTATTTTATAAATTATTTGTTTGAACCAAACCACATCTAAGTTAAAGACTTTACCTATTTATTTGTTAATAAGAGTTAACACATTTATTTACAAGCAATTTTTTTCTAGTCTCCAGCTCTTGCTCCTAGTTTTCCGGCTTAGATCGGTTTCCCCTGGTCATTCTTCTTCTTCCATCTCCTCTCCGCAACTGACTACAGACAACATGACTCGACTTTAGATTTTCCGGCTCCATCAGCTTCATTGGCTCCATCCGTCCGGATCAAAAGTACCTAAATCGTGTAGTATACGGACTACTGAAGAAGTTATACGTCGCATAGGCGGTATCGGGGGTCTGGAATGTGGTGCTAAAGAACGTTGTGGGATCCGCCGCTGCCGCCACAGCCGCTGCTGCTGTTCGAACAAACAAAAGCATTTTAATTGGGTTTCTCACTCACGGGCATGATTAATATTGTATTATTGGGCAAGTGCACTTGGTGGGGGTATTAAATGTGATTTCAGCTGGTGGTGCCAAGTGGTGGTGAATTCCAAGCGTGGGCGCCACCCATTGACGCGGCTTGAACTGAAGGCTTGAAGGTTGAGCGCGGGGCTGAAAGCTTACTCTGTCAATCACAATCACCGTCACACAATCACGGAGTCGACGTCACAGTCGTCGTTGGCCGATTGCCTCTGATTGTCCACTGGGTCCGATTCGTCGTCTCCGCCCGTCCGTTCGTCCGTCTGTCTCTGACAACGCCCCGGCTACTTTGATTAGAATGTCGGTCACATTAGACCAAGTGACCACTTGGGTTGCCCCACTCCCCAGCATGCACTGAGAAAACTAATCATACGATATGAAGTTTTCGTTTAAGAAACTTTTCTATTTTTGGTGTAATTGTGGTGGGTGGTTATGACTCTAAATTGCCAAATGGCTGCCAAATCACCTCTCGAATTTATGCCTGGAACTAAAGCGAACTAGGGGCGGGATATTAGGGGGCCTATGGGGCACAGTGAGAGAGCTGCCATTAATCCACGCCACTCTGGAGTCTTGAGCATTTGTTACGCTGCGGCTTCAGTTATGGATTGCCATTTGCCTGCGGGCTTTTGGCCTCCTAGCCGCAGGCAGTCCTCATCAGGAAGCCAATTCCAAATCCAAATCCAACTGCGTAACCATATTTTTGTTTGTGGCTTTTTGGATGGAGAGAACTTTTGCCATGCAAAATTAATTACACAATGGTTCGTTTTGTGGTCCCCAGTCGAGTTGCAGTTGCAGTTTCAGGTCCAAGTCCTTGTCGGCGGCTCTCAGACTTTCGGTGGCCCAGCAATCGTGCATAAATTGTCAAATTGTAAAAATTATCTCAACTTAGCGTCGTCGGCTCGATCGCTTTCCCAGTTTTGTCGCGGTTTTTGTTCCAGTTCATTGTGAAATGTCTCTCCATTCATTTGGACAATGAGTCTGGGTCCGAGTCCTAGTCCTCCGGCTCATACAGAAAAAAAAGTTGCCCCATTTCTGTTTCTGTTTCTGCCTCCGACACAAAAATCGATATGCAAAAAGTGCAAAAAGTATCCGCACGAAAAAAAATAAACAAAATCAACTGCCAACATATTTTGCATGCGGCATAAGCAAAGCAACAGTCGCATTAGTCGCGCATATCATTGACTTCGTCTGGTCTTCGTCTGCCCCGGTCCCTCTCTCCACTGCCCTCCACTCTGCACTCCACTTTACTCTACTCCAATCCATTCCATGCGACGCCAGACTATACCAGATTCCACTCAGATCTCCGGCACGGGACCATTTGCGGTTTCGGCTCGGAGTCTCGATTGTGGCTCCAGAGCACCTGCTTCTGCTTAGATTGTTAAAGCAGCTGTTAATGATACCCTCTCGTGGAGAGTATCTTAGTTGCAAGTGGATTTAGTACACGTTTCAAAAATCTAACTACATAATACTATAAATGGTTTTATCTAAATGGCGATACATGGCCTTCCTTGCACCTATATCCCTCTGGAGTAGGGAAAGTCAAGATTTAAAGACAAGTTAATAAAAAACATAACTACAAAGAGGTTGAAGGAATTTCACTAAAGAATATGATATTTCTTGTCAAATAATTTTAAATTAAAAATTCCAAATTCCTAAAAGTTTAAAAATGTTGTCTTGTCTAATGGTTGTGTTGGTTTATTTTTTTCATGAAAAATTTGGTAAATATTAGTAAAAGAATGGGCTAAGCTGAAGTGTCATATATTCTTCTATATATTAAATATAGACTTGAGCAAAAAATATTTTAAAGAATCGTATTTAAAAAAATGAAGATAAAGATTTCATTCTCAAAAGATTTAAAAAAAAAAAGATCCATAATAGATCCATAATATTTTTCCTGCAACATACCGATAATTTCGAAGGATATTTCATACTGATTCCAGGTTCCTGGAAATCTAAGCCTACCTAAGCTAAGGTACTTTGTGATTCTAGTGGATACAAAAAAATGGTTCCTTGTAGGAGATAGAGCCCTGATTACCAGAAATGGCCTATCTCCTCATTTGCATACGCATCGTTTTGTTTCACTTGCCAATTGGCGAGCCTGCCTCGTCCGAGGTCCGAAGTACATGTGTTCGCCTGCGGTCTGCTCCACCAAGTGTGAAGCTGTCGGGAGCTCCAGAGCATGCCCAGGTCGAACCGGTCACAGTCGTTGGTTTCCCAGGTTCCGTCTTCGTCGGCGTCGGCGTCGACGTCCCAATCTCCGTCAATTTGTGCGCCGCCGCACTTCAAAGCCGGATCGGAGCTGTTAATTAGGCGCGAGTTTTATGTGCGCTTAAAATAATTGCTACCAGAGCGATCAAATCCATATACAAACTTAAAAAACAAATCAAATGGTGCATTGACAAACGGAAAATGCAAAATAAATATGCAAAAATATTTCCTTTTTGTTTTCTTGGTTTTTTTTTTTGAGGCCGCAGTCGAAAAAGAATTTGGTTGAAAAATAAAGTGTATGTTGTGGTTTTGTTTTCTTTTTGGTTTTAATAATATATTCGTCGTTTTATTTATAATTTAAATTTCGTTTGTTGTTACATAAAATAAAATAAAGTAAAAGGTAAAATAAAAATTATAAAATCATAATACAATTCCAATTTGAAACATAAACATAAAAGGTAAAAAAGCAGAAATTATAAGAAAAATCATAAAACAATAAATTTGTAAATTAACATTGAGTTTTCAAGCTAATTAAACTAAGTAATGTTAATTAATGAGGGGGCTGGGGGAGCTAAGGGAGGCTAGTGTGCAAAGTTAGTTATTTTTTGCGGGTGGTTAGCGACGTGTGTGTGTTTGTGCTTTTAATTAGCTAAGAGGGACGCATTTCCGTTTCCGGTGCTCGTGTGCAAGGTGCAAGAGTGTGCTGGTGTTGGTGTTGGGTTTTTGTTTTTGGTGTTGTTGCTGTTGTTTTATATATTTATTATTTTATTTTGTTTTTTTGTGTTGTTGGATTAAAGCTTGCGTTAATTACTGGCTTACGGTGTGTGGGGAAGATTAGTTACTTTAACCAGAGCGTTTTCCTGCGAATTAGATTGGATTGGTTGGATTGAAGATTACTCGACGATTATTTAACAATAACAATGAATTAACACAAAAAAAACACGGCTACATATTGCACTAATAAAGCTTTCTCTTCTAGGTGTGTGTGTGTAGTTTATGTGGAGTGTGTGTTTGGTGTGTGATGGAGTTGATGAGATGCATTTGGAGCTATCTCAGACAGTGCGCTTAATAAGGTTCGCATTACTTTGCTGGGGCGGCACAAATCCGTATCCGGAGGCACCCACTACGACGCCGCTGGACTCGTCCACTGCATCTGGGGGAGATGGGGGGAACACAACGGGTCCTGCAATGATAGTTACGAATAGGGGTTTTAACAAGGTTATCCACTATAACCAGCACTTTTACTCACCTCGGTTCTGTCGGGGATCCCGTACTTGTGTGGCGGATGAGGGCTGTGCCAGGGTCAGAGGATCGAAGCCGAACCTGGCTCGGCTAGGTCCAAACTGGCCCAGAAAGTATTGCTGACCCGCGGCATAGGCCACGAACAGGCAGAGGGCGGCGGCAACGGTGACTAACTGCAATTGAAGAATATGGTTTAAATGGCGCCTGGCGGTGGGAGGGTATTAAAATAAGTATGTGTACAACACAAAGTATGCAGAGCCAATTGCACTGGTTACACGCCGGCCAAAGCAATTAAGCCATGAAAGCCAAATGTGTGCCAATGCCATAAGTCGACAATTAAATACCAAAACGCAAACGCAAGTCGCAGAATGCCACATGCCTCGCTTTTGGCCCGGTCAAGTGCAGTCGCCTTGGGCACGAGCCAAAGTGCCAGAGTTACAGTTCGGATTTCGCCTCTCTTGTTTTGGTTCTGGTTGGGCGAATGGCCAACTTTGAAAAGAATTTACTTTGAATTTGTCACTTTCTTAATAAGGGTACTAACTGGCGTAAAACCACGACTGTTAAACATTTATAAAACCATTATAAAACCTTCAACTGAGATTAAAATCTATAAAGTTTTAATTACTTATTGAAGAGACATGACTGACTCTGTAATGTAAATTACAGCCTCCATCCAGGAAGTCAACCACTTGGAATAAAGTCTTAATATATGCTAATACTGGCCGTTCAATTAAGACGCAAATGTTTGGCCAAAAGGCAGGCTAGTTGGCTCCTTTTAGGGGCACTGTCTTAACACTTTTTGAAAGCCAAAAAGGAGAATTAGTCCGCTTTATTTAATGCACATCACGTTGAGCCGCCACAACTGCGCCGAAGTGTGATAAATTTGTTAAGCATTAAATCACGGCAGCGATTATTTTCCCACTGACCCCATTCCCCGGCTTCCATCGCCTGGGACTCGGATGCTAATACAGATTGCGCGGGAGTCGGGGGCAAGTAGACTCATGCTGTGCAAATTGTTTACCGACTGGTTCATAAATCGGCTTAGCTGTCTGCACCGCGGCTATAGTTTTATAGTGTTTTATGTTTTAGTAGACCGACCTCTCTTTGTCGAACGTCTTAGTTAGGTCTTGGGCCGACACGCTGCTGGCAGACTGACTTTAATCATAGGGCGATTTTGACTTAATGCTCCGGCTTTCAGGCCAATCGATTCGAATCGAATCGTATCGAATCTGGCTTATTGCAGCCGTGTGCCACATGTGGCAAGATTAAGTGCAACCTGCCAGAGCAAATGCAAATGTTGCAAAAGCTTTTGTGCTTCATTAATTGTTTAATGGGCCGCGCCTTTTGCGGAGGACTACTATACAGTAGTAGTAGAGCCCTGTGGGGCCAAAACTGCAACAATAACGCTAATTGCTATTAGCCAGAATATGCTCCAAAAAATCGCCGCTAAAACAAAATAATCAAAAATATGCAAACAAGGCGGTCACAAAGTTGCCAACAAGACTCGCAACGAGACTTGTAAAAAAAAAAAAAAAACAAAAATAAAAAAACTTTTAATTAATTCGTGTTTGTTGTGGCTGTCGTTGCTGTTTTTTTTTTATTCATACTCGAAGTTGTTGGACTGACTGAAACTGAGAGTCTATTGCCACATCAAAATAGTGGCAACAGCGGCGCAGGAATCGGTGGCTGCCTAAAAAGTTCTCAAGATCGGTGAACATGTGATCATTAAGGGAAATAGTCGTACGACTGGCAGAACAGTGCTACAGGTCTGTCACTAGAGCCCACTCAAACATTGACTAATGATCCAAGCTGGGGATTAAGTTACGGGCTTCTCTTAATCACTCTACGAGTTCTGACGTTTAATTGAGGAAACAACATTTTTGCTTTACAAGACTTTTAGTTAGAACTAGAATTAGAGTTATTTGTCAATATTTTATAATGAGAGATGCAGGCAGATCTGAGGCGGTTTACACCATATTATTAATGCCTTACAATTTAAAGTTAGTATATTTTAAATGATAATTTTGTTTGGCCAGTTTGCTGCCAAGTGAATGGATTTAAGACAAGCCAGAGCCGCAGCTAAACAAATTAGATCCATCTGTCTTGGCCAGTGCCACATTGGCAGCGGGCTTTAGCCACTCTGGGCCAGTCAAGAGACCAGTGCAACAGCGGCATGTAAACACATGTAGCCGTCACAATGTCGTCAGCCAGACTCGGGTTTTTGCATCTGGAATTCCGCAAATGCCGCAGGATTCGAAAGTAATCGCTTTGGCTAATTTAGTGGCTTTTAATTGGCCATTTGGGTTGAGAACAATGCTCGCGGTCTTCCAGGGCATGCAGACCCCGTTTTCTTCACCTCCACAGACACCGCAGTGGCAAATTAGCCAAACAAATGACCTTAGATATGATTTCGTAATTGGGCAACCTGGGCCGAGACAAAAAGTATAAATAAAATATAAAGCATACTCTGATCTAGACACCGAACCACAACAGACAGCACCGCGCAGACCATGGCGCACGGCGGCTGCTGCTTCGGCGGCTGCTGTTGGCCAAAAACCACCATGCTCATGCGAAAACCCACCCACCCACAACAATGATTAAGTGCAGCAACATGTGAGCGTGCCAGCGCATATAAAGTTAAATAAAAAATCACTAAACAACCAGCACCCGTTAGCCTCAACTGGCCATGGCAACATTGTCTCGTTAGCCCGAAAGAGCTGATAGCCCCCTGGATTTTGGGTATAATAGCTCTGTCATGCTGCTGATAGGTTTACTCTGAGGGGATTGTATGACATTTGAAATTGCCTTAAAATTGATTCATAAATCTGGATAATAGGGATCTCTAAGACGGTCTTGCACGACCTTTTATTATTTAAAATTTATGAGAAAGTGCATTTAGAGTTCTGCTTACTGTGCGATTTTTCAATGATTTAATTGCTTTGAGTTTATCAAAGATCGATATTTGATTAGTTTTTTGAATTTTATCACTACATAAATTGCTAATAGAAAACCTTAGACTTCTTTCATTTTTTTCTCACTTTCAAAAAGTCCAAAAAGTCGACCGATTTTTTGTTCCTTGGCTGGTTTTTGATTGGCTTCAAATGTGCGGTATAAAATGAATTATATTTATTGGCATACCAGCTCAACAGCAGGTAATCGAAAAGTAAAGTGAATTGTATTGAATTTTCGAATAAGTTCCAGTCGCTCCAAAAAGGTATCTAAACATTTGCATGACTCAGTGAGGGAGCTCAGTTTGGGGGCTCAGGTTTCAGGATCTGGGAAAAGCGAACCACGGCTGATGGATATGTCCAGGTCCAGGTGGCAGGCGAGCAGCTGCTAATTAATCTTGTTTATGTTTAAACTTTAAACGATTTGTCATTTGGCGCGGTCGGGCGTAATTAATATTATGCGAAAAGCCACGTAGATGGAAAAGTGAATGTGATTTGGGCGAGACAATTGAACTCGGCCCGAACCCGCGCCCGATCCCGAACACGAGTTATTATTGTTATCTTTTGCTAACGATAGTAACGCCCAGCAGTTGTAGTCGGCTGCTGATATTTTTTGGCAGAGCTCTGATCGGGGGTCAATGCTCGATTGAGCAACAATTTGGCTGACTTTCAACACGGAAGCTCCATGGCTTGGGAGCTGAAAGCTGGCTGCTCGCTCGGACTGGCGACTTTGGAGCCTCTCGACTTTGACTGGCGAAACGCAAATAGCGCAATTGCAGCCGAAGCTGGATCACAGCAAAGTGTTGGATGTAGTAGGTGAAACGGCAACAGCCAGCAACAAGCAACTTGCAACAAGCAACTTGCAACTAGCAACCAGCAACATCAACAGCAACTTTAGTTTGCCGCTTCAAATTACTTTGAATTGTGTTTAATAGGTGGGAAATGGAGTCAGTTGGCGAGTCAGTTCGTGGCCAGCTGCCCCGCTGTTTTTCAAGTTTTCTGGGCCCAATGCTGTTGCCCAATCTATTGTCGATTGTAATTGAATTATTAAACATCAATTTGGCTAGGAAGTGCAAATTGGCGATCGCTGCGCTCGTGCAGCGTGAGAATCGAGTGACGTTGATCTTTCCTGCCTTTTTCCTGCCGGCGAAATGAGTTCAAGTTCAAACTGGTTTCCAGCTGCAAGTCGGGGCTGCAAATTTGTAGCATTTAGAGTCTGACAAAATGCCAAACACAGCACAAGACGCACACATGCCTCATAAATATGGTAATGGACCGCGAATACCCCAGCCCGACATGAACTCCCACCGCAGCCACCGGCCCCTCAATCCTCCATCCTAGCAATGCGATGCATAAATCTCGCACAAATATTTTTCGCAACTAGCCGGCGTGGGCTTGTGGCCAGTTGATTTTTCGGAGCCGATCTGGACGACATGTGTACGCCATGCACTTGCCAAGCGCAGTGACTGACTGAATGACTGACTACACAGTCCAGCTACAGGACTTGGATTGCGACAGCTGCGGTGAACACAAGACGCAGTGCTCCGACGTCGAATCCAAATCCAACTCCAACGCTAATCGCCGTCCAGCGACGGAAAACTATAATAAAAATTGTTGTGCCCGCTTCGTCCGATGGGACGATATCGAATGACATGGTCTGGAGTCCCAGATATCGTTGCCATGGCTTCGGAATGTCTGCCTCTCTACCAGACCGAGGTGTTGGACAAAGCTTGAGACTTGACTTAAATGAATCTCCCGTGAAATGGCACACGAATTTAAGATTTGGGGATACAATTACTACAAAAGCTAAAGGTATAAAAGGTAAGCGCTCTGAAAACTCTGAAATATAATTATTGAAATTGGGTATACTACTTCTTCTACTTCAGGCTTCTGTAAATAAAACTATTCAACACTCAAGAAATCCAACTCTGTATAGTAATTATGCACGGACTTGTCATCGTCCCCGTACATGGGCATTGAGAAATCGGCACTTTCCGGCGTGACATCTTCATTCGAGAGAAGCCAAGCGCAACGCAAGGCAAGACAAGGCAAAGACCAAATCTAAAAACCCAAATCCCAAATACAAAATACAAAATACGACATGAAATTGTACGAGTACGTATGGCAATTAATTTGAATTTCCACACGCAAAGCGTGTAAAAGGCAGCAACCATCGGACGGCGGACATCTTTCGATGAACCCACAAAGGGGGCCATAAAGGGGGCCAAGAAGGGGCCCAAAAGCAAAAGGGGGCTGGCTGAGAGCAATTAATAAATCTTGTTCGTGTGCATGGTCGAAATCCTAATCGAGAGCGACGTTGATTGCGGTTTCCCAGGGTGCCCGAATGCGCCCCGCACCCCTGCTCCAACTCTTGGCCATTGCATAAGCCATTTTCCAATGCAATGCACGCTTGCATTTTTTATAATTTTTATAGGTTTTAAGTGTGCTTTTCAGCAGCTCTTTTTATTTATATTTTTCAGTTTTCACGCACAGCATCGGTATATTTGATTCATTCATGACTGGATTCCCAATGGGCGGAGGGGGATGGCTGGTTTGCCGGTGTTTGGGGCACGCAATTGGACACGAGAAGTTGGTCAGCTGGCTGGTCTTGGCTTTGGCTTGGTTTTGGCCAACCATTTCGGTTATTGGCTCTTGGCTCTCGGCGTTTTGGCGCGTGTGTATCGCACTTTTCAATTAAGTTACAAAACGCACAGCCCAAGCACGTTTTTGGCTTGTTTTCTTGTCTGATCTGTCTGTCTCGAGTCCGGACTCCGAACTCCGGAGATTCGGCCTTCATCATGAACTTGAGATTAGTTTTTTTATTTTATATTTTTGTGTTTTTGCGCGCGACTGCGATTTTGCGTGCGTTTTCCCATGTAATTGCGGGCTACTCGACTTGATTGCCAATTGTGGGGCGGAAACTCCTTAGACTTCTTATTAAAACTGGTTAGAGATGTATAATTTGGTCACTAAGCGTAACGCGAAGGTTTTGCTTGACCCATAAATGGTTTTATGATTCAGAATCAGTTGGGAAAATATTGGCCAACATTTATTAAAATTAGCTTAATTAATGATTGGTTTTTTGTTTGGATGACTAACTGTGCGTGCTTGAACTTAGTCTAAAATTAATCATTAAAAATTGCCAATTTGAGATTTCTAAGTCCGTAATCAATATGAAAGCCTTCACATTTTTCAAGTCCGTTTAAGTATACTATACAATTCAATTCGATCTTAATGTGAGATAATAAAAACCAACTGGTTTCCAGCGGGTGAGAGTGAAATAAAAACATTACGAGCCCCTCTGATTTTATGGGAAATTAAAAGAAATTTAAAAATCAAACATTCAAATAAATTTGGCCAGCCACTGCTGGCTAAACATTCCAATCTTTCATAATCTCCTAATCAAGATCGAATTATGCAGAAACAGCGTGTTCGAAATTTATGCATATTATTCGTCCCATTTGCAGTGCCTTGGACTTGGATGGTCACTGAATTTTCGAATGCAATGCCAGGGCAGACCAGACCAGAAATGGACCGTAAAGTTATATGGGCATTGATATAGACGTATATGTATATTGAGGCGGTGGCTTTGCCTTCACGGCCTGCTGACACACGATTTTGTGGACCATAAATTAGAGTGCCAGCCCGGGCCAATAAAAATTCTTGGAGAGCAGACAATGCCCCGCGGCAGTCATTAGAAAACTGTCAAACCGAAATAGTTGACTTCATTTGCGGTCTGAACGCGGCTTAAACGTGTTAACAATTCCAGGGCATTAGCAGTTAGTTCAAATGTGTCGACAATTGTCGCGAAAACTCAAGGAACGGCAAACCGAATCGAAAGACTTAGGCAACGAACTTGCAACAGAAAATGCAAAACTCCAAAAGTCTACTTACGAATTTCATATTGCTGGCTGGTGGAGCTTCACGTGTGTGCGTGCGTGTGAGAAGCTGCAATTAGTTAACAAATATTTGAATTATATTAAAATTAAACACTTGCACTTTTCATTAGCTTGACACGAAAACGTTTTGGCTTTGAATTTATAATTTGCGGAATTTCGTGAATTATTTCTTTTATTTCTCGTTTGTTTGGTAAATTCTTCAGTTTTGAGTTTCGTAAACAAATGCAGCAATGCGTTTTCGATGGGTTTTTATGTGTTTTTTTTGTTTTGTGGCCGACGAGCACGCGAAGCCAGGAAAAACTGAATCCAAAGGCTGTGAACTACGGACCGCTCACTGCAATAAATACTATGTAGTACTCTGGGGCTTACACGGTGGATATTTTTTTGTTTGGGGCTTTTATGCGGAGCTCTCGGGTCTCTGCTGTACGTCGGCTTATGCAGTTAAACGTTTAATGAATTCCAACAGGTATGCTCAGTTGGTTTTATATGAAGCACAGTCCGGGCGCCGACGTCGGCGTTGGCGTTGCGTCGCCGTCGCACAGTGGAAGAAACGAGTGATTTGGCTCTGTTTTATTCAGAATTCACTTTAAATTGTTGTATAATCGTTGGATTTGATTTCTAGTAAATGCGATAAGAAAGAAACACTTATTTTTGACACTAATAGGAATAATATAAAAATGGTTTCTACTTGATAAATGTTTAATTATGGAATATTTGTATTCTTTCAAATAAACAAGAAATAATACAAAAAAGACGAACGTAAATAAATTTATTTTTGGATTAAACCACTCCTAAACAAAAACAGATATAAATAATAATTAAAATATATTTAAGAATTCATGTTTTGAATAAACATGCTAAAATATTTATTCTAATATTTAGGTAAGTTCATGTATTACAAAAAAATTATTATAATTTTCATAAAAGATGTATTTATTTAAAAAAAAACAATCACTTGTATTTTAGTCATAAACCTAAAACACCAATTTAATATACATTGCTCCCACTGTGCCGTCGCTTTGTTTGGTGCGTTTGCTTTAAGTTTTGAGTGAGTTTTAGCCATTTGAGTCGGTTTCTTGAGGTTTTTCTTTACATTGGGGGGCTTTATGTTGGTAGTGGCCTACGTGCTATAGTGCTATTTGGTTTTGCATTTGCCACTGGCCACGTGATGTTTGTTCTCTGCAAGGGAATCGATTTACATTGCAGCCTGAATTCAACTTTCTAGCGAATCAATATTCAGCCGGTCGGTGGGTCGGTCGGTGGGTAAGAGGATAGATGTTTGGTTCCGGTAACCAGTTTTGGGTCCTCAAACGGGTCGATCAGCTGCTGCTGCCGCTGCCGCTGCCACTGCTGATGCTTATGCAAATCTCACTATCTAGCATATGTAATTGGAAAGCTGGCAACACCTTGACTTGATGGCAGGTGAAAACAACAACTTAGCCCGACTCGGCTGTGGCAATTTCTTCCGCCTCTGACACTTCCACTTGACCGTGAAATTCGTCAATCGCCATTGTGTCGCACACGGGCGGGGGTTCGATTTTGAATGACAATTTACGTTATACTCGCTTCTGTGATTAAGAATGCCAATATGCATAATCATATCACAAACGGTGGCTGTCATAATTATAATCATAACATGATCATTCTCAACCGGAAGCATGCTATTTCGGAATTCCGAGCCTCAGCTAGAACCTCAGCGGCGGCATCTTGTTTTATAGTGCCGGTTATGTGTATCATTTAACGATTGACATTTATTTGGATTATTACGGATGCATGTTTGTTGCTGTGTGGTCCTTAATAAAAGCAGTAAATGTGAAATTCATGAGGAATGCCTGTCATGCTTGATTAGTTTTAATTAAATACGATTTGCACACTTGTTAGCTGCTATGCGAGAAATGTGTCTGTGTTGGGGTTTTTATGTTGGTGTTTTTTATTCTTCCAGTCTAGGAGTTGCCGAGGCGTTAAGAAAGGTTAATCTCAGGGGGGAGGGAAGGAAACAGAGGTTGGAAGCAAGTTCAAGTTCAAGCCTCAGCTGGCCGCAATAGTTCCTTGGCCAGCTGCAACCGCCAAAGTCAAGTGATTGAATAATGATCTCTACTGCTTATGAGGGTATGGTTTGGATTATGGGGTTGTTCCTTTTATTCTTTTTCTTATAGAACATAGTAGTAGATAAAAATACTTTTAGATGTTTTAAAATATATAAAACATGTGTGTAAAAATTAAAACCTTCTATCCAAAATATCTTCTCTTATATTTCATTTCATAAATTGTATTATTATTTAGATATTTTATTTTGCCAAAGCTGCAACAAAAGCAAAGCTAGGAAAACTTTTCAGAAACAACCTATATAGCATATTCAGGTTAATCCCCCATTTTTTCGCCAGGGTATTGTCTCCGTTGGCCTTCTGTTCTGTTCTCTTTGCTTTTTGCATTGTCTTCACGTCGAGAGGGTCAAGTTCAGTTTCAATTGCTGTAATCGAGGCAATTAATGCGCTAATTGTAGATTGCCATTGATTTATGCTGAATCAATTAGCCAATCGCCTTGCTCGTACTTTGGCTTTCTTTGGATTGCCTTTGCGGCTAGCAAGTTATCAATCAAACGAACAAAATGCTGAGAGCGGCCTCAGACTTGGCCTGTCTTGGCCTGGCCCCAGGTTATTGCCACTTTGAGGAATTGAAAAGTACAAAATTCGGTTGTGTTTTGGGTCTGAACTTGTCCGCACATGACAGCCGATAGACAAAACTAATAAATGAGCATTTAAGCGTGCTACTAATTACTTGATTCTATCTCGCTATAAATAGCCCCTGACGCGATACTCAAACTATGCTTGGTGCCACATCCTGTTGGTGGGAAACTCTGCCACCTTCCGATACCATTAATCATCCCTTTCGAGGGAGGGGATCAGCTTTCGTTTGGGAGTTGGGCTTTCAGGCCTCCACTCCCCACTCCTAACGAATACTGCGCACCCGAAATAACCGCAATATTTCACTCATACCCATGAGGAAGTCGATCGCACAGGTGAGTCAAATCGATTCGACAAGAACAAATGACGCTAAAAAAATAAAATCTGAGCGAATACTTGCTCAGATTAAAGCTCGGACGGTCATAAGCAAGTGCATGTGCAGCTGCCGCCGCCGTTTGAGAGGTGAAAAGTGAAATGATTTCATAAATGACGGATATAATTAGGCACGTTATATGCCAATTAGCGGCGTGTTAAGGAAGCAACCTCCGCGAATCTCCGCCGCCTTTCACAGGTGACACATCTTTACCGTTAGTCGCGGTGCTTCCAATTAGCTAATTGTGCCCAAATGCGCATTAGCATTGGAATTATGGCAACTATTCAGAACTAGCCATAGTCCAACGGTCCTTTTTTAATCCGGAAAAATAAATGCAATATTTCAGAAATACAATGCATACTCGCTTATCAGAATTTAACCTCTCACCTCTGGCTTATATATACCTTGTCGAACGAAAAAGTTGATTGCCCCTTTTTAAACTTCCACGTTTTAATAATTTGTTTGCCATCAATTATATTTTGTAATCTTTGAAATGATTTACAAACTTGTAGTGCACTTGAGATGCATTCCAGCTTTCCTGTCACATTTGCATCATTTACATACATGGCTGTAGTTCGTTCTCACGACATCGACCTTGACAATAACCCCCAAGTGCAGCTAACGCAGGCCGAGGAAGAAAACTCTTGGAGAACAGGTTTACCGCCCGATTTCCACCTGGCCTATACGAGAGGCTGGAGGCTCGAGGCGTGAAGGCGCGAATGTGCGTGTGCAATAGGCCATAAAAACGTCTCGGCCAACCAACGCAGGCCGTTGGCATGACAAACGGGCTGCTGTAATCCAAACCAAACCGATTTGGAAACTGGTTAGACGCGTGAATTAGGTGCCAAAAAAAAAGAGGGAAGCGGCTCAAAATGCATATTTGCATTCATCAGTTTTAATAGCATTAGCTGCACTTCCGTAAAAGTTTTTCGGGCAATTTGTCCCACATATGATGACTAAATTGTGTCTTCGTGGGCTTTGTGAAGAGCTGTCCAATTAGTAAATGATTTATATTATTAAAAATTATAATCAAAATTAATATATAAGGGAATGAGGTACGAGGATGAGGTTTAATTGCAAATATTCCAATAGAATATTAATCTAGATTCTGGAACTACGGCACTAAATCGACTTAATCTAAATAAATAAGCTCAACTTATTGTTTAGAATAGAAGGGAAAAGGTTTAAAGGGGAAATGTTTCCTCTTTAAAACCTTTATTTTTTGCCTTCTAGTGCGGCCTTAAATATTTTATTATTTACAGATTAGCTATAATTTTTATTAATCGAAACGTCCTGAAAGTTTCAAATTGATGTTTCAACTATGTACCTATGATTTTCATAAATTTGAATTTTTTATTTCTAAATTTATCGGTTTAACGGTTTTGTTTTGCCTCTCGATAACAAACACCTGCCAAAACTATCGATGAATTCAGAAATACATGACTCACCCCTATCCATCTTTGTTCACCACTAATAGGCCGGCGAGAAAAATTCCGCAAATTTTTCGGTTGATCTACACAAGGCAAAAATTTGCCCGTAAACTTGCATTACTACCCTGCTTGTGAACTGTGAGAATCTGGCGTCCTTTAGTTTTCTAATAGTCATCTGACTTTGGCGCCTGAAAAACTTATTCGACACGTAGCTTAGACCAATTGGCGGCCCATCGAATGCAACCATGACCGGGAAGATCGCTATAAACAGTCTCCTAGCGTTGCTGGTTCTTCTCGTCGCACCCTTTCGCGTTCTTTGTGATAACGATGTGGAGTACATGAAGCGAGAGCACAGCCTGGTGCGACCCTTTCAAGGTTCGTTGATTATTGTCCTATTTTTATTGCCTTTTACGAGTAACAATTGTAGGTGTGGGCGTGATTCTTCCTCACTGGGACTTTCTGGGCAACACCATGGTCACCAGCAACTACATAAGACTGACGCCGGACTTGCAGTCCAAGAGCGGCGCCCTCTGGAACTATACAGTAAGCAAGTCATCAAGCGTTACTGGGTTCTTATCGCTAACCTGTTAACCTATTTCAGCCGGTGATGGGTCGGAATTGGGAAGTACATGTGGGCTTTAAAGTTCACGGCAAGGGCACTGAACTTTTCGGCGATGGATTTGCTATCTGGTACACCAAAGAACGCATGCATACGGGACCGGTTTTTGGTAGCAAGGATTTCTTTTCCGGACTGGCAATTATCCTAGACACCTACAGCAATCACAATGGGCCACATAATGTAAGAAGCTATGAATAATGACATGCACTTTTTTAATGTCATTTTAAAATGAATTACTTGTAGCACCAACATCCCTATCTAAGCGCCATGGTCAACAATGGAAGCTGGAGTTACGACCACGATCGAGATGGTACACACACCCAATTGGCTGGCTGTGAAGTCCGTTTCCGAAATGTAGACTACGAAACACTTATTAGCATTCGCTATGAGAATGATATTTTGTCTGTGTCCACCGATCTGGAGAACCGAAACGAATGGAAGAGTTGCTTTGTTGTCAGTAATGTGGAACTTCCAACTGGTTACTACTTTGGAATGTCTGCCACGACAGGCGATCTGTCCGATAATCATGATATTCACAGTTTTAAGTTTTACGATATTGATTCAAACACAAGTGTAAGCTTAATAACTTTTTCTTAAAAATTTGTTCGATTCTTATTAGTTTTTTTTTTCCAGCACGATGAAATTATGCGTCGCACCAACATCATTCCCAATGCCAAGACCTTTGAGCCACCGCGTGAGCACAAGGATGACCCTAAGCCGGGCATGTCTAATGCAAAAATCTTCTTTATCCTTCTATTCGTGGTGGTCGTTGCTGCGGCGGTAGCCATTTTCGCCATCTCCTACTTTAAAGATCGCAATGCGCGAAAGCGCTTCTATTAAACGTCGTCGCCTATTAAGCTAGTCCATCGAAACATCATGTTAGGATTATCCCGGACCCTAAAGTTGATCCCCAAAGTTTATTTATGTACCGACTGTTCCCATACGTATCACCTTTTATTACTTTCCTTAATTTTCCTGTATGAAATTTTTTCGTGAGAGAGGGTAGACATAATATTACACGTGTTGGAGAGTTACATTTAAGTGCAAATTTTTAATCTGAACTATAGGAAAATTGAGACCGTGAGAATATTATTGCATAGACAAGATTAAAAGTCAGCAAACCAATACTGGAGTGTCTTCCTGTGTATAAGTCTTAATGCTGGCGACTGCTGGCAGTTGGGTGAGGGCGGCCAGCCAGCATGGATTCGATTTGGCGCACCTGGTTGCTGACAAACCGATCACGGGCATTCATCTCCTGCGGCTGTGTTGAGGGTGGCTCACTCTCCGATTCTAGGGCATCGTTCGACTTGTGCATTCCACTGAGGATGCACTGCTCGAAAAGCGATTTAGAACGCGCATCATCATCCTCGTCGTCCAGTGAATCGTCAGAGCTGTAATTAGGCTTTTCGCCATTTTCAGGTGGCTTTTTTTGGCCGTTTGTCTTGGTTAGGGTGCTGGTACTAGCGTTGGCCAAACTAGAACTAGTACTCGCACCACTGGGCTGTGGTCGGCAGCTTCCGGCTGCTATTGCCTAGAACAAAAGCATTTAAATAGTCTATAAAACGGCTCATCTTGTTTCCTTACCTGGCTCAATAGGTTACAGTCATCGTCCGAATCCATGGAAAGGGAACTAAGTGAATCACTTCTTTTCGGCGGTAGCCTTGGCTCAATTTTTACTTGCACGGCACTGCGACGTGGAGGAAGCTTGGGTGCTTCCTCGGATCCTCTTTCTGGCAACTTTGAAGCTGGTCCTACCCTAGCCGAACCCACAGTGAGGTTTGAAAGTCCAGAGATAACCGAAAATGTACACGGGCTGTCCTCGACATAGTATTTGCTCATCTCATCGGAAACCGGCAAGTAGCTGGGTAGACCATTCCCCCCACAGCGCATTTTTGAGATGACGTCTTCCCCGGGAGTTCGATGGACATCTTCACGCTCAGCCGCTGTCGGTACCTGCTCCTCATTAGCGTTTAAATCATTGGGTATGGAAAGAATGGAGAGATCGCTGTTACTGGGCGCTTTTGATAGCAGTGCCGGAGTATCCTCCGTACAATAGCTACGAGGGGCATCTCCATTTCCATTTATATCGCTAGCGCGCTCTCGTCGGTTTCCGTTAACATTTGAATCGTCCAGAATACTAAGATTGCTAAGGCTGGTGGCGCAGGAAAACACGGCAGGTGTGTGCTCCACATGAAACCTATTAAGCTTGTCCTCAAAGACGTTGCCTGGCTTTCGGGCAGGAGTCTCGTTATTACTCTGTTCGCAAACAGGGAGCTTTCTATCTCGTCTCGGGGACTGCGGCATGCTTTGAGTGGGCGAGTCCGGCAGTTCCGATGGTGAAATGACTCCGCTTTGCATCCTACTGTACTCACTGATCACGGAACCATTATCCTCGCAGGTAATTGTTTCCTCATCGCCAACCAGCGAATCCATTGAACTGCGCCTTGAAAACATAAGTGGGGTTTCCATTGCAGAGTCGGGAATCTGAGGCGCTGGCTTTGTAGGTGTCTTGGGTGGGACAGACTTTTCCTGCTTCTCAGTCAAGCTATTTAGGGAGTCAAAGCGGCTAAAGCTACCGGGTGTTCCTTCTTCACAGTAGTTAATGGGTCGGTCCCCTATTTCCGGCTCTGTCTGCTTGGTCACTGATTCAACCGTTGCTCCGAGTTCCGTGGCCGAACTGGATTTGGTTACTGGCATTGCTTTCGCCGCGATTTGACTGCTCTCCGGCTTAAGCTCCGGTTGAGCCGACTGGGCAGATCGCCTTTCCATATATCTAGCACTGAAATCAGTGGGTTGGTCTAAATCTATCTCAAACGTCTTACTGCTATTAGGTTTATGCTCCATGTATTTCATGGAGTAGTCGATAGGTTGCTCCTCCGTCGGCGTGACAATCTCAAAAGGATTTTTAGCTCCCTCTGACTTGGTTGAGTATTTTGTAGAATCGGATTTACCCGAAAAAATGGACTCCCTACTCTCGCACTTTCGCGTAAGGAAGGATCCATTTGTGCTCACTGTGGAGGGCCGAACCTTCTTAAGAGATCCTGTGGGATTGGAGCTGAGGCGAAGGGAGCTGTACCGGCGCGGTAGTGTTCCAGCATGCCCAGACTCTTTGTCCAAAGGTAAAGAAACACTATCACTGCTGGGCATCAACTCGAGGGCCGCCCTAAAGTTCACTAAATTCTTCAAAGCCGATGCGCTACCTTCAGCAATCATAGAGTTCTTGGAACTGATTAGGGCCCGCAGCAAAGGTATGGCATTATGGTCAATGAGGAACTGTTGATCCTCCGGACAGCGAGCTGAAAGGTTCCACAGTGTGCCGCAAGAGTTGCTTACTACTGTAAGGTTTTCAGACTTGAGTTGCTGAAGAAGAATGGCTAGGCAGTTGTGTCGTCGCAAAATTTGTCGATACGTTTCACAGACCGCAATATGGCTGGAAACGTTCCGTAGAATTCCACCAGCGTTCTCAATAATCTTTAGTGTTTTGCTGGGTCCCTCGTAACTGAGCATGCTAACTAGAAAGGCCAAAGCCCCATCCACTGCGCAGAACTCGGCTTTGTTGGTGCTACAGTGCGCTGAGAGATTCCATAGGGCTGATAAAATAGCTTTCAGAGTGTTTTCGCTTTTGTTTTGCATGGCCGCTCGGGCTAACGCTGTCACTGTCCCCAACTCATTAAAGATAGTCTTCATATGCTTGTCGGCGCGCCAGGATAGATTCCGGAGGACACCAGCTAGGACCTAAAAGTAATGCCATATAAATCGTAACCCTTTTAAAAGTTCCCCTTCCTGGAAATGAATCTCACCTGAAGCAAGTCATCGGGAGCTGTATTCACCTGCGCAATGACCACCTCCATGAAGTGTCGCTGACCGCACAGGTAGGACTTGTTGTGGACATTTTCGTCTCCAAATGTGAGATTCGTAAGGGCCATTAGGCCATAGCTCCTCAGAGCGTTGCACTGTTCCCTTCCCGTAGCCGGACCGTGGACAGCATGATCGAGATGCACCAAATTGGGAATGGCCTTTAAAGCGCCCAGTTCACACATGGTTTGCCGATGCTCATCGTCGAAACTGGCCTTCATTAGCAATTTCATCGCAGCAAGCGGGTGCCGATCCTCGTCATCTGCAATTGCCTCCCCGCCACTCTGTAGTTGGGTGCGCAGAAAATTGCAGTAGTCCAGGATCTGATCGAGCAGCCGCAGCATTTTAACCTCCCGTTGGCGCTCCTTCTCCTCAGGATTGCTGTGCACAATGTTGTGAAGCGCCTGGCTGGCATACTTCCTTGCTGTAGCTAGTCCTTCATCGTTTGCGTGCAGGATTTGGACTAGCAGCTGGATGCAATCGGAGCTACGAAGGGCGGTGCAGGTCTCTGCATTCCGGGACAGCTCCAGGAAATTCCTGGTCAGCTCCAGTCGCGTAGCATCACTTTCGTTTAGCGTCATGGCTTCAAAAATCAACAAAGATTCTGTAAGCCTGACTTTTTATCTTCCACAACCTACGTCTTCCAAGAAGGAACTTGTTTTATGGCCCCCCTAGCAGGTAGTTACTTAGATGATCTCGTCCTATGGTGATCTTTGTTTGGTGTCCTTTTTTAAGCCATTTTCCAAGCGCAAGGCGCAGGCTCAGCGCTTCGCCAATGTTACCAGATGCATATAGAAATCTCTGTTGATCCTCCTAAGGTCTTACTAAAAGCGGTCCAGACGGGGCCTATTTAAAAAAGCTAAACCATTTAATAATGAGTAAATTATAACATTTAAGTTTAAGTTGTTATTTTTTAAATTCATTTTTGGATCAGGTGATCCCGTCCCATGGAAATTTGAAATTGTGCCCCAAAATGTAGCTAATTTATTTTCTTGCATTAAAATTTAAGCATATACAGAAAACTTTAATATATTATAAGCAATTCTTATTAAGAAATTTAAAATTTGTTCTGTAAATAAAAAATATCGTAAAAATATTTGTTTATTTCGTCCATCGCTAGTCAGCCGTTACGTCACGTCCATCAGCTGTTAGACGCAAAATTGTTTCTGCCGCAAAATAATGAATTTCCTGAAAAAGGTAAATTAAATCGTAAAACCCTAGAGTTTTGTAAACTATAATATTCTTTTTTTACCCGCAGTTAGTGCCCCAAGTGGCGATTGATGCACAGCAGATAAGCAAGTCTGCCATTCACACTAGTGCCGTATGCTGTCGCGTGCAATCCGGAAGATACCGCATAACCACGAAACGCGACAGGCCGCTCACCTACGAAATGGCCAATCCTCCACACTTCATTGGCCACCGAAAGTCCTGGAACTCGTGGAACACATGTGAGTATTTAAGGATATTTTGACATCTTCGACTAGAAACTTTATTTTATTTTAGCCGCCCTCAAGGATTCTCTGCGTCCGTCCCAGACTGCCATTGAGGACTTATTCATCCGAAAATTTGTAACGGGAACTTGGCACGCCCTTGTCAGCTCGGAAATCATTATCAAGAGGCAACACAACACTATCCGCATCGCAGCTCTCATCCGACAGGCGATCAGCCCGCGCAAAATGTACTTCCTTATCGGATATACGGAGGAGCTGCTCTCCTCTTGGATGCAGTGCCCGGTTACTTTGGAACTGCAAACAGTGGCCGACAAGAAAGACGTGGTCTTTAAATATATTTAGTTGCTCTTTTTTATGACCAATATATAAAATTTGTTATTCTATAACTTAGTGTGTGTACTCGACTTCGCTGCTATTGTTTTGAAGAGATTTTATGGCCTTGTTCACGATAACACCGTCGAGGTCTTTTATCTGAAAATTAGAATTGGATTGGTCGCTGAAACTTATAAAAAACAAACTTTGCTTACCGCTTCTATCAGTCGTTTGACCTCTGCCAGTGTATTTTGCTTAAGAATAAGGGATTTGATGTCCTTGACTAGTTCTATGAATAGGAAAACTACAATCTTTCGAGAACCACCGCAAACTTTATCCCATATCTTGACCAAAACGGTTTCACAAATAACGCCAGCAAAGCAGGTGATGTACCAGGTGTCCAGCAGCGTGGAATTTGCATTAAACAGGCCCAGTTGCTCAAGATGGCTGTAATAATAAAAAAGGAGTATTAGGGGGAACTATTTCATTTGGCGAAGAAACATACAGGAAAAGTGCCTGATCCTCGCGCCTTAGTAGCATCTGTGTTTGCTCTTTAAGCTTAGGGCATTCTTTTTTAAGTTCTCGCGTATATTTGTAGAAGCCTTTGGCTATCCAATAGGTCTCGACGTCGTCAGTAAAAATCTGCAAAAGTGTTCGCACTATCTCTATAAAATGTAAGTCGTCAGCCTGTAGACTGCAACTAGTGTTTCCTTGCCAAAGACGATTGGATTCCAACAGCCACATTGTGTGCATGACCAGCTCCTTTTCCTTTTGCTCGGTGCACCGCAGCACAGTGACAGCCCGAAGAAGATCTTCGTACACCTCCCGACGCTGATCATGGATATAAGCGGTCGAAGCTTTGTGGAGGGGAAGGATTCCCATAACCAACGCCCAGAGATGGCTCCTGTGTATGTTGGGCACTGTGTAGTTCATGCAAAATTGCTTCAATTTGTTTAAGTTACGGATGTCATCTTGGAGTAGTTTGTTCAGTGACTTTTTCTCCTCGACACTGTTAATAAGACATTTCTCATAGTAGCTGGATCGGAAGTTCCGTTCGTCGGTATTCATGGCTTATTAAAAGTTTTCCATGCCAGCAAAAAACGACAACAAATGGGAAATAGAGATGGGGGCTTTTTCGATGGGTCTGCGCACCAGAAAAGTACGGACACTGAAGCTATCAATACCCTAAATAAAAACACAATATACTTATAAATTATACGTTAGAATAAGTCATTTTGAAAAATATATTATTATTAAATTTAGATAGCTCATTTTAATAAAATATCATCCAATAAATTGGATGTTCCAACAGCGCACTTGACACTTTCTGCTAGTGCTGTATAAAAAAAAAGAATAAAACTACTCATTTCTATTGTACAAGGTTTAATTAAATTGTAATATTAACATTTATTTTTAATTTTCAAAATTTCTAAATGATTATACCTGTTTCAAGGGAATGAAAATCGATGCCCTGACCAAGAAAACTCATCGATGATTGACCATCTCTAGTACCACTGGATGCAAAATGCCTCAATATCTGAAAAGGTAAACAAAATGTGAAAATCGTGGGCAAGAAAATTAATTTTTTGCGGATTCAAAGGACTAAATAATCTTTCGAAAACCCATAACTTCAGATGATAAGTGCCGAATTAAATTAAACGATTTCTGTGTGTACACGCTGGCGAGGCTGTTGCTCATGAATACCAGCACATGAAAATCAATAATTGAATCAGAAAATCAAAACACGGATTTGCCCAGATGCAAGCACGCCCGCGATAAATTATGCAATTGTTTCAGCCATTAACGACCCTTCGCACTCTCCCCATCCCACTTTCCCACCTCCTCCTTCTTGTTCTCGTCTTGGCCTCATTTGCAGTTGATGTATTCAAATGCTGAGCTCGATTTTGGCTGTTGTTGTTGCTGTTGCTTCTGCTGCCACCACTGCCACAGTGCATGTTGTAATTGGTATTGGGACTCGGTGTCGCGATGGAGCAGGAAATCGGCACCTGGGACTCAGTCCTGCTGGAGAACCTGTCCGAGGATAGCTTCATAAACAACATCCACCAGCGTTACAAGCGCGATCACATTTATGTAAGTTTTTAAATTGGAGAACATACATATGTATATTATTGCACTTAAATCAGTTAAGAAATTATAATTTTGGGAGATTGTAACTCTTAACTTCCATCTCCCAAGTGTTCAATGTTCCTGACATTGGTTAATATTACTAAAATATAAATTTTTAATACCTTTAAAAATAATCTTTAAATAAATACTATTTTCAGACCTACATTGGAACTTCTGTTGTGGCTCTGAATCCATATCATCACATATCTGAGCATTCGCTAGACAATGTCCGAAACTATGGCGACAAAGGCATTTTCCAGCTGCCGCCACACATGTAAGTTATCATAAAAGTTTATCAAAAACCTTGAAATGTATTCTCCAATATCCCTATTTACCACAGCTATGGACTTACAAACTTGGCGTACCAGTCGCTTAAGGACCAGAGCGAGGACCAGTGTGTGCTCCTCACTGGAGAAAGTGGAGCGGGAAAAACAGAGACCTTCAAAATGATTGTGAATTTTCTTACCCACATCCAGGAGCATTCGCATTGTCCGTCTACCCCGAATGTTTTGCGCAAGCAATCCTCTACAAGTTCGGCCACAGGAGGTGTCTTGCATAGTCATAGGCGCGCATCCAGCAGCTGTTCTGGCACTGCCAATTTTATTATCTGTAAGAATCGTGCGGAAAACCCAAACACTACGATTTCGAGGCGCCAAAGTCCATCGCCGGGACCATCTCAGCGTTCAAGAACGCGGGAGGAGAGTATCGAGCGCCAAAGCAGACGTCAAATGCGCGAAAAGATAGTGGATTTCGATTTCTCGCACCACAAGAGCAGTGAGAACATAAGCACCATGCTCGAATCGCACGCCCACCACTTGCATCCGACCAAGTCGTGCTTCAAGCACCAACAAACCCAAGTTCCGCCCGCAAAGGGATCCCCCAAATATGCTGCCTACGGAGGTTGTCGCCAGTGTGGTCACAGTAAATGCGTCCGAGCCCAGAGCTTGGAAAAGGAGGATCGGGCGGAGCTGCGTGGCAGCAACAGCCGCCTGTCAACCATCACAAGCAATCACCCTGCCCATCTGCATCGCGGCAGCTGCTCCAACTTGATGCGCCAGCATTCAACGGAAAGTCAACCGGAAAGGGAAAGGGATCGGAGCTCGCTGATGGGTTCTACGCAACGCATCTCTCTTTATGATGCACACAAGCTGAGCAAGGTGCTAGGTGATCTGCCGCCGCCGCCACCACAGCCCAGCTCCGTTTCGCCAACGCCTTCTGGTACCTCCTCTCTTCACCGAAGACACAAATCACCCTCGCAGCGGCTGCGCGAGTGTGTCACCTGCATGTACGCTAAAAAACAACAACTCCAGCCGATATGTAAGTCATAACCACTATTTTTTAACCATTTAATTGTTTATTTTATTTTCTTATTAGGGAAAACTGTTTGATATTGAGATCGACTTTAAGGGCGATCCGATGGGAGTGCACATAACCCACTGTAAGTAGAACCGAGATATATAATATCATTGAAATTATCTCTTATTTTATTCATGCCTACCTCTAAGATATGCTGGAAAAGGTTTGACATAAGATTTTACCATTGTTTACTTTTTTCATTTAATTAATAAAATTAATTTTAATTCTCAGACCCGTATAACGGATACCACAATTGGAGAGCGAAATTTTCACATCTTCTACCAGTTACTATTAGGAGCTGATCTCCAGTTACTAAGTACGTAGGAAACAATTGACTTGATTCAACAATTTTTATTTTTGATAAATATTTTTCATTAGAATCGCTCAAGCTGTTTCGAAATGTGGAAAAGTACGAACTGCTACGAAACACAACTGCCATGGAAGAAGATCGAATGAACTTTCATTATACAAAGGTAAGAGATACCCTCAAAAATCGTCAATTTCCTTATATAATACATTTATTTTCGTTTGCAGCGTTCTTTGGACGTGCTTGGCCTAAGCTGTGATGAGATCAGCTCGATTTTTCGAGTCATTGCTGTGGTGCTCAAGTTGGGAAACTTTATTTTCGTGCCTGTTACCAATATTGATGGAACTGAGGGTTGTCAAGTATCCAATGTTTATGGTAGGTCCACAAAATCCACTTTGGGGAGACTAAACTAAATGAGTTGAAATTACAGAGGTCCAAGAGACTGCGCAGCTCCTTAATTTGGAGGCCCAAATCTTAATCAATTGCTTGACACGGGCGAACAGTTCCAATAGTGCTCAAGAGGATGTGGGCAGCGAAATGGATGCCCGGCAAGCGGCCAGCAATCGTAACACTCTATGCCGCACACTCTACAGCCGCCTTTTTACGTGGCTGGTGAATAAAATCAACGAATCGTTGAAGTCAACGCAGCGCGAAAAAAACTTGGCCTTACTAGATTTTTATGGATTCGAAGTACTGGATCACAACTCTTTCGAGCAGTTTGCCATCAACTATAGTGCCGAAAAAATCCATCAGGTAACTTTTGGTGGTAACATAATTTTATCTTAAATATACTTATTTCATTGGTTTTTAGAACTTTGTTTTTCATGTGCTCCGATCTGAGCAAGAGCTGTACATACGCGAAGGCTTGGAATGGTCGCGGATCGACTATTTTGACAACGAGTCCATTTGCGAGCTGATTGACAAGCCGAGCTACGGCATCCTGAGCCTGATAAACGAATCCCATCTGAACAGCAATGAGGCTCTATTGCTACGAGTCCAACAATGTTGCGCCGGGCACCCAAACTTCATGACTAGCGGTAGCAATTCTATGTGTTTTCAGTAAGATTCCATAAGTATTCCAAATGCTTCAAAAATTAAAGTCTCTTCATTTTTTTCTAGGATTCGTCACTTTGCCAACGTGGTTAACTATTCGATACATCGATTCCTGGAGAAAAACACGGACATGTTGCCGAAGTACGTTAGTGCTGCCTTTTACCAGAGCAAACTGTCACTGGTTCAGAGCCTATTTCCTGAGGGGAATCCCCGAAGGCAGGCCACCAAAAAGCCCAGCACGCTGAGTTCAAATATCCGTACACAGTTGCAGACATTGTTGGCCATTGTAAAGCATCGTCGCTCCCACTATGTGTTCTGCATTAAGCCGAACGAAGGCAAACAGTCACACCAGTTTGACCTGGCGTTGGTCCAGCACCAAGTGCGATACATGTCTCTGATGCCATTGGTACATCTGTGTCGTACTGGGCACTGTTTTCACCTGTTGCACGTGAAGTTCTTTCATCGCTACAAGTTGCTCAACAGTCTTACCTGGCCCCACTTCCACGGCGGCAGTCAGGTGGAGGGCATTGCTTTGATCATCCGAAATCTTCCCCTGCCCTCCGCCGAGTTCACCATCGGCACCAAAAATGTGTTCGTCCGTAGTCCGCGCACCGTCTATGAGCTAGAGCAGTTCCGACGCCTACGAATAAGCGAGCTGGCCGTGCTCATCCAAAAGATGTTCCGTATGTACCACGCAAGAAAGCGGTATCAGAGGATGCGACAAAGTCAGATGATTATCTCCAGTGCTTGGCGGACGTGGAGGGTAAGCCATACTCTTGAGTTAGTCTACAAATGCATGAATTGTTTTACTTTACTTTCGTTTTCTGCATGTTAGGAGTGCCGATTCGGTATTCCCTTTACAGGCCGTAGGCACTTGTGGAGTTTATATCGTGTTGTAAGCATTGCAATTTTTTCTCTCATTTAATTAGTTATTAGTACTTAGTTTGGTTTCATTATGTAAGTCTTGCTAATAATGTTTATTTGTTTCCTGCAGGCGCGCGAGGAGTATCGCTCACTGAAGTACAAACGCCAAGTCAAATGGGCCATCGATGTGATAGCACGGTACTATCGGCAATGGAAAATCCGGCAGTTCCTGCTGACAATTCCCCTTCGGCTTCCTCCCAACACACTGAGTCCGCTCTCCGGGGAGTGGCCAGCGGCACCCTCTTTCCTTGCAGAGGCATCGCGTCAACTTCGAGCCATCTACCACCGCTGGAAATGCTACATATACCGAAACTCTTTCGACCAAACCGCGCGAAATCGGATGCGCGAAAAGGTTACTGCCAGCATCATATTTAAGGACCGGAAAGCTTCCTATGCAAGAAGGTATGCATTTTTTTAATGAAGTTGTGTTCCAATTAATGCTATTTTTGTTTCCAGTGTTGGCCACCCATTCGTGGGGGACTATGTCCGCCTGCGCCACAATCAACAGTGGAAGAAGGTCTGCGCTGAGACGAATGATCAGTATGTGGTCTTCGCTGACATCATCAACAAGATAGCGCGGTCGAGCGGCAAGGTATATAATTATACTTTTACAATTTTTGGATTTTAAATTATTAATTTTGTTTCAGTTTGTGCCCATTTTATTGGTGCTTTCGACGTCGTCGCTGTTGCTGTTAGATCAGCGAACGCTGCAGATCAAGTACAGAGTGCCTGCCTCGGAGATATACCGGATGTCTTTGAGCCCCTATGTGGATGACATTGCTGTGTTCCATGTGAAGGCGGTAGGCATAGATCAGAGCCAGTTGTTAAATTCTATATTTAATTGTAATTATTGTTTCAGTCTGAGTTTGGGCGCAAGAAGGGCGACTTTGTGTTCCAAACCAGTCATGTCATCGAGATTGTGACCAAAATGTTTCTGGTCATACAAAACGCCACCGGTAAGCCGCCGGAGATACACATAAGCACAGAGTAAGTTACTTAATATCTGTTTTTAAGTTCAGAATCATACTGCCTTTTAATAGGTTTGAAGCTAATTTTGGCCAGCAGACTGTCATCTTCTCGTTCAAATACGGCGGCATGTCGGACTTAGCACAAGGCCCAGCTAAGGTCACGCGCAAGGCGAACCGTATGGAGATAATTGTGTGATCCGATACAGAACCGGAATCTTATCGTGGCAGCTCATTGAGCCTGCTCCTATAATCGGGGCCCATGGGTCCGTATCCATAATAATTACAAGTCATCATGCAATTGCAATCACTCTTGCCTTTTGCTGTGGTTGAGGTCTCCGACTCCGACTTTTATATGGTCCCAGGGATCAAAATACAATTTTAGCAATATAATCACACAGACACACAAGTACACTAACTCACTCAGACATAGAGACAGATGGAACACAATTTAGTTTTGTTCACAAGTGACAATCAGAGTAACCGATTTGTTGTCAAGATTGTGCCAAATGCAGGAAACTAGAATTGTGCCAAGGAGGTAAATTAAGAGCGAGCTAATTTTAAAATGCACCATTTTATTTAATCATGTAACTGTAAAGTTAATGCTAAATGAAACTAACGAAATGAACAACTGAATTTATTCATCTAATTTGTCTAGGTTTAAGTGTAAGTCGTGCACCAAGTCTATTAGCATTGCAACAATAAGTACATACTATAAACGGAGCACATGTCGCTTAAAAGGAGGATGTAGAACTAGTGGAGATGGAGCCTTCTTGTGCAGGCTCGACAGTGTTTGGGATTTTACACAAACTATGATATTTCCGTTAAAGAAACCAAGGCATTTCTCTTACATTTAAGGTTTCATACACAATAATTAGTGAACTAATGCTAGAGAACAGACATATAAACCTCTTTATATACCGGAAACACAAACGATGAGCCCCTTATATGCAACATGCTACGACTTAGCGAAGAAGTTACCTTTCCCAATAATCAATAAACAAAAAATACAAAAAAATGTTAAACAACTATTTACAAAGCAGAGCAAATGAGTAGTTAAATATTTCAAATAAATATATATATATGTATACACCATACGAAATTAATAATGAGTCTATATAAAAGCGACAACAAAACAAGAAAATTATACGGAAAGTTTATTAAGAGTTGAGAACGAATGTGTATGTATGTAGTTGTTTATATATAACTTGTTATTGAAAGTTCGGACATCAAACGCAACTCCAGCTCGGAGTTTCGTTTGAAAGCCTCCAAATTCAGAGATGTCACCCAATATCCGCGACATTGTATTCCAATATTTTTTATTTGTATTTAAGTTTTAAGTGAGTACTTCCAAAGAAAAGCCAAATATGAGGAAATCGAAACCCAACCAGTTGGTAGTTTATAAAACAAAGTTTAGCAATAATAAAACATACATAATGAAAAAGTTTTGTACAAACACACACCCTATGGGAATTAATTTCCCTTACAGTTTGGACTTTGGTTTTTTCTTCAGCATCTCTCGCAGGATTCGTCGCAAGATTTTGCCACTGGGGTTCTTTGGAATTTCGTCAACGAAAATCACACCACCGCGAAGCCGCTTGGCTGGCGAGGCGTGTTCGTTGACAAACTGGATTACATCGGTTTCCGTAAGCTGGACATTGGCTTGCTTCACCACGAAAGCCAGGGGTAACTCGCCGGCTTCCTCATCGGGCTTTCCGATAACTGCCGCATCCTTGATCTTGTCGTGGGTGAGCAACAAAGCCTCAATCTCAGCGGGCGGAACCTGGAAGCCCTTGTACTTGATCAGCTCCTTGATTCGGTCCACGATGAAGAACTCGAAATCATCATCGAAGAATCCGATATCACCGGTGTGCAGCCATCCGTCTTTAATGGCCGTCTGCGTGGATTTGGTGTCTCCAATGTAGCCCTTCATGATGCCATCTCCCTTGAAGCACAGCTCTCCGCGCTCGTTAGGTCCAAGTAGTTTTCCGGTGTCGGGATCGATGACCTTGGCGTAGATACCAACCTTCAGAACGCCCACGCTACCGGGCTTGCAGAAGTCGTCGTTCTGTACCAATACGCTGAGGGTGGATTCGCTGAGACCGTAACCTTGCCGGATGAAGGGAACTCCAATGCGTTCCTTGATTTGGTCCTCTGTCTCGCGACTCAAGGGAGCTGCTCCGCAAAGAAGGACCATCAATGAGGATAGATCGTACTTGTCCACGATCGGGTGCTTGGCAAGGAAGACCATTAGCGGGGGCACCATGAAGGCCATCATTACACGGTACTTTTCGATAGCCGAGAGGAACAGATTCTCTTCGAATTTAGGCAGGTACACAAGTCGGGCGCCCATGCAGGCAGTGGTGATGAGCGTAAGGCAACCAAAGGCATGGAACCAGGGAATCACTGTCAGCAGAGTAACTTCTTCCATGGGAATCATGGTGGGTTGGCTGGTTGAGAAAATATATTAATTAATTGTATAATTTAGGAGTAAAAACCAGTCAAAATACATTTGTGAATCCAGGGTAGCAAGAAGATTCATCTGCGTGAGTTGCACACCTTTGGGCAGACCGGTGGTTCCCGAGGAACACACAATTAAGGCCACATCTTCGTTCTTATTTGCCACAGGAGATGTAAAGTCAGGCTTTGTCTGGAATTTGACATTGTCCATTAACTCCCTGAGACTGTAGATGTTCTTGAAGTTTTTGGAACTGCCACTGATGGCGATGATGCCTTTGACAAACTTATTCTTGCTGGCCACTTTGGCTACCCGGTCGATGGTGATCTTGGAGGCAAAGATGATCTTAGGCTTCGAAAGATTGATGGCGTGATCCACCTCACGGTCGGAGTAGGTGACGTTGAGGGGGGCTACCGTAGCACCCACGGCAAAGCCAGCGAACATGGCCAGGGCGAAGTCGACGCTGTTTTCGCTGGACAAGCCAATGACATCGTTGTGTTTCACGCCCAGCTTTTGGAGGATGTAGGCAAGTCGGACAATGGACTTGTGCATAAAACTGGCCGTATATTCCACGCCGTTGACGGCATCCACCAGAACCGTTTGTTCGCCGAAGCTCTTGTACTTGTCCAGGACAAACTGGCCCAGGGATCGATAGTCCTGCGCTTCCTTGGCGGTTATAGGACCGCCATAAACGATGTTACCGGGCAATAATGTGGAAGTCATGTTGTGCCTGCAACGGAACAATAAATTAGTTGGTGACAGTGTACATAGGATATAAGAGCATATTTATATTCTTAAAAACAAGCTCAAAACTAACAAAAAATAAGCAAGTTACAATTACTTCTCCCCGGAAACAGCTCGTGAGGGTGGGATTTATAACCACCCCCAAAACTCTTGAAAGAGTTTCTTGCACTGCAATTAAAACTTTGTACCCCGGTCTATCTAATCGTGGTCGGCCGGCAGAATTCTAACTGTGGCCAGAGTTCCCATCGATGTTAGCCATGTTCCCAGCTATCTGAGATAGCGGATTAAGAAAAAAATATGCTGCTCGGAAGTCCAGATTCCAAAGGTCGTAGTTCGCAGCAAAAGTCTAGGCATATGAGGTGACAACTTTCATCCCCTGTTCTGAAGGAGCCACTTTTCGGTGAGCTCGTGGAAACTAAGCAATTATTTACACTTTACGCGGTTCAATTCAGTCACACCCATTTATCAATCTCCAAAATTCAACTCACTAAATCTTTTTCTAGGTTATCCCTGCTGGGCGATGCGAACGGGAGCGGCTTCAGTGCAAAACTAAAATTCAAATGCGATATGACAGTCCGTGTTTACTGCACGATTAGATTAGCGTACTTGATAAACAAGGTGGTGCGAGAGCGCAGGCGCGTGTTTGGCTAGTAGGTCTCATTCAAGTTAAAACAACAGTGCAACGGCCAATTAGGTCAGAGGGTGGGCGGGAAGCAATTGGCGAAAACTAACAACGAACAGCTGTTTAGGGGTGGGCACAAAAATAAAGATGATACCGGCCGATAGATTTCGATACAAATAAAAATCCAAACATATGGCAACGCCGTGTGATTATTTTTGTTTGATTGCGGTACATTTTGATAAGAGAAGTATATTAGCAATATGTTTACCTTTTGGCCCGGCTTCGATTTGAATTTACGTGATAAAAGAAAATATTACAAATTATAATGACTTTTGGTAACAATAATATAAAAGAATTCATGTGGCTAAGAAATTTTTGCGATGACCTTGATTATTTTAGTATAAAAACTTAAACTAAGCCCATAATATTTTATTATAAACGTTTGAAAAAATTAGGTTCTTTATTTATAGTTTATTTACTTTAGGGCAATTTTTTTGAGATATCTGCAGAGCGTGAAAATATGTATTGCTATAGTGTAGCGCACACTCGATTCGCTGTCGATCGGGCTGCTCTCTGATTCATGGATTCCTAACACGCATCGGAGTGGAGTAATAGCGTAAATATAGGAAATATGCCAGCGGCCGTGCTTAGTTGTTGATATTCTTGGGCGTGGAGCACAGGCACGGCGTTCCGTTCGCAGTGTCAGACCCGTAGAGCTGCTCGAGATAAAGGTAATCAGCTCAATATTTTCGATCGCCAATTGTTTAATGGTTTAATATCTCGGTTTTGATAGGTACCACTAGTTAAAAACGCTTACAATGTCTGCTTCCAAGGCCCAGAAGTTCTACAAGGTTGACATAAACCGCACAGAATGGGAGATCCCAGAAATGTACCAGGGGCTCCAGCCTGTGGGATCAGGAGCTTATGGTCAAGTTTCCAAGGCTATGATAAGAGGAACCAACATGCAAGTGGCCATTAAAAAGTTGGCACGCCCTTTTCAGTCAGCCGTCCACGCCAAACGAACGTATCGGGAGCTGCGACTTCTTAAGCACATGGATCATGAAAATGTGATCGGTCTATTGGACATATTCCATCCACATCCGGCGAACGCTTCCTTAGACAGCATTCAGCAGGTTTACTTGGTCACACATCTGATGGACGCTGACCTGAACAATATTATTAGAATGCAAACCCTGTCCGACGATCACGTCCAGTTTTTGGTATACCAGATTCTCAGAGGTCTAAAGTATATCCACAGCGCTGGAGTGATCCACCGGGACCTGAAGCCTTCGAACATTGCCGTAAACGAGGACTGTGAGCTGCGCATTCTAGATTTTGGTCTGGCACGACCCACCGAGAATGAAATGACGGGTTACGTGGCCACCAGATGGTACCGGGCTCCGGAAATCATGCTTAACTGGATGCACTACAACCAGACGGTGGACATCTGGTCGGTGGGCTGCATTATGGCCGAGCTCATCACGCGGCGTACGCTTTTTCCAGGCACTGACCACATTCACCAGCTCAACCTGATTATGGAGATGCTTGGGACTCCTCCGGACGATTTTATGAAAAAAATCTCTTCGGAGAGTGCGCGCAGCTATATTCAATCGCTGCCACCTATGAAGAGGAAAAGTTTCAAGAAGGTCTTCGAAAAAGCCAACCCACTGGCCATCGACCTGTTGGAAAAGATGCTGGAGCTGGACGCTGAGAAGCGGATCACGGCCGAAGAGGCCTTGGCGCATCCATATCTAGAAAAGTATGCGGAACCTAGTGACGAGCAAACATCGCCCCCGTACGATCACAGCTTCGAGGACATGGATTTGCCCGTGGACAAATGGAAGGAACTCATCTGCAAGGAAATAACAAACTTCAAGCCACCGCCATCATTTGCTCAGGTCCTCAAGGATGTCAAATGAAATTGGTTAAGCCCAAGACTTAAAGTATTAAACAGGGGAAGATATATCACTGTGGACGGCAGTCCACAAGGTGTCGAACCGCATGCGCGGGATACACATATATATTTTTTATACAGACAAAATTGTTTACATTTATATTGCCTTTTGTACTCAATTGAAACTACTTTTAATGTTGATTAATGTTCTGTTTTGTGATTAACACTTTGTTATAGATGGCCATTTGTAATATAAATTAAAAACTTGTTGTCTTATTTGAAAATTGATTTCAAATTATTGTGAAAATAGTTATTGGAAAGTGCAACTGATTAGGCAGCAAAAGCAATTTCAGAACTGACCTATCATTTCACAAGCTTACGAATTTATGAAGTGTGTTCGTTTGTGCTTAAGTTTATATATATTAGTTAATATAATTTTACTCGCTTCAGAAAAACCGACACCAATATACCCTTGCAGTTAAGATCGGATATTTATTGCAAATATCGGATATGGTTGGCCGATCCTAACGAGGTTTCATTATACATATTCCATTTATTTTAATACAAAATTTAAAAAAGTCCCCCGAAGCTTTTATCTTTAAAAACACAAAAGTTGGGTCATTTTCGATCGTTTATATATATGGCAGCTATAGGATATAGTCGACCGATCCTTATAAAATTTAATACAACATATAATTTTTGCTAAAAATTGAATTCATACAGATTCATTTCCCAACTTTCTAACTTTAAAAACACCAAGGTTATGGCATTTTCGATCAACCAGTTATATGGAAGCTTAGGATGTAGTTGGCTGGTCCAGGCCGTTCCGTCTCCACTGCGTTTTACACTTTTGACCAAATTATAATATAATCATTATAATGCAAGGGTACATTAAAATTACTATTAGGGAAATATGCTTGTTAGCGCATTAGGGGTATACTTTATCTATATGACATCGATTCCGGTCATGATTCACAATCTTATTAAGGTGAATTTTGATAAGAAGCGCATTTAAGAAGTGCCTTAACAAAGGTGAGTTCAGTTTGCGATAATTCGTGGAACGGATAGCACTCTTAAGCAAAAGCATACGAATACAATGCCTGGGTTTTATAGTGTGGAAGTGAATAACAAAATTTGGGTGATTCCCGATATATACAGAGTAGTTGAGCCCCTGGGTAGGGGTTCCTTTGGCCAAGTGGCTAAGGTGGAGCTGCGTAACACAAAAATACAGGCGGCCATGAAAAAGTTACTGACTCCCTTCGAATCAGAGGAGGATGCAAAGAGGGTCTATCGGGAGATAAAGCTGCTGAAGCATATGAATCACCGTAACGTAATCAGCTTGTTGGACGTTTTTCATCCACCGTCAGCAAATGCCAATCCAACTTGGGACGATTTCCAGGAGGTTTTTTTGGTGACTGAATTGATGCAAAAAGATCTGCACCAAGTAATCCGGAGCATACAGCTTTCCGAACGACAGGTGCAGGCCATTCTCTTCCAGATTTTGAAGGGCCTAAAATATATCCACAGCGCCGGTGTCTTGCACCGGGACTTGAAGCCTGGGAACATTGCTGTGAACGAGAACTGTGAACTCCGCATTCTGGATTTCGGAATGGCTAGGCTGTTATCAATGGATATGACGGAAAGGGTGTGTACTCTTTGGTACCGTGCCCCGGAAATCCTTTTTGGATGGGGCTCAGAATACACCAAAGCTATTGACATGTGGTCAGTGGGTTGCATCCTAGCGGAGTTAATCTCTGGTCGCCCACTTTTTCCTGGCACGAAAAGTGATCAAATCAAGGTTGTCATTGAAGTAATGGGGAAGCCGTCGGAAGAATTCATTAGCGGTATTCGCGACAGTTTCGCACGTCAGTACTTGGAGCGTTTTCCTCCCAGAGAAAGGATGAATTTCCGTGAAATTTTCCCAGCTGCAAGCCCTAATGCTTTGGATTTGTTGGAGAAAATGTTGGAAATGGTTCCCCATAGGCGTATAACCGTAGAGCAAGCATTGACCCACCCGTATTTCGAAGGTTTCTCGGATCCATATTCTCTCGATGAAGATACTGCACCGCTTTATGATCAAAATTTTGAGAACATGAACTTGCCGATAAACTGCTGGAAGGAACTGATTATGACCGAGATCAAAAATTTTAAGCCCCCGCCTTGTTTTCTAGGGCCAATGAGGGAATCGTACGGATAGACTTTTGAAAAGACTTTAAAATAATTTTAAAAAGAAAATACAAATAATATGCAGGTAAAAACAAAGAATTTGTATAAGTATTTAAGTTTATAAATAAAAGCTACATTTAAATTTTAAAATAATTTTAACTTTCATTTTAAAAGGAACAGTATTGGGAATTAAAACACTTTTTTCTGCAAAAATTAGTGTTTCAAGGAGGAAACATTATATTTCTTTTGAAAAAATGGGGTAATTACCAATCCTCTAATGAAGTTCCATAAATTTGAATCAGAAGACGACAAATTATTATTTAAATTTATTGTCAAATTTTTCGGAGGATCCCCTTTAAAATTATGATGAATGGAACAAGGGACAGCATGATTTTCAGCGATGGCTTGTCTTAGCCACTTTTCATCCGATTCTTAAGCGAACTATCTTAAACGATTTTTAGATATTCCAAAAGGTGGAGATTTCATTATAATGAAAATACGACCACGATCCATAGTTTAAGGCTATATCTTTGCTAATAGTAATGCGATTCCTGAGCCGAATACGGAAAACGATTTCTAGATAGATTTTTCATCAATATGAATCAAAATCTATATAGCTTCACTAATAGTTATCCGATTCCTAAGCGGAATACTTTAATTAATTCCTAGCTAGATTATTTATTATTCGGATTTAAAATCCTTTAAGAAAGATATTTATTAAAATTTTAACTTTTCCAGTGACCCTCTCTCAAAATGTATTATATAAACCCATTTATTAATTGTCTCACTTACAATTTTTTAACCAAACAGTGATGACTGTAATTTACGAATAAATTGAACCAAGGCTTTAAACAATATATTCAAATTTTTATTAATGTGTTTTGTCCAGAAAAACATTTTGAATTTCCTACAGTGCGCCAGTTGAGTAACCCTAATGAAATGAAGGTCTGGCAACTCCGCCAACAGCTGACTTCCTAAAATCTGCCGGTTGAGTTTGTTATTGAAAACAATCAAAAATGCTAAACCTGAGAATCCTTAGCCCTTCGGTTAGAAAGTCCTGTGCCAGGCATATCTCCGCCCTTTACATAACTGGCGACAAAGCGAACGAGAATTTTGTGACCCTGCAGCCGTACCTGGACTTCGAGGGAACCTTCGGTGGACGAGAGTTTTTGGAGAAGAGCATTGCTAGTAGGGGCCTCAATATCAACCTGGAAACTGTGCTTAATAAGTACCAAAAGTATCAGGCGCATCACGAGCAATTGAAAAAGGTTTCTGAGGATCGAGAATCAGTCACCAAACGATTAAAGGAGCTATCCAAAGCTGGAGGCAATGTTGATCAGCTCGAACAGCTCAAAGAACGTGGAAAATCATTGCGCAACGACTTAAAGAATCTGAAGAAGGCCCTTTACCCAATTGAAGATGACTTTATCCATGACTTTCTGCATTTACCTAACCGGTTGCATGAACTTTGTCCCACAGAAGGCGAAGAGAAGCTGCTCTACCGTCACCATGTTCCCAATTCCAAAATGGATGCGCCCTCTCACATGGCGAACAAGGAACTCATACACTTTGTGGACAATAATCGGTATTACATGATGGAACAGGCGGCCCACTTTGATGTTAATGCTATGCAATCTTTGGCACGGTATTTTGTCACCAAGGGAGACTTCATTCAAACCGCTAACCCTGATTTTGTGCGTTGTGTACTGTTGGAGGCAAATGCCACTTCAATGGATGACTACCACATGGTGCGCGAGGAGCACTTGCAAAACAAAATTAATACAGCTTACTTGACAGGGGGATCTGCCTTTGAGAGCTATTTGGGCGCCATGACCAAGCTGTGCGTATATCCTTCGGTGCTGCCCCTGCGATATGTCTGCTGTGGGCGAAGCTATAATCGAGCGGAAGCCAAATTAAATGGACCAACTCCCAGTCTCTATACAGCGACCCAATCGAACGCTGTCCAAAGCTTTGTGGCGACACAAAGTGGCAGTGACGCGGATTCCCAATTAGAACATATTCTCAACCTAGCAGTGGACTTCTACAAAGCTATAGATGTACCATTTCGGGTTGTTTACGTGCCAGCTAAAAATCTAACACCTTCGGAAAGTCTTCGCGCAGTTGTTGAGGTATACGCACCGTCTTTGAAACGATATGTTTGTGTGGGAAGAATAAGCAATTACGGAGATTTTGTGTCCAAGCGAATCCTCTTCAGTACTCGGCGGGAAAAACACTACGATTTTCTGCATTTGGTCGGCGGACCAGTCTTGTACACCTCAAGGCTGATAGCAGCTCTCTTGGAACATAACATCAACCTGGAAGACTGTAAACTGCTGGGCTCTGCCAGACAAACACCCACCATGCAGCAAAGTGTTCAGCAATTTAGGGACCTCTTTAAATAAATACAAAACTTTGTTCCTGTTTCTTGTTTGTTTTCGTTCTTAAGTCTAACAATAAGTAAAATATTAAGTTTTACATACAATTATTTACAATCTAGTGTAATCTCATGGTCTGCAGGTGGCTTGTCCACCGATTCGATGGGGTTAGTCGCCGCATTTGATCTGCAGCTTGGGAAAGCTTTTGCGGAAGTTCTCGCACTTGGGGGTGGTAAAGGTGAAGACGTTTCTCGAATCGTCCAATACGGAATTGGGGCTGGATCGCGGGACTCTCAATACGTAGGTGGTATTGTACTTGAGTTTGCTGAATTCCAACGGGTCCCTCTGAAAACAAAAATTCCATTTTAAATATTTTTTCAAAAGAAATTCTTTCCCAAAATTCAAATATTCTGCGGTCTGTAATTGGAAAAACATGCTATATAAATAGCTAGTGCCGCATCATTGGATTTATTTGTTTAGCTTTTCTAGCATCTTGCACACCTTTTCCATGACCCGTTTCCCTCATTCATAAGCTCTTCAATTTGATTGGCATTTGACCACGTACTGGGTATTATTAAAACGTGTTTTCCGTGTCAAACGGAGGAAACATGATTGCGCCTTGTTAACCGAATCCCAATTGAAAGGCCCCATGGTCATCGCTTGGCTATAGCTCTGCCCTTTGCCGGGGGTCCGTTCGATCGGCACGAACGAAGCTCGTGGCCACCCGACATGGGGCTCGTGGCACCCATCACCAAGGCATCGCCGTTACCATGATGGATATTACTTACTTTTGCGCGAATGGCGCGAAACTCGCGCTGCTCACAATTGGTCTCCTGGGGACACAGTTCGTAGACCCTGCAGATTATATTTAGTTTCTGGATTTTGGGAACATGTTTACAAATAATTACTTCTCCTTGTGTGGCTGGAAGCCCAAAATTTGCACAATCATGCCAAATTTCCGGTTCAGCCGGAAACGCACTTCATACGAGGCGGTCGTGGTCCGGTTCGCAATGGAAACTTCATTGAGGCCCGCTGGAGGAGCCAATGAGGTCGCCACCCGTTCCGGATTGCTGGAGCTGATGCTGATGTGCTGATACTTGCGCCTGTAGTTGTGGCCCGTGCACTGAAGTGGGGCGTAGGGCTCCAGAGATTGCACGGTGGTATTATAAACAAAGGATGTCTTTTCGGACTTTAGCCGGCGAGATCCATTGTAGGAGATTGCCTGTACCTGGATGTAGTATGAGGAGTTTGGCAGCAGCTTTTTTATCTCAAACTGATGGGTCTGAAGGATGAAAGGATTATGAACATTTTTTAGTGAGCACCAGACTTCATCTACTTACATCTTTAACATATGCATCAAAGGTGATAAGGGAGGCCTCTGCACTGTCCACATACAAGGACCAACTGATCTTGTACTTCTCGACGGGCAGGTTTGATTTGGAGGGACACCAAACGAGCTTTACGTTCATATATTTTCCATCAAAGTTCTTTGCTATTATTTTGGAGTCGTTGGGAGCTTTGGGTGGCTTGGGATCTGATGGAGTGAGAACTTTATTTGAAGATTATTTGGGATAGAGAGCTGACTTGACTTACTACCCGAAGAGTGGAAGGGTTCACTGGGCTGAGAATATCCTCGAAAACCAAAAGCATTTACGGCGGCCACTCGGACCTCGTACCAGCGTCCTGGTCGCATGTGGAAACGGATATAGGTGCTGTAGGAAGTCAAATGAAAACCATTACTAGAAACAAATTACAAAATAGTAGCTCACTTTTTGCTGTGTTTCGAGCTCTCCTCCGCGATCTTGTAGACTTTTTGCCACTGCCAAGGACCAAGTTTCCTGGGCACAAAGTGTCGTCCAATGTGGGAACGCACTTCCACGTGAAAGAAGTAGACCAGCAGTGATGACTCGATGTTCAGCTCCACTCCATGGCCGCGCGACATTCTGTAGTACAGGATCTTTGGGATCGTGGGCAATTGGGTGTTGTTTCTCACGCCCAAGGGTTCCACGCACATGGGACCGCAACTGGAGGGGCAACACTTTTGAATCTCAGGGCACTCATGATCGTACTGGCAGTTGTCCAGGCAGGAGAGGCGGATGCGTGTCTGCCTTCCGATTTTGGGGCAGCTACCGATTCTGGGCCCCAGCAGGAGCTCCTGGATGCATTTGTCTAAGCAGAGCTCCTGCTCGGCATTCGTCAGGGGACGGGTGCCGCACCTGGCCAAGCACTGCAGCTCCAATATCTTGTCCTTGACATCGTTGCTATCGCGGTACCAATGTGCTACCTTGTGGCGTTGGAGTTGGTTGGGCGAGGCAGCAGTGCTGGGGAATCGCTGGGCAATGAGGATTAGCGCCAGCAGCGCCGCTTGCATGCTCCCCATCCGAACCGATCCTATCCCTGGTGATTGCAATCTGCGAATGATCGTGCGTCAAGTGATCAGCTCTAGGTTTTTGGACATTCCGTGCGTTCGTAATTTGTGCTCCACCACTGCCGATCATCATCCACAGCATCAGCAGACACAGCCGCCCGTTGATTATGCCAGAGGATCGGCCCCAGCCTCCCAATCGCCTTTCCCATGACTCTGAGAATCGAACCGGTTTCACCCATTTTGCATGACCAACTAACTAATCATTCCTCGCATTTGTGCTGCCCGGCCCCGAAGTCGAGGCAATGAAAATGCAAAAAATACATAAATGTATCTCAAGTGCTTGACAGGACTTCAAAGCGCGCATCATAGTGCGTGCCATGAGAGCATCGGACGGACCTATTGGCGGACGGACGGCCATTCTTGGTCAGCCATTAGGTCTTCAGGAAGACTCCTCAATGCCCTTCCCTTGGATAGTTTTTAAAAGTATATGACTTGGATGTCTTTCAATAACTAACTGATAAAGTTTTCTGAATGTAATACCTATTTAAACCAAAATATCCTAATATCAGATATCACTTCAGTGGTCTTTAAAACGAAAAGGTAAAATCATTATCTATTCTTATTCATAACCTTCATTTTCCTATCTACGTATTCAGTTATCTCAGTACTTTTTTCTTTCTGTGTCGAAATAATCGCACCTTTCTAAATACTTTGCTTAATTATTCTTAACCAATTCTAAGAAACCCTACAATGATGTTCCTCAGAGTTCTTCACCTCTTTGCTGTACTAGTAATTGGACTCGGTCGAATCCATGTAGGGTATTTAGCACGCAAATGGCAAACTAATGTTTTATGGTACGGTCGATGGTCGATGGTCGGCGGTTTATGTTGCCGTTTGTTGTTTTTGTTATTTTTTCGCTGTTCGACTGCGTGTGAATGTGCAGGCAGTGAAAACAAAATCGAGAAAAATACGACTACGACTGGTGCAAGTGGATGTCACCACATCCATATCCACAACCACACCGATATCCCATATGCACGGGGCAGCACCACCAACAGCAGCAGCAGCTTCATCAGATCACATCACAGAAGCCTAGCCAGCAGATGCCGCACATACCAAGGCGATACAGACACTCTGGGAGCCAAGTGGAGACGAGTGGAGAAGTGGTGCAGCGGTGGCGGTGGGGTAGCCAGGAGGCACATGCCTGGCCGTGGCTTCTCTTGCCACAGTATTGGTCAGAATTGTAGGACTGGGAATTAAAGAATCCTTTCGACCATATTCTAAACGATAATTTAAAGAGGCACCACTGCGTATGAGTAATTTTGTGTTTGGCTTATATTTGAACTTAAGAAGAGATTAATTAAAAAATTTTAGAAATTAAGAAAATAGGTAAGCTCTTAACTCTATTATTTTGACCACATCTGTGGAGAACTGCCACTTCTACTGGGATGGTACTGCGAGAAGAAGGGGAGCCAGATGAAAGGAGCTGGGAGGGATGTGTGCAGGCCTGAGGCGGCCTAACTGAGGGACATTAAGCGACAAATGAATGTGCGCGACGATCGACGCAAGAAGATGAAGCGACGACGACCACGACGATCACCAAGAGCAGACGAGATGAAATGCACCAAGTTCCGCGGAACGAAAAATTTGCAACAAAATTGGGCAGTAAAGCGTTGGAAATGGGGTTGGGGGGCCAGAGAATTGGAGATGCCACTGGCTGGTCGGTTGGGGATCGGAATCGGGTCCACGACTCTTCCAGATGAATGGGTTTTGCGCCGACGAGGCTGACGCTGATGAGACAGCCGAAGAGCACGGCCGCTGGACATTGCAGCCAGGCTGGCTGCCGTTGCGTAGTGGCGATTAATTGCTTTTAACGATTCAAAAATTCAAAATTACTTTTTATGCTTTACGCACACAAAGGCGGAAAGGCAAGGCGTTTTCGAGCATAGCAGAGCACATATGCAATGCACAGGGAGAAAAGGGGGGTCAATAATTGACCATTGAAGGACAATAGTATACAATGCATTTATGAATCGGATTTGTTTCCATTTGGATTATTTACAAATCCCATAGAACTTGAAACTTTTTCTTCCAGTGCACATACAGGGGAGTTGTTAAAGAGGGCAGTAGCTGGGTATAAGGATGAGGGGCACAAAGATCCGGATCGATTTCGTTGACGTCGTTGCTGTGATAAATCGTTGGTGGTTGTTGCTGCTGGTGTGCTGCTTTTGTATTACCCCCAGTTTCAGTTGCCCAGAGTCCCGCTCCGACTTCATGTCCACCACCTTCTCACCCTCCGCCAGCACTCCTCCGAACGGAGCTTAGCACAAAAGCCATAGCACGAGGCTCCGGCGACAATGGCCAGCACCAGCAACAGGCAGCCGCAAAGGCAACACACCAGCAACCGAGTGTAATATGATGCAAATCGTTTAACACTTTGACCAAATGGCAGCAGTAGCAGCAGCAGCAACGTCATCGCATTGTTGCCGCTGCTTCTGCCGAAGTGCATCGGTATTGCAAATAAAAAGCCAAACTGTTTACTCCCAAAGAGGGCGACTGGAGTGAGGGGAATGGCTTCCAGGGGGGGAGTGTAATAAAAACCCTAAAGGGCTTGCGGGTTTGAGGGCCTGGGGAAAGATATAGCAATACAGATCCTCAATTTCGGGGGCGAAGAGATCAAATTAAGAAGTTGGCTTGCGGCTCTTATTTCCATATCATCCTCAATCATTGCTGAATCACAGTTATCCGTAAGGCAAATATCACTGATTGTTTACTATTGTGAAACGAAAGAAATCGCCGGGCTCCCTTCTCATATAGCACTGGGAAAATCATGAATCCAACGAGTGACTGACTCCCCCCTCGATATGAATCATAAATACCTGTTTTGGGAGCTTGAAAACCGAATACATTCTATGTGTGTCATTAAAACATTATGATAAAAGGAGAAAAGGTTTCCAAACAAAGCTTTTCTCACGGCCAGTAGCCTAGGTTATAATTGTCGTGGATACTTTTTCCTTATGTAAGACACATTCGGAAATATGACGATTACAAACAGAACACCTAATACCACACGCTTTCTTTAGGTTTTTCCCAAAAAGGATTCATTAATGCTGCTAATTCGATGCTGAGAACCTCCACACGTTTGAAACTTGGCCTGCTGGCATTGTTATCATTGTTGCCAAGTGCGGTGGTTCGGGATCACAAAGTGCCATTTAAGCCCGCGCGGAAATCCAAGCAGGCCAAATGGGTGCCCATTTATGGGGTTCAAGCACCCAGCTGGGCATGTGCGCAAGCTCGAGCCCAACCCGAGCGTATCGGCGTAGGATACGGATTCGAATAGCTTCAGGCTATTCGGGTATGGGGATGTGGTGTCCATGGGGGTATCGGATTCTACCACAGAACATGAAGCCGTTCTCAAGGTTCAGCGATTTGTCGTGTGCACATTCATACTTCCGATGCGTGTCGAATAAATGGACTTGGACTGTGGCTAGCTTCAAATATCTTATACTTTCTACACCTGAAATTAAATTTCATTATTTTTTTTATTTTAATAATTATAACTTTTCGACTTCCCTAAACTTTTCTGTAATTTGCCTCAACTAACATGAATAAAATCGCCGGTGCGTGAGACTCTGGGTGCAAGAAGAACGATTCTGCCGTGTGATCACTGAGAAGCTGCAGCCTGTCACCGGTGCATCATCCCCCTTGGATCTACCCACCGATCCTCATCCCCTCAGCGGCACCCATCCGCAATTAGCACGAAGGCAATCTCATTTTACGCCGACGAAAATGCGCAAATGGCAGGCCAACGGCAGGCGAGTCAAGCGAAACACTTTTAGGTACTTACAATAATGGAAACACTTTCGGGGAACTGAAATTCGGATGCACTGGCTCCACTCTGCGATCTCCGCCCTCGGTACTCGACACTGGGCTCTTTTCACTGTACACTGGCACCTTCCACACACCCGCGTAGCTTCTTGGGGAGCGCCTTCTTTGATCGCCTGCTGCCACTCTATTAGTTAATTCACGCCCGTAACGTAACTGTTCCGCCTGCGATTTCCGCTCCTGCGAAGTGGAAGCGGTTCTTGGGAGCGTGCGTCCGTCGCGCTGCAACCGTCAAGAGAGAATGAATGAGGCCTGCAGGGCGTGCATCGGGATGCTGAAGTTCGGTTCTCCGGCACTTTGGTTATTCCGAACTTCGGCTCCCCACTCGGGTGCTTTGCTGGGCCACAGTGGTGTCGAGTGAATAAAAGCAAGTTGAAATATGAACGATGAATCGGTGTTACTTATCCGCACTGTTGTATGCTTTTAAAACCACTTTTTTCAAACTTGATTTTTTATGCTTTATCTTTTTTTATGTATTAAAGTTAGGTTAACTTATACAATAATTAATATTTAAAAATATTACTTATACGCACTGTTGTAATTGTTTTCTTATCACTCATTCGCACTGTTGGCTGAAATTACAAACTTTTATTAAATGGCAGGGCTCATCATTTCCGTTTTAACCCACTGTATTGACGAGCCGAACCGAGCTCCAAGTGCCCCACTTGTGGGCGCTCTCTCGGCCCGCTCTTTTCTTCTCTCGGTTTGTCGGTCAGTGTGTGAGTATGTGCGATTGTGTTTTCAGGAGCCGCCAAAACAGAGATCTCGTAATTGATGCTGTGCTCTCCCCCATCACTCGGGCCCTATCCCCGCCCTCGCACTCCACCATCGTAGTGGTGGCCGCGCCTCCGTTGTTTTCATTCAAAATTTCATTAAAGGATGCACACATCCACACACACATGCTAGCATGCCCGCAAAACGGCAGTGATTTGTTGTTTTGCATGCACCAATTACTTTATTTTCGTGATTACACATTTACACTGTGATTACAACGGGAACTTGGAAGCAGATGAGGTTCTGATCGTCTGCATCCTTGGATTCCCACAACATGCTGCCGCGCATCTGATGAAGGGAATGCGAAATTAGGGCTGGAAAATCGAGATGGCTAAAACTCCTCACACTTACCACTGGCAGGGTTTCATTCACAAATATGTTGGCCCAGTACGACTTTCCGTCGCTGGCACTTTCTATGCATCCATGGTCTCCGTCGCACGGGTCGGGGGTGATGGCCGCCTCGGTTTTAATGTAGTTGAACACCCAGCGGACCTCGTGTTTCAGAAAAGTGACCCCATTTCCTAAGAAATTAAATATTATTTTTTTAATAAAATGAATATAATATTTTTCTATCCCAAACTGATATTTTTAATTTTCAAACCAGGTCAAGTGACTCACTTGAAAATACGGTTTTAGGTTTATTGACCAAAACCTACAATCTAGAAGTTTAATTATAGTAGTTTTGGTGCCTTCTAGAGCCTAGAGTATGCTTCTGTTTATCAACCTCTTAAGAAGGTAGGGTGAACTGCCAACGAAATCAAATCTATTTATTATGATATGCCAATCTTTCATTTCCACACCCTATCTGCATACTCCAAATACTGCCGATTCGTGCTGTGATCAATGGGTGTTGAAATGGTCTCCTTTTCTGCTGACTCATCAAAATATCGTTAGACATTAATTAGCTTATTTATGGATCGGCGTTGGGGCGGGCCCCGGGCTGCAATCGGTGTCTGTATCTCAACAAGTGCAGCGGAAAAAACATTAGTAGAAGTCCAAGAAATATTTGGTGAAATTTATATGATTTACGACCGTGTATCAATTATATTTATGGCAGCTGCTAATCATTATTGCCATCAGCCACTGAGCACGCAGGGGCTATTCTACGGTCGAAAATTAGTTGGGTATTTTTTCACCTGGCCCCGCCCCCGTCCCTGCCAAACATCCGCAATCCACCTGATCGCAATCTCTTCGCCCGCACAAGATCTATTTTGGTTTCCTAGTGACATTTGCCCGCTCCCTCTCTACGCTTTCTCTGAGGAAATGCGAATGCACGGATCTTGTGTTATCAGTACATTAATATTCTCATATTTACCATTATCATCGAAGCGCACGGTAACCTTAATGGTGGCATTTCGGGCCATGGAACAGGGCAGAGTCGTACAACTCTCTATCTGCAGGTAGTTGACCTGGTACAGAGAACCTGAAAAAAATATAAATTTATTTATGTTTATTGGTCAAGAATCAAAAAAAAGGTTTAACAATCCAACCAAATGTAAGCAAATATCTTTAGAAAACCTGCTCAATGTTCTATGAATATTAGTTTTGGGTACGTGATATTTTTCATGTCTCATTTCATGCCTGTTTCAACCTGGCAACTAGTTAAGAACCTATCTTTAAACATTAAACTTATAGCAGCCCCTAAGCCGAATTATCTGCGAACCTGGCAGTCATACACACACACACACCTTGCAAAATAATCAACAATCTTTGACCAAGTGCACTTTTCAAGGCTTTCAAACAGTTTCTATCTTTAATTTGAACCGTGTTCAATAACAGATTACACGACTCTGTTAATTAACTTCTTTATTTGATTACTATCCTCTTTCGGCTCTTTCATCCACACAATGGAAACGGCAAAGTAATCCCCAATGAGGGCATCGTATATTCTCTGCTTATAATTCACTAAGTCTAGAACATAAATCATTGCTTTACGGTGTCCAGTCCATAAATACTTTTGTTAATCAAAAAGCGTAAAGACCAGAATACAATTAAAAGATTGGGCCTGGCAAAGAATGTAAGTGGCAAACCATTAATACCCTATTTATAAGTTGCAGATTAGAGCTGAAACTGTTTAGAAATTAACAAGATTTTAGCAAAATTCCTCTTTGGCCTAAAACCGGTTATTTATTGCTTAGAAAATATATTCTTATTATCATTGATAAGGGCCCCTGTCAAGTTAAAAATGGATTTTGGAAAAAGATTTTATTTCAAGATTTATGCTGCACATACAGCGTTCTCGACCGTCATTGATGAGGTGCCGACCAACTATCAAACTTATTTAAAATTAGCTATGATTGTACTTTTCCATTAATTAATTGTGGTAATATATCAAATTATAGCTTCACGCTTATCAACGGTAATTAACATTAATTCGGGAAAATACACATTTTACGGGCGTTATAATTTAATGTCGTCAATGGATTTGCGGAAGCACAAGTCAAGCCAGATGAGATTGGGAATTATGGTATTTACAGTGGGTTTGATTCCGATCTGACCGCATTACTTACTCGATGACGCTACAAAATTTTGAATTTCAATAGTTTTTACGAGGCATTCATTGATATTTGGGTTTGCTCCACTATCAAAGATGGTCAGTGATGGGGCGATCATGAAAATATAGAAACTAATGAGTACCACTTTCGATAAACGAGGGAAATCCCAGTTGAAGGATCTGTGCCTTGAGTGATTTAACTAGAGGATTTCAACTCCACTCACCGCAGTCTTCGAAGGGAAGGGATTTTAGGGAAAGGTATTTCTTGTAGGCAGCATCTGTTGTTGACCTGATAACTCCACCGGTCAGTTCATGGATAGCACAAATGGCCAGCAGTATTTTCAAGTAGTAGCCCATGATGGCGCCGCGCATGGCTTAATTAGATTAAGAGATCTGGGATCGCAATTTGATTAGAATATCGGGCAAACGCGTTTCGCGTAGGTGTGCAAATAACTTCCAAATATAAGTCTCAATAACAATAACAAAGGGGATCGATAATGGGGATCACGAGCAGGCAACGTTTCTTCAAACAAATTCGGCGACACGATTGGCTTGACGGTTAATGGGTGACTGACACCAAAATAGTGGCTACCACCAAGGTAGCCGGGCCGTAGAATCTGAAAACCCGCCTCTCTTTAGCTGAAGAGTACTTACCAATGCTCCGGACAAACGTAAATAAATAAATACTACTCAGGCGCTTAAGCAATAAACTTTGATTTATTGACTGGTAGTCGATTGGAACGACTAACGCTGACTCTTGTTGAGAGACTGACTGATAACACCATCGATTTACTTAAATGGTTGAAGATATAGACGGGCGTCCGTGACGTCGATGGGGGCTTGTATAGGATAGGGTGTGGGTGGTTGGGAGGCGGGCACGCGTGTGACTCCCTTCTATAAATAAGAACGCGGTAAATCAGGTGCCTGAGGCTTTGTGTAGATAAAACAGCCACTCGAGTTTAATTGAAAGTTAAAGAACACAGTGAACTGCAATTAAATCTTATTAGATAATTTCCCCGTGGCATGTCAATACGAAGATCAGACAGCACCGAATGAGGTGGAAAATTTCGGAATGTGACTCATTTGGGCACTTGAACTCATTACTCAATAATCCCCTTCAGATAGTTGGTGTTTTTGATGATTCGAAAATCAGTGCGCAGCTGAATGAATTGTCGAACCACCGACTTGTCCAGATAATTCTATATTTGGAGTAAGGAAAGTGAAACGTTAGACGCTTAACCTCTGCCAGGGTTATCAACCACTTACCAAAGTATCACCTGTGCAAACCTCTTGCAGGTTCTGAGGTTTAACCAACAATAGATTGCACAAGGCATGAAGTATATCAAAGAGCTGAGTCACCAAGGGACTGTCCAGATCGCGGATGCACTTGCGATATTCGTTAACATCGCAAATGGCGCACATGGCTCCCGCCGTATTGAACTGCATGGTTTGCAGATGATCGTAAATAACTCGATGCAATCGTGTTCCGAATTCCGTAAGCACATTTTGAAGATTCTCGCCATCGACGCACTTTTTTATTTGCACAATCACGGGCTGCAGGCTTTGCACCACTTGCAGGCAGGCCTAGGGGGGATTAATCATAAATAATTGATAGTCTGTAATAACTGATTACTAATCAGAGTTTTGAGTATCTTACGGCTGATGATATGGTATCGACATCAGTCTCCGGCTTGTAGTCGGTTTTCTTTTGTTCATACTGTAGGTAGACCTTGACCCAGCCGATAACTGCGCTAATGGAGCGATCCAAGCCCTGGTCCAACTTTGTCTCGATTTGATCCATTAAAATTCGTTTTTTGAACACATAGTCAGAGTACTTTGGCGTGTTACTAAAAAAGAAAAAGGGGATTTACCATTTCCTCATTTCAGGTCATATTTATACCCACCTCACGCAGGGTATCACGGAAGTATTGCACAATTTATCAAGCAGGTGAACAATGATGTTTGTCTTTTGCACCACGTCGAAAAAGTACAGCTGAGGAAATACTCTTCCCTCGGCCAGGGGCACCGCCTGCAGTCCCAATTCCAAAGCATAATCCACATGCTCGTGCATCAAAAATCTAAGAAGGATGTCGTTTAATTTGATAGCATTGCTGGGTAAGTCAGCCTCGCTAGACAAAAGCCTGCAGCGCTTAAGCGAGGCCTTGGCTTCCTGCAACATGTTGATGGCCAGTTCTTCGGAAAGGAATGTCTCCCCGCCGTAATCTTCAATGGCGGCTATGTTTATGTTGGCCCTGGTGGCAATCAACACTTCCATGTTTCGACGGAATCCTTTGGTAGTCTGGGTCTTCTGATGTTTCTTGCTGGCATAGAACTTTTCTAGCTCTGAGGAGCATTTGGCAGTAAGGCACTTCGTTTCCATTTCAGTGTATCCGGCCAAGTGTTTTATGAAAATCTGCTGAGTCAACTTTTGCAGTAGATCGTCATCGATGGTGGACATGTAGACTTGCAGGTCTGTAGATAACTTCAGTGTGCTGGCAGAAAAATAGTAATATAATGGAGAGCTATAAGAACATCATTTTTATAACACTCACCGTGAATACAACTCGTAGAGCGTGCGCAAGTACTTTTCCTCGTCTTTTTTGTCTTCCAGCTTGGTCATCGCATACTGATGCAGTTTCAGTTGGTAGATGTTCAATATAAACTTGGACATGACCTGCTGGGGATTGGCAAATACTTTCTGGATGATCTCGTAGTGGTGCTTGCACAATGGCACTATGCCAATGAAGATATCCTTCCCACTGTACGGCTGCATTTGACTCTGCTCGATGTAGGCATCCACGCACTGAGTGTATCCCTTGAATTGGGATAGAATCTGGGCTAGGGTTTTCATGCGATCAATATCTTCGCTCTTTTGGGCGGTTGCAAATTCTTCAATTAGTCGCCTTTCAACCTCATCGTATTTTTTTTCGATTTTTCGCTTGGACTCAGCAAAGTTACCGGGAGGCAGATCCTGCGAGATTGCATACAGTTTTTGGATTACATCCGCCGCCTCACTCAAGCGTGCGGCATCAGCAAATATATCGTTGACAATCACAGGTCCGGCGGCTAAGAACTCTGCCATAAAATTGAGTAGTTTCTGTGCTTCAACGGAGCGGCTTCGGGGTGTATTCACGTTCTCCAGTTGCTCGCCAAGATGCATGATCTTTCCTGCCACCGAGTTAATCTTCTCATCGAGCTGGCTGAACCAGTCTATAGCCGTTTGGTGGCGTTCTTGCAACTTGGCAATTTTCTTGGCGTGTGTCTCCTTCTCCTGGCGCAGGGATTCCTCCAGCCTCTCACACTTGCTTTGCTGTTTCTCCTGCAGAATCTTTAGGTCCTTGATAGTCTGTATGAAGGTATCGTGTAGAGCTACAGGACTAAAGTCCTCGGTGTTCTGAAGCTCGTTGTTGGTGCGCCATGTAAGACGTTCAATAAACTCGCCCACCTCAAACGGTTCCTGGGGGTGTTACTCAAAGGCTTAAATTTTTTTCAAAATATATATGTCCCATATATTGGCACCCACCTGTTCAAATTCCTCCATATATTGGGATAGCATATTGATGATAAATAATTCTTTGTGATTTCGTTGTAGGCGTTCCTCTCTTGCTTCTTCTTCCTATTGTTGATTTGGCTACTCAAAACATCTGATTGTGAAGAGCTGCCATATCTGTCAAACCTTTCCGGCTGGCATCGCTGCTCGGTTTGTTTACGTTTTTGTTTGTTCTTATTGGAAACAATTTGAATACTTGGCGGCAATTACATAACAATTAATTAACATACATCTCACTTAAAAATAAAACGATTAAAATATAAGCAACGAGAATGATTCTTGTTAAACAAGATAGTTTTAGTATAAACTTTTCCCGAATTCGCAAAAATTCTGAATAATAATAACTTGAGTTTTTAAATTAATTAAAACAATGGTTTGTTTATGCTTGCTGATCTTAATTAAATGTTTATTATAATATGAATGCGTCTTACTTATTGCCTCGTATCAAAACCATTTTTTTACAACAAATTGCAATGTGCTAAACAAGTTAAAATTTCAAACATTAATATTTTTTTTTTATAAACTTTATAATTATTGCGTGGAGTCAGCGATTTATTAAACCTTAGTTACAGTTTTAAACTGAATATGTAATATGAAAAACCAAGAATTTTGTTGTTGACTTTTTTGACAATAGACATTAATTAGCGGCGAAAAGCTAGTTCTTTTTTACAAACTGTGGTGCTTGCTCTTGGCTCTGCAGTAGCTCTTGCTGCTGTAGTTGCTCTTGGATGTGCTGCTGCAGATAGAGATGTGGGTGGGTAAGGGTATGGACCTGACTGCTGCCCATTCCCGAAGTGGAGGGCAGTTCCAGGGCGTGCGGTACAATGTTAATGGCACTGGCGGTGCTGGCTGATGTGGCTAAGTCCACCGCCGGCAGACGCACGCTCTCCTCAAAGTTGGCGCCGGCGGCCATGCTGCTCAGGACCTCAGGCATTGAGGGTGTGTCCACCAGTTGGTGCAGGTTCTTTAGCTCAGTCGAACGCAGACTAGCTGAGAGGCTCTCGCTGGAAGCCAGGGATGTGGACAGCGGAGAATTGCGTTCCATGGAGGAAGCAATGTCTGCAAAAAGGTTCATAAAAAATTTGAGTTTTTAATTAATTTTTACTTTTAAACAGTGGACTCACCAGTTCTATCCGTATCCGGGGAGCAGGTGTTGTGGCATGTCGCTCCCTGTGGTTGCTGCAACATCATCATCAGCTTCATCTCCATCTGCATGATAATTTTCTTCTGTACGTCGTATTTTTTATTGACCGACTAAGGGAAACATATAGAAATTAAATAACAATATTAATAATAGAAGAAAAATAGTAGAATAGTAGTAAAATAGACTTTTAAAACACACATTTTGTGTCAATAAATTGTTTCCTCTGAACTCACCTTGAACTTTTCCTCGTACTCATCTTTTACCGTGCTGAGGAGTCGCTTCTGCTCTGTCATGGCCTTCTCGCTGTTGGCCAACTGAGCCTGCAGGTCGCTGATCTTGTGCTTCATGCTCTCCACCTGTGATGTCTTATCGTCCAGACTGTGCCTCAATTCTGCATAAATAAAATTTCAAATAAACATTTCAAGAACATAAACAAGAGTTTCGTGCTCACCCTTCAGTTCCTGGTGGCTGCTTTCTTGGAGCATTTGCAGCTCCTCGTCGCGGGCCCTGAAGTTATCAATCTCAGCCAATCGGTCGCGGCACCGGACCTGCACCTCGCCCATGACAATGAACTCGGCCTCCAAGCGCGCCAGTTCTTGCTTGCATTGCAGGCCAACGTCCGCCTGTTGTTGGGCGTGCTGCAGCTCGGTGCCTAGACTAAAGACTTGTCCTCGGAGCGACTCCAGTTCGTAGTTCATCTCCTTGTGGCGAGCTATCTCGGACGTGAGGCGAGTTTGTAGGTCGTCATTGGCTAGTCGCAAGCATTTTTTCTCCTCCAGCTCGTGATGGTATTTGGCCCTCATATCAGCTAGCTCCTCTTGGTGAGTTTCCTGACGCATCTGCGCCAACCGCATGGTCTTGTCCATTTTACTGGCCAGATCCTTGTTCTTTGCATCGAAGTTCTTCAGTTGCTCCCTAAGCCGGTCCCGTTCCATCTCCAAACTGCGCTTGTCCCTGCTCCGGCCCATGAGTCTGCGATTGCGCTCCGCGTGGATCGAACGCCTATAGCTTTCGTACTCCAATTGCAGGCACATTAACTGGCCCTGCTCCATGTCGAAGGACTCTTTGGCCCTAATGGCATGCTTGATGTACTCATCCAGTATGTCCTGAGGGTAGAGCATACTCCTCTCGTACTTATTTCTCTGATCCTTGCATTCTAGCAGAAGTTCAAACAGCCAGTTTTCATGCTGCGCCGGAATGACTCCGTCCAGCGTTTGGGTAGCGGCATGTGCGCAGCTTATGGCTGGTTCCTTCGGCGTTGCCATGGCCAGAATACGACCGCTTCTTTGCAAGCGGCTGCCAGTCTTTTGCGTCCCATTCTCCGTTCGCTGCCTCTGACCCGGGCAATCGGCTACGTCATCGTTTGCATCTGAATTCTGTTGCTGCTGTTGCATTCCACTTAAAGCCGAGCACGATTTGACCCGACGCAGGGGGTTCTCCGCCCCCACGCTCCAGCTGGCCTTCTTGGCTGCTGAGCTCCGGTTGTCCTCCACATAGATGCCGTTACCACTGTAACTGGCCATGCGGCTTCTTCTCTTGATTCCCTTGGCCAGCTGGTGCATGGATCGACTGGTGGGCATGTGGAGTCCACCCACGCTGCATAGATTTCGATCAGTTTCGTTGCACTCACCGCACACAGCTGCCACTTCCTGAGAGGTAGAAGGATATCCGGACTCACCGCCGACGGTTATCTCGGAATTCATTTCTGACATGCCCGTCGCTGCCGATTGTCTATCCTGAATGACCTGATGAAGGCGGCGCTCATAGGTGGTGGTTGAAGTGGTTACTCTGGTCATCTCCGACACAAGATGGCTGGTGCTTTCCTCAGCCTCGCGACTTACGTCCGGAAAGCTGAACTGGTTCTGCTGATCCTTTCGCATGGGTGAAGAAGGCTGACTTGAAGCGAAAATAGCTCTCACCGCATGGGGATTAGTCCTCACGAGTGGTTGTTTGACCTCCCGCAAATCCTTTAAGGGCGTAGTCTCCGGCGTAGCTTCCACTGCAGTTTCCGGAGGCGAAGAACCAGTCATGCCCACCATTTGCTGTGGCTGTGGCTGTATGGGCAAAATAAATGATGTGGTTGGCGTCAAGGGAATGGCGCTAGTGGACGCAGTGATCTCGTTGAGTGGACTCCAGATAGGTCCCAGATCCGTGGAATCAAAGCGGGAGAAAGCTGTCTTCGTTGGTTGGAAGTCTCTCAGCTGGTAGCTGTAGTCAGTGTTAGAGGTGTTCGAAGTCATGCGGCTGTAAGCTGGCGTCATGGGATACACGTAGCAGCCGTCCTCGTTGCTTGGCTCCGGCAGCAGTACTGGGAGCGACAGATTGGCACACTCCATGACCACGTCATGCGGCTCCATCTCCTTCCAGCGTGTATTGTTTACCTCCGTTTCTGGTGTGGCGGTCAGCAGCATTGGATGCACTCTCACCGTGTCCAACAAAGGTTTGATCGTGTGCTGGAAAATGCCACCGCCATTGCCTCGCTTGATAAATTCTACCAGATATGCCATGAAGCTGCAGGGAAACATGCCGTACAGACGGTGGAACAGCATCTGGAGGCCCAACTGAAGGTGAATTAGCTTCTCGTCCGGCAACTTGTTGCTGTTTTGCAGCTTCCACGAGGCCAGATGACCAAACACCTCAAACAGGTCGTTTAAAAAGTTGGGCGCCGAGTTTGGGATGATGGGCAGTAGGGTGATGATGCACAGCAGGGCGCTCATCAGTGGCACTATCTCCTTCTCGTGCTGAAGAGAAACGGAAAGGGGGTTGAGGATGGTCAACCTGTAAAGGATTTTAAATGACTCACCATAAGCAGCTTGAACACACTTTTAATAAGCCGATGCTTTTCGATCTTGTACAGCCAGGTGGGATGGTGGCGCACTATGAAGCAAAACACCTGTAGGCTCTGTATCCGGTGCGGTGCCTGTTTTAGGCAATCATCCAACCTGTCGAAGATGTATCCATCGTGAGGCGCCTGAGCCTTCACCATTACCTCCAATATACGCTGAGATCCAGTTTTAAAGAAGTACTCCAGCATGAACTGCACCAGCCACTGATCCCTGTCTAAAAAGAATTCAAGTTGGACCATATTGAGTGGCTTTCGTACCAGAAATTCTTACTCTGCGTAAACAGCTCCACCAATTTGCGCTTGGCCTCCTCGTTCTCCAGCGTTATGTTCGACTCTAAGTCGCCAATGATTTTCTCGATTTCCATGATTCAGGATGCTCAATGGGGTAGCAGTCGCAGTAATTAATATCTAGTCCTCCTCCTGCTCCTGTTGCTCCCGCTCACTCCCGGAAACCGAACCTCCTCCTCCTGGTGTCGTCGTGGTTGTCGTTTGCAGAGCTTTTTCTCGTCTTGGTCGCTGTCAACTGATTGATAAGCTTAGCCCCAGAACTTCGCGCATTGCTTATTTCCACACATTGGGTCGCTGGGCGTGTGGCATTGTTAACTGCACTTACCTCTGCTAGTCTCATCTTTTTACATGTTTGTAAATGAAAAAAGGTTATTGCTGTTTTCGCCAGCGCAATCGATGGTGCGATGGACGACAGCTGATTGCCAATCGGGTTTTGGTCTGGCAACGCCTTGGAATTAAGATTGGCAACTCTCAATATTTACAAAAACAGTTAAGAGAATGTCTGGCAGCCCATTCGGCCAGAACCATAACAAAGTCAGCTGTTTCTAAAACTTTTCCGGGGATCGTTGCGTTTATTTTGTAATGCATTATTCAATAATCCGGAGACTTTCCACGCAGCCTAAGTTGGCCAATATCCCAAAGCGGTAAGAACTTTAAGGGATCTCCTAAACGTCATTCATATCATTGTGTTTATTTCAGCAAATGGAAAAGTGTTGTGGGTTTGGAAGTGCATGCTCAAATAGCAAGTGCCTCAAAACTTTTCTCGGGCAGCGGCACCTCTTTTGGAGCTCCACTCAACAGCTCTGTGGCGTTTTTCGATGCCTCCATACCGGGAACTCTGCCGGTAAGTGGTACTAACCGGTACAGATTAGCAGAAATTTAAAGTTATTTTAAAATAACTTTTCCAGGTGCTTAATAGAAAGTGTGTGGAGTCTGGAATAAAGACGGCTCTGGCTCTTGGATGTCGGGTAAATGAAGTTTCCATGTTTGACCGAAAGCATTACTTCTATGCTGATTTGCCGGTAATATTTTTAAAACTATTTGATAAAGATCTTGTAAAATAGAACAGATTATCTACAGAATGGGTATCAAATCACACAGCAGCGAGCTGCCCTGGCTAACAACGGAAGTATGACTTTTCCAGTAATAACGCCAGGAAAAAAAGTCTACTATAAGACTGTTAAACTTCTACAACTCCAGCTGGAACAGGACAGCGGGAAATCCCTACACGACGATCAGCTTAAGAGAAGTTTGGTGGATCTAAATCGTGCCGGATTGCCACTGATGGAACTTGTATTCGCACCAGATCTTGAAACTGGTGAAGAGGCGGCTTCTTTGGTAAAAGAACTAATCCTTATTCTTAGGCGTCTGCAGACCTGCAGCTGCAAAATGGAGGGTATGTAAGATTATTCATACCCATTTAGTTACATTTATTAACCCTCTTTTAAGAGGGTGCCTTGCGAGTGGATGCAAACATATCAATCCACCAGGAAGGCGATCCATTGGGAGTCCGCACCGAAGTCAAAAATATTGGATCTGTACGCAGCATTTCTCAAGCCATAACTTATGAGATAAACCGTCAGCTGGAAACTGTAGCCGAAGGTGGTGTAATTACCAATGAAACGAGATCTTGGGATGCGGAAAATCGTCGCACAGTTGCCATGCGAGACAAGGAGGTACTGCAGGACTACAGGTTTATGCCAGAACCCAATCTGCCACCCCTGCACGTAAACCTGAAGCCTGGTTCCCAGTCAACCGAAGACTTGGTCTCCGTAGCTGCTTTGAGTATAGAAATTCCGGAATTACCAGAAGATACCAGACAGCGATTAGTGGAACAGTACAGTCTGAAGCCTGAAACGGCTATTATTTTAGTGGTGAGTTTTAATTTCATTTTTTTATTGAGATTGTATATAAATATTTATTTTCTAGAATGAACCCATTTTGTTGGATCACTTTTTGAGCATCAATCGCAGCCTCAGTGAAGTGCCTGCCAAAGTTGTCTTTAATTTTCTTATTAACGATTTTCTCACCTACTGCAATAAGATGAACTTGAACGTAGAGGATTGGTAAAGCTTGAAAAAACCTATTTAACAACTTTGTCCTAATTTGAATTATTTAATTTAGTTCCATAAATGCTGAAGATTTAAAAGACATTTTGAAGAATCTACACGAGGAAAAAATTAATCTGCAAGCTGCGCGTCAACTAATTGAATTGCTACACAATAATCCAAATGTTAAAGTTCAGGAGGTACGTACATAAATTAAATATATCTTAAAATGTTATATGTATTCTCTTTTTACTTATTAGCTGGTTGACCTCCACAATCTGCAGCAGATCAGCAATTTAGAAGAAATAGAGGATCTTTGTCAACAAGCTATTTCGAAGCAACCCAAGGCAGTGCAGCAATACCAAAAGGGAAAATCAAAAGCCCTATTTGCCATTGTAGGAGAGGTGGCCAAATTGTCGGCGCAAAAAGCCAACATGAAGATTGTTGTCGAGTGTCTGGAAAAACTCCTGAAACCCCCCAAAAAGTAAACTCTTCGGATTATGTTGTGTTCATTAGACGTGTAGTTCTCTTGTATATATTTTTATAAAACATGCAGTCGTAGGTCTGCACTGTATATAGGATTAAATATATTGCTAAGGATTAAATATATATGCTCGGTTGTTGTGCTGACTAGTTCGGTGTTCTGGCCAATATATGTAAATGCAAATGATGTAAATTCTGGTGAGATATATAGTTCGGTGTTCTCCCTCGTTTAGGGAGAAGCGGAACTTGTGACCCATTAATGCATAGATAGTTGGTGTGGAGATGAACATGCGACTGGATGGGGACGCACTATATCGATTGTCTATCAGGGCAGACAATGAACAGCTAGACTTGTACTAAGGCAAACGATTTGAAATGCAGGCGATGATTAAATCAGATGCTGGACAGACTACTGTTGTCCAGGAAGCCTCTATAAATAAATGCAAATGGCAGTGATCTCAAATTCTTCATCATCTTGGCGGGATCAAGTTTAACCAAATCTAAATGTTCAACGCACTAGTCGCGGTCGTAGTCCCGGCAGGTGGAGGGCGGCAGGCTCATCGAAACGGCCGAGTCGAGGCTGCGATTGGGATGTTAGTTTTGAAAAATAAATAATATTTCCAAAGTTACCGTCGGCTCTCGCTCTCCAAGAGGTGGGCATCTACCGGATGCTGGGAAACATTGCGCAAGGAATCGCCCAGGGTACTCCTCAAGTGTTGCATCTCGCGATTCGCTTTTGAGCTGCGCAGGATGTACTGCTGTCGTCGCTTGGCCTCCTGGGCTAGTTGCTCACGCAGCATGGATATCTTGAAAAAAGAGTATTTACAAATTTTAAAATAAAAGAATTATTTATGAACTCACTTGATTCTCCAGCCGCAAGACCTGCTGCCGGTGTGACTGCTCCCTGGCATCCAGCAGCTTCTCTGCATGAACCTGGGCACTGCGATAGCGTTCCGAGTCCATTCCATCCATGCACTTGGCGCTGTCGTTCATCCGCGCCTTGCACCTGGCCAGCTCGGACTCTTTCTCCGCCAAAAGGGTCTCGAGGCGACGCACCTTTAGACGCAGATCCCGTGTCTCCTGCTCAATGATACTGTGGTCTAGACCACAGCTGTAGGAACCTCCATTACCGCCACCATTGCCTCCACCAATATCATAACGATTGGAGTCGAATTCCCCGGACTCGGCTGCTCCACCATAATAGGAGTTGGACTTTTCTGCCCTGTCGTAGGCGTTTCCACCGGAGAACTTGCTCTTCCTCTCACATTCTAATTGCTTGACTTTGTCCTGAAGGATAACTTATTTCATTGTAAAATACGTTTATTAAGATAATATTTTCCAACCCACCTGTAGAGTCTGCAGTTTGCTGCGCAACTCAGATTTCTCCCTTTGCGAGGACTTCAGCTGCCGGCTGAGTTCGTCCTCGGCTCCGTTTCCATTTCCATTGGTCAGGCCCTTGTCACCTCCGCTCTCCTGATTCCACTTGGCAATGCGGAGTTGGGACTCCAAAGCGGATCGCTGAACCTCCAGATCGGTAACCTGCTCTTGCAGCCGTTGGTTGCCATCCAACTGGGCCTGTTGGCTGCGCCGCAGCTCGTTGAGATTGGTCTGAGCGCTGTCTAGACGCTCGGTAAGAATACGTTTCTCGTTTTCTGAGGTCTGAAGGGACTTCTGGAGCAGCTTCACCTTGTCCTCGTTGGCCTGGGAGCAGTGGCCCTGCTCGGAGAGTTCCTTTTGCAGAGTTTTAAGTTCACCACGCAGTTGGGTTTCGCCCACGGCTGATTTCTGAAGACGCTCCTTCAGTTGGTCCACAGTGGACTTCAGAGCAGTGCAGCGATCCTCTAGTTGGGTCATGGCTCGGTTCTGGTTCTCCAGGCGCTCCGTCACCTGGCGAATGTTGCAATCCTTCTCCTGGAGAGCCATTTGCAGCCGAGTGAGGTCACCCTCCATGGCCACGCGCTGAAGGTCCAACTTACTGGCCCTGCCCTCAACCTTGGCCAGCTCCTCTTGCAGCTGACGTTTCTCGTTATCCAACTTGGCGCCCAGCTGGCGGCTCTTCTCCAGACGGTCCTCGTTCTGAGCGTTCTCCTCCGAGGTGGCTGCCAGTTGCATCTCCGTTTGGACCAATCGTTCCCGGAGTAACTGGCACTCGTCGTTACGCTGCTTGAGCTTCTCCTCTAGCGCTTGGATGGCTGAGATTTTCATCTTGCGATCGGTCTCCAGGTTGCTCTTCTCCTCTTGGAGATTTCGCAGCATGGCCTGTAGTTTGCCCATCTTCGCATCGCATTTCAGTTGCTGTTCGGCCGCATCTTGGAGCTGCTTCTTGGCGGCTCCCAGTTGCGACTTGTAATCGTCCTTCTCGCGCTCCAGTTGTGCCACCTGATGCATTAGATTGCGAACCCCCTTGCGCACCAGATCGGGGTCCACGTCGATGGGTCCATCAGGGCATTGGGAAGTGCTTCTGGCATCGTAGTCCCCGCAACTGCGAGAGGGACTGAATCTCCTGGAAGGACTGAGCAAACGATGGGAGAGGTTAACACTGCCATCCACCTGGATTCCAGCAATACGGCGGAGAGTGTGCACCACAGAGGAGAGCTTTTGTTCGGTATCGCGCTTGTGGAGTTCTACGCACGAGAGCTGCTCATCCAGAGCCCGAATGCGTCCTTCGGCACCGCCCAGCCGGGCCTTCAGCTCCTGAATCTGCTGAGTGGCATCGGCCAGGCACACCTCCAAGTTGTGCTTCTGATCTTCGAGACGCTTCTCCCGGCCACGAGCCTCCTCCAGCCGTTGAGCCAACTCCTGTTCGCGGGCATGGAAACGATGCTCCTCCTGGTTGTTCTGGCAACGAGCTCGACCCAGTTCCTGGCGGGTGGCACACAGATTGGCTTCCAGGTCGGATAGTTGCTTTTTAATCTGGCACAACTCCTGCTGAGCCCGTTCCTTGAGCTCCACTTCGGCAACCAGCTTGCATTGAAGCTCCTTGCCGCCCTCGTCCTTTTGAGCGAACTCCACTTGTGTCTTCTGCAACGCCGCCTTGGTGGCATTCAAGTCTTGAGTGGTCTTCGTGAAGTGGTTCTCCGTCTCCTTCAGTATGGTGCTCAATCTGGTGCGTTCGTTTTCTAGACTGTTCTTGGTATCCTCCAGGTTGCTGATTTTCTGAAGAGCCTCCTCGATGGCGCGTGCCTGCTCTCTCTTGGCACTCTCCACTCGCTTGACGTGATCACGGAGTTCCTTGTTGCTGTTGGAGTACTTGTCCCGCTCGATGTTGCTGTCCGCCAACTGGCGTCTGGCGTCGGTTAGTTCCTTTCGGAGACTATCAATAAAGCCCTCACCTAGAAATGGACAAACATAAAATATATAAAATGTATAATAAGAAGAACAAATGGTTTAGTCTTCACCCACCTTCCTTGGTCTTTCTCAGGGCATCCTGCAGTTCATTGTTAGTGCCCTCCATCTTGTCCTCCTTTAGACGAATCTCCATTTTAAACTCCTCGCTCAAACGACACAAGGTGTCTCGTTCCTCCCTCATGCTGCTCAGTTGAAGTTCCTGTTTCCGGATGCACTCCTCCAGCTTGATTCTAGTTGGCGTAAAAAAAGGATTTTTGGCATAAAAAATAAAGTTGTCCAGTAGTTCACTTACCTGTGCTCCTCTTCCTTGGTACGCATTTGTACCATCTCGTCCTTGAGATGGGCAATAGCCGCACGTTGTTTCTCATCGCGAGCATTGGCCTCGCGACGGCTGCGATCAAGGGACTCCTGCTCCGTCTTGAGATCCCTGGTGACAGCGTCCAGACGTTCAGCCACAGCCTGCTTATCCCGGTGTGCTATTAGCAGAGCCTGTTGTTTCTCGCTCTCTGCCCGGATCAGCGCCTCCTCGTGCTGTTGGACCAGACTCTCAAGGTGGGCCTGCAAGGTGGCCAGCCGTTCCTGCAGCTTCTCGATTTCGTCGTCCTTGGCCGTTTGCAGGGCTTGCAAGGCCTGCTGCATGCGCTTCTCCAGGGCGTTACGTAGCTGGAGGACTTCCTCACCATGTCGCTTGGCTGCGTCCTCGGCAGCGGCCTGGAGGTTGGCGATCTTCTGGTTGAAATCACTTTCAGCCGCTCGGGCTGCATTGATGAGCTGCGTCTTGGTTTCCTGGGCCTTTCGCTGGCATTGCTCGAGTTCCTTTTGCAGACGGGCCACGTGATTCTTCAGGGACTCCTCCCGCACCAGGGCCTCCTGCAGATCTCTTTCCAGCTGGCTGCGTCGCTCTTCTGTGGCCTCCAGAGAGGTGTTTGTGTCGAAGAGCACTGATTCCAGAGACTCCTTCTCGGAACGCAACGCGGCCAAAAGTTCATTTAAGCGGTGGGTGTCCTTTTCATGCAGATCGATGACCACCTGCTTCTCCTCCACATCCTTAACCATCTCCTCGAGGTTTCGGTTGAGGCGGCTGTTGGTCTCTGTGGTTTGCTCCAAACGCTGGCGAGTGCGCATGAGCTCCTCGTTGAGGGCCTCCTTCTTCCGGCACATGGCCGTCAATTGGTTGTGAATGTCCCCACGGTCTCGGGTAACGCAGGCCAGATCCTGCAGTATCTTCTCCTTCTCCAGCTGCAAGCACTTCAGTTTCTCCCCGGCCGATAGGTTATCGGTCTCCAGTTCTAGACGCGCTTTATCCAGGACCGCCAGTTCCTTCTTAAGCTCACTTATTTCGTTGCACTGATCTGCCGTTTGGTGGCGGAGCTTTTTGCGCTCATCCTGTGCTTCTTGAAGGCAATTTTGGACGCTCTTAAGCTCATCACTGGTGGAGCAGTTGTTGCTCGATAGCTTTTCATGCTTCTCCTGGAGGTCACACTTCTCCATGAGCAACTTGTCCAAGTCATATTCCAAATCGGATTTCTGCTTCTCGAGAAGGTTGATAAGGTTATCCGACTCGATACGTTGCTGTTCCAGGAGATCTCGATTGAGGCTGACTCGATTGAGTTCTTCTCGAAGGGATATTGTTTCTTCCCTCAGACGGCTGCTGCGATCTTCCTCGGATCTGATGGATTTTTAAAGATATTAAGTTATTTTTTAAATATATATTTATTGAGGTCTCACCTTAAGTTCAATTCGGTTATATTCTTGTCCTTCAAAATGCGCTGGATCTCCAGTTCCACTGCCTTTTTATCTTCCTCCATGGAATCAATGCGTTTTTGGAGTTTTCCGCAGTTGAGTTGTAGTTTCTCATACTCGCCGCTTAGGTTTTCAAACTAGAATCAAATGTAATTGAATAATTGTTGTAGTAATTCATAGAACTAATGAATCATCAATTCTGAACACGTGCACAATGAATTGAATAACCGAATGATATTTTAGCATTTCAGCAAATTTTAAAATTCTAGTTCCAACTTATCAAAATGGTTTTATTAAATATAGTATTTATTGAGACACTTTTAACATTAAAAGCTCCTTATAGTATAAGCACGTGGTTGTATAATTGCTATTGAATATTTTTAAAAGAATCTTGTTTTATCACTTTCGGCACAAGCCGACGGTAAACCCGGATCCCGACCAACCCATTTAGAGATATGGATTCCCAGTGCTTATGAACTCAATCCCATACTCTTGCCATTCGCCATTGTGAGAATTGCAATCTTCGCAGCCATAATTAATAACTCAACTCATCGCAGACATCTCATCACCCCGGATTTGAGTTGGGAACATTCTTAGTATGAAATGTACGGCGTAATCTCAGACCCAGACGCAGACTAATCGAGTTATCGCTCAGCCGCCCCCGTCTTCCTTGACACTTGCACTCGGCAAAAGCGGCAAAGTCGGTGTTCCGCATCCTCGTCCCAATCGGATAGTACTTATTTAACAAAAACTGCTGACAGTACAGTTCTCCTAACCTGAGAGATGTCTAGGTAATCCATGTATGTTATTATACTAATAAGATGAACTAAATTTCAGATTTAGCAAATATTTAACATTTTAAATAGATATATTCTCTGTCTTTACTTACTGCATTATTAATATCCGCTCGACCCATCTCCGATTGTTGCTTCTGGGTGCGCACTTCGTCCAGTCCTCGTTGGAGGCTCTCCCGCTCCTGCAACAGCTCCGATAACTTTGAGTTGCTGGCATCCAGCTTCTCGGTGAGCTGCTGCATCTTGGTGGTTAGGAGCTGCTTGGTGCCTTCACTGGTGTCGAGCTGGGACTTGGTGGTGCGGAGAGTGTCACTGGTATGCTGGAACTTCACCTGCATGTCGTGCAGGGCCAGTTGGTACTTGTGGAGCGCCGCCTGGACAGCGGAAATGGTACCCTCGGCGAAGGCCTGAGATGCGCGTGTCGAATTCCGCCGTGGAGATTTACCGGCGCCGCCGCCGACGGTGCTTCCCCCTGCTCCGCCAGCCACTGAGGCGGAGTCACGCGTCAGATGCATGTGCTGCATGGCCCCGCCGGCGACCTCGGCGTCCGCCTCGCGATCCGCGATCTCCGCATCTTGAACGACAGCCTGTGCAATCTCGCGCATGGAATTGTTGAGGCGCTCGATTTCATCACTATACCGGCTAGCCAAAGCAGCCTGGGACTCGGCCTGGGCGCACCGATCTTCCAGCTTCTTCAGCTGGTTCATCAGCTCCAGCAGACGCTGGTCGCGCTCCATGATCTCGTGCCGGGCACTCTCGTATTGCACCTTCAGGGTGGCCAGTTGATTCTGCAGATCGTCGTTGCTGCGCTGGGATTGCTTGAGCTCCTCATCCGCCGCCCGCTTGGCCTGCTGTTGGGCGAAGGCCACTGACGCATTCGAGCCATTGATGTCCTTGTTCACACAGTTGATCTCCTGGCCCATTTTGGCCACCTCCGCCTTCATGGCTGTTTGCATCTCCTTGAAGGAGCGCTTCACAGCCACTACCTCGCGCCACATCTTCAGCAGACGGTTGTGTTCGCTGTTGTAGTAGTCCTTGAAGGCCTGCTCCTCCTCCTTGAACTCGTCCTCCTTGATGAGCAGCTCATCCCGGAGGCCGGCCCAGTCGTTGGTTAGCTTCTGTAGGTCATTGGTTAGGGCTTCGTTGGTGCGATTCGACTCCTCCAACTGCTGGCGCAGAGCGCTGTTTTGGGCTAGGATTTGCTCGCAGCGCTGGTGCTCCTCATCCAATTTTCGGCACAGATCAGCAGTCCCTCCGGCCCCTGCCCCGGACACCAGGACATCGTCGTGCACGTAGTCGCGACTGCAGCTGGGCGGTGGCGAGTCTAGCGAAGAGCTGCAGGGCAGGCTGCTCTGGCCTAGGGTCAGCGAAGTGGAGCACTGAGGGAATGAGAGATGGTCATAAGAAAAAAGTCTACAAGAACCGTTTATTTTTGTCAATAAAAATGATAAGCCATAAAAAATTAAATTAATTTCCATTGCCTATTAAGTGTACCTATTTATTCATTATTATTTTGATAAGAATTGAATTATGTTTGTCAAAGCATTACTCATACGCGATGTGGTCGCCGAGTGCTCATAGCAACACTCACAAATGAAGTATTGGGAGATAATGTTTGTTGCTTTAAAAATGGGGTTTTATATGTTTGTTTGAAAATATTTTAAACTCAAAGGCCATTTAATTTTTTAAGCATTTTTGAGGAAAGAATTTCTATAAAAATATTTCGCATACACCATGGATAGTCACATATAAAATTATTTAATAAATTTCGACAATACCTAAGCTTTGAAACTAATTCCTTTTACTTACCAGCACCTGACTGGTGGTTGGACCAGTGGTTAGCTTAGGTCCTGTTCCTGCAGTAGGCTTGATCGTCTCATGCATCCGCTCCTCCAGGTCACTGCACCTCTGACGGTACTGCTGGATCTTCGACTGGAGCCGGCTGACCAGATTCGCCTGGTTGTGCTGAGCCTGCTTATAGGTGTCCAGGCGGCGTCGGTAGCTGTGCGACTCATCCGCCAGACGCTGGCGCAGCTCCTGGTTCTGGCGCAGCAGTGCCGAGGGATCCCCGGCCCCTCCAACGCCGCCACCACCACCACCACCCGGCGGACCCGGACTCATCATTCTGGGTGTGAGAGCGCCGGAGGCGGCAACCGAACTGGCACCGGCCGATGGGTCACGCCCCCGTTGAGTGCGCGCGAAAGGCAGGCGGGCGGCGGGCTGGTGGGCCGGCGGGTGCGACGGGGCCTGAAGGTCGACGGCCGATGGGCAGGGCGTTTGCTTGAAGTTATCGCGGTACGCCTGCATCTGTGGGTGGGGGCGAATGGAAAGCGAGCGAATGAATTTGATTTGTTTCTGGTAAGAAATTGGTAATGCGGTTTGTATTGCGTGCAATGGAAAATAATAGACTTTCATATAGATACGACGCAACACTACCCTTTACTACATTTATGACTAGTTTTAATCTAAAGATTTATTTTATAAAATGATAGAAAAAATGATTTGGTTAAAATGCTTATAATTATCAACATCCATACGAGTATGTGTATAATAATCGAGCAATATACAAAATATATCATAAACCGTCACTTCTTTAAACTAACCCACCATTAAAACCAATCACTGGGTATACGAAAGCGGAAACTTTCTGGCCAAAAGTTTGACGCCTCGCCTACGCCTCTGAGCTGCTCGATAAGTTAGTCCAAATTGATTTATTAACTTGTTCCTGGGCCAGGAGCCAGTCGTCATGACAGCTGAACCGAGGTGATGTTCCTCGCAAATAAACAAGCTCGGGGTGCTGAGGGGACCCCTTCTCATTATCATCGAGGGATTCGTACACCCGCCAAAGGACCAAAGAACATTACTTGCCATTCCGTTCATACTTTCCAATGATATTTTTTTTGGGGGCCCACTTGAGGAAATAGTTTTTGGACGACGAAGACACGCATTGCACAGTCTGTCACCAGGACAGCAAGTGTTTGTGTTTACCACCCCCAACCCCCCAGTCCCCATACACCCTTTCCAGTCCGCTCCCACCCGGTCTTCCCCCCAAAATCGTAATAATTTCCTTGTCCTCGTATTTATTTTAATAAACAACATTTCCGCCGTTGTTGAAACTTCCTTTGACACGAATGCGTCTTCTAATTTTGAGCTCCTTATGCTGCAAGCCCCACACCTCCCACAGCACCACCCACAGCCCCCATCCCACTCTACCAGGGATTTTATGCAAACGGTAACAATATAATAACATCCTTGATAGTGCGACTATGATTTGGCATGCAATCTAGCCAAGGATGGCTATACTTTCTATTTTAGTTACAGGATTTATACCATCGTCGATTCCGTCGAATGGAAGTCGTAATTTATGTTTATGACAGGAGGTGGGAATAGAGGACAATCATTTGGAGGATGATAATAATTTATACAACAAATAAGTCAGCAGGAAAAAATTATAATACAACTAAAAAAAATAGACCTTAAGGTTTGGTAAGTGTTTGATGATCGATATGATAAAAAAATAACCTTAAACAATATAAGCTCTCTAACAAGAACTTTACGTCAGAAGTAATTATTAATTGAAGTATTCTTTTAGAGTTTCTTATAAATTTAAACTAAAAAACATTTTTAAAATTGTATTTATTTTAACTTTCTTATAAACGACTTAGAAACAAAATAACACCCAAATTTTTGAAGTTTAAGCTATGATAGATAAGCTTTATACGTTTTATAGATAGATATGTTTAATATGCTCTATACTATGAGATATACGTTTAATATGCTCTTTACTTTAATAGTTGAATAAATTTTTAGTTTAATTTTATAAAAGATCTAAATACCAAATATTACTTTCTGTTTAACACTTTTTAAAGTTAAATTGCAATTCATATTTGTTGGAAACTTTATGTAGTCAAAGCTATCCTTGTTAAAATTTTCGTTTTCGTTTATTATGTCGTTTAACTTGAACTTACTTTTTATTAGAAAAATGTTTTTGTATTTTCTAAATCAATATATTAAGTTTTTAAGCACTTCTTTATGGTTACACTATTTGGTTTCACAATTCAATCCGCGCACTAGGACACTGTTGTTAACTGATTGAGCTCCAATTGAATACTCATCAAGTTATCACGAAAACCGGGACTCGAGGCTCGAAGTTGAAGCCTGCGGCAGGATTCTTCACTAACGTGTCCTGCCTGGTGGCAATTGACACAAATTTGCGGAATGCGGAAGCACCAACGCAACTAATGCTCGTCGGGAGGGAAAGTTAATCAGAGTCCAAACGGAATGGGTGGGCTAGGACTAGAATGGAGGCTTCAAAACGAACTGTCTGGGCCCGCGGAACTAAGCCAACTGAGCCCCAACGAAACTTTTGCAAGGAGGTAAAAAAAGAAAGCGCCGAAAGGATTCCCTTTTCGAACTAACCGCCATTAAGGCCTGCTCCGTCTGGGGACTGCAACTTTCCTTGCTTTGCATTGCTCGGATCCTGGAGAGTGCGGGGGTTCTGGGGCAGAATAAACATTGAATTAACAAATTCCTGGTTACCACCGGCAACCGCAATTGATTACGGAAAGAGGAGCTCACAATTATGTTTGGCGTGCGAGCAAGCAACAAATGCAAATCGTGCCTCGAAGCATATTCCGAATGCGGTCGGTCAAATCGGGCGATATCGATGGGGTATACTACGGTGCTACTGACTGGTATAGGTGGTGGGTGGTTTTCCCTTGGCTGGTTAGATAGTTCCTCCTTTTTTGGTCACATTGTTCATGCCTTGCTGCGTTTAATAAGTCACCGGGCAGGGCCATAAATTGAGCAAGTGCAGGAGAGTCTGTCGAAGCGATTAACCCTTTTCTGATGATTTATTTGCGGTGCATATAAATTAGGTTCTATCTATAGAGAGCCCTGAATAAAGAGTACATTATAGCTAATGCTATGCTAAGTATCAAGGAATGGGAATAAATAGGAAATGCGAGTGTATAAGAATGGTGATCAATAAAAAGGAAAATTTTTACAAAATAGGGGAGTAATCGGTATATTCCACTAAATGATTCCAAATATTAACTATTATTTATTAAACTACAAATTTCTAATAAACATAGAAAGTTGATTATGATTTTGAAAAATATTTTTTATAAAATGTTATTGATTGATTATTGATTCATTTCAAAACTTATTAGCGATTCTACAGTAAAGACTTTTCTTGGCCATAAATCTTGGCCGTTTATTAATTAGAATGTCTAAATTCACCTATTTATCGAATCTGGATGGCATTTCGGTCAATTCTTTAAAATTCTTGAAGTATTACTTGGGGGAAAGATGCTCTCGGCGTAGTCCTTAAGTTTGCCAATAACCATATCTGTTAAGCGTTACTCCTTGAGGGAATTTTAAATTCACCGAAAAAGTTTTGGTCCAGTAATCTGATGGATCTCTTTTAAAAATTTTAAAATCTTCATTTATATTACAGTATAATATTCCTGAGTATCTTGAAAAGATTGTAAGTAAACCTATGATCTTTTATAGAAAAATTCCGTGTTGAATTTTCCTATAAATGTATTTCTTGTGCCTTCGCTAAATATCAATGTCAAAATATTTCCTGGCACACAGGTTGCGACTGTCCCGAGGTTATCACCATCTTTCCAAATCGGAGAATGCACCGTAATACCCAATATTATATAGTTTATATAGTATAGGTGAGATGGCTATTTCTAGGGCTCAAAACGACGAGAAAAAAATGTGAAATTGAAATGTTAAATCTGTATTTTAAAGCGTCTTATCAATGCTTGCTTGAACCTGAGGAGCGACCTTGAGTAGGAGATACAAAAGTGCCTGCCCAGGTATAAGGAATACGTACTATATAGGGTACAATTCCTATAAAGCTCGTGTGCAAATCGGACCCGCGACAACTAAGTGCCCACACAGTACAGACTCTCAAAGTCCGAAGATGGTTATGCAGTCAGCCGCCAGTCGAAGGTGTTTGTTTGCTTCACTTTCGGTTTTAATCGCGGACCCGATGCCATTATGCCATAAGGTCTATACTATGTGTAGGTGTGAGATTGTTAATATTTGTTGTTAATTTCCAAGCATAAGTTTGCCTGTCGCCGTTCTTGCTTTGGATTTTCTCGCTTAATGAGTCGAATGGTCGGTTCATAGTCAGACCCGCTTATCAGTGCCCGGTGAAGCTGAAATGGGATTGAATGGGACCAAAGTCCAATCATTCACTAATCAGAATCTTTCACGGGATCTGGAAAGGCTCTCCTTTCTAGCTTAGTGAGAGATACAGAAGCGCAGAACGAGAAATTCCCAACGACATAGGTGCTCCTCCTCAGGGCCTTGGGGGCCTACGTGTCCGCCGGTGGCAACCGTAGCTCGGCTATAGCCTCCATTCCGTAATCTCTGAGGTCTGAAAGTGATGATTTATTCCGGCGATCGCCAAAGATCACCCAGACTCCGGGCAACGAGGAGAATTGGCGGCGACTGTGGCGACAACAACACTAATACTTCGGCAAACATTTCGCTCACATTCGTACTGATTGTTTGATTGATATACATATTTAAGTATGTAGTACAAATGAATATATATTTTTGTATATATATTCTTGGGTATATAAGCGGGCGCTAGCTAATTACTGGTACACTGAGGAAATAGCGCAAGTGATCAACTAACTATTGAACGACTACAGGGAGCACATTATTTCAGAATTATTTAGAAGTCCTAAACTTAAGGACTTCGTCAACTATTTTTAAAGTTTTTGAATAATTTTCAATACTATTTACTTTTTTGTAGTATTTTTTAAATACTTTTTAACAAATGTACAAAAAGTTTTTGGAAACTTATTAAAGATATATCGTAGAATAAGAAGATACCATATCATGATAAAAAGTTGGAAAGGTAGAATTTTAAATAAAAATAAATGTTTTTTTTATATTGAGGACTTTTAAAATTGGCTTAACTTGAAAACTAAAAAAAAATACCTCAAATAAAATTTTGTTCTAAACCTTTGAGGAATATTTCTTTTATAACTGACCTATGAAACATTTAAAAAAAATGTTTAGTTGTTATATTTATTTATGTTATCATTTTTTAGAGTAAAAACTATTGCCAAGCGATTGCCGGCCACTGGAATCTATTTCCAGACTTCATAAACCAAAGGCAATAAACCCCGTGATAAGAAAGTAGTCACATATCGGATCCAACTTTGATCGGCGGTTAGCTAATGGCCGTGTCGAGGGCAGTGGGTGGTGGCGGTGTCGATCGGCTCGAGTGGTGGAGTAGTTTTCTGGCAGTGCATAGGTATTATGGCAGTACATGGATGGGCCTGCCAGTGGACATGTGTCTGGGACTCGATGATAACCCACGAATGACACCGAGCTGCATCCCGTAGGTTTAAAGTATAGCTCCTATTTAAAACGCGCTTTAGTCACAGTTCAGATTTTGCCAGAAGCAGCAGCACGGCGGCAGATAGGCGAAGATTATACGGTGAAGATTATACGGCTGAGATTAATACGGACTACGCGTCACCGCGACAGTGTGTGAGCGAGCGAGAGAGAGATTAGTGAGAAGTGAGAAGGAGAGAGAGAGCAAGATGTCCCAAACCCTGGACGATCTTTTGCTGCGCCAGGAGCATGCCCGGCAGCTTCGCCAGGCTACACGCTCAAAATTCCGGAGGATTAATTCGCTGGACCTGATTCCGGAGCACCCCAGCCAGTCGGAGGAGGAGGAGGATAAGGATCAGCAGACTCCACATCGTCACTTTGTGACCCTGCGTCGTCAAAGGACTGCCGATGGAAGTCTCCTGAGGAGCCAGTTTCAGTCCAGAGCTCCACCACAGGCCAATCTGGGCACCCGAATGCTGCTCTTTGGTCCCCAGTTGCTCATGCGACTTCTGCTGACCATCCTAAGATACGTCCTGTACATTCCGCTCTCGATAGCGGCACCCAGTTTCTGGCTATCCGCTTTGCTTTGGATATTCTGGAAGCTCCTGAGGGTGCCCATTGCCCTGGTTAAGTGGCTACTGAGTGGAGAGGAGGAACTAGGTGCAGTCCAGAGGCAAAAGACCATTCTGCTGAGCTGCGGCAGCACCATTCAGAGCCTCCATTTGGCTAGGAACTTCTACGGCTCCGGTGCCCGAGTGGTGGTCTTCGAGTTCGAGGGTCTCTTCGGTCTGGCCCGCTTCTCCACAGCCGTGGACAAGTTCTACGTGGTGCCCCGGCCCACGGCCAACAACCCGGATCAATATATAGCAGCTCTATGTCACATTGTTAAGAAGGAGCGACCGGCGGTGTATATACCCGTGTGCGCCACAAGTCCGGCGTACTTTGATGCGCTGGCCAAGCCACACCTGGAGGTCTTGGGATGCGCCAGCTTCATACCCAGTGTACAGGAGACCCTCCAGCTGGACGATTGCCTGCAGCTCTTCCAGAGATGCGAGCAGCAGCAGATGGCTCTGCCGGCCCATGTGGTCCTTACCGCGCCGCGGCAGATCCAGCAAATATACGAGAGCGGGTTTGTGGGCAACTACCGGAACATCCTGATGGCTGCCGGAATGCAGGGTGTCCTGGAGCGGCACAAGTACATACTCCCCAACAGGAGGACGGAGTTAAAGCTCAACCAGCACGAGATCAGCGAGCAGCAACCTTGGCTGGTGGTGCGGGATCAACCGGGCTATCATCACTATGTCACCTGCACCACTATCAAGGACTCGCGAGTGGTAGCCAATGTGAGCTGCCGGGTGGAGCATCACACCAAGAACCTGATCCCGGTGCCCCGAGACGACGAAGCCCAGATCGAGCTCTGGCTGCGCTCCTTTTTCGCCAAGGTTCGATTCCAGAGGCCCATCAACGGACACATCAGCTTCCGGCTGGTCAAGAGCCCCGCCCATGGTGGACAGTTCGTGCCCCTAGGCACGCGATTGGGCGTGGCCCTACCCTACATATGCCACAATAGGTCGCATGCCCAGCTCTTGTGCCGGGCTATGAAGTGCATTCACAGGCGGGGCCTGCCGGAGGACGAGCTGCCCAACTGGAGCTGGTCGGCGCTGGAGCGGAGCACCTCGACGACGGCCCTGGACAAGCGGGAGGCGCTGTTTGCCTACTGGGACCCGCTGCCGTACTGCGCCTACTATCACTTCCAGCTGCCGCTCGAGAACGTGAAGCTCTTTTTGCAGCGCCGGAATCGCGCCACGACCAAAAGTTTATCGCCCCGCATCACGGTGCCGGTTCATTGAACGGCCGGACGGAGGATCACGGGGAGTAACTGCAGCTGGGTGGGAGCTGAAGGGAGCAGGAGCTGCCGAAGCAGGAGGAGGAGGAGGTGAAGCAGCCAGCGAGAGAGATTAAACAGACTGATCAATAATGGAAAAAATATATATGTACACATCTTGCATTCTATACTATTCTCTTTTTTTTTGTTTACGCCAATGGGGTTCAACATCCACGAAGATTAGACACGTTAAAATAAAAAACATTCACTCACACACACGCATACACACATATACACATATAGACATATACTATAATGTACAATAAATAATATTTATATTTTAACAGCCCATTTGACTTGGTTTTTTATTTCTTTGGTTATTTTTGCAATTTGTTCGGTTTATAGCATTTGGTGGCGCAATTACCATTTGTCCTTGGTCTTGGAAATGCAATAACATGGTTTAAAATTAATTCAATTATCAATTTATATTTTGTTTTTTGAAAATTATATACATGTATTAGATATGGTTATTACCCATTTGATTTAATTTACTATCTGTTACAGCACATTTTAGCTTGTTAAAATGTATTTTTTTTTTAATATTTCACTATAAACTTCCTCTTTGTTTACGTACAAAAACTAAACTGACCTGACGGGTTGTTTTTGGCCTTGGTCGGCTGGTGGTGCCTGAAGTGGTGGCGGTCTTGGTGGTGGTTTCGGCCACGTTTTCTCGCTTTAGGCCTTCGTCCTGGTTGTTGTGGCCACCTCGGGTTCCCTAGCAACGGCTTTGGGTCAGCTTAATTGCGGTTTGCTGGCGGTAACTGAGCCATTCGCACTATCCTTATCAATGAACCGGGCGAGTGCATATGGGGGTGATGTAAGCTTCACCCACCACAAGGTAATGTAGAAATTTAAAAATGATTTGCATAATTTTTAGGGTAGGAGGCTCCTATTAGTTTATTCAAGCATAAAAAAGGGTTAAAGTATGGTAAAAACAAAGAATTTGTTTTTAGGATGACAAAAATTAAATAATTCAGATATAAACTAACATATTTTTAAACGTTTTTTGTTTTCGAAGAATAATAATTTTAAAGGGGGATTTCAAATACAAAGAGCTGCCATATATTTTTTTAGGGCTGCCATATCTTGTTACCACAATGGTGCTGCCGGACCGTTTAAAAAGTCTGTTGTGTTTTTCATTTTTTAGTAGATACAAAAATACCAAATTTCTTGATAACAGAAACGGTTACTTTTTAAATATTTTGTGTTTGAATTTAATTATTATAAAATAAAATTGCTTTGTTTAAATTTTAGTTAAGAAAGAATATTAAACGGGGAATATGATAATACATTACTTTATTTTTTTAGTAAGTTTAGTGAAAGCTGTATTTTATAAGTTCTTGTCCAACATTTTATAAGTAGGTAGCATTTTTATCCTGGCCAACAAGCATCGTTTAATGCATAATAAAAACTCTTTATATTTAATGAGGTTAATTCAGCCAAGCCTCCTAATTATGGCCCAAGGACTTTCAGCTCTAGCTTTGGAACGGCTTTCACATCTTCATTGGAACGATTTTAATTGGCAATTAAAAATTACGCACTCGCCGCCCCTTTGGGGATGGCTCATCAACCATGATTCATGGCCAGAAACCAGGTACCCGCTCCCTTTTTTAGGGCTTTGTTCCAGCTGCGACCGCTGCATAATTTGCACCCGATCTTATCAACGAGCACTGCTAATGATTCGCATTAATGATGCTGGATACATGGCCCACTCCTGTTGGCCCTCCTTGGATCTCTCCTGGTTCTCTGTGTTTTGGGCTTACGCACTTTGGCATCTTTTGAAATGAGACCATCAATCAGTTTGTGGTAGTCGTTGTTCCAGCTCATTCTCCGCCGCCCTGCGCTGCTGCATTTGCATATAAATTGCTGCTAATGTCGCGCTATCAAAGTGACTGCATCAATGTGGCATTCCTGCCATGCCTTGGCCATTCCCAGTTCCCTGTTCCCTGCTGCTTCCTGCACTTAAAAATATCCCTTTTATTTTATTATTTAAAAAAGATAACTTTATCTAACATCATGTCATATTTTCTTCCAACTGACAAAATAACTAACATCTTTTTAAGGACTTCACAACCTTATATCTTCCAAGATTCTTCGGAGTTTTCTTTTCAGTGTATACATCCTCCCTTCCTGCAATTGGCCCTGCGGGCTATGCTCCTCTTCTTCTTGTCCAATCGCTTGGCTTATGCTAATTTTTTCCCAGGCCTTCCAGGCCCTGGCCATTGATGTTTGGATAACGTTGACTTGATGACTTTGCATAATTTACGCTGCAACCGAAGCCTCAGCCGCAGACGCAGCCGCTTTTCGGCTGCTTTGGGTTAATTTTTCACTCAACCACGTTTACCATTTTAATGTGTTAATATTCATGGAGAAACAGCACCAGTCGCCGCACAAAACAACACCAACAATAACAATAACAATCTTAGCCGCTTGTGACTGGTGACGTTTCAATTTCGTCGTTGCGTGATCTTTGGCCGGGCGATTTTTCAAACTGCCCCCGAACCGGCGGGTATTTATCAACAGCTCCACCGAAGGCATTTGTCATCCTACTCATTTTACAGTGCGGTTCATCAATGTCATGCACGGCAGCGGTCAAAATGATAATGCCCAATGTGACGTCATTGCAGAAACATACACAAGTATTTTGCAAGTATTTATTTTTGCATAAAGTAATTGATATTCATAAGACGGTTGTACTAAATTTGTTTGTTTTATTTTTTAGGTTTAAATAGCTTTAGGATAAGTCTTAACAAAATTCTTAAAAAAGATGTCAAGTTTTTATTTTTTGGCTTAAAACTCTTTATGGATATTAGTGAAGCAGTCTTAATCACTAGCCATTTGGTGGTTTTTGTGCCCTTTTCACATTTTAACAGCCTTTTAATTAATCGCCCGAGTTGAACAAATTCTTAATGAGTCTTTAATTAATCGCCAAAGCGAAATGTTCGACGCTCTCTAAACACGAAAATATTTACATTTTATTGTGACTTGATTTCGGTTATGGCCCCTATGCCTCTTCCCCTCTCGCTCCCACTCGCTCTGTCTCCCTCTCGCCAGGTGAGGCTCCACCCCTGAGGTGTTCGAAACAAGTTTTGACGCTTCCAAAAATTAGTTTTTTTTTCTCTCGTATTATTAATACGAAATGCCACAACAAGCCCAACAAATGTCTTTAAGTTATGCGTGTGCGCTTCATTAGTTAGTCTAGCGGTATTTGTGAGCTAATGGGGGAGGGGAGCGTAAAAGGGGCCTCCAGGGGGGCGTTACTAGAAAACGTTTCAATATTAATATTAAGCCATCGTTATGGTGAGCGATGATCAGCCATTCGTTTGTTCATTTGTCCGTTCGGTGGTCAAGTGCAACGGGGCGTATACTCACTGTGGGCTTTCAATTGGCTCAATTGCCAGCGCCCACTCATCGGCAGATTGGGTCTTCTAGTTGCTTCTTTTTGTTTCTTATTTTGGCCACCACAGCCATCTTCGATTTGCGAGAGCCAGGGCCTGCAGCTAAAAACTGGATTGCGTCTGGGTCTGAATGATTCCACACCACACCGCCAACAACACCACCACCACCACCAGTTTTTCCAGGCTGTCGTTTGCGTTTAATTTATGCACTTCAAGGTGTTTGCCTCTTTACGCTTATTGGCAGCTCACTTCCTCGTTTTCTTAGCCATTCGGGCTGTGAGTAATTGGATTGTGGGGAAAATTTCATTCATATTTGCATTTGCCGGTTAATTGTTTACATTTTGCCGAGCAAGCTAAGGGTGTGGCTCTTATACGATCCATTATGCTACCACCTGCGGGTAAATATAGATCTATGGCAGAGTTATTGAACTGGCATTAATCAGCGGGAAGACATTAAAATAAAAATTGTGAAAGCTGTTTCTTGTAATTCAAGAGGAAATGGTATATGTACAAATAAAGCAATGAGGAAAGCCATAAAAAAAGCTATACAAAATCTATTATTTTGTATGTAATTATTTCTTGTGTTTGTGATTATGTGATGAAAGTTTAAAATAAGTGTTTGCTTTATATTGCATTTTATTCGAAAGAGAGTACGAGTCTTAATAGAGTTATCTCTAATAATTTATAAAATACTATACCACAGAAGCCTCTGATCCTCTGGTGGAGTGGCAAGCTTAACAAAATCCGTTGCAGCCACCACATGTGTCCCATTGTGATCACTTTTGACCAGGTCGAGTCAAGCCAGAGCGGAAGCGTGAAATCCACAAAAACCATGCACCAGTAATAATACAGATACACAGATTCAATAACAAATACAAATCTGTATTGCCTTTGCCTGGTCCATTCGGCTATAAATTTTATGCATTTTGCGCATAGTTTGCCATTTTGCCACTTTAACATTATTGTTATGATGATAAGCGAGCCACAGCCATCGGAGGCATGGGGCAGCAACAGGGAGAGATCGTTCCAGGTCCAGGTCCAATGCCCAATGCCCAAGACTCCTTTCCATCCACAGTTCCACCTCTTTTCATGTCCAAATGTCCAACTGTCTGGCCATAACGCATCCTGCCTTTCGCACTGAAAAACAAGAATTTCTTTTGAAAAATTTAAAATAGCTTGGTTTTCAAACAAATATCTGAAGGTACTATGTCTGGTAATTGATTTTAAAATTAAAACTTCTTTTTTGTAAATCAATCTATGAGATTTCTATGATTATAAAGTAAACTATTTCATCACAATACCTTTTTATCAAAGTTCTTATCCTTATTGAAGACTTTTTCTCTGTGCATCCCAACACAGTCGGGTGTTTGCTGATCGCCAATACGATCTCCGGCTTGTTTGGCTTACCTTCGTATTTAAAACCATTTCGTTTTCTGGGGGCCAAAGTGTGAATATAATTTAAGGTGTACGAGACGCAGGCAGCCAGCCCATCTGTGCGCTCGATTTTCAATATCGCTTCTTGTCCCTGCTGCAGAACGATTATTTATTGTGCTTGATTGGTTTTCAAGTGATCATAAAGTAAGTGATCGTTGCCCGGCCAATTGTGGCGCTGTCCGTTGGCATTGAGATGGCCTGACTCTGGCGTTAATATGTAGATTTGGAGGCGTAGATTTATGACCAGCGGGATCCTGCAATGGGGAGTTCTATGCTCCGCCCGCCCCCGGAGTGGGCGGACGGTGTAATGAATCGGGGATGGCTTCATATTCGTCTCTCCCCGCATTCCTCGGGTCATTCCGGGCACATCCTGGTCGAACTCCCACAAACGGCCTCCAACATTTAACATTTAATTGACATTGATGATTGCCGCATCGGACAACGAGGAGAACACGTTCACCGCTCCAGGTAGCCGTCAGGTTAGTGGTCGGTGTGCCTGGCATACCAAAGTCAAGTGGCCGGACCACGGAATTATTAATTTTCATATCGGAGCAGAGCTATTCGCATGTGTCAGCTGTGCTCGCCATCAACCAGCAGACATGAAGAAGACGTACGAAATAAATTCTGTGGCACTTGCAGACAGCCAGCAGACAAGGCCATGGGTGTTCACAGCGGTGGGCAAATTGCTAGTACATACTACACTAGGATGTTAAACTTCGAAATTAAATCTAATAAATATGAGAAATTACAGAGAATCAGATTCGTGTTACAAAAATTAAAGGTCAAAAGATGAAGTTGCCTTTATACTTGTACTCTGTCAAGATTGGGGGAGCTCTTGCGTTTGTAGGCGCAATCATTCACACTTTTTCTATGGGTCTCAAAATGTTAAATGTCTAAAATCAACGCCAAGTCTTTGGGCATTCAGTTGGCTTTGTTTTCCGCTCAGCTTGGCTTTCTTCGAGCTGTTTTGTGCCTCGGCTGGCTGTGTGTTTTGTTTTCGCTTCTTTAAATGAACGTTATTAAGGAGATGCTTATCGCCGAGTGATTTATTCATTAAAAAAACATTTATTAGCCAGAAACAAGCTGGCTAGAAAAGTGTGTGAACGTGTGTGTGGGTATGTGCGTGCCAACCACACACCCCAAGCTCGAATTCACATTTACCTTTACATTCGTCCATATGGCTTGGCCCGCTTTTGGACGCCTCGTTTGTGCGGCATTAAAATGCAAAAGCGTGTTTGTTCCTGGAAAACTGCAAACCCCTCCGTCCCTCACATTTTCTTTATAAGAATTGCGGGTGTGGACTTCGCCGCCAGCTGCTGAGGCATGCGGCTTTGTTTTATGAACTTGCATATTTCCACAATTTTCCTCTACATGTGTGTTTGTGAGTGCGTGCGTTTTAATCACTTAATTAGGGAGCCACTTAATTGACTGCAACCTATGGCGAATTATTCAAGCAATCGATGTGCAATGTGCGATGTGCGAGTGTTGCAGGAAATGGGTCTCTGGTGGCCAAGTTCGTGTCTTAAGTCTTTTGTTTTGCGGTGGCGGGAAAGGCAAATCAGAAAGAGGAATTAGAAGACTTGCTTGGTTTTTATTAAGATTTTAAATTAACTTAAGTAGGCATAAATAAATATTAATTATTAAAAAATAAATTAATAGATTTAATAGGTTAATAGATTTGCATCTTAAAAAGCTACGAATTTATTTTCTTCAGTTTATAGTTTTTCTTAGACGTTCAACTGGTTTTTATTGCCCACCCTTGCTATTGCCCAGTTTTTAACACAAGTGGAGCCATTGATTAGCCCCATTGCCTTTCCTCTGCAAACCTGTTGATGAGCCAAACCTGATGGCATTGCCCGATTTCCCCAGTTATGATTACATGTCTCCAGTTGCCATTTAGCGAGGGACACACCCCTGCGCTATTTGATTTCAATGGGATACAGCAATCACACACTGCACACATTTCAATTAGCATTTGGCTAAACATAACGTAAACATTCTTGGCCGCTTCGCTGATGTTGACCATTTCCAGTCAATGAAGCCAATAAAATGGCACAAACTGCGTTGCAATCGCCGCCGGAGATAGTAACATAAATACTTGTTAGCCGCCATAGAAAGCCAGTTGGTTAATCACTCTGTCCCGAGACCCACTCCTATTATAGCCTCATCAAACTGAGAAACTTGGCGCGGTGGCTTCTTCTGCGTTTCTGTGTCATAAGGAAGCGTCTAAATGATTCATAATTTATGCCTTGGGTCTGGTCGTTGCCTGATTCCAGTGCCATTTCTATTCGTGTGCCTATTCCCATTTCCATTTCTATTCCTATTCCCAATCCCATTCAATGCTTTCGTTACTTAATTTTTCCAGCTTTACGCTTTAGCTTGTGCCTTGGCTTGTTGGCCAGGCTCACTCCTTGGGCTTCCCCTTCCTTCTGACCCCACGTAATTGTAATGTATTTTGGGACTGCAGTGAGCGGAAAAGCTTTATCCTATTGAAGGTATTTGGTAGTTTCCTTTCCAGTAGAACTCTTGTTTTTTTCTCTCAGTATAAAGTGCGTGGCAGTTGTGGCTGTCGTTCGTCTGCCTCGTTGATAGTTGAAAAAATTACTTACAAATTACATGCGTAGCTTATGCCCCCGTGCCGCCTTCAGCTTGTTGGCTTAATGTGCTTTCTGCACTGGGCGGTGGTCGTTGGGGCAGGCTGCCGGGTATTAGTGTTGTGTGTCTCGTGGCCGTCTCTTAAATTACGTTTTCTAATTGAATTCTGAACACTGCAGAGGCAGGTGACACTCCGCCGAGGTCGTTGGCAATACCCTATCACCGGAATATACATATGTACTTATCTGCATGCACCTGGAAAAACTTCATCATCCATTTCCCAGAACTTGGCTCTGGTTAATTTCCCATCGTTAATATTGCCCAAGTGTCGAGAAGTACCGGGCTCATTTGCATATAAATATTGTTGTAATTACGCCTGGTAAATAATGCAATTTTGCCATTTTTATAGGCCATGCCGGTGTTAAATTAAAATTATTATAATTGAGTTAACCCAAAAGGGGGCGAATCGTCAAAGGGTTTAGTGGAATTTCGCATGGCTTAAAATGCAGCACGAAACATGGCCATAAAGTGTAGCTGCGTTTAGCTTAAACAAGTCGACAATTTAAAAAGCCAATTTGCGCATAATACGCCGAACGTGAGCAAAAACCTAAAACAGAACTCAACTGCACACACAACACACTCGCAGAATAAAAAGCTAAGGCAGGTAGCGTGCTGTGCAAATTTCTACGCAAATGACCATTAATGCAAATGTTGTTTGCTCATTAAAGAAACATTGCCCGCCCACCCATTTGACCCAAATACGTTTGCAATTCGAATGGTAGGTTCTCTTTTCATGCACTTAAATATCGACCTTACAATCTCCAGAAGTTTCCATCTTTGCGTTCTAGTATTGGAAAGTCTCTTTAGGAATGCAAAAAAAAAACTTTGTTGTCATATTAAAGTTTCAACAATCTACTGATCGTAAAATCGATAGATTTTGATATCCATTTCGATAGAAAAAGTTTTTGAATAGAAGAATTCGGCTCAAAATGTTTCGTTTTTTATTTTTGGCAAATGGCATCGACATCGTGCGATTGTATGTTTTAAAGTTTTTAAATTATTTTATATTTTTCAATGTATAAAAATAAAGTTGTTAGGCTAAAATACTTAAAATATGGATAACTGTAAAGAAAGGCTTTTAATGATTACTTAAAAGCCATTTAAAATAATACCCATTTTTACCAAACTTCAAAACAATCTAGAAGCGCCGTTACCCAACACCAAAAGCTAGTTACTCATCTAGCACTTTCCAGCACTAACCGATATCCAAAAATTGATCGATCTTCTTCTTCTAGTACGTACGCAGTGGTATAGCGTCCGTAAATTTTCTACTTAAATTGAAGTTTTCTCAGCTACAAAAAACAAAATCGTTTGCCAAAAATGCGTCCTCGCAAAACGACAAAGCCAGTATTTGAAGTTGGAGATTTCGTGTTTGCGAAACTGCGTGGATATCGTGCCTGGCCAGCACGCATCCTTCAGCGATATTCGACTGGCAATTATAATGTGTTTTTCTATGGAACTTGCAACTACGCCCGGGTTCCACGCAAACAAGTCTTCGATTTCGAGAGCAGCCTGAACCGACTGGGCGCAGTGCCAGCTAAGCATGTGGGCAGTAACGCCTCCTTTCGGGGTGCTATGCGCCACGCCCGGAACGCGTTTTCCAACCCGTCGAAGGATTTCGGATTTTCTCAGCTTCAGGCCGTTTTGGAAGGCGACTGTGTAAACGCCGAGGACTTGCCCATGGAGTACGAGGTGGTCACTGACTCGGCAGCCATTGTTCTCAAGGGAGACTCTCAAACCAAGCGCAAATCCATTGATTTGCCTATCGAGTCCGAGGTGGAGAATGAGCCGGACACCGAAGCCGAGATCTTGACTATCAAGGAGGAGGAGGAGAATGATCCGATTGACATTTTGGGAACGGAGGACACTGATTCGGAAACGGTAAAATTTTTGTTATAAAATAACTAATATAGACTCAAATTTTTTCTTATTGCCCAGGATTCCTATAAGAGTTCGGAGAAGGTAAATGAGCCGGAAGTAAGTTCAACTTCCGTTGATAAGGACTCTAATGATAAATTGGACTTCGAGAAAATCAAAGAAGAGGTGCTGAACAACTTGTTCAAGGAAAACGGGGACGCCGCAGAATAATGGAACATTTTTTTTGAAAATTTTGACAAGATTGAATGTCCAAACACTAATTTAAGTATATTAATATTTTTTTTAGAGGCATAAGCAAAAAGTTTAACAATTTAACATTTAACAAAGGAAAATATAGTTTCTTAATTTTCGTCAAATAATTAAAATTTCTTTGGAAATTGTTCTTGGTAAAGCTAGGATAAGTAATTTAATTTCAGGATGCTTCTTGATTTGGTTGAAGCCGAAACGAATTTCAGGAATTGACGGCCCATTAAGGTGGCCCGGGCATGCCGGCAACCGTAATGGTCTCTGCGTGATCTTCCACTGCTGACCTCCACACATCATCCATCCCGGGCGCTAATCGAAGCTCGTCTTGGGGCACGTTTCCGCATTAAATGCTGCACCATCAGCACCAAAATCCAACATGCCGGCCACCGCCAGGATGAGCCTCCCCAGGGGCAGTTGCTGGATAGTTTAGCTAAATGCCGTCGTAAAAGAACGTCGGCCGTTAAACCAACAAGCCGGGAAGCAGAGTCAACAACCAAGATTTCCCACCCTACTTTCGGCAGATTTAATTGGACAATGCAACAGCAGCCTCAAAGGAAAGGAGGAGCATTTGGTGGCTGCTGTACTGGTGAGTACTGGCCGGGATGCGGATGCTTCGATTAACAAATTATCGCCACCGCAGCAAATTAATCGCTACAGCCGCCTGGCATCTGTAAAAAGGCCAAGTATCCGTATCTGGGTTAACAAGAGGGACGACCGATGACCGCAAATCAGATTCACTAAGCCGGCAATGAGATTTTCCGACCGCATCAATTTGCTTTAATGCCGGGAATGCTTTTTGCCATCCTCCAGCAGATTGTAGCAGCTGCCAATGCGAACGGCAGGATTTGGATCTCAGGTTGGTGATGTACTGGAGAAAAATGGGGAAATGTAAGTTCTTCCAACTCACTTTATTTGTAAGCTTTAATCATACAGATACGAGAACTGGGTCAAACCCAGCAAGACAAATTCATAAAAATTACACCATGACTCATTTTTTTTGAGTGTGTTTGGAGATGCTGTTTCAAGACCCGTTGGAGGCTACAGCATCCTTCGGTTACTTGACAGCTGCCTGCCGGGGGTTAACTGTTGTCCTGTGTTGTTTTGCGGTCAAGGGCCAGATTGTTAAGGAGTTCAGTATCCAGAATATGCATATGGAATATGCACACACACCTACCCTCCCACCCGGCAAGACATATCTCATCCTGCCGATCCCTAGCCTGGGCCGTAAAATGTCAAATTAATGTTACAACATGTCCAACAACTTTTGATGGCCTTTGACAATGCTGAGTGGAAATTCCTGCAGGTGACGCAATTTCCCTGTAATTTGTTTGGCCGCACGTACTTGGAGGCCTGACATGGGGCATTGTCAGCTCGTTTGTGCCTGCCCAGCATAAACAAAAACCGATCTGCTCCAAACCGATCCGAAAACGCGCCCAGGGACCTGCAGCCCTATTGGAGTGTGGTTAGTCGGTTATTGGCCGGTGGTTGGTAGTTGGCTGTTGGCCGTTGGTTGTTGCTCTTGCTGTTTACTGGAAAGGTGTCAATGTGTGGGCATGTCGCACACGTGTGCTCGAATCGCCTCCTGCCCTGGGGCCATAAATTCACTTAGTTTATTTTCTGCCGCTGCTTCTGTGTCCCCACCAACACCAATTGCTACCACTTGGCAGACAATCGGACTCCCAGACACCAGGCGCTGGGGTCGGGGCTCAGTTCGCCGGAAATTTGTGAAGGAAATCAAATTAAAATTTCGCTAATTTATCAGCAGCACCAAAATCGTGAGTCCACCGGCCGCCAGGTTAAAGTGTTTCCGTTTCAGTGTTGCTCGGCTAGTTTCTAGCTAATTGGAATTAATTAAATTTAATCCCCTAAGAGTAGGTATTTTACTATAGAAAGATCCCTTTCAGGTACTTGCAATTATATAAAAATATAATTATCCAATAATCTGTGTAGCAAAAAACTTAAGCAAATAAATGAGATATTCTCAGCACTGTCATTTTTAAGGGGGAAAAAATTAATGCCATAAGGAAAGCACTATGAATGGCAGGGTTTTGAAGGAAATGGAGGGGGATATGTGCAAAATTTTTGCATTTTATCGAAACGACTTCATCAGCTCGGCCGGCCAGGCAGTCTGGTCTGTTTTGGCCTGCTGGTCCCGATCCGAGGTTCGAAACAAAGGCATTCTAATTAAAATTCCCAAGTGTCAGAAATTTTATTTATTCCTTTGGTCGACTAAGTGCATCAATCAAATTTTTGCACAACCGGCAATTAATTTTTTTTGCGAGGAGGAAGAAGGGTGGGTATTTTTTGGCAGCTCCGTTAAAATCAAATTGCCTCATCGTTAACACCCGAAAGTCGATTGGATTCTGAAATTGGGACGGGACTGGAATTGGTTGCTTTGGTTAATCGATGACTGATGGTTGAAACCCAAATCCTACAGTGGCCGGAACGGAAGGGGGATGATGGGTTTATGGACGGGAATCAATAGGAAAAAGATTTCGGTTTGGTGACTCCGGGCTATTGAAACCCTAACCTTTTGTTGGAATAGTGTTCACTCTCTATTAAAACGATTATGATAGGGCAATCAACCCCTGTGTTCTAGACTCCTTCCTCCTTGTTGGGCATTCAGTGAGCACATGTTATTATTTGTTTTTGATGAAGTGGTTGATTACAGTGGCCAACCCTCCTTGCTCATTTTGGGACGACAACGAGCCCCGCCCGTCAAAGAAACTCAAATCCCCGAATGGGGTAAAGTCATCAATTTCGAATTCGAATTTATATGGCCCGAGTGGGTCAGCAGGTGAAAATCGAGGTGGGTCGCCGCGATGCCTCCCACATAGACGCATAAATAGCTGATGTCAAACATTTGGTAATACACGGCAAATACGCTCCAAGTATGTCAGACGTATCAACGCATTCAATATGCAAAGCATCAAAGCATTTTTATTTGCCGCAGTGGGTGGCATTCTCATTGGGAACAGCAAACGGCCGTACTAATGGAAACTTACGTGGCTTTTTAATTGATTTGTGCCAAAAGTTTTATTGGTTTTTAAAGCCCGGCCGAAACAAATGGCTGCGATTGTTTGGGGCCAGGCCGAGACCCAAAACGGCGAACGCAATCGGAGACGACCCCCCGCCTGAGGAGCGCGCCTAATTATGGAATGCCAGAAATGGCAAATTAGCATAAAATTTAGCAACATTAAAAATTATACTTTATTATGCTCGAATACCTGGCGGGTGTGTGTGCTCCTTTTTATTGTTGCTCTGTGACTAAATTGATTAATGAGCCATTTTAATAGTTGCGTCTGCCTATGGAGATATTTTTATGACACTTCAAAAATTATGACGGGCATTTTTTCCGTTTTTCAATTTTGGACAATTTGGTCTTTCGGTCATTGGCGGGGTGTTGGGGCTTTTGAATATACCGTTGGACACATGTTGCACAATTTGCTTGTTTTTATTCTTTTTGGGGTTCACAGTGAAAGTGCTGAGAGGGTGGGGAGGGTATGTTGGCCAGGTCATTAAATTGTGGCCATAAAAATAAATTCGGGGCTGGGCGGATTAAGCGAGTTATGGCGTGGTGTTAAGGTGTTGGCGGCACATTTCTTTCACGGAATATTGAGTGGGGGTATTTTTTAAGGTTTTTTTTTTTTGGCAATTTTAATGGGCCCCTCATTAAATGCAAAATTTGATTTATCTGGTTTTGGCCATTCAGATGCTAATGACGGCAATAGAATGGCCAGTTATTGTCCGGTACGATTTTTGACGGTTATTCCCAGCAGTTAGGGTTTTATTTTTGTGATTAAGTCGTGACATGGATTCTTTATTTCACATTTATTATAAGTGGATTTTTTATTATTTAAAGGTAACAACTTCCTTCATTATTATATTTATCGAAAACAAACTTTAATATACAAAATGAAATCTGGACTTTTCCTATCAAATTATTCGAATAAAGCCTTGAATAAATATTACTTCGTTTTTAGTTTCAACAACATCATAAAATAGTTGAAATCTCTCTTAATTTCTTTGTTATTTTTTGTTATGTCTTGTGACGATTTGTTGTTAACCAATCAAAAGTCGATTAAAGGTAGCAACAGTGATTACTTTTATTTTTACAATAATTTGGAGACCCACATGGCGCTGATAAGAGATTCCGTTCGAACAGAGGCTTTCCGGGATGCCATCTTCGAAAACAGGGAGCTCTTCAAGGGGAAAATAGTGCTGGATGTGGGGTGTGGTACAGCAATCCTCTCCCTCTTTGCCGCAGAGGCTGGAGCTAGCAAGGTTATAGCCGTGGAGAACACCGACATAGCAGATCTTGCCTTGGAAATCGTGAAGGACAACGAAAAGGAGCATGTAATCAAGGTGGTAAAGGGCTTGGTGGAGCAACTACAGCTTCCCGACGACATTCAGAAGGTGGACATAATAATTTCTGAGTGGATGGGGTAAGTTTGAGAGTTTCTAAAAGAATATTTAATCAAAAAAGGTGTTTTTTAGGAACGCTCTGTATATGGAGGGCATGCTGAACTCTGTGCTTTTTGCCAGGGATAAGTGGCTCGTACCCGGCGGCCTGATCCTTCCTAGCGTGGCCAATCTATGGATGATTGGTGCCACAGACCCTCACCACACGGCCAACCTGAACTTCTGGCGCGACGTCGAAGGCATCGACATGAGCTGCTTAAGGAAGCCGGTCTCCCAAGCGCCCACTGTGGACTGCATTCCTATCCAGCAGCTGGTCACGGACGAATGCTGGATCCACTCCACCCAATTAGACAGTGTCCGGAATGAGCCAGTGGTCTTTCGCTCCAGCTTCGTGCTGACAGTCCAGCGCTCTGGTGTGATCAATGTCCTGGTTTTGTACTTCGACGTGGGATTCTTCTACGGGAATAGCCAGACCCCTGTGACCCTGTGCACGTCTCCACGCTCGCCCTGTACGCACTGGGAGCAGACCCTGCTCCACCTGGACGAGCCTCTATTTGTCAAGGTCAATGATCGGGTGCGTGGCATCCTGGCCATGATGCCTAGTGCTGCAGACGGTCGCTGCATGAACTTTGAGCTGAGCATTAGCTTCCGGGGAGATCGCACCCGTGTGGAGAGCTTCAAGAGCTTCACCTCGGTCTGATTTTGAGTGGGAATTAGTGCCTTTGTCATCCAAAGGCTTACGCATAAAAAAATAAAGTGACTCGATATGATACCTGCCATAAAAGGGGTCATTAAACAAGGTCCGAGGGTGGGTTGGGTTCTTACAGAGATGAGCAATCAATCGGTTCGGGGACTTAGAAAGCGGACAGCCGAATTGTTAACGACTTTCTTAACAAATTAATTTCAAAGCTCCACTCGCCTCGGGAATGTGAAAATGTGTCTCCCCGCCTCTAATTAATTGATGGTCCCGTCGCATAAATTTGTGAAAGCCAACGCCAGTGGGGCCTTCACAATGAACGCCTTTTATGCGTTTATAACTCTATTTACTATTTTAGCCATTCGGGGCTTTGTCTCGAGAACCGAGAGCCTGGGGATGTTCCCAAAAAAAATTTCTTGTCAGATCGTTTTGTGTTTGTGCATGGCGGGGCATTGTTAATGGCAGTTCTTAAAAGGCCATAAAGTTGCTTTATGCGCCCATGAAATTAATATGCACACCATTATTGGACATGATTATAAAATATTGGTTATCTAGCGTGCACAAAAGCGCCACAAATGAGCCCAGCGATCTTTGATTTTCGGTCAACACTTGTTCGCATCCCTCACCTGGGCAGGTGAGCTGTGAGATCCCAGCTCCACTCCCCGCTGAGCGCATTAACAAAGTCCCAAACACTCGCAGTACTCTACGACCCTCGGAGGCAGCGTAGGCCCAACAAACATTTCAATTTGTTTATGCCCGTGCCACGGTGCCCGTTCCTTGGTCGAGTTTTCTTTGGAGATATCAAATTGCGGGCATTTGTCACTAGGAGCGGGACACTGCGCCCCAAGTCACCTATAAATTAAAGACTTGTTAGACAGTCTGAGTCCTCTTTTGTCCTTTACTTGGCTCCGCTGATAAGCAGGTCCAAGCCCACAATTGCCCCATAACTAATTGTTGTCACCCGATAGTCGATAACATTAGAAAACTGTCAGAGGAGCGATTATCTCTGTAATTAGAGATTTATCAGCACTGACTAGAAATGACATTTCAAGTTCTCAACCTTTTCAACCTCTGCAACAAATCACGGTCAAATTTGGCGAAAAAATATAACAAACAATATTAAAAATGGATTTGGACCCTGATCTTATTTGGCAGATGGGCGATAGTATGCTGATGGACCTGAATACCACCAATGCCTATAATCGTCTTTTGAATCGTTGCAAGAAAATCTTCAAAGATAAGGTAGGCTTTCTTCAAAAGTTAGTTGATTGGGTCTCTAAGTGAAAACAAATTGGAACAGATTGTCATGGACGTGGGCTGTCGGAGTGGATTGCTGAGCATGATGAGCGTGGATGCTGGAGCTTTTAAGGTCATAGCTGTGGGAAGTCATGAAAGTGCCATGTGTGTGAAGGATGTCTTGGCAGCGAAGGACAATGGCGAGAAGTTGGACGTATTCGAGTTTGTCGAGGGCGACATTGATGCGATCCGGCTGCCGGGTGGCTTGAAAAAGGTGGATATCATAGTGTCGGAGTGGCTGGGGTAAATAGCACCATTGAATTCATGATAATTTCTGTGCAATATCGTTCTTTACTTTTCAGTCACTCCATATTTGTCGAATCACTCTTCAATGAAGTTATCTATGCCCGGACTGTCTATCTAAGAAAGGGCGGACTTATCATTCCCAATAAAGTGGTCCTAATGGCCAGTGGAATGGAATACTGTTTTAGGCCCGAAAACGATGCGGAACCAGTAACCGTAGTCGACGACTACGTGAGCGGTGACCGGATATGTACAGACCAAGCTTTCATTAAGGAGGTTGATCTTAACAATGCCAATATAGATGACGATACCTTCAGGGCTAAGTTCCAGCTGAAAGGCTTGAAGAAGTGCCGACTGGGAGCGGTGGTTCTCCACATGGAAGTGGGTTTTACTCGTCCGGATGGTCGGACGAAAGCTATCTTCTCCACAAGCCCAGATTTTCCTCCCACCTATTTGAGGCAAACCGTCCTATTCGTAGACGGAGTGGTAGAGGTGGACTCGGAAGAGATCTTAGATGGAACATTTGGCATGTATCGAAACGAAAGGGAAGCTCGTAAGGTTCAGTATTCCCTTACCTTTCCGAAGTACGATGGAGAATCTTCATCTGATTCCGATTCTGATGAATCGATGAAGTCTGAGGAATCGATGAAGCCTGATACTACGGAATCGTCAGACCCAGACGTGCAGATTGGAAATGGGTCTTCGGATGAGACTAAGGAGTCTGAGGAGGACGCTGCGAATGGAACTGAAATTGCAACTGAGAATGGGTCTGAGTATCAGCCTAAGGATCAGGCTGAGCCTCAACCTGATTTTCAGCCTGAGTATCAACCTGAATATCATCCTGAGTATCAGCCTGAGTATCAAACTGAGAATCATCCTAAGTATCAACCTAAGTATCTACCTGAGTATTGTCCTGAGTATCTGCTTGAGTATCATACTGAGTATAAATCTAAGAATGAGTCTAAAAATATGATTCAGGATATGGAGCAGCCCAACACTGAGCCGAAATTCACTTCTATGGATAATCTTGTCCCTCAACAGATGCCTCTGGAGGAGTTTAAGGCCCTGTTTAAGGCTCCTGGTTTCTACGTAGAACGCGATCCAAGTGAATTCCTTTAAAAATGTTAATGTGTGATGTATTCATGGCAACTAAAACGAGAGAATACGGTATGAAGATCGTTGGCCGATTAAAATTTATGGCTGTGCTGCATCAATTAGGGCGGCTGCTACCCAAAGACAATGGGATCGGGGATCCGGATTCTGGGATTCTGGATGTATTTTTGTGTTGGCCTCCTTTAAGTTTGGCTTTGGCATGACCTGATCGGTGTTTAGCTTTGACGTTGCTACAACGATTTAAAATGATGTCGCGCATAATTCACCCATCGAGAATCGAGCTTGGATAGGGGTTCATCGAGGTTGGAGGATCGTCGATCTTCGAACGTCTTGCCAGACTGTGCGTCGTGATTTGGCTCTGGGGTTCGTTTTGCTGGCCTCGTTTTGCAGTAAGAGGTCTTTTGTTCTGATCTCATAGCCGATCGCTGATCGTTGATCGAACTTGGTTAGCTGAACGAAAGGAATCCGTCTGAGATTCTCGTTTCTGCCCAGATCCATTCGGGATGCTTAAGTGACATTTCGTCTCTTGGTTAAGCACTAAGAAAAAAATATACTTTTTCTTTTTCTAAAGTCATTAAAGTCTACTATATGAAGTCTTCAAGTATCCTTGAGAGGCAAGCCGCAGGTGAATATTAAATAATTTTGATACAGTTCGTCGCTGACTAAAAATAGGGAGATTTTTTTCTGTGTATCCTTGGTTTTGGCTCAGAAGCTGGAGCTTGAGGGTCCGTGATGGATTAGCATCGTTTTGCCGTGAGGATAATGTGTCGTCTGCAATGATTTTGGTTGACATGCGCGGTGTTTTTTTTGCCTTTCTCGGTTTTTGGCTTTTTCTGTTGCGGAGCTTGTGTCTTTTCAGCTTGGGACCGTTTCTCGGAAATAATTATGCTACTTTTGCGCAAGAATAACAGCATTTTTGTACAAATTGTATAAAAATTTAAATTGCCCGTAACTCTGATAGGATTTTCGGTTTTTGTGTGTTTCCTGCAAAATTGCTTAATAATGAAATGCCAATGGATTAAGCGCAATTTGTGCGGTATGTCCCCTGATTGTCCGCTGGATCTTTATCTTTATCTTGATTTTTTGTCCCGATGCTTGGATGGGGGTCTCTGGAAGCAGGAATCCTCACCAGCCTCCACCATCATTCGCCTTAACACGTTCGATTTGCTGGCTTTATTTTACACCTAACGAGACCGGCAAAAAATAACACTCTTTCTCACGTCAGACCTTCTTGCTTTTATTGTTTTATTTTTTTTTGCCAGGCCTTGCAGCGTTTTCATTAAATTCGCTTAATAGCGCAATATAATTTAAACAAGTAGTAACATAAAATAAAACTCACAGCCACGCACTGAAAGGCATAAAGATGAAGCAAATTACTCTGGACCGAAGAAAAGCAGACCAGAACAGAATTCGAACTTCTGGACTGCATATTCCTTGGGACTGGAGGAGGGGTTTATGGATGGGGCATTTCCAGGGTCCAAGGGGGCTAAAGGGGCTGCAGGGAAAGGCCCAGCCTGGCCCGGCCCGGCCAGAGAGGTCTCAGTTGCCAGTTATGGCGCATGGGCGAGACCTCTTCGTTGGCCAGCAATGGCAATAAGTTCGCTTAACGAGGGTTTAATTTATGATTTGTTATGTTTCCGGTTCATGTTCTTGTTGCCCGCAAAATTATTGGCCATAAAGCCAAGGTGTGGATTATAGTGGCTGGCCAGCAGTGGTAGCTAGGCCAAGATCCCATGTAGGGAGATCTGAGAAAATGCTCTATTCTTCGTGGAAAACCTCAAACTAGGTCACATATTTAAAGTGAAATGAATGAACTTCACTTATTAATTCAACAATTTAATCCCTAATCCTTTTACGCTCACTGTGCATTTTCTGCCTGATTTCCTGGGCCATCGAACGCTGCTCGGTGCGCGTTGAAAATCGATTTGTAGCCTTATATCGTTTCATTTTTTGTTGCCCATGGCCCTGGGGTTGCGCCTGCGCAAACAACTTGCAACGTGGATAACAACGGATAAGAAAATAAGCAGAGACAAGCGGAGACACCGCGAGGATTCTTCGCTGCCAAGGGATCCTACAAGGGGAGTGGGTGAGGGATGGGCAGGACCGGGGATAAGGCCAAGAGCCAGGTCCAAGCAACGCCAACGAGTATCTGGTGGAACATAAATTACGCGACTAACAAGCAGCGCCCCGTCCAACTAAAAAAGATACAAAAAGTTTCGGGGTAGAGGAGGATGGAAAAACACTTCATACTTGGGAAAAGGAATACACAGAAAAAAATTACCTAAAGAGGTTTAAAAATAATGTAAAATAAGTTAAAGAATCTGCAAAGAAAATTTAAAAAAATTACAATTTTTAGCTGTGTTTTATTGGGCTTGAGATTCAGAGCTCTGGGCCAAAGTGAGTTGCACAAAATTATAAATGAAAGCGGGTGTTGGAGTCGTCCTATCCAGGGGCCCTCATCCCCATCCTCGTCCTCATCCCAAAATCCCTAACCCCAACCCCGGCCCCATCTTTATGCTCACGATTAGGTGCAGCAATTTGGTTGGGCCTGTCTGTGATTGAGACCGAGGCAGTGCTCGAAACGAAGTTAAAAATCAAATTAGCGAATGTGTTGAAAATTAAAAACAAATTCACGGATAAATTGCATCTGCCAGATACGCAATTATTATGAGGGTCAGTCCGGGGATCGGCTGCAGGGGAGGGGAGCAGCCACTAACTCATGGACTTGGGGCTGCCTCTGTGGTCAGCCTGGGGTCCTCGTTTCAGTTCTGGTTCTCGACGCTCGACTCCTCTGTGGATCCCACTGACGGGTCTGTGTTTGTATTTGTATCTGTATCTGTGGCACACTGTGTGCCCTCGAGGTGTTGCAATTTGACGTTTTTTACGCGAGTTTTTATTCCATGAAATCCACATGAATTTCATGAGGTTGCGGCAGTGCAAATACTCGGCCCTAAATGGCTCTTTCTGGTCTGTATGGGCCTCAACTGGGGCCGGAGTCGGCTGGGATGCGATGTCCCTGGTCCGCTGGCGAAAAAACATGTCGAATTAACACGCTCTAAGGGGCAGCTGGACGAGTGGTCGAGGTTCCTTTTTGTATATTTAAATGTTGGCAAATTAGCTGAAATTTCTTCTCGCAATTTGCATGTGCGTCTGTGTGTGTGAGTCATATAATTACAGTAGAATTTTAGCCAGGTTAAGACTCCTGAAAAGCCAAAAAAAATACGAAAAAAGGCTTTAGTTCAGCTGGCGCCGTGTCTGCTCGCAGACGGGCAAATAAATCGCGCTGCTGTTGAACTTTTTATCTGCCTTTGGGGAAACCAAGAAGGATCCCAGAGGACAGGGGGCAGGAGTGTACAGAGCCAGGCCAGAGCCAGGGTCTGAATAAGAGCCAGAATGGCACTGCTGCCAAAAGCTGCCAGAGATGGAAGTCGGCCACGCCTCCTTTTGTCCTGCCAAGACTTCTTTTTCTCGCAGTCTTCGCAGTGGAGAATCGCGGCCCTGACTCGACTCGACTGTCCTCCACTGTGGGGCCGTAAAAAAAAGGGCGCAAATTTTATGAGCGCATCGTTTAACAAATGAATTTACAACCGTGCAACGCCCAAATGTCTGGCGTTCAAATTCAAATTCCTGGCCACGCAGAGAGCGGAACTCTTGGCCCAGCTCCAGGATGACTTACGTGCCACACGGAGGCGTATACATTGGAATACACGGCTAAAAATATGCTACCTGTTTCGCTTTAATCTTTAAGGCAAGGAATAGAACTCTTACTTTAATACTACAACGATACAAATTTATTTTCTTCCTTTATAAGCTCCTTTTTCTGAGACAAACCAACCTATGAATAATATCTGTCATGTCAAGTGATTTTAGCCAAATACGTGTATGCCTTCCCGTTCACATCATCATCATCATCAGCCCTATCATTATTGTTGGTAAAGGGATCTTATAGCCATGTTACATTAACGCTTTCATTAGCCCAGTTTTTGCTTGGCCGGCAGCCGCCCCTTTATCGAGGCTCCACTTTGTCGCCCATAAATCGAAGTCATCTCCATTCCGACTCGACTCGTTAAGTGGAGTTTAATGAGTCGCCGGATAGGGTGCTCCGGAGCACCTTGTTTCCAGTTCTGTGCCTTCTCAGTTGTACGGCGTGCCCGCCACAGGGCCTGGTCAGCGCTTACAATTTGGTAATGGTAATTGTCTCCGGCCTGTCAATAAGTTTTTATGGCCGCCCCATAAAGGGAAAGCTTCGATCTCGGTCCTCGAGATCTGCGATCTGGAGTTTCGGTTTCAGTTTTTGTGTCCCAGCTACTCCCCAATTACCGACACGATCGCAAATTGCCAGCACACGAGGCTGGTAATTTGTTGGGCTTAATGTCCGGTATGCAAATACATAACCGACCCCAGACCGATCGATCATTCCGGGCCCCATATACTTACTCATACAATGTATTTCCTGCTGGTTTCTAGTCAAACTTAATCATCGGACAGTGTGGCTTGAAAGTGCAAAGAAAGTGGTAAAGAAATTATAGTTTTGCAATTGAAACTTGTAATTAATTGAGAAACGTCCAGCTATGGGAAAAAGTATACTGCAATTTTGCACTTTAGAAAAACAACAAGATTAACATTTTTTTAAGACCCATCCTAAACCATTTTACCGAACAATCCACTTCATTGCTTCATAATGAAAAATAAATTTTTCACCAAACACCTAAGATTTATTGAGGCACACTTAAGAACTAAAGATCAGAAACCAAACCCTGAGGAATTTCACACTTGGTCCTGAAAATCCATATGTAAATAGCCAGCGGTAGATCCCCTTATTGTCCTGCGGTCCTGCCGATCAGCTGTCGTACAAAGAGCCGTCAAGAGAGTGGCACTTCAGGCCCTGTTCCTGGCATTGTTTGGCTTGTAAACGGCTCGCCATTGTCGGAGGTATAAATGTCAAAAGGTTGCCTCTTGTGACACCCCGGCCAGCGGTCAAGCGGACAAGGACACCACACCTAGAG